CCCCTCCCTCCCCCCGCAGCCCCACACACTCCCCCCCCCCTGCAGTGCCACAACAGACAGGTCTTGGAAAAGTCACAGACCAACTAGACCGGAAGAGCGGAAAGGATCAGTCTGGGGAGGGAGGAGGATTGAAAAGCAGCCCTGGAGCCACGGTCAAGGCCGAGTTGGGCCCCAAGGTGTGGACCGCCAGCCCACAGCAGGGAGGCTAGCGGCAAACACACCAGTCGCAGGGTCGCTGGAGGAAGGGAGAAGTGAGGAGGCCCAGCTGGAGAGTCTGATCCTCACGCCCGCCCCGTCCTAGACAGCAGGCCGCCCGGCCCTCCCCACCCCTGCCATCGCCTGCTGCTGGCGGGGAAGGTGCTTAGGAGAGCCCAGTGTGCCGGACACGTGGCCTCCCTCGGGAAGATGATGGGGGAGCCGTAAGAGGAGGGACACACGCCACGGGCAGCAGGGGAGAGGAGGCAGGAGCGCGACCCCGAAATAGGACCAGATGCAGACGGTGCTCCGGCCCCATCCGTCTCTCCGCCCCCAGGACCCCGGCAGCCGGGCCTGCGCCCCCTACGCTGGTCCGACCAGCCCCTGGGACAGGACCTGACGTGCCCACCAGAGGCCCAGCCGCACCGCCGTCAGGGGCTACAGTCGGCTTGCTAGGCCCCCTCGTACAGACGGAAGAATTCCCAGACACGCAGGGCACGGCTTTAATGCGCAAGAGACACAAAAACATCTATATAAGGACGACTCGGAGGAAACAGGAGACCCCGGGGCTGAACCTCTAAGCCGAAAATGACAATAATCTCTGAAAGACACTGTAACTGTGAGCGAGAGCGTGTAGCACAAAAAAGCGTTGGTTAGAGAAAACTAAAAGGAATTCTTGTCAATCAGTGTGACGACTGAGATGAGAAACGTTAAGGTTGGATGTCAAGGTGCCAGCATTTCTCAGAAAGCAGAGCAAAAACCAGAGACAGAAAACAGAAGAGGAGATTCACGGAAGCTACGCGGCCGCCGCGGGAGGGCCGGGACCCGACGAGGTGTGTTCCCGCGAGCGCAGAAGTACCAGTGGGACGGCGCACTCGAATTTCCCAGGAGTCAAGGACGTGGATTTCTAGATTAGGGAAATCTAAGTATGCCCAGTGCGATGGATGGGGAGTCAACCCCGACGTAGGCGCGGCACTACGAAATTTCCGAAGAGTGGGGCCGAAAAGACGTCCAGAGCTTCGAGAGAGAGAGACAGACCAGGAGTCAGAGTCACATCTGATTGTCCACAGCGACAGGGACTGTGGAGCGAGCATCCAAGATCTCGCAGGGTCTCCCCTCTGTGAGTCTGCACCCGGCACAATGGTTACTCTGGCCTGAGGGCAGATACCCTCAATGTGCAAGATTCCAGGAGGGTTGGGTTGGGGGGCGCGACGGGAGGGAAGATCACAGATGGGTGAGCAGTGGGCAGGAGACAGATCACAGATCAGTGTGGGCATGGGGGAGGGGAGAGATGACAGATCGGGGTGGGCACAGGGAGGGGACAGAGAACTCATTCCACTAAAACACAGCAGCAGGAGACAAGGAGTTACGGGGTCCAGGAAACAGATCTGACCGGGGGGAGCACAAAGGAAACCCCCAGAGCAGCGAAGGAAGAAGACTGTATCCCCCGCCCTCCAGTGAGGGGGAAATCCTTCCAGAAGATCAAACGGATTGTCCTGCGAGGAGATTCAAACAGTGGGTAGAGCCGGGGGCTGAACTGAAAACAAAGCGCAGGCCAAGACGAGAATCTTAATTTGAGAGAAAAGCCCGTGCAAGACACGCGGAGTAACGATGGTCAGATGCAGTGGTGGACGGTGCGGTGATGGCTGGCGCAGTGGCAGCCGGTGGACCTATAGTTGTGCTGGCTGAACCCCGAACGTCCGAATGGAAACAGGCGTACTGGGAGACAGGGAGACTGGAAGGGGCGTGCAGGGCGTGCGGGCGGGAACACAGGCTCAGCCTCCATCTCCCGCAGCGGCTAACACCAGCCTGGGCGGCCACAGGGGTATTCGGGCGCGTGGTGCGGAGGTACAGGAATACACAGCAGAACAACCAAGGCGGCACGTGGGACTCGGTTAAAAACGGACACATCGCGCAACGCCTCCTGTCCAAGGTAGACTCTGCTGCACGCGTCAGGTCTCCCCCAACTCCCCCAGGGACCCTCCCTCGCGTCCACGTGGGCCCTCCAGAGCGTCACCTTTCACCAGGTGCTTCACCTCCCCGCACAGCTTCAGGAGGCTGTGGACACACTTCTTCTCTTTCTTCAGAAACTTCAGCTCCTCCTTCCTCCAGTCCAGCACTTCCTTCATGTCGTGCTTCTTCTCCTCGGGCGAAAGGCGCTTTCTCTCTGGAAAACAGAAGGAATCCTATAGAAGGAGCAGGCGTGTCCTTTTCCGCGGCAGCCCAGCTCTGCCAGCAACCTTTGTTTAAAAAAATTCTTTTAACATTTCTTTTTGACACAGAAAGAAACAGAGCACGAGCAGGGGAGGGGTAAAGAGACAGGGAGAGGCAGAATCCAAAGCGGGCTCCAGGCTCCAAGCCGTCAGCACAGAGCCGACGCGGGGCTCGAACCCACGAACCGAAAGATCGTGACTTGAGCTAAAGTCGGACGCTCAACCGACTGCGTCCCCCAGGCGCCCCTCTGCCGCCCCCTTTGAGGACGGTCTGAGTTCGCGGCCACGGGGAGGGGCGAGGTGGCTGCTACGTGCACAGCCACGCTGTCCACGGGCCCGTGAGCCCAGCCTCGAGGAGACAAGCAGGGCGCTCCACTGGCTCACTGATCACGTTCCTGCCGTTTTCCGGAGGATCAGAAACCGTCCTCTCAACTTACTGACGGGGAGAAACACTCGTCGTGGTCGAGGGCCGCCCCCTCCACAAAATACACGGACGGACCCACGCACTCCTGGCCCACGAACGGGAAGGCGGGATGGCGCTCCCACACTCACTTAGCTGCCAGATGTCAAGGAACTGACTGCTGTGCTTCGTGATGAGCTCCAGCTGCCCGACCAGAACGGCGCCCGTCAGGAGGTCCCCGGTGACCTTGGTGAACACGGAGTCGGCGACGGCCAGCAGCTTCTTGCCATCCTCTGTCATGTTGGCTAACAGCTTCTCATCGGTCTCTGAGCAGGTTGAGGGGAATGGAGTTAAAACAGCAGGTGCCTGCGTCTGATGCCCCCACCCCGCCGGCCCGAGTCCGTGCAGCCCGGGGCCGCCCGACGGCCTCCTTGCTGCTCGGCCCCCGCCTGCACACACGACAAGCAAAGGTCACCCTGCGTCCCCAGACGCGCTTCTCTCCCTCAGCTCGATTCTGTTTTGCCTGGAAGGTGTCCCGAATGACCCTGCTCATAGAGGGGGCTGCTGACACGCGGGACTTGACCAGAAGAGCCGCGCTTCTCTGGCTGTTAAACCCTGTGCCCCCTTCAGCTAGTGCTGAGGATCTTTCTTGAATGACTATCTCCTTTAAGCGGGCACCTTGAGAATCCGCGCAGAGAACAGGGGGCTGCACCAGGGCTACGCGGGCACCCAGCGAGGTGACCCAGGGCGTTTTCAGGGGCGGGTTTCACGGACAGACATCAGTGTGAGGATCTGATGTTCGCCCGTGTGGGCTCTCTTGCAAAAATGTGAATCTGAATTTGAAGATCAATTGAGCGGGCAGAACTTCTTTTTATTTTTTAAAAGGTATGTATTTATTTTTGAGGGAGAGCAAGCCGGGGAGGGACAGAGTGAGAGGGAGACAGAGTCTGAAGCAGCTCCAGGCTCCCAGCTGTCAGCACAGAGCTCGATGCAGGGCTCAAACCCACAAACCGCGAGATCATGACCTGAGCCGAAGTCAGAGCTTAAGCAACTGAGCCACCCAGGCACCCCTAAAAGTGCCCATTAGTTTTAAAAGACACAAATGTAATCTTTCTGAGTGAGTAACTTTCAACAAGGAACATAAAAATCCTGCGTCAATGACCCCGTGTTATCCCAGCAACACTTCCTCGCCAGTCTCTTCCCGTCACCCAACATAACACAGACTCCGAATTCTCTTATTGGGATTTTTAGTCCCAAATTCAGCGCCTTTCCCCTGCGTCTGAATCTAATGACTCACACATACACTTGAATAGGATATTTTTTTTGGGCGATACATACCTCCCCCTCTTTGGTCACAAAACACTCGGGGCATGGGGGTGGGGACAGGAGAAAGAGACGGTATTTAGTTTCTCGTTAAAAGTCGTCAGTATTGGCTGGGACACTGACACTGATCTCAGAATCACAGAGTTGTTTTTAGAGCCAGACACACTTGGGTATGAATTTTAGTTCTTGGTATTTATCTTTGAGACCTTGGGTAAGTCCCATGACAGACCCCCCCACCCCCCACTTCAGTTTCCTCATCTGAAGAACGGGGATCTGTTTCAAGTGTCCTACGTGGGCGCTGAGGCTGGGGCACGGTGGGCGTTCAGGGAGATACCCTGAGGCCCCCTGGGGTCCTCTCTCGCGTCTGCTTCCTTGGTCCATCAGCCCACCCTGAGCATCAGGTCCAATGCTCTGTCCCCCAGCCCGCGGGTCAGAAAGACACAAGCAGACGGGAGCAGAAGCATCCAGTACCCGCCACGGACATACCGTACAACTTGAAGAGATGCTTGACGTCCGGCCACGTGAGCAGGTGCTTTAAAACGTCGTCCAGGTCATCCACGGCTTGCCCTTTGCTCCTTGGCCAGGACTTGGTGATCACAGCCGACACGAGGCTGCCAAATTTCTGCAGGTCGTGATGCGAGATCTTCTCAAGGATACTGGTCTGAGACTGCAGGACAATGAGCAAAGAGAACACAGGAGGGGTTTTTGTTGTTTCTTTCTTTGTTTGGATTCCCTTGGAATAATGTAAACAAATCGCTCGTTCAATAACATCCCAGAAACCCTCTGTGATTAGTTTCGCAAAGCCTCAAAAAAAAAAAAAAAAAAAAAAGGCAAGAGAATAAAATACTTCACTTTTCTTGGGGCATCTCTGTTTCCTGCAGGCTGTGTCCTCACCTGACGAGTGGCAGAGACATGGAAACAAGTGCTCAAAAATCCGGGCTTTTTAAAAGTTGGTTTATTTATTTTGAATGAGAGACAGAGGCAGAGAGGAGAGGATGCGGGGCTCGAACTCACAAACTGTGAGATCGTGACTTGAGCGGAGGTTGGACACTCAGCCGACCGAGCCCCCCAGGCGCCCCGTAACATAGAACATTTGCTAACATGAGACATCATTTCCAGACAAAAAAAAATCACGCGGTCGTCTCAGTAGACAAGGAAAACTTTCAGGCATCCGATGCCATTCCATGATACGAACTCTCAACAAGGGAGGAATAGAAGGAAGGTCCTCAACCTGACGAAAGGCATCTGTGAAAAGGCCACAGCTATCGACACACTCACGGGCGTGAGACTGAGAGCATCCCCCCGCCCCCGCCCTGAGATGTTGGCACGGAGAGGTGGGGGGTGGGGCTCTAATCAGACCAATGAAGCGAGAACAAGATATAAAAGGCATCCGGGCTGGAAAGGAAGAAGTAAAACCACGTCTATCTGCACACGATGCGATTTTATGTACAGGAAACGCTAGGGCTCCCCCACACGCAGAGTGGGAGGCTCACCCTAAGGGCAACGTGGGGCAGAATCTCTTCCCACTTTGCAGGAAAAACCCCAAATGAGTTGAATCTTTGCAAACTCCTCTCCTTTTCCACAAACGTTCTGCCGGCCTTCGGAGTCTCCGCACACTCGCGGAGCAGCCGTGAGCAGGCGGTAAAACCGGCCAGTAGCGGCCAGGGCGCACGGCCATCTCGGTCGGTTAGGCATCCGGCTTTTAGCTTTGGCTCAGGGCATGATCGCACGGTTTGTGCGTTCGAGCCCCACATTGGGATCTGTGGTGACCGCACGGAGCCTGCTTGGGATTCTCTCTTCTCTCTGCCGCTCCCCTGCTCTCTCTCTCTCTAAATAAATAAATAAACTTACCAAAAAAACCCCAAAAAACAATCCAGCAGCAATGATGAGGACGTACAGGAGTGGCGCCGGACTGCCTGATTCAGGGCCACCCATGAGCGGTGCACTGCCTGCAGCAGCAGGAGCCCGAGTGGCACCTCAGGGTCAAGGGTACTGAATCCCAGGACCCTCCCTCTAGGCTAGAAGGGGGTTCCCGGTGCCATGTCTGCGCTGGCAGCAGGGCTCAGAACAGTGGGCACTGAACGGCCCCGAGCTGCTGATGTCGGAGGACGGCCGTGAACCTGAACCCATCTCCCCCGCGGGAGGCGGCTCACCTGGCAGGCTGTGCTCACTGCCTCGATGACACACTTCTCGAAGCATTTCGACACGCTGTCCTCTAAGCCCATGGCATCCCACTGGGTGCTGCAGAAGGCAGAGATCTGGACGAGAGGCTTCTCCTGCAACACACAGGACAGCGTGACGCGGGCAGGATGAGCTCTCTCGACCCCCACTGTCCCCGGGACGTATCAGGTCCCGCGTCCTTCACTCCCCACCCACCCCAACCACGTCCCCCGGCCCCTCTCACTGCAGCCGTTAGACAAAACAAGGCTACAGCGCAGAGTCTCTCTTCCCACACTGCAGAAAAAGCACCTGGCCTGGCAGCTCGCGAAAACAGGGAAACTTCAAACAATAAGCGTTTCCCCCTTGCTTCCACTTTCTTAAAAAGATCCATCTGACGGTTACACATAAAACTCTCATATCAGGGGGGCGCCTGGGGGCTCAGTCGGTTGAGCGTCCGACTCTTGATTTCAGCTCAGGTCATGATCCCAGGGTCGTGGAATCGAGCTCCATGCGGGGCTCAGAGCTAAGCGTGAAGCTTGCTTGAGACTCTCTCTCCCTCTCCCCCTTCCCCTCTCCCCTGCTTGCATTCTGTCTCTCTCTCTAAAATAAAAAAAAAAGGAAGAAAGAAAGAAAGAAGAAAAAAGGAAAGAAACAAAGAAAAGAAGGAAAGAAGGAAAGAGAGAAAGAAAGAAAAATAGAGAAGGAAAGAAAGAAAGAACAAAAGAAGGAAGGAAAGAAAGAAAGAAAAAGAAATGAAGACAGTTTTGTTTCCCCATCTGTCACTGGGGCTGGTAAGGAATCTGTCCCATTAGGAGCTACTGCACGTGCAGGGGGTTTACTCCCTGAACCCAGGGTTTCCCTGGCGGCAAGGTCGTTCCCTTACTCCTCGCTGGAACATCACCTTTGGTCAAACTATTAAGGCTGGATCAAAACTGCAAGGTCAGGGGCGCCTGGGGGGGCTCAGTCAGTTGAGTGTCCGACTTTGGCTCAGGTCATGACCTGGTGGCTCATGAGTTCAATCCCTGCATCAGGCTCTGTGCTCACAGCTCAGAACCTGGAGCCTGTTTCTGATTCTGTGTCTCCCTCTCTCTCTCTCACTCTGCCCCTCCCCTGCTGGTACATGCGCGCGCTCTCTCTCTCACAGATAAATAAACATTAAAAAATTTTTTTAAAAATGCAAGGTCACGTTTACTCCACGCCCTGTGGCCGCTAGGGCCACCCATCAAACGCACCATTCCGCATCTACAGGATGTTACGAATGATACGGTTTCATCAACCTGCCCTGAAAAGAAGGTCCCGACTTCTGGTACCTGTTTGATTCTTCCTTCCAGGTCCCCCATCAATGACTCCTTCCAGCCGTACTCCGCGGGGAAGTTTATTTCCACCAGCCGCCTCCAGACCTGCAAAAGCCCTCATGTCAGTGACAGCCCCGTGGCGACGAAGCGTCACAATGAATCCCATGAAAAAGGAAAGACCGTTCTGGCAGATCCACAGCGCCGGACACCCGGGTTCTGGCCACGTCTCCGTCACGGGTGATCAGCGTCGGTGGCAGGGCAGGGACACCCATCCCTGTCCCCGTCTTTGAAAAGGAAGGGCTTCGGCGGGAAGACCAGGCACTGCTCTCTATTCTGAAAGTATTTCTCTCTGGTCTCATCTCAACAAAACTCTGAACCTAAAACAAAAGTTGCAGGAATGGCCCGAAGAAACCCACGTTCCTTCCGTTGGGTTCCCCAGGTAGGACTGAAAGCTTTTCTTCTGTCTCTTTCGTGAAGCGTTTTCTCTGCAGAACCAGGGGGAGAGAAGGTACCGGCTCCATCCACGTGGCCCCCTACGTGCCTGGGAGGGACTCTCCTAATACTGTGGCCCTTCTGCCGCATAATCAAGGTGCAAGCGTCATATTCAAGGCAGTTCGTGCTGGTGGGGTCCTGTCCTCTGACGGGGGCCGGGGCTCCATTCTTCTGTCTGTAGTCTGTCTTTTGATCCGACTTGACTCATAATTCTCCCGTGAGGACGTGCAGATTCTGACTTATTTTTTTGGCGGGAATACTATTCAGTTGAGCCGTATTGAAAACATATTTTCTGTACGGCAGGCAGGACGGACAATCACCCCCCGTGGCTGGCCTGGCATCTCCGAGACAGTGCTTTGTCAGATCAGAGCCTCGCACAGGGAGATCACAAGACCCTGAGTCCGTCAGGTCTGCTAGATTTCTCCACCGTGCTCTTCTCTGTTTGTATCCACTTATAACCTGGGTACCCTGCTTCCTAACACTCGTACCCACTGAGTTCAGCACTCATAGATAACTCCTGACGGAGTCCATCACCACTGCCGTGTTACAGGCGAAGGTTTCGATCACGACCGTTTCCTCCACATCCATTGGAACTTTCCTTTCTCTTCCCTCCTCCTTTTGTGTCTGAAAACATATTTCAAGTATTAAGGAACTGCCATCCGGTCCCGGCATTACTCATCTGGGTAAACAAATTGTCCCAGATTCGGCCAGTGGTCCCTTCAGATGACCTTTTGTTTCCTTTTTTAAAAACGTGGAGGCGGGGCACCTGGGTGGCTTAGTCGGTTGAGCGTCCGACTTTCGCTTAGGTCACGATCTCGCGGTTCGTGGGTTCGAGCCCCACGTCGGGCTCTGTGCTGACTGCCAGCTCAGAGCCTGGAGCCTGTTTCAGTCTGTGACTTCCTCTCTCTCTGACCCTCCCCTGTTCACGCAGTCTCTCTCCCTCTCTCCTAGTATGATAAATCAGTAAAAAAAAACCCCAAAAAACAAAAAACAAAAGCGTGGAAGGACTTGAGCCTTACAGAACTATTGCAAAGATGCAGCGGATTTCCCACGTAGGCTCACCGCACGTTCCCCTTAAGTCCGTGCCTCACTCGGCCACAGTACAGCTGCCACAGCTCAGAAGCTGGGGTCCCCAGAGCGCCAGGAAGTAAACCATCGACGCTGTCCGTTTTCGTCCCAGGGGCCGATGGAGGACACCAGCCCGCCGTGAGCCCTGCGTCTACCACAGGTGTTTCAGGCTGGACTTCCCAAAGCCCAGGTTCCTCTTAGTGGGGATGGTAAAGCCATGCCCAGGGACGCTCACGGCGCTCACGGGCCCGGCCGGCACTATTTCTAGGCCTTTCGGTGGAGGGAGCCGGGAGCCGTCCCAGCCTTCCAGGTCATGAGCTCACACCAACAGCGGCCCCCGGCCCTACGCCGCATCCCCTTTCTCCACGGTGAGAGAGAAGCCTGGCTTCCAAATACCTCTGTGGCGTGCTCACACAAACCTCTCCAGAAGTGCTCCGTCTGTCCTTCTACCAACAATGAAAGCTCTAAACAAGGTCCAAGACTGATGTGGATTTTCTTCATTTCGACCCTAGACACTGCCCTCCGAGGGTGGCTGGTGGGAGTTCTGTGCCCCAGGTGTTCATATTAATGATTGTTTCCTGTCCGTGTGCAGAAGGGGAAAGTCTATGACACCATCAGCCCTGTTCACGCACATTGTCAGCTGTGGGATTTTACGACTCGCCCGTTGATGTGTCCCAGGGTGAGGCCCTGCTGAAATCTGGTCCGAGGGGGTGAAGGGGGACATCTGGTTGGGTGGCTCATCCCCTCTCTACAGCCCCGTCCCGACCGCTGGCTAACAGTCTTCAAGAACACGGCCAGGTTCGCCCGTGTGGCTCTGATGGTGCTGGGCTGCCTGAGCTTGGGTCCCCTCTCTCGTCATGTCCCCCAACCCTGTCACCTCTTCTGTAAGACATGGCTGACAGCCACACCAGCCTCAGAGCAGACGGTCAATTACATTTTAATCAGTGTTATTATTTTACCATCATTACTGCCCTTAACCGAGAATCGTTCTCTTGTGTCAACAGACTAACATCCTTTACTCATTCTTAGTGCTCGGGGATTACTCTGTCCGGTCTCCCCTTCAAGTAACTCTCACCTCCACCACTCTCAGCCTTTTTCAGCTGAACCGCCCGGCACCCGCCTTGCTGAAAGGGAGCCTGCAGGCCCCTCCCCACAGGCCCCACCCCTCAGCACCTCTCCCGGGGCCTGTGGCAGGGGGACCGCCGTAGACCCCACCGTGGACCCCACCAGGGAGGCCCGTGGGCAGCGCGCCCAGCACTGGGCTCTCACAGCCCGCGGACAGAGCGAGGGCCAGCGTGTCGCAGCAGCGCCTCAGCCCTGCAAGGCGCACCTTGATCTCCTCACGGTATCTGAACATGACAGGTGGCCAGTAGCTGCAGACAAGCATGCTGTCCTGAAAAACGCTCTGAAGCCACGCTCTGGTCTTCGTGACCGTCCCCTGGAAGACCGTTTGCACAGAGTTCTTCTTCCCGGTCTCCTTCTCTGGGCCTTCAGCTGAATCCTGCTGCTAGTGAGAGAGAGAGAGAGAGAGAGGGTCCCCGCACTGTGACTCGGGTCATGAGACGCTGCTCCCCCTTCCCGAGCCACAGCAGGCGTTTGTGAACTAGCCACGTGGCAGTCACGTGAATGCGTCCCAGACACCGGCCTCGCCTAAGTTTTAAGGTGCTTTGACTCCCCTGGACTCCGTGGCTTCACTGTGAGAGCAGGCAGCTCGGCCAAAGTGGGGGGCTTGGGAAGGAAAGGCCTTCTGCCCCGGGAACCCCCCAGCGTAGCGACAGCCTGGCGGACTCCAACTTACTGACGAGCAGGCCACGCCGGGCTGCCTTTTCCAGACGGGCTGGGAAAGGATGCGCCCCAATGGCATGGCCTCCAGAAGCTCAGAGGAGCCCCTGCTGGAGTGCCACGCACAGCCCTGCTCCATGGCCGGAGGCGGACCCAAGGCCCCTCCCGTCCGTGCTTCCTTCCCATGAGGTCTCCCCTACTTTGAAAAATCCTTTCTACCTGGGGACGGGCTCTGCCCCTGGGGACATCTCTGACCCTGGGTCCGGGCTCTGGTGATGCTCCCCCGCTCCTGGCATGTTTCCATGAAGCAGTCAGGTGCAGAGCCTCATGGCAGCAGGGCCCGCACCCCGGCCCTCCCAGCTCCAGCCTCTGTTTTTCAGCAGCAACCGCAAGCTCAGTGAAAGTGTCAGGACCCACAACTAGACCCACGACTGGACCCACTGCCATGCTGCCCTCTGGGGAGGCTCCCTGAGAACCACTTTATGCTCCGCCCCCCGCCCAGTGGCCAAGCAGATGCTGTCCCTGCCACGCGAGTGGATGCTGTGGGGGAGGGGGAGTGGACAACGGCTCACAGACAGACAGACAGGCAAGCACCTGCTCACTAAGTACGTAGGTGCCAAGTGGGGAAAGCGCAAGGTGTCCTCTGGGTGCATGAAGAGGGGTGCACCCAGCCTAGGACAAGAGGGGGCTCTGTCCGTAAAGACGAGGGAGAGGGTGGGTAGGGGTGCACCGGCCAGCGCCCCGGATCCATGGATGGCAAGAGGGCACGGTGGTTCTTGGCTAAAAATTGGACATGCCCCCCCTTGCTTGAAATCCCCGAACAGTACTACACCTTCTAGAACAGTCCAGAAGGTCCAGCATGGTGTGGCTGCCCTGTAGCCTGGCCTTGTCTAGACCTCGGCCATTATCTCTAGCCACACTATGCTCCCTGAGGGGCCTTGAGAACAGCGAGGCTCCACCTCCCTGACCCTGTGAAGGCTGTTCACTCCTCGGAGGAACCCCAGAACTGCCCTGGGTTCCCAAGGCACCTTACAGGCACACCAGCCTACCACCCGTCACCTGTGGCGCACGTACACGGTCCCCGGCTGTCCCCCACCAGACCTTTCTGAGCCCAGGGCCCTTCTCTCTTCCATCCCCTGCATCCGGCACAGGGCCCGGCAGAGACAGGCAGTAAGCGGACAGCCCACGGCCAAGCACTGGTCTGGAGCCTTCACGCGCTCCTTGCCTTCCTGCGTCTGGTGTCTCATCAATGCACTTAACCCTCTGTCAGGACCCATCCAAAAGCTTGTTAAAAACTGACCGTTGGGGCCCTGGAGCATCTGGGCCCACATCCACACCTTGCACTGATGTTCTATACTTTGTCCCCTGCGTGGCCTGCCTCCCTCCCTCCGTGGAAGCCCGCCGAGGGCAAGGGAGCAGACTGGGGCTCACCGAAACACCCTCAATGCACAGAACGGAACCCAGCACGGGGCAGGTGCCCAGCGTATAGTCTGAGGACACAATCAGCCACTCTGTGGCCCCCTAGCAGTCCCAGAAACAGCCGATCTCCCTTCTGCACCGAGGCCGCTCGAAATCCCACACTCACTGTGGGCGCGACGTTGTGTGTATGAGTACGGTATGAACCTTACCACTAGAGGTTCAAGTGTAATAATTCTGCAAACAATCTCAGCAGATGAGGCAGGCAGCTCACAAAACTTGGCGTCTTTTGTGATTCTGCAGACAGTTTCATGAAGTTTCAGGCACACAGTCAAGTAGGACTGTATCAAGGGCTCCTCAAGGATCCTGCACCGCAAAGAGTTAAGAGAAACGACTGAAGTAATTTAGGAGAAACGAGGCCACAGCACCCATGACCGTGATGCATTCCTTCCCTTCCGAATCCCGACGAGAAAGGCACGTATCTGATCCCAAATAGGTTAACATCTGGAACATTTCAACAGATCCTAAACTTATAACCAAGACAAAAAGGAAACAAGGTCCTTCTGATTTGCCTCCAAGGTCTGAATTATTTTAACAAAATCAAGTATGGGGCGCCTGCGCGGCTCAGCCAGTTAAGTGTCCGACTTCGGCTCAGGTCATGATCTCACGGTGCGTGAGTTTGAGCCCCGCATTGGGCTCTGTGCTGACAGCTCAGAGCCTGGAGCTGCTTCGGATTCTATGTCTCCCTCTCTCTCTGCCCCTCCCCTGCTCATGCTCTGTCTTTCTGTCTCTCAAAAATAAATAAATGTTAAAAAAAAAACATTAACAAAAGCAAGTATAACTATTTCCAAGCGTAGTCCCTTATCTGGAAAAAAAAAAGCTAGGGATGTATTTCACCGAAGATCAGATCCTACAAAATTTGAAAAAAAAATCAGAAAGGTACAGGGAGAGAGGGAGGGAGGTGCTAGAACAGGTACAGTGCGTGGAGTCTCTTCCAGCCCCGTGGGTCCCTGGCTGACACATGGCCAAGCCGACGGGAGTGAGGTGTGGCAGGTGGCGTTGCAAGGGTGCTTCTGTGACGGGCTCAGGGGAGGTCCTGAGGCTCCAGGCTTGACATTAACAGGGATGGGACACGCCCACCCCGAACGCCCTAAGAATCCAGGGGACGCGATAACAGAAGTGTCCCCAGAATCTCAGAACCCCCGCTCCCCTCACATGTTTCCGTGCAGTGTCATAGAGATTGGCAGGAACGCACGATTTCGGGTAACCAGGTGAAGCCGCCTTCAGTTTTATTTTCGACTGGCCTGACTTGCCAAAAACATGCAAAGACCAAATGTTAAAGAAACGTGGAACACCAGCTTGGATGTGCAATATGGTGATTGTTTCCAAATAAATGGAAGACAACGTGGAGGAAAAATGAGCATTAAGAGCTCGAACGGGGGGTGGGTGAAGACTTTCTGATCCCCACAGCGAATACGGGACATTGGTGGTCACTGGGGCAGGGGGTGCCTCGGGCGGGAGAAAGATTTTCATTTCGTTTTCTACTTACTTGTCCTGATAAATATCCAGGAGGTGCAACAACATTCGAAGCGTGTTCTCAATGCTCTGGGGTGGCCGAGGGAGAAAAACAGCAGAGTTAAACATGACCCCACCATGCGTACAAAACAGAACCAAAAAAAAAAAAATGTAAAGAAGGCAAAACGATGGATTCTTTTCTTCCTACCCATGAGTTTTAAGGTGCTCAGGAACCAATCTATCTTTCACCAAAAAAATGCAGGATTTAAAATTATACCGTTTCTTGCGCCCCACAAAACAGGGAAGGAAGGAGCGGCTGTGGCGGAACAGTGCCCAGGGAGCGCCCGACCCCCTCCCCCCCAGCCGAACCCCAGAAGGTCAGGGCTTTGGGGAACTCTCCAGAAGGAGGGGAACTACCAGCAGAGCTGCCCGGCCCCGTAGCGCTGGCAAACAGCTGCCCCGCCCAGGTCTCGGCATCTAAGTGCTTCACCCGCCTGGATCGCACAAGGGAAAAGTCCTAGGCTCTGAAGGTCTAGTTTCTGATCTGCTTTTCCTAAGCAGGGACTCGAGAGCCCGTTCTGGACAACAGACCTCCAGATCTCTGACGGAGGGTCTCGTAAGCCTCAGAAGCCGGTAATAAGTCCCTAGAAGACAGTCCAGGATGCGCGTGGGGAAGAAGGTCAGATAGTCCATGAAGTCCTCCATGTAGTGAACCAAGTTGTTCAGGGACAGCAGACTAAACCAGGACCGGAACAGATGCCCGTCCTCGCGCAGCAGATGCCTTTCCTCTCCCATGAGTTGAACTAACTGATTCCTGGAGGAGGGAAAACAGGGACAGGAAAAAAGCAGCAGTGAGATCAGCAAACACAGATGGAGTTAAGTAATGTCAGAATAGACCCACAAACTCCAAACTTTAAAAATGATTTAAATGGTGGGATGCCCGGTGGCTCAGCCCATTAAACGCCCGATTCTTGATTTCGGCTCAGGTCATGATCTCCCAGCTCGTGGGATTGAGCCCCAAGTCAGGCTCTGTGCTGACGGTGCAGAGCCTGCTTGGGATTCTCTCTCTCCCCCTCTGCTCCTCCCCGCCCCCTCTCAAAATAAATAAATAAAACTTTTAAAAATAATCATTTAAGTGCCAAGTAGTGAATTAAATGAAAAGCAAACAATAGCATTAAGAATTCACCAAAAGAGGGGTGTCTGGGGGGCTTAGTCGGTTGAGCGTCCGACTTCAGCTCAGGTCATGATCTCACGGTTCGTGGGTTCAAGCCCCGTGTCGGGTTCTGTGCTGACAGCTCAGAGCCTGGAGCTGCTTCAGATTCTGTGTCTCCCTCTCTCTCTGACCCTCCCCTGCGCACACTGTCTCTTCCTCTATTTCTCTCTCTCAAAAATAAACATTAAAAAAAAAAAAAAGAATTCACCAAAATGGATGAAGGTTGAAGACATGATGCTGAGTGAAACCAGCCCATCTCAAGAGGACAGATGTGCTGATTCCACTGCCGAGAGGTCCCGAGGGTGCTCAAATTCACGGAGACAGACAGGACGGGGCTTACAGGTGGGGGTAGGGGAAACAGAGTTGCTGCTTAATGGGGACAGAGTTTCAACGTGGGAACAAGGAGAAAGCTCTGGGCAGGAGCGGCACAGCCGTGTGACTATGGCGAACGCCACTGATCTACACTGAAAATGATTAACAAGCCAAATTATATGACATCTATTTTACCACAGCAAGAAATTTTAACAAGAAATAAGCACTGTTCCCAGCCTAGCGGAGCTATAATTGGCACAGAGCCCCGGTGTAAAGGCGTACAGGGAGTTGATTTGACACACTTATGTACGATCACCGCCTCAGCTCCACCCAGCACCTGCATCAAGTCACAGAGTTACAATTTCTTTTCTGTGCTATGAACACCTGAAGGTCTACTCTTCGCCACCCGGAAGGGTGAACACGGAAGGGATACAGCACTACTAACCCCACTCAGCATGCTGTACAGCCGGCTCCCAAAGCTTCTTCACCTTCTACCCAGATGCCCCCACCCCCCAGCCGCCTCCACCCTACTCTCTATTTCTAGGAGTCTCTCAGTGACACCACATGTATCACACTCCTCTGCGTGTGTCTGTGTATCTCACATCTTTTTTACCCACCCACCAGGTAACGGACACTTGGGCTGTTTCCACGCCGTGGCTATGGTGAATACCTGCCATGGACATGGGGGCACACGTGAGTCTGTGAGATCCTGGTTTCGTTTCTGTGGGACAGACGCCCCCAGGGGAGACTGCGGGATCATACGATGGCTCCACTGGGAACATTCTAAGGAACCTCCATATGTCTTCCATAGTGGCAGCAGTGACGTACGAGCGAAGCATTTGGATGAGCGAGTAAGTGAATGTTCCAGATCAAACAGTCCAAGTGGGCCCAGCGATGGTCCTTAAATCATGACATTGTACCGTGACCCTGTCCTGGAGACCCCAGAAGGTGACAGCTGGAAGGCGCATAAAGCCAGGTGCCACAGAAGTCACAGAAGGGCTACGAAGAACACTTGGTACAGGCTCACGGCCTACTGAGGGCCACGCCTGCCTGAAACGCAGGGTCTTTAAGAACAAGCCTGGTGTTTGCCATTTTCTGTCTTTAACAACTGAGTTTCTTCTAGATGGCTTGTACACCACTGTACAATAATTATAGCAATAATCTTTTTTAAAACTTTTTAATGTCTACTTATTTATTTTGAGAAAGAGAAAGAGAGCATCAGCGAGCGTGCTCCAGGGGAGAGGATCAGATTGGGAGAGAATCCCAAGCGGGCTCTGTGCTGTCAGTGGGGAGCCCGACGTGGGGCTCGATCCCACAAACTGTGAGATTGTGACCTAAGCGGAAACCAAGAGTCAGATGCTTACGCAACTGAGCCACCCAGGCTCCCTGAGAAATATTTTTCAGTATTTATTTATTTTTGAGACAGAGAGAGAGAGAGAGCGCGAGTGAGCGAGCAGGGGAGGGGCAGAGAGAGAGGGAGACACAGACTCGGAAGCAGGCCCCGGGCTCTGAGCTGTCAGCGCAGAGCCTGACGCGGGGCTCGAACCCACAAACCATGAGATCATGACCTGAAGTCAGACGCTTAACCAGCTGAGCCCCCCAGGCGCCCCGAGAAGTAATTTTAAAAGGAGGATTGCTAGAAGCAGGACCGTGTGCACAGGGGAGCCTCCTGGAGGACCTGGAAACACAGCGGTCACCCCAAGATTTGCAGCCACCAAAGCAGCTCTCCAACTTACTGATCTGGCCTCTTTTCCCGAAACTCCGAGAAGGCGATTCCTTCCAGGGCTGCCCAGGCGTCTTCATTCAGGATCTTGGAGTCCTTTCCTTGAAGGGAGGCCGCCGCGCAGTGGTGGAGCACAGGCAGGGTGAGCACCCAGAGGTCGACCTTCTTCTCCATGCACCTTTGGCACAGGTTGACCAGAAACCCTCTCCAGCTGGGAAGAGAGTGGAGAGCCCCTGTGAGCCCAACGACTCCTCACACGGGGGCAGAACACAGGGGTGGCCGGGAAGAGTGACTTGCCCTGGGAGAAACGTGGTGCATGGGACGTAGGGGCGCACCCTCGGCACCCAGCCGTCTGTCCAAGCGCCAGGCCCCGGGCAGGCCCTCGCTGAAGCCCCGGGGCAACCGACCACCCTCCGTGACAGCTGAGGGCACCGAGGTTTGGGGAGCCCACGTGAGCTGTGAGTCCAGGCCCTCTGGCAACAGTGAACCCAGATGTAAAGCTGCTCTGCAAGCGCACAGAGAAACATGCGGACACACCCCTACAGTCACGAGATAATAATGCTCGCCAGCTCTTTGAACTTCACACCTGCACGAACTTTGTACGTCTGCCACCAACTCTTTGCTCTTAAAAAAGGCAGGGCTGCGCTGGGTTATCTCAGGTTTGTAAGACTGAGAAGCAGATATTCTAAGAAGACTCATCGTTCAAGGAAGGCCCACCTACTGTCACCCCCAAGCTTCCACGCTGCCGCGGGGAAGATGGCAAGAGCGCCCTGACCGTCGGGGGCACTGAGTCACCCCCTCCCCCACCCAGGGAGACGTGAGCTCCTTCGGGACAGGCCGGAGGCTCCGCGCCGAGAGCACACTTGGCCCAGCACACCTGCCCCGTGTCGGGAAGTGAACACGGGGCCGCGGAGGCTGCGGGGAGAGCGCCCCCGACCTCCCCATACGCGCCCTCGAGCTGAGCCCCTAGCGGCAGTCTTCGAACCCTAACCCCTCAAACCCATGCACACGGGGTGACGAGGGGAACGTTCAAGTTTCCACATGTGTGGACACTGCTCCTGGGCTCTCTGGGAAGCTTTATGCGGACATTTACCACGTTGAAAATGACAAGGCAAAATCTCAAAGGCTGGCTCTACTGCCCCCCCGCACACAACGTACGCTGCTGGCTTCGCTTAAAAAAATAAACATCCAGGGGCGCCTGGGGGGCTCTGTTGGTTGAGCATCTGACTTCGGCTCAGCTCATGATCTCACGATTTGTGGGTTTGAGCCCCACGTCAGGCTCTGTGCTGACAGCTCGGAGCCTGGAGCTGCTTCGGATTCTGTGTCTCCCTCTCTCTGCCCCTCCCCTGCTCACACTCTCCCTCAAAAATAAACATTAAAATAATTTTTTTAAATAACCAGAAAGGAGCCCTCCGATCATAAAGATAAGAAAAAGAAAAAAACACCTCTCTGGTTTCCATAAGTCTTGCGCATCCTAAAAACATCAAGTCTGCAACTTTCTGGAATGCCCTGACCATCTGTAAGTCTTTGTGTGAAAAATACACATAAGCATGCACCACACTCCTTCCTGGGGACGCACGTGCTCTCGCGGCGGATCCGGCAGCTCTTCCAACGTGGGCTCCAGTAATATGCTTTTTCTCTTTTGTTTTTTTAAGATTTTATTTTTAAGTAAACTTGACACCCAACGTGGGGCTTGAACTCACAAGCCGACATCCAGATTCACAGGATCCACCAACTGAACCAGCCAGGTGCCCCACTTCGTTTTAAGTTTAAAAAAAGTTTGTTCGTTTTGGGTCGACAGGGGTAAGGCGTGATGCACCCCAAAGCTTCTCAAAAGTAGGGTATTCAGTAGCAAAGTAATAAAAGTGGAAACAAAGCAGGTAAAAACTGCAGGGGCAGATGTGTACAATCACAGGCAGTCCCTCTTTCCTGGGTGTTTGGCTCCGTCTGTGACAAGTATGCACTTGTACAAGCAAGCAGGATGCAGAGGCACAAAATCAGTTCACACACACGCCCACGCACATACATGCACACACGCCTATACACATACACATACACCCACACCCGTGCACATCCCTACAAACCCACATCCCTACACGCCCACACACATTATCACACATACACTTGCACACACACCCGCACACATGCACACATGCCTACACACCCATGCACATCCCTACACACCCACACGCCCACACACATTCACACACCTACACATGCACGCACACCTACACACACATATGCACATCCACACACCTACACACCCACACACATTCACACACATACAATACCTCTGACATGTTTCAAAGACGTGGCTGAGGTCGCGGTGAAGGTCGCCTGGCGAACAGGGATCAGGGCGGAGGAGGCTGCAGAGCAAGTCCAGGTCGCTCTGCAGCACGGGCAGGTCGAAGGTTTCCACTGCAAACAAGAGGATCAGGCCCATTCGCAGTTTGCTCCTCACTGGGTGCTGCTCGGGCCAGGGGTCCCCGCTTCTTGCCAGGAGTGGCTCCGACACTTTTTTCAGATACAACCACAGGCTTTCCTTCACCTGACCCCGGGAGAGAGGGAAGACACGGCTGTGGGCTCGTGACCATCAGGGGTGCGAGAGCCGCCCCCCCCCCCCCACCCGGTCGCCCTCCGATCTGTGCCACCAGGGCAGGGGGCCGACGCCCACGAGGGGCGGCGGATGCAGCTCCGAAGCGGGGTGGCTCCACTGCCCTGCTTCCCTCCCGGACCCCGGGCACTCCCGCTTCCCAGGCCTTCGATGGGAGCCACCCCCAGGGGTGCAGTCCAAAAGCCCTGCGTGGGGGAGGGGCCTCCACCCTTACAAGGGTCCACTGTCATCTCAGGTGGCCCCAGGGCAGTGGCCGTCCCACAATGGGGGGGGGGGGCGGGTGACAGAGAAGGGTTCCCACTCCTTTCCCCTCTGCCAGAGGCCTGGTGAGGAGGCGAGGCCCTAGGTGGAGGGGGCGGGGCCAGGTCAGGAGGAGGGGCCGGAAGGGGAGGAGGGGCGGGGTCAGTTGTGGGGTGGGCGGGGCCAGGTCAGGAGGAGGGGCCGGAAGGGGAGGGGGCGGGGTCAGTTGTGGGGTAGGCGGGGCCAGGTCAGGAGGAGGGGCCGGAAGGGGAGGGGGCGGGGTCAGTTGCGGGGTGGGCGGGGCCAGGTCAGGAGGTGGGGCCGGAAGGGGAGGAGGGGCGGGGTCAGTTGTGGGGTGGGCGGGGCCAGGTCAGGAGGAGGGGCCAGAGGTGGAGATGAGGTGGAGATGGGGTGAGGAGATAGATAGATGCGGTGGAAGAGAAAGAAAATGCGGAGAAAGAAAATGGGGAGGAAGAAACCTCCCGTGCGTGGTGCTTGGAGAACAGGGAGGGCAAGGTCCACCTGCCCGCACCTGCCCCTCGGGGCAGCCCCTGGCCGGCAGGACGTGGGGTGGTGCTGACCGCCCAGAGGGGTGGAGAGCTACTGGGGACACCCCGGAAACCGGGTACCTCCTTCTCGTCGTACTGCAGAGCGCTCCAGGGCTGCGCTTGGCCTTCGTAGATCATGGGCACTTTCACGACGAAATAAAACTGCTGGAACTGGGTAAAGAAGCTCTTCAGGTTGATGGCGTCCCAGGTCTGCAGGATGCTGAAGATGCTGTCCAACATGATGGTGGCCGCGAGCTGCTTCCCCCTCACCAAGTCCCTCCTTGTGCCGGAGGTTATGTGATCCACCATCCTCTGAAACAGCCCGGGGGACTTCATGCAAATTATATCATCGTACTGGTGCCAGTCTAAGAGCAAAAGAAGGAAGCTGCTGTAGCGCAGGCCAGCCGGACGCGCTGAGCTGCACACCCTCCCGGGGACGCTGGCCCGTGCAATGAGGCCAACAAAGGACGGCAAGAAGGATCGCCGAGGAGGGCGGCTAGGGCGCACGTGGGCCAGGTGCCTGCCCGCGGATGAGCAACAGGGAGCCCGGCCCCAGGTGGGAGACAGCTGTGTGTAGGATGGGCACCCCGGCGGCCCCGCAGTGATCAGAGGAGGGCACGGCTCAGCACCTGTGGTACGTGAGCTCCTTAGGAAACGATCACACAGACGTTAAGAATTTGATCCCGACACTGTGCTCAGTAGCAACTGAACACTATCGTGGGAAATCACTTCACGCCAGTGCCAGCTTCCTCTGTACTGGGAACCACGAGGCTAGCCCCCCGGAGGACAGCACGGGCCCCACGACAGACCAGACGGCACTCTGGACGCGGGGCTGCGATGCACGGCAAGGCCCGAGCCCACGGCTGCTCCGCGTGTGACCAGGTGCAGAGGACACGCGTGTGGACTAGAAAACCGGCGAAACCAGCAAAATAGTGAGGAGACCAAGAGGCAGACAGGATGGCTGGAGGCGGCACAGACACGGAAGCTCAGCCGTGAAGATCGGAACGTGGAAGTCTCTGGAAGAGCAGGTACTCTGTGCCTCCTGCTGTCTGCATGGAGGTCCCCGCTCACCCCACCCCTGCTCCATCCCGCCTGGCGAGGACTTGAAATTACTGCCTGGAAATAGTGCGTTTCCTGCTCTCTCCTGGGGACACGGTGGGTCCCTCAGTTTTTCAAAAACGTCCTGCCAGACAGAGGGTGAGGTGAGAGCCAGGCCCACATCGTGGAGAGCGGGGGGCTCCCTGAACCCTGGGATGGGGGGGCAGGGAGGGGCATCTAAGCAGTCTCCGTCTCTCAGAATCTACCAGAAGGAAAGAAGTGTTTACATTCCAACCTGCTAGAGAAAAGAGAAAGAAAATCCAAAAATCAGAAAAAATACAAAACAAAACCAAAACCAAAAAACAAACCTCCTCGTGGAAACAAGGTGAATAGAAAAGGCAGGTGAAGGTGGTGAAAGTCAGCCTTCCGCCGGGAGCTGTGACGGATGCTGGTGGGCGCCCGGCACCCCTGTGCTCACTCACAGACGGAATGAAAAAAAACACGAAATAAAACCGAGCAGCGAAAGCGCAGCAGACATGTGAGCCGGCTTCAGGCGGGCCGGCACAGGCCACGTCAGGGGACAGCGCGTAGGCTCCCCACGGCGTGGCCACCAGCATGTGCTCCCGTTGCCTGCTCCTCTCAGGGCGCGGGCTACAGCTGGACCTCCTCCCTGGCAGCCTGGCCACTGTGGCTCACGCTCTGCGGGGACGCTAGCAGGGAAGGGGGGCAGCCACCTGTCCCCACCTCTCTTCGGCACCTTTACTCAAATTAATGCAGGTAAGCTAGGGCCACGCTGCATGGAGCAAAGCACAGACCCTCGGTCACCATGCTTCCAGCACCTTCCAGACACCCTTCTCGAATCACCTGCAGTGAGGCCATCGGCCACGGGGTCACCCCGCGCCTGGGCTCCAGCCTTGACCGCCTGGGTCACGGAAAGCCAGCGAAGGCCAGCCCGTGGGCCCAGCTATCTATCGGTCACCGGCACTCAGCTCCGTCCCCCATCCCCGGAAGTGCCCATCCCCGGCCTCGGTGCCCCTTCCCCAGAAGTGCTGACGGTCAGCCGGCCACCGTAGCCGTGGAAGACCCACTGCCCCCGCAGTCGAGCTGCAGAAGAGCCACTCAGACACGGACCGAGACCTCTCGGGAGCAGACATGAACCCTGCTCTAAAGGGCTATGCTGTGAAACGGCCGTACCCCAGACACCGTGCACTCTCGGCACGCGCGCACACGCGCCACAGAGATAGATCATCCACGGAACACACACCACACGCCGCATGCAGTGAGTGGAAAACAGAACCAGAAGGGAAGAAAAGCTGCGGAAACAAGCAGACATGAAGATGAGATAGAAGAGGGGAGGCAGCAGGGGCGTCGGCAGGCGGGGGTCTGACTCTTGGTCTCCCGGGCAGGGGGCCCTCCTGCCCTGCACCTGCTCACCAGCGCCCCGCGGCCCCTTCGCTCGGCGGCTACACCTTCCACCCTTGCCCTGTAGTAAAAACCCCTTTCCTGTCTCCTCTCGAAGTGAGCGTTACGTCACGCTGATCAAAACCGTGCTTCCAGGGGCGCCTGGGTGGCTTAGTCAGTTAAGCGTCCGACTTTTGCTCAGGTCATGATCTCATAGTTCGTGGGTTCGAGCCCCGCGTCGGGCTCTGTGCTGACTGCCAGCTCAGAGCCTGGAGCCTGTTTCAGTCTGTGACTCCCTCTCTCTCTGACCCTCCCCTGCTCACGCTGTCTCTCTCTCTCTCTCTCCTAGAAATAAATAAAACATTTAAAAAATTAAATAAATAAAAAACCCGTGCTTCCAAACTCGGGTTTCCTTGACCCTGAGCGGGAGTCGGGGGATGGGTGCGTGTGAAGAGGGCCCACATGCGCCCCGCTCTGCAGGGGAACGGCCGCACCCCTGGGCCCGGCCACGGACTCACCTCCCGAGCCCAGGAGTTCAGACTTCACGTGCAGACAGCGGTTGACGAACTCGCCCTCCTTTTGCTGACGTTTGTAGATGAACTCGTACTCCACCTGGCCCTTGCCTTTCACGATGACGTACTTGTAAGGAATGGATTTATTCAGGTGCTGTCTGGAGAGGGTGGTGCTGCCTTCCACGAGGGACCCGATCTCCTGCAGGTCTCTGAGAAAACAGGACGCTGCTGGTTACCCCCGGAAAGAATCCTCTTTTGAAAATGTTCCTTCTCCTCGAACACAGCACGGAGCGCAGACCCAGAGCTGCAGGTCCACGCTGACCAAGAGGAGGCTTGTGGATAAGACACGGTCTCCGGACAGAACCCACACTCGGGAGCCGTGCCGACGTATGACAAAGCAGCGCGGGACAGGGAGAACTTGTGTGAAAAAGTCAGTTTCCAGAACGGTAAGCGGGTGAGCGACTTGAAAAAAAGTGTTCGTCAAAGACTGCGCGCTCTGTGCGCCTCCCCAGGGCTGCCCCGCGCGCCCTGGGCGTACTCACTTGGTGTGGTGCATCTCGCAGACGTTGCGGTTCCACTTGGGCTTCCCAAGCTCTTCTCCCCCCCTGACAAACACTTGGTGGACCGCAGGGTCGAATCCAAAGTGCTTGGAGATGATGGCATGGAAGTAGAGCGTGATTCCTTCCTGCAGGCTTGCGGGGCTGGAGCAAAGCCGTGAAAGGAAACACCAACCAGCTTGCACACGCACACGCACACACACACATGCATGCATGCACACGTGCGCACACACATGCACAACAGGGTCCCCACTTCTCGACTGGGTACAAACCCGCACCCCAGCAAAGTGCAAGAGCCTCCCCTCTCCAGACAGACCATGTGCCGTGGGGGCCCTCTCGGAGGTGGTCACAGGGTGGGGGACTGTCTCTGCCCGGCTGTGAAGGGCTGGGGGCAGTGGTGGGAGGGGACCGCCGAGGAGCCCGGGTCGTGCCAGGCTCCCCCCCGATGTGGCCCACGTGGCCCACGCGCCGCCGGGCTCCCAGGGACCGTGCGCTAGACTGAGGAATGGGGGTGTGTGACCCTGCCCCCCGCCTGCCGTCCCCAAGAAGGGCAGCCTGGGAATGTCCGGCCCTGCCCGGCGTGGGCGTGGCCGGGGACCGCGCCTGTGTCCCCCGGGCAGGCTGTGAGCGCCGGGGCTCACCCCTTACCTCTGCCTAACTTCACACACTCCGGCTTTGTGGTTCCTCTGCTCCTTCTCATTTTTCACAGCAGCCGCGTAACTCCTGGTTCCCCCTTCCGGCTTCTTCGGGCCCTCCGGCTTGGCCTTCTCGTTCCTACCTGTCTTCTCTCCAGTCGTGGCCGTCTTGTCCTTGGTCTCAGCTTCCTGGAACAAGTAACCGGGCCCGGCCTCTAGGACCAGCTTCACATCTGACCCAGCAGCCAGGGATGCTCACATCCCTTCCCTGCTCAGAGCCTCTCCGTGCCCTCGGGCCCCCCCGCCACAGCCTCTAGGAACCCCTTTGCAAACCGTGTCAACAGCCCCTTTTCCCCTCACTGGATCCTGGAGGCAGTGGCTTCCTTACTCTTCCCCAAACAGGCCTCCCACACTCTGCCACGGGGTCTTTGCACCTGCCATTTTGGCCTGGGATGCGCCCCAGGGGGCCACATGGCTTGCCCTCACTCTTTCGGATCTCCGCTCCGCCTGCGCTCCCTGGAGAGGCCTCGGCCGGCCCCGTTCTCTCAGCACCACCCCTGGTCCCCTCCACGCTCACCCCGCTCTCCCCCACGGCGCTCCCCACGCCTGACCTTGCTTTCTGGCTTTCCCCCTGGAGAAAGCATGAGCCTTGAAGGCAGGAGCTGGGTCTCCTTCACGGCTGTATCCCCAGCACCCAAAAGAGCGTCACCAAAGGACTGAACGGAGGCTGAGCTTTGGAAGGACCGGGGCCGAGAGCGGCAGACGGTGGGACAGACCGCAGGGACGGGAGGCTCCCAAGGCCGAGACGCTCTACCTGGCGGTGTGCTGGGGAAGCAACCGTGCTCGCTGGAGGCTGTTTCGTTTTCTGGGTCTTGGCTTTACTTTCTTTCCTGGCCTTTCCCGCCGCCTCAGCTGGCCCGGCTGTGGCCGCATCTTCCTGGAGACGACAAAGGCCCCGAATGTCAGGGCGCAGGTGCCGAGATGCTGTGAGGGTCAGCGTCCGCCACCACCCGCCCAGGGGAGGGATCGGCGGCTCTGGGAGGGGCGCCATCCCAAGGGTCCCCAGGGCCTGTCCCGGGGCGGGAGGTGACACGGAGCTGCCTGAGAGAGCGAGCAGCCCCTCACTCCCCTAACGACTCACCCCGGAGGCCTGGGCCCCCGCCTGCTGCCCGGGGCCGTGAGGCTCTCTCCCGGGCTCCGAGCCCCCCGCTGAGTCAGGCGGCGAGCGCTCCTGAGCCCCATCCTCCTTCCGGGGACGGTCTTCACCGGTGCAGGCGGTGGGGCCAGCCCCCTCCTGGGGGAGGCTGCTGCCCTTGGAAGGCTCCGGGGTGTCCTGTGGGGCGGCCTCTCCTGGAGTCTGGTCGCGCAGGGGGCTTCCGCCGGCCTCGACTTGCCCCACGGGCCCTTGGTGATCACCGCCCTCTGGCGGCGGCGGGTTGGCGCCCGGGGGCCCGCATGGTGGGTCGGCCGGACCACCTTGAGGATCTTGGCTCTGGGGGGGCACCGTGTCCGGGAAGCCGGGGCCCGCCAGCAAGCTGACGCTGTAAGGGCGTAAGGAGGCCTCTGCCAAGGAGTCGAGCTCCGCGGAAGGGGAACCGCTCGGTTTCTTTCTCCTGTTCCTTCTCTTCCTCTTGCTCTAAACAGAAAAAGACGCTAGTTTTAGTTCCTGGGCTCACTGTACTCTCCCAGCGCTTTCCAATTTCAATGTCTCAAGTACGCCAGGCTTCGCTTGACCACACCCCCCACCCTGAATAGGTGAAAGCTGCCACTTCCTAATCTTGCGAAGACTGAAACGAGACACGGACGGGTGGCGGGCGGAGCTGAAGGCCGGGGGGCCACGCCGCGCTGGCCACGCTCCTCATGCTGCCAAATCACAGCTGAGAACCTCACGAGGAATTCCTTCCAGCGGGACTTCATCCCTAGAAGTGTGGCCTGGTATTAATTAACTAATTTATTTGTTTGGAGGGAGAGTGTGCAGGAGCGGGGGAGGGGCAGAGAGAGGGAGGAGAGAGCGAGAATCCCAAGCAGGTTCCGCACCGTCAGCAAGGAGCCCGACTTGGGGCTCGAACTCACGAACTGTGAGATCACGACCTGAGGGGAAACCAAGAGTTGGACACTGAACGGCCTGAGGCCCCAGGCGCCCCTGAGAGCACGGTCTTTGAACGCCCACGCCGCGTGTGTTTTGTACGTGACGTTGAGAGAGAGAGAAAGGCGAGGAGGAAAACAGACGGGAGTGTGAACAGCCGTGTCCTGGCCGGAGACCCTGGCCTTGGAGCCAGAACCAGCTGTGCGGGGCCGCGGTGGGGGCCCCTCTGAGGACCCCGCGGGGCCTGACGCCCCACCTCGCTGAGGCGTGCAGCTCCGGAGCAAATGAACACGGGTCGTCGGGTCCCTGAGTGCCGGTGTGGACCCGGGACGAGTCGCCGGGGACAGTGAGCGAAGAACGTGGGGTCTGTTTGCACAGGGGGTGGGGTGGCCTCGTTCGGGTTTTCTCCACGAACCCTGACCTAACCTCCCACAGACGTGCCTCCAGCCAGCAGGACACACGGGGTGTCCCTGGAGCGCCCTCCCCAAGGGAGACCTCCCAGCCTGCTGACAGCACACACCCCACTACCATCGTGGGGCAAGAAAGAGGCTTTTTAAAAGGTCATTGAAGGTGAGACCTTCTCCAGCGTCCCAAGGCCTACAGAGCAGTTGAATGCTTGCTAATGTGCAGATGGTAACTGGGCAGGTGGGGGGGACCTGGGAGGAGTCTGCATCCCCAAGGAGCTGCGGGGCAGGGGTGGGGGGAGCAGCAGACCAGCTCTGCAGGGGGAGGGCCTGGGTAGCAGCAGACCAGCTCTGATCTGACTGGCCCAGCAGCGGCATCTACACTGGGCTTCCAGAGGGTTCTAACCACGGCCCGGCTGAGAACCGCCCGCTCGGCAGAAGGCGGTGTGCACGGGCTCATGGCCCATGGCCATCCGCAGAATCTTCCCTGACTCAGCTCGAGGCTCGCGCCAGCCCAGCTGCACACAGATCCTTCGAGGAACCTGGAGAGAGCCTGTGCCGGGCACACGAAACAAGACAGCAAGACATTCCTCCCGCACAAAGCCAACAGCCTCATAAGAGGGATGGACTGCTGACTGCTGGAGTCTGTAGAAAATGCCAACGACAGGGGCGTTCAAGGGCCTGAGATCTCAGAGGTGGTCCCCAGCCCGGAAGGCTTCCTGGGGGAGATGGTGCAGGCCGAGTCGGAGGGACACCAAAGCCCGCTAATAGGGCTTCGTCCATTCCACAAAGGGTCCCTGGGCCCGTACCGTCTGCGAGTGGCCAGGAACTGCGTGCCCGGAGCCAAAGCCGAAGCGTGGCCGGGACACCTCTGCTCACTGCCCCCCGGCCTCTCCTGGGCTTGTCCCGCTCTGGCCTCTGCCACGAACCCTGTGTTTCGCTTTCTGTGGCTTATGATGCTTTGACAGCTTAGGGGCCTTGCTGATCCTGGCGGGCGCCCCTCCCAGGGCTAGCGCATTCCCCGAGAGGGCAGAAGACCCACTTCCGCAGGCAGACCAGCCAGCCCAGAGCCCGCACCCCGCTCCCCTCCCTCGGCCACCACTCCTCCACCCTACATCACCCCAGGGCCGGGTTCAAAAGGACTCGAGACCCCTTACAGCCCGGAGCCCACCGAGATCACACACACTAGCCAGTATAAACCCGCTCGAACGTGCCTGTCTCCCCATCGCTCCTCGGCCTCCTGACCACCCACCCAGGATCTCCCCCGCCGTCCCCCCCCAATTAAATAAATCCCAGCACGGCCTAGACTGGACGCCTCCTTGCTGGGCTTTCCTGCAGACACTCCCCTCCCCCAGGGCTCGGCCCCACGTCCCTGACGTGGACGCTCCGTAGGAAAGTGAGCCCTCCCAGACCCTGGCCTCGGGCAGGCCACACGTCCATTTATTTCCTCCTGCTCCAGATTGTGAAGTCTCTGTTCACGGCCACACACGAAGTGTCTAGAATTCCTGGCCTGGGGCGCCTGGGGGGCTCAGTCCCTTAAGCATAAGACTTCGGCTCAGGTCAAGATCTCACGGTTCATGGGTTTGAGTCCTGCGTTGGGCTCTGTGCTGACAGCTCAGAGCCTGGAGCCTGTTTCGGATTCTGCGTCTCCCTCTCTCTCTGACCCTCCCCTGCTCATGCTGTCTCTCTCTCTCACTCTCAGAAAAAAATTAAGATAACAGTTAAAAAAATAAAATTCCTGGCCCACTGCAGCTGCCCAAACATTTTTGTTTCATTAAACACATTCCTCAGGAAGTCCCGTGTGTTTCCCTGCAGCTGACCAGTGCCTCTCCCGCAAGGGACCCTCGAGACCCCACAGCCCTCAGCCCCGAGCCGGCGTCTGCGCGTGGATCTACGATGGGCTTTCACTTTTCTGATTTACGTGTCTTTTCCCTCTTTACCTTGTTTGCTCCTTTTCGTATTCTTATTTTATCATGCTTTTTATAAGCTGCTCCAAATCCTTCTAGAAAAAGATATATATTTTGCACAGGTGACTTCCAGTTCCTTCCACAGTGGGGGGCCGGCACACCAGAGACCAGGCTCAGGCTGAATCCTAAACTGCTCCTTTGCCAGAAATCAAGTTCATACATACGTGTTGCTAATGACCGTGGCCTGTAACTCTGCGTGTTCTGGGCACTGATATTTGCCCCCAGCAAAATTAAAGACCATTAACAGTCAGGAACACGAACACTTTAACACCCCTCTGATTGGGAACACACACAGACAGTGGGCCGAAGTCGAGGGCATGGGTCACGCCCTCTGGGTATGGGTAGCAGGCAGGGGGCAGCGGGGAGGGGACCCCAATAGCTCTGCCGATATCCATCTTTAAGGGGATGGTGGAAGTGAGCGTCCCCAGCGTCTGTGTTGTAAATGTGTTTGCTGTAGGATTAACGTTTAATTGAAACATTTTTTGAAACAAAAAGCTTTCTGACCGGGAAGGGATGCTAAGAAGGCTTCCGGGGCCTGGAATGTTCTGTCTCTGGAGGCAGAGGGCGTCCCAAGGCTGTGCAGGCAGCAGAACCCCCCCGCGGGCTCTCCCTGGGGGCCTGTGCATTTCACTCATTCAAACACTATACCAGCTCTGAGCACACACACAAAGGCTACTCCTATTCCTGCCCAAAGAGAATTAACCAGAAAAAAGTCAGTTTGCTAATTCGTGGATTTTTCTCCCCATCAAAATGCACCTCGGATGTTACAACGCGCACCCATTTATCTCCCCGTCAAACAAACCACGAACCTCGCAGACACAGCACCAAGGCCCCCGTCCACTCACCCAAGAGCTGGATGACACGGGGGGGGGGTGCTGCTGGGGACCCGGGAAGAGCCCCGCTAGTCGGACAGAAGGCCAGGGTGGTGGAGGGCAGCCTGGGCTGATCTGGGAAGGAACTGGGGCTTCGGGCTGAGGACAGCATCCCCGCTCCACCTGGCCGCCACGGCGCACTTGCTTCTCGGAAGCAGGGCTGTTTCTGCCGGAGCTCGTCACGCCAGCGCCGGCGGGGAGAGAGCCTGGACCTTCTAAACGGAGCTACACAGGGTCTGGGAGGAGGACCAGCAAGGTCAGGCTGACCCCCAGCCGGCGATGGCGTGAGGGACAAGCACCAGCCTCTGGACGACACGCCGGCCAACTGCCACAGGGACTCCGAGGAGGACGAGAGGGGTCAGGCGACAGGCATGTGTGGCCCGGCCTCTCCCGGCGGGAACCACCTGGATTCGCAGAGGAAGCCCGGCGGGATCCGTTCTGAAGCCACGGGGACGCGACTGAACCATCCCTGCCCGTGAGGCTGCCTGGTGCTTCCCGGGGGCCACGGCGGGGTTGCAGTGGGTGGGCGGGCACCGCCTCGGTTCCCACACAGCTCACCACACACAGCAGGCTGCCCGGGGGACCCTGTGTGGGTTACTCAGCTATGGCGTGCCTCAGTTTCCCCCTCTGTGAGAGGCAGAGGACAGCCGGATGGGACAAAGCAGGTCAAGAATCTCACAGAGTGGCCGGCACACGCAAGATGGCCCAGCGCTGCAGTGGCTCCCTCCCACACCCAGCAGGGGCTGGCGGCCGCCGTGGTGACCGTGTGTGGCCCGCGGCCTCCTCCCACTCCTCGTAGCCCCGGAAGCTCCCTGCTCTCAGCCGTCAGACACAAGTAGGAACTGCCTCTACACCCGCTCCCGGGCCAACCCATCACCCTGACCACAGCAATGGGCACCTGACCCAACCGTGGCCAGTGAGGTTTGACGAAAGCCCCTCCTGGATGGAGACGCTGCCTCTTGCTTCTGCAGAGGCCACTAAAGAGGGGGCCCCTGGCCCCTGCACACCGTTATCGGGAGGGGGATAACTGTGGAAGCCACGACATGGCAGAAAGGTCTAGAGCGCGAGCGGCAGCCGCTGAGACACCAAGGAAGAAACCGACATCAGGAAGGCAGTGCGAAGACAGAGAGGCCTGGGCCTGGAGAGTGACACCACTATGCCTGGATTGAGCCTTGCCTGCGGACCGACCTGAGGATTTCCCAGTTATGTCAGTGACACATTTCTCTTCTCGAGGTAATTCATCCGAGCTGGGCTGCCAGTTCTTTGCAACCAAAAGATTTCTAATAGTTAAAATAATCGAACTTCGAAGTTGGTTGTCTCTGTCTTACAAACGCCCAAAGGAAGCCCAGGTAACCAGCGCCTAGTAGCCTGTGTCCCGCCAGCTGTCAGGCTCTCGCAAATACACCCGGGCCACAGAATCCTCGGGCTCCAGGCTGCTGCGTGCTGCCATGGCCCAGGAGGACCCCACCGTGGCAGGGACCCCATCACGGAAGGTGGCAGGAGGCATCTGACCTCATGAGCAGGTGCCTGCTGCCCTCCCCAGGGAACCCCCATCAGGCCTGCCTTCTAGAACAAGGGACGCTGTCAGCAGGGAGACCACAAGCCTGAAATGGAGTCGCGTGTGCTAAGCTCCCCATCAGCAAACCAAGACTTCACACCCAACCTAACTGCAGGGGTTTTTTTTAAGTAGGCTCGGTGCCCGATGTGGGACTTGAACTCAAGATGCTGAGGCTGTCGCACGCCCATACCGACGGAGCCGGCCGGGCGCCCCGCTAACTGCAGTTTTAACCCCCAGCAATAACCTTTAACCACTCAATCCAGAATTACCTGGTCAGTGCTAGTGACATTATCTGTCCAGTGGACCCTCTGGTCCCCGTAGGAGGGCAACCTTGCCGGCAAACAATGCGTTCTTCCCTAACGATTTCCTTTTCCACCCCGTTTCCGCCTTTAAAAACCCTCCACTCTGTACAGCCCTTTGGAGTTCCTTCCTGTGGCTGGATGGGAGGCTGCCTGATTCCTGAGTTGTTGGATAAAGCCAATTTGATCTTTACACCTACGCAGCTGATTACACTTAACATCTTGGGTAAGGAAGCGTGGTCACGGGGAGGGCAGGTGGCCCTGCAGAGCCGGGTGGGGCTGGAGGGCACAGCTGTCCGGGGGTGAGGGCGGGCAGGGTGACCCGAGGGTAACAGCCCACCATGTGGACCCCACCACCTCCCACCCTGCGAGCAGCCTGCAGGATTTCCCAGCCCCTGCCCTGTAAGCTGCCTTTTATGCCCCTCACCTGCTCTTGTCCGCGGCTGTCCTGACCACCTTACTTCCTGGAAGTCGGTTAGCGACCCCAGCGGCCAACGCTTCCTCAAAGGCTGCAAAGCTTTCTGGCTGTTGGCTTTTACTTTTTTTCTATTTTAACATTTATTCATTTTTGAGAGACAGAGAGCGTGACCTGGGAGGAGCAGAGAGAGAGCGAGACACAGAATCGGAAGCAGCTCCAGGCCCTGAGCTGTCAGCACAGAGCCCCGCGCGGGGCTTGAACCCACCAACCGTGAGATCATGACCTGAGCCGAAGTCGGACGCCTAACCGACGAGCCCCCCAGGCGCCCCAATGTTGGCTTTTACATTTAAGAAATGAATGGTCGGGGCGCCTGGGGGGCTCCGTCGGTTAGGCGTCCGACTTCGGCTCAGGTCATGATCTCACGGTTGGTGGGTTCAAGCCCCGCGCGGGGCTCTGTGCTGACAGCTCAGGGCCTGGAGCTGCTTCCGATTCTGTGTCTCGCTCTCTCTCTGACCTTCCCCTGCTCACACTGTCTCTCTCTCTCTCAGAAGTAAATAAAACATCAAAAAACTGTTAAAAAAAAAAAAAGAAATGAATGGTCTTCTCTGACTCCGAATCTATGAACATTTTTATTGCCCTATTAGCATTTATGGGGTTTCTTAATGAGGCTTGGAAATATTTATATACTGCTATATAACAACTAACAAGTAGTTATCTATATTTTCTAGAAAATTTAGGGTATTGTTTTATATTAAAATACGGAGTCACTCTGATATATTTTTTTCTGGAGGAGACAGGGAGGGAGAGAGAGAATTTCAAGTAGGCTCCATGTTCAGCCTGACTTGAGGCTCAATCTCACGACCGTGAGATCATGACCTGAGCCAAAATCAAGAGTCCAATCAATGTTCAACTTATTGAGCCACTCAGGCGCCCTGACTGGTATAGATTTTAATGTATAATATGACCAGGGGATCTGGTTTCCAAACAGTGAGGCTGGGGTTCAAACACCCCCTCCTCACACACCGACTATAACAGACTTATCAGGCCGCCCGACCAGGTGCCGAGCAGTCACACATGCACACGTGTGTCCTTGCGCGTCACTGCTGACGGGTCTCAGCCACTCCATTAGAATGTCACGCTGCTATGTTTACAGCTTGTGACACATTAGGTCAAATCTCCCACTATTTTTCTCTTTTTCTATATTCTTCATAGATCTTCTCACCAATTTATACCTCCGAGGGACTGAAAAACACTAGTTGTGCATGTTAATTGGTTAATGTAGTGGATAGATCTGAGGACATCTTTATGATCTAAAACATTGCTTTCCCTCTTAAGGAAATGTTATTTTGTGGGTTGGTTTTCCTGATTTTGTGGCTATCGCGAATGGGCTCTCCATCTGCTGTATTTTCTGTCTAGGCAATTCTCCAGGCCCCGTATTGATGTCACCGTATTTTAAGATTTTATATTTTTTTAAGTTTATTTATTTTTGAGAAAGAAAGAGAGAGAGAGAGAGAGAGAGAGAGAGAAGGGGGACAGAGGGACAGAGCCAGAGAGAGAGAGAATCCCAAACACGCTCTGTGCTTTCAGTGTGGAATCCGACTCAGGGCTCAATCTCAAGCCAAAATCAAGAGTCAGATGCTTGGGATGCCTGAATGGCTCAGTTGGTTAAGCGTCCGACTTTGGCTCAGGTCATGATCTCACGGTTCGCGGGTTAGAGTCCCACATCAGGCTCTGTGTTGAACGCTTGATCAGAGCCTGGAGCCTGTTTTGGATTCTTTGTCTCCTCTCTCTACCCCTCCCCCACTCACGCTCTGTCTTACTCTGTCTCTCAAAAATAAATAAATGTAAAAAAAAAAAAAAAGAGTCAGATGCTTAACCGACTGAGCCACCCAGGCTCCCCTGAAGATTTTGTTCTGATGTAATCACTACTCCCAATGTGGGGCTCAAACTCACAACCCCAAGACCAAGAGCTGGATACTCTATTGACTGAGCTGGCCAGGCGCCCCTTGATGTCACTGTATTTAGAAAGTGCGTCAGCAGCTAATCAATAAACAGATCTCTAAACCTTCCAGCCAAAGACCACACCTGCTTTGCAAGCCTTCCTCCAACGCCCGGTACCTAGTGCCTAGTGGTCAATAAAGCTTCGTCAAATTCATCAAAGACGAGGGGAGCAAATCTGGCCACCTGCAAATATGCCTCTTTGGCATATTGATTATTTTAAGCTGGTTATTTTTGAGAAGCTGCAGTCAGGAGAAGCTCTGAAAAACTGAACAGACATTACACTTACTGAGAGGTATTTCCACATAAAAGAAAGGCTCCCCGAGTAAGGGGGTCTCCCTCATCGCCAGGAAGAGGGGTGTGACCCAGTTCTCCAGAAGCTCGTCAGTGGAGAAGGCTGGATGTGAATCTGCACAGCACCCTCATCTTATTCACAGTGCTTTTCCTGATAAACTCCCACAGCTGACCCCCTCCTGTGGAAGTGGTATTGAAGCTGATGGCTTTGGCCGCTGCGGGAAGTCACCCCATTTTCCCAGGCCTCTCCCATGTGCAGGGAGGTATATATGCTATTCAACTTCTCTCTCATCTTCTTCCCTTAATCCATCTCATGTCAATTTGATCCTCAGACCGACCAAGGAACCTAGAAGTGACAATGGTCATCTCGCTCAGGAAAGAAGTTATCACTCCCTCCAAAGAAATGATACATAAAATAGACTCCACAAACCTCACTCGTCAATGTATGAAGCCTCACTGCTTTTCCTCATAAGCAAAAATGCTTTCATTGCGTACATCAGCTAGTTTCACTTTTCATATCAGAGAATCCTGCAAGACTCCTAAATGCTGTAGAAAATTAATAACAAAGTCAGGATTTTAACTCCCAGAATCCAGAAACTAATTCTGCAGGGCATACACTCGGCTCCCGGAGTTCAGAGCACGATCCTCTAACCTCAGGCGTCAGCGGCAGCGGTGACAGTCACTTGTGACCTTCTCTAGGCTGCGGCAGGGGCTGGGCCCGGACCACCCCCCAGCCAGGGGCCTCCCGCTCTTTCCCGCGAAGAGACTCTTGTACGGCTGGTGGAGGTCTCGCCAGGTGAGTGTCCCCACATGCAGGCAGATACTGTCACAGGAAACAAAATGGTGGATGAAAGGGGCGCCTGGGTGGCTCGGTCGGTTAAGCATCCGACTTCGGTCCAGGTCATGATCTCACGGTTTGTGGGTTCGAGCCCCGCGTCGGGCTCTGTGCTGACAGCTCGGGGCCTGGAGCTGCTTCAGGTTCTGTGTCTCCCTCTCTCTCTGACCCTCCCCTGCTCACACTGTCTCTCTCTCTCTTTCAGAAATAAATAAAAACATTAAAAAAAATTTTTTTTAAATCGTGGATGGAAGAACTTGGGGGAGGGGGCGGCGCAATGAAGCTGAAACTTAAGGTCCGCAAAACATCCTCAGCCACACGAGCCAAGACCGAAAGGTATCGCTATTGCGCAGACCTACTGAACAGACTCAGAGATATTCCGAGCTTGGATCCAGACTCCCGAAATAAAGCAAATACCTCCATAAAGCAAGTCGAACAGATTTCTTGGTTTCCCAGTGCATAAAACATTTATACTCACACTACGCCGGCTTCTAAGTGTGCAACGGCACTACGCCCAAAAAAGTCAGCGTGCGTGCATTAATTTAAAATGCTCTATTCCTAGAGAACGCTAACCACCATCTGGGCTTCAGCGACTCAGAGTCACCGGTCCACAGATCACTGTAACAATCCGAATACCGGGAAAGTCTGAAATATTTCGAGAATCACCAACATGGGACACAGAGACGCCGAGAGGCCTGCTCGGCACAGGGTGGCCACAAACCCAGCATCTGCAAGAAACACGAAGCATGCCTGTACCTGCGGGGGGTGCGCAGAGCACGGGTCAGCGACCTGACACAGGGTAGCGTCCTCTTTTCTTCTTTTGCTGGGAGGGTGATTAGCAGCCTCCAGCTCATCGGATGTACAAGCCTCTGAGGCAACTCCCTGTTGAAACATGACCTCCTTCAGACAGGAAGACCACGGGCAGCGTGCAGGCAGAGCTGGAGCGGACCCCGGGCGCCGGCCGAGGCGGGGACGCCCTGTCGCGAGGGCCGAGCCAGCTCCCCAGCCGCACCGGCCGTCGGGGGCCAGCAGGCAGAGCGTCCCGGGGGACAGGGGACCCGAGAAAGGGCCCTGTGCTCAGGCCTGAGAAAATCCAGGGGAGGGAACTGCCCGTGCCCGGCGAGGAGGGCCCAGCCCCCTCCCCCGCGCGTGCAAGCCCAGGCCCTGCTTCCCCAGAGTCTCCCTCCCAGGCCGGGCCAGGTGCCCCCCGACATGGACGGGGCTGTGGATTCCTTCCTGGGAAGGCCGAGCCGGGCCAGGCCTCTGCGGCCTCCTGGGGACTGGGGACTGGGGGCGGCGGCCAGCGCCCTGCGGACGGCACAGCCCAGGCAGCAGAGCTGGCGCGGACCGGAGAGCACCCTCTCCCCTCCTTCCCGCCTCCTCCTCCTCCCAGGGAAGAAGCAATGCCCAGAGGAGCTGGCGATGCGCCCAGGCCACCCGGCGGGCAGGGCGGGGCTGCTGCTCACAGGAGGAAGAGTCTGGGAGGACCCTGGGGGCGGCGCCTGGCCTCAGCCCTGCTCAGCGCGTGGGGGGCACCTGGGCCGGGGGTAAAGGCGAGGCAAAAAGGTCAAGAGCTTCTGGACCAAGTGCTGGGGAGTCAGAGGATCGGGTGGGAAAGAAGGGCTATTTCTGCAAGGGGGACCTGGAACGGGCCCATGGGGGAGCCGGATCGGAGCCCACAGGTGGCCCCTGGGGACCGAAGCCCAATTCAGCAGCGCCAGAAATGCAGGCCACCTCCGTCACCTCACAGCAGGGGGCTGTGGGAGGGAGGCAGCTTCGACCCAACTCAGCCTGGCTCTTCTTTTTTTTTTTTTTTTTTTTTTTTTTAATGTTTATTTATTTGAGAGAGAGAGAGAAAGAGACAGAGTGTGAGCAGGGACGGGCAGAGAGAGACGGAGACACAGAATCCGAAGCAGCTCCAGGCTCTGAGCTGTCAGCACAGCTCGAACCCATGGGGCTCAAACTCATGACCTGCGAGATCATGACCTGAGCTGAAGTCGGCGGCTTAACCGACTGAGCCCCCAGGTGCCCCTCAGCCTGGCTCTTCTAATAAAACCCCTCCTCCTTCTCCCCCTCCCTTCCCCCTCCCCCTCCAGCCTGGGGAGGAAGCTACCCCACGGAGAGAACCATCCAACAACCTCTAGGAAGAAAGGGACAGCCAGCGAAGGCACCCAGTTAGTCTGCAACAAAGGGCCACCAAAGGAAAGGCCAGCAGAGCAGGTCACCCCAGCTGACGAGTGTGGTGGGAACCCCATTAACCACAACATCCCCCCCCCGCTGTGGCTGCTACATGAAGGACTCACTCCCTTGGCGGTCAGTAGGCTCTTGTTCTAGCTGGGGGCTGTCCCTTGGTTCTCTGGCAGAGTCCCCCCCACGTCAGCACCCCCGGCTGCACGCACAGGCCTGTTCCCCACCACACGCACACCGCTTTCTGACCCTGCGGTCACGTAGGGTCGCCGTGGGCTGGGGTACAAGCACAAAGCCCCCTGAGCAAATCAGCAGGCAACCCCGCCGGCTTCCCTTCTGGGGGGGGCGCACCTGCGTTCCGGCTCGCTGCGTCCCCTCCTGTGACAATACCAGACGCATCTTTACACTGAGGTGAAGATCACGTAACAGGCAATGAACCACTTTAAAGTGCACCGTCCAGTGGCTCTCACTGCTTGCTGTGCGAGCACCCCACTCTCTCGTCCCCCCCCGCCCGGAAGGAAGCTCATGTCCTCTGGGCAATTCTCCCCACGCCCCTCCCCAGGCACCCCGCCCCCCCCCGCCCCGCAGGGGCCTCCTCTATCGTCTGCAAGTGGTCCAGGAACGGCTCGGACCTGCTGCTCACCCTTACAGGCCCCAGGTGCCTTCAGGGCACCCCAAGGTCAAGACACACCTGAATCCTCGGGAACTCCCTCCCTCGGTCAGGACACAGGCTGCCACCATCAGACACCCCCCGGCGGGATGCCATCAGCCACCCTATGCCGGGACCGGGTGGGTCAAAGCTGAGTTCCAGTCCCGCAAACAAAGCGGTCACCAGGGCTAAGTCACACCGTCACGGAGATCTTCCAAAGGCCCAATCAAGCTTATTCTTACTCTTCCGCTCAATTCCGGTTGCGGTTTCTCCGGAGGAACAGGCCCTCGGAGTCCCGTGCTCGGCCGTTTGTGCCGCTATCACTTTACTGGGGTTTTGTGTGTGTCTGTGTGTGTGTGTTTAAATCTTTTTATTTGGGTAGTTAGTTATCTAATCTGATTGCAAGAATTTCCCGCATCTTTAATCTTTGGGAAAGCCGCAGTGGGAGGCCACGGTCCATTCCGCAGTAAGGATGATACCAAACGGCCCTCCCGCGGTGGGGTATTCAGGCGGACTCCAGCCTTTGGCCACAGAAAAGGCTCGGGCTGTGATAAAACCCTCTCCTGACCCTTCTGGTGCCTTTCTGGGGTTCCCTCCTTATGATGAAACCCGAGAGGAAACCAGGTCAAAGGACCCTGTGCTGCTGGGCCCCCTGACGTCTCCCCCAGGTGCCGGGAGAACTCTGTCCCATCTCTGCGAACGCTCACTCAAAGCAATGCTTTAATTTGAGAAGTTTCATATAAAAGCTTGCAGTTCTTTTTATTTTCAGCGTTGGAGTTCAGAGGTCGCTCATTTACGTATCTAACATCCTACCAGTTCTGAACTGCAATCGCCTGTGGACCCACTTTTCTCTACTGGGCCGTTTACTGTTTTCTTCTTCATTTCTAAGAGCTTTTGACATATTGAGGCAACTCACCCTTTGCTAAAACCATTTTTAGGTAAATACAACTATTCTCTATTTTTCCTAAACCGTGGCCCTTTGTGTGTGCTTATATTTTATGAGCTTTCTGGTTCTTTTAAGACCTTTCTGGAATCAAAGATAACCAATCTTTTGTTTATACTTTCCTCTTGCTTTAATTACTAGAAAACCTTTCCCCCTTCAGAAATCAGATCGGTATTTCTGTATCTCCTCCCCGGCTGCTCTCACCAATCCTAGGCTCTGACGCAGGCTGCCTCTCCTGGCCAGCGCTCCCCCCCACAATCCAGTTTTGCCGACTCTCCCGTTTGTATCACATTTTTGTTTGATTTAGTACAGTAAGCCCCACTCCAGACTTCCCTTTTTCACAGAATTCTTCGTTATTCTTGCCCATCTTTGTTTCCCAAAGAGCCTTAAACTCACTGTTTACTTCGAGATTAAAAAAGAAAGCCCAGGGGCGCCTGGGGGGGCTCAGTCGATTAAGCGTCCGACTTCGGCTCAGGTCATGATCTCACGGTTCATGGGTTCGAGGCCCGCGTCGGGCTCTGTGCTGACAGCTCAGAGTCTGGAGCCTGCTTCGGATTCTGTGTCTCCCTCTCTCTCTGACCCTCCCCTGCTCATGCTGTCTCTCTCAGAAATAAATAAAACATTAAAAAAAAAAGAAGAAGAAAAAAGCAAGCCCAGGGGCACCTGGGTGGCTCAGTTGGTGAAGCAATCGCCTCCGGCTCAGGTCATGATCCTATGGTTCACGAGTCCGAGCCCCGCGTCGGGCTCTGTGCTGACAGCTCGGAGCCCACTTCAGATCCTCTGTCCCCTCCTCTCTCTGCCCCTCCCTGCTTGTGCTCTCTTTCTCTCAAATATAAATTTAAAAATTTAAAAAAAAACAGACCAGTCCTTCGGGGCTCAGTACCGTCATAGGGCTGCGCATGCTCCTCGGCACCAAACCTCCAATGTCCCGCATCCTATTAAGGACCGCGACTCGCCAAGGGGAGGACACACGCTGTCACACACACATCACGTGATACACACCCCACACACGCACACCTTACTCACACCCTCCCATTCACACACACCCGACACTCACCCCACACTCCCCACACACATCACACTCACACACACCCCACACATCACACTCACACTCACACACACTCGCACACACAATCACACTGCCGCCTGCAGCACGCCCGCCCTGGCCCGACCACCACGTGGAATAATGGGGAAGAGGCAGGAACCCAGCCCCCTCGGCCGCAAACCCCGGGTCGGCTGGGTCTGGACTCGAACACCGGGCGCTTCTCTCCCCTCACTCTCCCTGAGCCTGTCACTAGGCGCTCCTGGGGCCCGACCCCTGCAGGGAGACGGAAGGACATGGGCAGTGGCCCCCACCTCTGCGGAGACGAGTGTCCTTCCTAGGCACCCGCCTGTCCCCGTGGCCGAGACCCCCCCCCCCCAGGTGGGAAGAGGCCATGCGGCAGACGCTCGGGCACCCGGGCCCCGTCTCCGCTGGGAGACACGCAGCTGCGTCTGGCAGCGGCGAGGGCAGGCGGCCACCCCGAGGGACGGGAACCCAGGGACCGTGCAGCCCACCAGGCCCAGAGGAGCGGCGGCCGCCAGCGGGCGGGCGGGGAGGGCACGGCGGGGGCCACTGCGTGGTGGCAGGGTAAGGACAGGGGACCCCGTTCAGCCACGGATGCGACCGCAGCAGGAGGCAGCGTCCAGGCCTCGCAGGCGGGGAGCGGGCCCTCCCAGCACCACCCCGCGGGCGCCGGGCACACTCACTCTGGACGCGGTCCCGGACACGCTGGAAGGGGGCTCATCCAGGTTTTCCCGTTGGAGGCGACACGAGCCCTGGGACAAGAAGGGGCCGCCGTCTTCCCTCAGCTCCTGTCCGCACTCCACCTCTCCGTCCGCGGCCGGCGTCTCCTCGGGGCTGCTGGCCTTGGAATCTACAAAGGGACAGGCACACGGGTCACAACTCGGAGAAAAGCAGGGCAAGTCATGGAGGCCAACTTGGAGTCCTCCCTGGACACGGCGGACAGACCATCCGTCTCCCCCGTCGTGCGCTTTCCCTGCGTACAGCTTCTGCTCTCGGGTGGGCGTGCGGGCCCCAGGACCCTGGCCCCAGCCCCAAGGAAGGAGCGCGGGCCGTCTGAGCGTCCGGCTCTTCCTGAGGTCAGCGTGGGCGGGGTGGCCCGGCCTCCAGTTTCTAAGTCAGAACACGTCACTCCCCTCCCCCGTTCCCCCCACCCCCCGCCCCCGCCTCGGAGGCACGTGGCCCGGACCCAGGGTCTCCCAATACCTCCGGGGCCCCTGCCTTCGCTCCTCCTTGCTCCCGGGCTGGTCTGCTTAGAGGATTGGAGCCGCCACCCGCATAGCTCCCAGCACCTGATGCTGGGGCCCCTCCCAAACTCAGCCCTGCAGGGGACTCTATTTTCAAACCTGGGGGCACATCACCCCCCACCCTACACTGCAGATGGCTTTCTGCTTGGAACCCTCCCTTGGCCGGGCCTCCAGAGCCCGAGGCCCGCTGGGTCTTCCTCCTGAAGCCCTTCCTCTTCCCTCTCCAAGGCCTCTGTAAATTCTGGAAGCCAGAGCCCAGAGCCTCGCTCTCCTGAAAGTCTCCAGCCCCTGGAACGCAAGGCCCTCAAGAGCCATCGTTTGGACGCAGAATTAATAACCAATGCATGAAGCGTCTAAATACGCACACTCAAAACTTGAAGTTGCCCCACGGTGGCCCCTTTGGCATGCAGATTATTTCAAGCAGAAAACAATCAAGGAAACCCCGACCTTCCCCCAACTGCCTACAAGAATGTAGACGGAGGCCCTGGTCCAGGAAGGGAGCCTCCACCACAGAAGCTGCGTTCTACTCCGAACTGGGGACGGCAAGGCCTGTCTGATCAGAGTCCTCGCTTTGCCCCCCGTTCCTGGGCAGCCCAGCATCACCGCTTACTCCTTTCCACCCTCCTGTGAGTTGCTTTCTCCCCTCTGACGTCCCAGACACCTCCTCTGGCTTCTCTTTGGAATCTCCCATCATGCAGGAAGTAAATTTGATTTTCTCCTGCTCATCTGTCTCATGTCAATTTAGTTCGTAGACCAGCCAGAAGAATTTTGAAGGGGAGAGAAAAATCCTTCCTCCCCCACAACCTTAATGCCAAAGAAAGGAAGGATCTCATAACACACAAAAGCCCCGGGTCACTTTCCTTTGGATAAACTATAAGTATTTCGACCTGTCTCTCTACCGCCAGCCTCCACTGCGGGAGGCCCCTGATTAGCCTGATCCAATCAGAATCGGGTCCTGGTGACTGGCAGGCAGTGCGGATGGTCTCCAGGGCTGATTCCTGGGGTTTCAGACACATTGTCGCCCTCCCCCTGGTCAGACAAACGGATCTGATGCAAGGGAACTGGGGACCCATTTGCCTCCATGAAGGCAGCCAGCCTGAGGACAAAGCAGGGGAAACAGAGAAAGATGAAGAGACAGAGGGACTCAGGACAGAGAGGGATCCCTGCGCCAACCCAAACCCCTCACTCTGGAGTTGAGTGTGCGCAGCCTGCACACAGGGGAGCTGGGTTTCTGGTCATCTTCGTTATAAACCACCCAAAGACTTTGAAAATCGGTGGGAATTTTTATTTTAAAAAATGAGCTCCCCAAAAGGAAAACAAGAGGCAGTTCATTGAAAAAGAAACACAAATGACCTCTTAACCCTCAAAAACAGACTTGCCGCCCTACTGATCAGGGACGTGAGAAAGCCATGAGATACCATATCTACCCATCCAGCTGGCATTTATGACCACAGTCGATAATGCCCAACCCTAGTGAGGAGGTGGGTGGGGATGAAATCTAGAAGATACGAGGCGAGAGCGGCCAGGGGGAGCTACTTTGAAGAGTCTCCATTGTAGGCGCGCCAGTCTGTCCTCCAGAGAGACTGGCTCCCCAGGAGACAGAACCTGGCCCGGCCAAATTGGGAAGCACGGTGGGTGCCCAGGACCGGGCTGGCTGTGGAGTCAGGCCCCGCCACCCAGCAGAGCAAGGGAGGCTGCGCAGCGGGGCCTGCATGAGGCCATGGAGTGAGCGGTGCTTGGTGAAGACAGCGGCGTGCGTGGCCCGGCCCCACCAGTTTACAGACTCGCGTGCGCGTGCAAACATCCCAAAGCGCACACGCCCAGGAGTTAAGGGGGTTGTGCTAAGACTTGGGGGGAAGGCCGGAGGCTTCCAGGTGCTACGCATCCTTTACTACGAGCACCTGTTCTTCCTACCATCACTGAGATCTGAAGGAAATGGCTGGACTGGGTAAGAGCAAACCTTAACGGGCACCTGGTGGGCTAACCCATGACGTACTCACAGCCAGAGCCGGGCACGTGCTTTTTCTAACTAGATGCAAAACATGGAAGCACAGGGCTGGGGGGAGTCCTCAGCACACCCCCCCCCCCCCGCAGCTGGCAAATGGGGAGGCAGAGTTTGAACCTCACAGAAGCCAGGACAGGCCCTGGGGACAGGCACTTGCCCTCAGGACATTTTGGCTGAATCAGCAAATTCCTGCCCCCACCCCTGCTGCCTGATGGCACCCTGGGCTGCACGCCTCCCCCCTGGGGCCCCTGGAGCCCCTGAAAAAGGCATGCAGGTAAAAAGACCTACTAATACCCAGAGAGCTAAATGGGTCTGAGCTCCCCTTCAGATCCCCAGGCCAGGCCAAGGGCTGATTAGCACATGAAGGGGGGAAAGAAAGAAGGGGCCTCCCGGGCAGCCCCCAAATGGCGGCTACAACAAAATGTCGCACAAAATTAGCTCAACCTAAATCAATCAGCCTTGCCGACTCCACCACCCAGGCTCCCAGTGAGTGCCCCAGAAACAGGCCTGGGGGTGCAGCACGCGCAGTCTCGGGCCAGCCAGCCACTAGCCCGGGGCCCCCAGCAAGCCGGCCAGTGCCTCAGCGGTAAAAGGTGGCTGCAGCTCCCTGGTCCTGAAGGCTAAACCAAGTAAGGCTTGAGGTCCCGTGGGGGGCGGGGGTCACATTCACAGAGAGGAGGGAGGAGGGCGTTATTGCATCCTGGGGACAGACTTTCAGCTTGGGAAGATGAGAAAGTTCTGGAGGTGGAAGGTGGTGATGTTTGCACAACAGTGTGAATATAGCCGCTGTAACTGTAACAGTTACACACCGTTAAAATGGTAACTGTTCTATTATAAACGTTTTGCCACAATTAACAAAAAGTAAAACCCAGGTCTGCCTTGCCTCCACCGCCAGCTAAGTGAGGGGCGGGAACACAAAGCCAGCCTGTGCGGGCGGCCACAGAAAGGAAGTGGCCACACTAGCGGGCCCGTAGGCACAAACAGGCAGGATGGTCACATCCCTGACTAGTGACCCCTCCGGTCCCCCCCACCCCTACCCGTCTGCTTCCCGACCGCCCCACCCCCAGCAGCCCCCAGCCCCTTCCCTGGACACCTTTAGGGTCTCAGGCTTCTCATCTTTTTTCCATTATAAAAACATCAAGGGGGGGCGCCTGGGTGGCTCAGTCGGTTAAGCTCAGGTGATGATCTCAAGCGGCGGGCTCTGTGCTGACAGCTCGGAGCCTGGAGCCTGTCTTCGGATTCTGTGTCTCCCTCTCTCCCTGACCCTCCCCTGCTCACGCTGTCTCTCTCCCAGAAATAAATAAAACATTTAAAAAATAATTTTAAAAAACACATCAAGGAAATTTGGAAACAGCAAAAATTAAAAAAGTAAACAGGCTGCCTAGAACTTCAGCCCCTGAAAGGAACCTCTGGCCCTCAAGGAAGTCCCACCCGGGGCCCCTGGGACACCCTGCCCTCCACCCTTGGACTGGCCCAACATCACCCTTGGCAAAGGTGGCCACCCTCTGCCAGGATGGGCTGGGACTCTCCCCTTCCGTGCAGTGCCCTCCCCCCAATGCCAGTCCCCCCAGGACCCAGGGAAAAACCACCTTGACAACAGCCAAGCCTCCAGGATCCGGAGTCTTCTTTAACATATGCAAGTCCCTTTGAGAACTCTGTCTCTACTTCTCTGAACTCAGAGTAAGTGTATAATCTACCTCCTCACAACCCCAGTGCAGCTCTTCCTGCCCAGGGGTCCTCTCTGTGCCTTATTAAAACCACCTTTTTTACACCAGAAACGTCTCGAGAATTCTTTCTTGACCATTCGCTCCCAAACCGCCATAGCAAATCACACCATCAGCACCACTGGACGGCCACACCAGCCTCCCCGGCCCCCGGTCGGGCTCCTGAGGGACGGGCCCTGTCCGGAGCCCCCAGGTCTCCAAGCCCCAGGTCTGGGGTGGCCCGAGCTCAGGGGCTGGGCAGGCTGGAGCCCGTGAGTGGCTGAGCGGAGGAGGTGTCCCTCCAGCGCCCCAGCCAAGCCTTCTGCATGTTGGTTTCAGTTTGTTTTCCTGTAAACAGAGAGGCACAGTCAGGGAAGAGAGACAGAGGGGCCGCGAAGCAGGAAGCAGGAAGCAGGAAGCGATGTACTTGGTGGGGGTGGGCCCTTGGGGGACCCAGCAGAGTCATCCTCCTGAGTGACCAGGGCCCGGCCCCCGCTCCCGCCAGTAGCAGGAAGGGCCACCCACGTGATCCGGCGCTGCTAGAGGCTCACAGACCAGCCAGCAGGTGCCAGCATTTCGTAGGCGGAGGCGGGGGCTTCGGGGACGGGGTGGGCCCTGCACAGTGACCACCGCGGCACTCATGGCACCCCCAGGTTCTCACCCAGACCTGCTCCACTGACAGACACGTCGGATGCCCTCAGCTGCACTCTGACAGCCCCCCATGCAAAAGGAAAGGAGGGCAGAGGTGCGGTGGGCTCCGCAGAGACCCTCCTGCCCCAGAGGAAGGAGGTGCATTTTCTCAACGAGGTGGGTCTCTGGGAGGCGCTGGGCCCAGGAGCCGAGACTCCTTCTCTGCTTGTCAGCCAGGGACCCCCACCCCCACCCCTCTTTACCGGGTTCCGTAATTCATTTGAACCCTGAGGCCCACGCTCAACCCCTGCCTCACCGTGACCCCTGACCCCTGACCTCCACTGCTGGCCAGTGCCAGTCCAATGGGAAAAGATAGGGTAAAATAGGCCAAGAGGGAAAGATTAGGACCTGAGGCCTCTGAGTGGAGAAAAGCACATATTTTAGAACAAGGCTGGGAGCATCTGATCACAGCAAACCCCCTCGGGCGCAAGGCTGCTCTTAAGAATGTGACAGACCCCACCTACTCCCCCACAGGGTCCCCTTAGGAATCTGACAAGACACCTGACTACAAAGTAGACCGTGAACCGTCCCCACAAGGACCGGTGTGGTTTGGCCTAGACGCCCCCCCCCCCCCCCCCCCCCCCCCGCCCAAGATGGGAACAAGCGGATCAGGGAGGGACGCCCCAGACTATCAAGCCGTAGAGGGTGGAGCAGAGCAGGGCTCAGGGGGAAGGGAAGGGGCGGCGACCAGGACCTTATACCACAAAGACCTTCCCTTCCCTTCCGAACATGCCCTCTCCTCTCCGTAAAGAGACGCTCCCACTATCTTACTTTCCGATCTTCCACCCTAATAAAGTCTGCGTGCTGCTCACCTCGTGGCCGCCTCTGCATTCTTCGAAAACGAACCCCTGGGCACAGGTTCTTACCTGCAGGCAGCAGGGGCGGGAGCTGCCCATCCACCCAGCCTGGGGGCAGGCGCTCCAGGGCAGACCCAGCAGGGGCCACCAGCCCGCCACCCTTCCTCCATTCCCGCGGGGGCGGCAAGCCCCGCCCGGGTCCCAACCCTGTCTCTGCTAATTGCTGGCTGGGGGACCGTAGGCAAGATACTGAACCTCCCCGCACTTCACTCCTGGCATCTGTGGAATGGGAATTTATGATCACTCCGCCCTCAGAACGTGGCACGGCGCCAGGCTCACTGACATTTAACCGACAGTTCTGATTTTGTTTCGTTTTTAATCTCTGGGGTCCCAAAGACCACCCCCCCACCCTCGCATGGTCTCCCATCCGGGGATTTGTACTAGCGGCCAGGGATGCCCCCCCCCGCCCCGGCAGGTGGGAAATTCCCGCCACACACCAGGAGTTCAGCTATGCCGTGGCTCCAGACCCCAAGAGCCAGGGATCAATGCGAGAGTGGACACCGAGCCGAACGGAATGAGTCAAGCCCCGTGGGGTCCACAAGAAAAGACAGGATCCTGGGGTCTGGCCCCAGCCAGCCCTCCTCCCTGCAGCGGCTCCGGCACAAGAAAATCAAACAAAAATCAAACAAATATCGACAGCAATAGCAACCGCCTCTTTGACCTCTTACAATCCAATGAAAGCATCCGTGACGTGAGCACCTTGTACAAAGGCTGTTCGAGGGAAGAACCAGTGAGCGCACTTTGGCAGGTTACCCAGAGGTCGGAGAGCAAGGAGGCCTGGTACTGACAGCATTTGCTCTCTCACACACACACACACACACACACACACACACACACACACCTCGCATTTAGAAAACACACAAGGCTGGTGTGCCTGGCTGGTTCTGTCGGTACAGCATCCAACTCTTAATCTTGGGGTTGTGAGTTCAAGCCCCATGTTGGGTGTAGAGATCACTTAAATAAATACAACTTTAAAAAAAAAAAAAAGAAGGGGCGCCTGGGTGGCTTAGTTGGTTAAGTGTCCGACTTTCGCTTAGGTCATGATCTCGCGGTTTGTGGGTTTGAGCCCCGCATCGGGCTCTGTGCTGACTGCCGGCTCAGAGCCTGGAGTCTGTTTCAATCTGTGACTCCCTCTCTCTCTGACCCTCCTCTGCTCATGCTGTCTCTCTCTCTCCTAGAAATAAATAAAACATTAAAAAAAAAAAAAGAAGAAGAAGAAGAAGAAGAAAGAAAGAAAATGCACATGGTCCTCTAGAGAACTTTCTTTGGTTGGTCCCAGAGTTATTAATTCAGCACCTACTGTGTGCAAGGGACTTGGAGGAAAGTAGCTAACAAGAGAGCAAATGTCCCCTCTGAAGCCACAGGCCACCTGCTAGAAGGGCAAGCGGCCTGATGAGGGGTAACTGGGAGTGTGGGGGAAGGGCAGGGACCATTTTCCAGCGGGTGGTCAGAGTGGGGCTCCAGGTCCAAGACAGAGGAGCAAAGACTGATGGGAAGTGAGGGGGTCATGGTGCTGCCCTTGGAGGAAAGGTATGTTCCAAGCTGAGGGAACAGGCAGTGCAAAAGTCCTGTGGTCCCAGAATGCCTAAGAAGGGAAGGAAGGCAGAGGTCCCAGACACCAAGAGAGTTAAGGACCAACCTGAGCCGGGAGTGAGAGCCACCTGACATAGTTCCCTTTCATGCACCCACCTGCCACCCCACCCAGGAAAGGCGCCTGCCCAGGCTGTGGGGGCCCCTCCCCGCTCCCCAGCACCCGGGACACCACTTCCACACAGCATCCTCTGAAATCCGGCCCCTCAGCAGAGAACCTTTGAGTTCTCTCCAAGAAATGAAATTGAAAGTTTTAAAAAGCAACAGAAGCCTCCAGCAAAGAAAACTGCTCTTTTCACAACAGCCCTTCTTCCGGTAAGAGTTCTCTGGCCAAGGAGGACCTCGCTCTGCCCGCCCGAGCCGCCTGCGGGCGCGGTTTCCACGGCCCGGCCTGGGAAGCGAGTCGGAGCTGGTGCGCAGCCCACCGCCCCCACTCGGCCCTTACCTGCCACGGGGGCTGCAGGAAGCAGCCTCTGTCCACACTGGCTGCAGAACTTGGGGGCATCCTCTTTGGAGACATACCCGCACGAAGGACACTCCATCCCGCCCGGATGGGCCTTCTCCAGGCCGGCAAGCTCCCGCAGGTCTGCAAGGGAAAGGAAGGGTCCCCAGGCAGCTGACTATATACTGAGCCACCTGTCATGTGACCAACCCCGCTTCAGTTTCATTTTCTGGGAAAGTGAAATTGCAGCACCCAGAAGTTCCTCGGCTCAGTCGGCTCAATCGAAACCCATCCCGGGCACCTCCCCCGCCTGATTCCCCACCAAGGTCTCCCCACTCCCTCCCCAAACTCCCTCCAGCCCCGAGGGTCTCGCCCCCTCCCCCACCACTGGCTCCGGCCTCCATTCCCCTCCTGCTGCCCCCCGCCCCGGCCAGGCTCTGCCCTTTCTGGGCTCTCCATCACTCAGTGAGTCTGAAACTGCCCCCCCACCCCCACCCCTGGGCCGAGATTTGGGGCTGAGGCAAGTGAGAAGTAGGGGTGGGCAGAGGGGGGTGGTTCCAGCCTGCGCAAAACCTGGCGACAGGACTTGGGATAAGGACGCCCACGGTGTGCTGGGGACAAGGGGCTGGGAGACAAAAGCACCTGGCTCACAGGTGACACGAGAGGGGAGGCGGACGGCACTGCAGGAATGCCGGGGGACCCTGGCTGAGTCAGGCCCCACCAGAGGGACCAGCCCGCACAGGAGATGGGGGGGGGGCACCCAGTCTGGATTCCCAACAGGCAGGCCAGGCTATGTCCCCTAGGCTGGGACCCCGCCGCCCGCGCCTGCCTCCCCCAGACCCGGCAGGCTCTCCTTGGGGGCAGGGCAGGCCTAGGCTGGTGTCAGCCAGGTTCCCTGGCGGAGCTGGACACGGCCACGCCCTGCCCCCACCTCGCCCCTTGCTCTACCCGGCCAGCGGGCGCCACCACCCTCCTGGTCCGGGCTCTCACTCCGAGACTCTCAGTGACTCCCCACGCTGGCGGCTACCCGAGTCTCGCCCTCCTCTGCAAGGCTCTGCGCGCCCACAGCCCGGAATGTCACAGCAGGGCACTGAAACCCACCCTGAAGAGTCCTATCGCTTCGCGCCCGCACAAGGGCCTCAGGGCAGAAATGAGAACCCAGACCCCAGGCGCTGCTGCTTCCAGCAGAGCTTCCCGACTTCTCCCTTTCCTCTTCCCAACTTGAGAACTGCGCCAGACTCAAAGCCCATCCCCCCGACCGCCACCACAGAAGGCAGGCGGCGGGGGGGCCGGGGGCAGGGGCGGGGCGGGGGCGGGTCAAGGGCGGGCGGCCGCCCCCGTCTCTGCACTCCCTCCTCCTCTGGCCTCCCCGCGGCCGCCAGGTGGCCCTCGAGGCCGTCACGGCGGAGGTGCCCATCTGGCCTGGGGACCCCGGCCGCGGGCCGTCCTAGAACCCGGGCCCCTGCGCCCCGGGCCGCGCGGTTACAGGGGCGGGGATGCCGCTCCCCTGAAAGCGACTGTGGAGACACCCAGGGGCGCCGTTCGTTCGGTAACCACACCGCTCCGCTGCTGCAACCGGAGAAGCGAAGGGTTCCGCTCCGGGGGAGGCGCGGCCGCGGGGGCCAGGCGGCCGGAGGGCTCCCAGGCGCGCGCACACCCGCTGCCCGCGGCCCGGAGGCGGGGTCCGCAGGGGGCGGGGCGGGGCCGCACCCCGGAGCCGGCGGCGAAACCGAAACTGGGCGCCGCAGGAAGAGGCAGCCCGGAGCGGACGGCGCGCAGCACGCAGGCGCCGCCCCGCGCCCCCGCACCCCCGCATCCCCGCACCCCCAAGTCGCCACCGCCCCGCGCCCCGCATCCCAGCTCCCTGCATCCCCGCACCCCATCGTCCCCGCGCCCGCTCGCACCTACGGCGCCCCCGCGCCCATGCCACCGCCGGCCGGCTCCGGTCCTGACGTCCGGGGCCCGCCGCTCCGCCCGCCGGAGGGTGCGGCCGGAATGCCCCCCATGGCGCCCCCCAGCGGACCCGGCGCCCCGCCAAGGGGAAGGCGCCGCCTGCCGCTGCACGCGGGGCGGGGCTCGCGGGGCCCGGAGTCTAGCCCCGCAGGGGTCCGCGCCGTGGTCTCCGCCTCCTGCCGCGGCGCACAGCACCCTGGACAGTGCCCACCTCCCCGTAGAGCCAGCGGAGGGCCCGGGAGGGGCACAGAGGAGGCGGGTCACCCGTGCAAGGTGGAGGTCACCAGCCCCATCCCTTCGGGGCCTTGGGCTGATTAAGCGACCACAGATGGCAGCGGAGACTTCACAGCCGGCGCCTACCCCTTCCATGGTCACTGATAACCAAGAGGCCACCCCAGCCCGCGTCTGCACCGGTTCCCCCCCCCCCCCTACCGTTTCCTCCTCTGTGAGCTCACAGTCTGGCATCCTAGGGCTGTAGGAGAATTTATTATTAATAACAATACAGTAAACGCTGGTGTTCCAGGAGTATTACTGACTACTCAGTGTCTTCTCCCCCTCTCCCCGTCCCCAGAAACCAGCATTGATTATCAAATTCAAGAGGCCCGGGTTCCTGTCCAGTCACACAGCCCTTCGTCTCCCGGGACCGGCAAGCTCAGGTCTTGGGGCCCCCTCCTGCGGTGCCCCATCCCCGCCCCACAGGGCTGGCGTCTGCACTGGATCCCAGCATCCCCGTTGGAGCTCAGGCAGCACCTGGGGGTGCTCAGCACAGGTTGCCACATGCGATCTCACGCATACTCGAAGCCACCGACCCCGACTCACAACCAGCCGCCCCTGCCATCAAGTTAGTTCATCTGGATCTGGGCAGGACCCAGGCCGTGTCCAGTGCTGTGGCCTTTGACCCTGTGCTGACCTCGCATCAGACGCAGGAGAGAGTGCGCATCCTGAAAGAAGGGGGCTCCAGGCAGGGTACCAGGCTGGGTGGGGTGGATGGGGGGGGCCGTGGTGGGAGGGTGGCCGGCTGCCCTGAGGGGGGCAGGGCAGGGAAGATTCCCGTGTCCCAAGACGCTCTGTGGTGGGGTCCCCCTAGCAAGGGAAGGGAGAGCACGGTCCCGCCCTGTGAGACTTGGCGAGACACTGGCGGAGCAAAACCCAGACACTCTCCCAGGCCAGTCCCAAGGCAGCCCCGCCGGCCAGGTGGCACCCTCCCTGAGGGGCAGCCATGGTGCCCGGGCCCCGCCGGCACAAGCGCAGAGCCCCGAGCCTGCCCAAAGTAACGGGGTGTCGTTGCGGGGCCCACACCGTGGGCACTGCTGGAAGCCTGCAGGTCAGCACACATGTCCTGGACAAGTCAAACGGCCGAGGAAACACAGCTGACCCGGTCGGTGTCAACGGGCCACCGATCCGTTCTTTCCTCAGCCCCAGGAGGCAGGCTCCCTTAGGGAAGGAGCCTGGGCTAGGGTTAGAGTTGGGTCCTGGAAGGTGTCAGGGCCCAAATCAACACCGGCTCAGCGGTCTCCCTGGAGGGCTGGGCTGATGGCGCGTTAGGGTGCGGGGCCGGCTTAGGGTTTGGGTTCAGGGAACGGCCCGTGGTGTGTTCCAGGCTTAGGGTTTGGACAGGACCCCCTTCTGCAGCACGATTCTGACCTGGAAATATGGCAAACTCCTAGGGTCCTCACTGAATAATTCCATGCTGGTTATGGGCCCCGAATCCATTCTCTTCTCAGACCTAGGAGGTGGGCCCCCTGAGGGCCAGAGCCATGGCCAGGGTTAGGGTTTGGCCCCAGGAGATGTCTGCCCGCTTCTCTGTGGTCTCGACCACTCTTTAGGAGAAAGAAAACAGTAAAAAGGGTTTTTTAAATCCAGCTTTTGAGAGATGGGGATCACCATCCTGTCTTCGGTCTGCTTCTGCCACTCCCCACTTAATTTGTGGCTAAAGACGAATGAAGCTTCAGCTGGATCATCAGGTCACCTCCTCTTCCTTCAGCCTCTAGGAGTCCAGTCTAGACGGGGTGCCCAGAGTGGGGGCATAACATGCATTTATACAGGCAGGACTGTGGAGTGGCACCCACCTGCGGCAGAGGAAGTCACCCTTAGAGCGGGGCCGTGACTCTCTACTAAGAAGTCGGGGTGTGGCGTGGTCAGCATGGACATCCCGTTCTGACAGGTGCATATACGAGCCACCAGGTGTTCCAAAGGAAGTAGGGGCTCCCGACACTTCCACCTCTAGGTGCCGAGAAGCTGGTAGCAAATGTCCCCCCGCCCCCGTCCACAGGACACGTACACTGTAGGGAGGGCGAGCACCTCAGAGAACCAAGTCGAAACTCACAGAGCACACCGAATAAAGACAAAACCAGGAAAACCAGGTGTTAGGAGCCCAGTCTGAACACCCACAGAAAAGGCCCCTTACATTCCCTAGTTGGGATCGTTGTAATAAATGTATATGTTAAAATATGCACACAATAAAATAAATAACAGCAAAACGTAAAACAACGTATAAATGTAATATATGATCTCATACCACTAGAAATAAGACAGAAAATAACAAAATACAAGCCAGGAACAGAGACTGGCTGTCGGCGCAGGAGGAGGGTGGGGTCCTGGGATGAAGGAAGGAGGGGGTGAGGAAAGGTGTCAGGTTTGTCCTTAACCACGTGGTGACCCCGCAGCCTGACTCTCCTGGCCCAGCTTTCACAAAGCCTCCCTCCTCCGCGTGGAGATCTGCAGGGGGGAAGCCTGTGCAGTCGGCCGTCCCGCGGTCAGTTGCGTGACCTCCGCGGAAGCCCGCGGACTCGGCCACGGGGTCTCCCTGACCAGACCCAGCATAGGATATCTTCCAGATGCCGTGGATGTCGGATCATTTGAAATGTCCTTGATCTTGATATCACAACCACCAGAGTTTGGGGCACGGATTCGGTGACCCAAACGCACCCGTGGGCGGCCTTGCTCCTCACCCGCGTACATCGATGCTCCTGGGCTCACTGCAGGAAGGACACTCCGCTGCTACAGCGCTGCCAGCGCGGGGAGGGGTGCACTTTGCAGGGAGCCTAAGTGCAAGCGGGAAGGGGTGGGGAGGGGTCGAGAACAAGGGGGCCTTATGAGGAGAAGTGGGTCTGCCCACGGCACAGCTCTGTGGCCCCAGCCCGGATCGGAGCCTCCAGCCATCTCAAAGCACGGCTTGTGCGAGCAGGCAGGGCTGAACAAAACCCTCTCACTCACCCCAGAGTTGTGCAAATAAAAACTGTGCCAAACAAGAGGGGCTTTGATAGTATCTGCTAACCGGCCTGCCTTCGGATCGCATTTTCGGCATTTTCGGCTCTGGTCTTCCCCGGGGAAAGGCAACACGTCTGAGTGAGAGACCAGGTCGTTGAGTTGCTCGTTAATAGGCTTTGGGGTGCAGATTGGTCAGGGTGGAGTTGGGCTGCTGGGAGCCAGTTTTCCGGGCCTCGATATTCTTGACTAGGGGCCGTGCTCTTGACCCCATGCAGTAAAAACTGCCCGAGTCAAAGCCCCTCGGGTTAAAACTGTGGGGGCCGGAAACAGCCTCCAGCCTGAGTCCCAGACTTGGGCGGCGGCCCCACGCAGACCAGCCCTCAGGGAAGGGCGATGGTTCCCTATTTGTGGAGGGAGCAGGGGCCACAGAATGGAGAAGGTGGTGGCTGAGTGACTTGGTGGCTCCCGGACAGCACTCTCCTCACGTGTGTCCCCACCGTCTCAAGGACACCAGCCATCAGATTTAGGGCCACCCTAAACACACCTAATTACGCCCTCAGAAACCCTGTTTCCAAATAAGGTCACAGTCACGGGCATCCTGGGTCAGGAATTAACTCTTTTCATGGGGACACAACCCAACCGACTACAGGCACCAGCTCCGTGGGCTTTGCCGAAACTCCGCGGAAAGACGCAGCCGTCTGGCACGGCAGAAGGCTTGTGTGGTCTGGATAATAAACGTGGGTCCTTCCACAGGATTAAGATTATTTTAGGGCCATCTGGGTGACTCAGTGGGTAAAGGGTCTGACTTGAGCTCAGGTCATGATCTTGCTGTTCATGGGTTCAAGCCCCACGTCGGGCCCTGTGCTGACAGCTCAGAGCCTGGAGCTGCTTCCGATTCTGTCTCCCTCTCTCTGCCCCTCCCTTGCTCACATTCTGTCTCTGTCTCTCTCTCTCTCTCTCAAAAATAAAAGTTAAAGGGGCGCCTGGGTGGCTTAGTCGGTTGAGCGTCCGACTTTCGCTTAGGTCATGATCTTGCAGTTCGTGGGTTCGAGCCCTGCGTCGGGCTCTGTGCTGACTGCCAGCTCAGAGCCTGGAGCCAATTTCAGAGTCTGTATCTCCCTCTCTCTCTGACCCTCCCCTGCTCATGCTGTCTCTCTCTCTCTCCTAGAAATAAATAAAAACTATTTAAAAAAATAAATAAATAAAAAAATAAAAGTTAAAAAAATTTTTTTAAATTATTTTAAAGCTGGAGGGAGGGGGACAGGTTCTCTGCCAGCATCAGTAGCTGAATTTACAAAGGATAGACAGATCTACACAGAGAAATTTTCTTATTATTTTTTAAAGTTTATTTTTGAGAGAGGGAGAGACAGAGTGTGAGCGGGGGAGGGGCAGACAGAGGGAGACACAGAATCCGAAACAGGCTCCAGGCTCCGAGCTGTCAGCACAGAGCCTGACGCGGGGCTCGAACTCACGAACCGTGAGATTATGACCTGAGCCAAAGTCAGACGCTCAACCAACTGAGCCCCCCAGGCGCCCCAGAAGAGATTTTATACAAATAATCACACGTCAGTCAGGAAAAAGTTTGCTGTTTGCTCCAGGAAAGCCCAGGGTAGCCCAGCTCCGGGCAGGCTTTCTAGGAAAGATGGGGGTCCCTGCCACACTGATGGGGACACCCACTCCCCACATTAGGACACAGAGCACCCTGACCCACGAGGAGGCCTCGCTGAGTGTGGGGCCTTGCAGGGACTTGGCCACCGAGCCTGGTGGCACCGGGGACCCTGCCATGGTGACTTCAGACTGCAGAGGAGGCCAGAGGGAGCCATCACAGGGGACCTGGCCCCGCTTCACCCCCACCCCCCACCCCCAGGACAGGTCAGGAGCAGCCTAGGCCAAAACGCTTCCCTTCCGCCCTCTCCTCTGCCTTCCCCGTCCCCATCACCAGAGTCCTGCAGCAAGCCACGTCCCGTGCCTTGTGCCGGGCACTGTCCCACAGACCTGCTTATCACCGAAGGCATTCCGTTTGTGGTGAGGAGGGGAGAACAGGAGAGAGAAATAACGCCAGGAGGTCCGGTTCCGAGCGGCAGTGGCTACTCAAGTGCCTGACACACGCCAGGCCTTCACTCTGCTCTGCAGTTAAATCCTGATGGTCCCTTGGAAGATGGGGAAGTTAAGGATCGGAGAGCTCAGACCATCTCCCCAACGTCACACAGCGAGAATCAGGGCCTGGGCTCAAAACAGCTCTCGGCAAGCGGCCGCGCCACACTGTCTCCTGCACCGTCACCTCCGGGGATGGAGACAAACGCCCACATGAGCCACGATCTCGGGATAGCAGGGGCCTCCTGACCACCTTGGACGCTGACGTCTCAAACTTGCGTTCTCTGACACGGCAGCCACGCAACACACCCGGCAGCAGGCACTCCCGGGGGGCCCGTCTGAACGGGGACGTGTCCTGAGCGTACGATGCACGTCAGGTTTCGAAGATCTCGTGTGAGAAAAATAACGTACATAGTCTCGTCCATGAGCTGTGTATAGATTACAGGTTGCAAGGGTGGCATTTTGGATGTCACGGCTTAAATACAGATGTCACAGGTTAAATAATGTAAATTTCACCTGTTACTTTTTGCTCAGGAGGGCCGCTGGCAACATTAAAAAGGCACACGTGGCTCGCGTCTGTGGCACGTTTTCATCGATGGTGCCACATTCTGAGGACATGGCTTCCAGGGTACCCATGAGGTCCCCTCCGTGCCAGCCAGGAAGGGGGGAGAACTTGCTCCCCTGGGGAGCCAGCACTGCGGACAAAGCGGGTTGGCCAGGGCACTGTAACAAAGTAGCACGGCCCAGGCGGAGCCCCAAGTCCCCAGGCGGAGCCCCAAGTCCAGGATCCGGGGGCCGTCTCTGCTGTTCCCTGCTTCCAGAAGCATCACCTAACTCTGCCTTCTCCTCCCCGGGTACATCTGCACCAAAGCTCATTTCCTTTTTTTTTTTTAATTAAAAAAAATTTTTTTTTAACGTTTATTTATTTTTGAGACAGAGAGAGACAGAGCACAAGCTGGCAGAGAGGGAGACACAGAATCCAAAGCAGGTTCCAGGCTCCTAGCTGTCAGCATAGAGCCCGACGCAGGGCTCAAACCCATGGACTGCAAGATCATGACCTGAGCTGAAGTTGGAAGCCTAACAGACTGAGCTCCCCAGGCGCCCCCCAAAGCTCATTTCCTAAGCGCTGAGGCACGTGGATCAGGGCCCAGCCTGATATGAGTCGGGAGTCAGTGCTACACAGCCATGCACCACACACACAACTGCCTGACTGCCACGGTGCTGGCGGCGCCGCAACCCCATCGGCCTGCTGAAGGCGCCACACCAGCCAACACGGTCATGAGCCCCAGTCCCGTGGGCCCCGGCTGGTGGGCCAAGGCCCAGAGGGGGCTTACCCAGCCCCGTGTCTTCTGGCCCCAAATTCCCAACTCCTTCCATGCAGCTGACCATACCAGTCTTTCCTCTTTTATTTATATTAAGCTCTAATTATAAATCAATTACAAATTTAGTAAGTTCATAATTTAGTAACATATATATTAATTTTAAACTTAGCTGAATTCATAATTTAATTCTATTATATATTATATGGATACAAAACTAAAATGTCACTTAGGTTTTTTTTGAGATTTTTTTATCTTGAGAGACAGACCACGTGTGCACGTGCACACACTTCATGGGGGAGGGGCGGGGAGAGAGGGAGAGAGTCCCAAGCAGGATCCACACTGTCAGCAGAGCCCAATGGGGGCTTGAACTAATTGTGACATCATGACCTGAGCCGATCAAGAGTCAAGACGCTAAACCGACCGAGCCCCCCAGGCACCCCAACAAATGGTCTCCTGAGATGAACGCTGCTCTGCAGCTCTTCCTTCAACAGCACCGTGTGTAGGGGTGTGGGGCTCTGCCTCGCCCCTTACCCACCCAGAGCATCCCAGCTCGTGTGCTTCGCCACCAGGACGCTCTGATATGGAGACACATAGCTTGGTTTCATTCTCTACAACGGCCAATGAGGTCATGATATGCATCCCTGGATCTGCTCCCTGGGAGAAGGTTCTGGAAGCCGACCTCCAGGTTCACAGGTGCAGCTCTGGGAGAGAATCCTGGCGCGGAGGGCCCGCCAGAGCGGATGGGGCTTGCGCGCCCTGCGACTTGGCTGGTCTCTTAGTTTGAGAAGGGTGTGTAGGGGCTGGGGAACAACCGGGCGGCTGCCCCCTGGGGCCCTGGGTGGCGGGGGCTGGGCAGACAGGCTTCGAGGACATGATCGGTTGAGTAGGCGAGGCTACTCGAGGAAGGAAATGCAGACTCAGGGACAGGGCGCTGAGGGGCCTGGGAGGAGAAACATGAGGAGACCGGGGCCCGGGGCACCTGGCCAGAACGTGTCACCACCAGCGAGCCCCAGGGGGTCCGCGTGCACAGCGAGCTCTTTCTCCAAGAAGGTCCGGGAGCAGAGCCTTCCTCGGCTGTGACGGCAGGGGTGGAAAGTGCGTGCACACGCGGGACAGGCAGAGTCCCCGTGCAGAGGCTCAGGGGGCTGTTGTGACACACGCACAGAATAAAATACGACGGAGCCACTGGGAGTCACGGATTCTATTTATTAACACGAGTCGTTCACAGCAAGGACTGCACAAAGGTACGGGTCACAGAGCACCGTGTGGGAGGGGACCCCGTCTGCGCCCGACCGTCACATACAACCCACGTGCTGACTATGGACAGACACGCACGCGGGCTGTGGGGACGGGGTCTGAGCTACCCCAGAGCGGACGGAGGAGACGATTTCCGGCAGCTTTTACGAGAAGCGTTTACGATTTTTACAAAAACACCAAAGCCGTCACATTTTTAATTTAAAAAACAGCAAACGACAAAATTATTTTTACCAAGACACTTTGAAGTCGTTCGGCACACCTTGGTTTTCTCCCCGACGACAACATGGACGCCACCACCGAGACTAGAACCACCTCCGACCTGCCCACACAACCTCCCCTGTAGCCAGGAAGGTGATGGGGCACGAAGGCCCCTCCCCTGGATCGGGCAGAAGTCCCGCCCCTTCTTTCTCATGTGGTCGGTCATTCCAGAAGGCGGTCTTCACACCACTCTTCAGGAAAAGGTTCGTGCCCAGGAGCAGAAGGGAGGGAATCTTCAGTCACCCCAAATACAGGCACCTATGGGTCCTGGTGTGTGGCTTCCTCCTTCTGGGGTCACCTGCTCAGCGCCCTCAGCCCGGCGTGCTCACAGGGCGGCGTCCGGCATCACAGCATCTAGAACTTTCTGCACACTCCCCAAGCATCAGACGCCCATCAGCGCCCCAATCAGGCCTTCAGCAGGGCCACCTTGTGTTCCGGAACAGAACCTTCGCTGATGTTGTAGGGCTGGGTCCCTGGCTCCTGCCTCAGGTACTTCTCTGCAGAAGAAACGAGGTTTGCAAGCACTAAGAAGGAGGAAGCAAGGAAGGGTCGCTTCACAGAATGGGCTCAAAGGCTGGCACCTCAGCCCGGTGCACAGGGAGCCGGGGTCCCCCTGGCTGGCACCTCCACCCCCAGGCAGGCTTCCCGCTACGTCCCTGATCGGAGCCTCCTCATTTCCCACGCCCTCAGAACCCTTCCCCCGTGCCGGGCGGCCCCCTGCCCGGGCCCGGCCACAGCTGTCCCATCCGCGTCCTGGGGGTCAGCTGTTTCCAGCCAACGACACGGAAGGGTCTCAGACGCCGCGCTGAGCCAAACAAACCAGACGAGGAAAGAGCCCTTATGAGCCCCTTTATGTCAAGTTCTCCAACAGGCAAAGCTGGCCAACGGTGGAAGAAATCAGAAAAGCGGCCAACTCTGGTGGGTGAGAGTCGTGGAGAGGGGCTGAGGGAACCTTCTGGAATGACAGAAGCGTTCCCCATCTCAACTGTGGACATCTGGCTGTATCCACCCATCAGGCCTCAGGCTGCACGTTTAAGGTCTGTGTGTTCACTGAACGTAGACTGTGCCTTCATTCAAAACACGCCCCTAAAATAAATCCCCAGAACAAAACGGACCCCGACTCTGCGGCCCACGCTCCCCACCCCTGGACTTGTGCGTCTGACCCTCCGATTCCAGGGTTTCTGCCCCGACCCCGCAGGCGGGGGGCACGCGGGGCGGACGCGGCTCTCGGAGGCTCCGCCGCACCCACCTGCGTCTTCCAGCGTGGAGAAGTGCTGGACGCCCTTCAGGCCGGCAGACAGCAGGACGCGGAGAACGGGCACCTGCGGGGCGGGCAGACCTGAGCTCCGGGCGGGGCTGTTCCCGTCTCCGCACGCGGGCACACGCGGTCTGGAGCAGGGCCCCAGGCCCAGTGCCACCGGCCACGTCGCTGCCCCCCCGCAGTGTCCAGGGAGTTGCACCTTCACCTCCACTCGGGGAGACGGAGGGAAGAGACCGGGCCTCCCGGCTACGCTAGAAGAGGAACAGGTGTGAGTGGATGCTCTACGAGAGACGCAGAAGCGAGCTCTCCGGAAACGACGAGGAACGTGATAGGTGCGACAAAGCTCTGGAGCCAGGTGCCCGGGCCTGTGCCACCCTGGGCAGCTCACTCAGCCTTGCGGGGACGGGAGCAGCGCCGACCTCACGGGCAGGTTTGAGAGTGAGAAGGGCCGCCCGTCGCGACACCCACCTGCAGGCCGACGAAGGCGAGGGTGACGCCGTGCCTGTGGAAGTCCCCCAGGAGGTCCCCGAGCCCCAGCACCACGGTGTAGTCGATGCTGCAGACGTGGGTACAGTCCAGCACCGCGCAGCGCGGGGGCGACACTGTGGAAACAGTGGTCAGCGGGTCAGCGCCAGGGGGCACGGGGGGCCGCGACGGGGAGGGTTGGTCCACACAGAAGGCGGCCATCCAGGGACGGAGCAGCAGTTCCCTTTAGAGGACAGGCCCCTCCTCCTAAGTACTGACTCTGGGAAGCAAGGTTGCTCTTTAGGAACAAACGTTGGGTAACAGCTCCCCACCCCCCTGGAGAGAGATGGCGGGCACCCACCCAAGGCACCCTGAGACCCCCTGGGCCTGAGGGGATGAGCTCCCCAACAGCCAAGGACGGGGCCCCGGAGTCTTGCGGGAGCAGACGGGGCACAGGGAAGGTGGCAGGCAGCCAGCGGGCACCGCAGCCCACGCACCTTCCAGAGCCCGGCTCAGTATCGCCTCCCGGACGGCTTCGATGGCTGGGAAGTGCAGGCCGCTGGCCGGCTGCAGGACCAGCACCGGGCCCTCGGACACCTGGGGACACAGCAGGGGACAGCCAGCACGTCCCGGAGCCAAGTCCAGCCCGGCAGTTCCGAGAGGGCAGCCCCTCCAGCAGGAGGCCCCAACCCAGGCCAACAGAACAGAGTGGGGAGCACAGGCGGCGGGCCCTCACCCCTACCCTCGGCTTCACCTGCCGGGATGGGGGAGCACAGGCGGCGGGCCCTCACCCCTACCCTCGGCTTCACATTCCGGGATGGGGGAGCACAGCCGGTGGGCCCTCACCCCTACCCTCGGCTTCACCTGCCGGGATGGGGGAGCACAGCCGGTGGGCCCTCACCCCTACCCTCGGCTTCACATTCCGGGATGGGGGAGCACAGCCGGCGGGCCCTCACCCCACCCACGCCCTCACGAGCAGGACAGCTCTGTGGCTCTCGGCGGGAGGCTGACACCCATTCACCACGTGAATGGTCACTGGGTGGTGCCACGGGCCACGGTCGCACGGAAACAGTGCAGGCCCCCTGAGGGCGGCAGAGCCCGGCGTGGGCGGGCCAGGCGGGCCGGTACCTGCATGTTGGGTCTGGCCACGGAGTGCAGGAGAAGCAGGGCGGAGAGCAGGGCCCCGGCCAGGATGCCGTACTGCACCTCCCAGAAGCACAGCAGGAAGGTCACGCTGAGGGGCAGCAGGTCCAGCCCTGGAGGGAGGGGTGCAACTGAGGGCGGCCCCCGCAACAAGCCTGGCTCCGGCGAGCCCGAGCCCCAGAGGGACGGGCACGGGCCGCGGGCCACACCGGCTGGGACGTGCCAGGGGCAAGACAGCCGTCCCTGCCTGGCTGGGGGCCACGAAGACCTGACGGCCGGGCCCAGGACGCTGCCTTCTGGGAGGTGGTCAGCCGTGGGCGCTTGTCAGGGGCCTGAGGAAGGGACGCGGGGAGTCCTTGGGCAGCACACGCGGCTCCTCTGAGCCGCAGGAGGAAGGGTCCTGGGGCAGGAGGGAGGGCTTGGGGGTCAGCCTAGGATGCGACCCTGACACGTGTCACTGAGACGAGGCCCCGCCTCCCTGGGCCTCCCTCCGTGTGGGCGGAGACACCTGTGGGCCCACACAGGTGCCCCCGACGGCCACGCGTCCCAGGCTGTCCCAAAGATGGCGGCGGTGACACAGCAAAGAACTGGTGCGTGTGACGCGTGCTAAAGTCACCAATGACGCTCGGGGACAGACGGGAGGAAGCAGGTGAGCCCCGTAAATCCCTCTCCCGCTTCAACCAACAAAACAAACGCTTGAGCGCTTGTTCCGTCGAAGGCACCGGAGGCTCCAGGGAGCCCTGAGAAGGGCCGGGGCCGCGGGAGTCACCCTGAAGTCCCTCGTGTGTCCCCGGCTAGGCCAGGCTTGTGGCTGGGAAGGCAGAGGAGGAGAGGGAGGAGAGAGGGAAGAGGGAGGAGGGGGAGAGGGGAGAACAGGAGAGGAGGGACGGAAGGAGGGGAGAGGAGGGACAGAGAAGACAGAGGAGGAAAGGAGGGGACGGGAGAGGGAGAGATGGAGAGAAAGGAGGGGGCAGGGGGGAGGGGAAAGGAGAAAGGAGGGATGAAGGGGAAGAGAGTAGGGGAGAGGAGGAGGGAAGAGACAGGGATAGGAGAGAACAAGGAGGGGGGAAGGGAGGAGGGGGAGGGGAGGAAGGGGAGGAGAAAGGATGGAGAGAGAAGAATGGGAATGGGGGAGGGGGAGCGAGGGTGGAGGTGAGGGGAAGCGGGGGGGGGGGGGGGGGGGGGGGGGGGGGGGGGGGGGGGGGGAGGGGAGCAGGGGCGCCCGGTAGGTTGCAGACGCCCTCAGCACCGCATGGAGCAGGTCTGGGGCGCTCTCCGGCCTCCTGACCCACGGCCAGCAGGGTCCCGGAAGACGGTGGGGGAGAATCCAGGGCGCGTGCGTGTGACAGGCGAGGGCACACGTACTCTTGACACGCCAGAGCGTCCCGAAGACCCCGGTGTCGAACAGCGGGGCCACGGCCATGATGATGACGGCGGCCAGGGCGGACTTGGGGATGTAGTAGAACAGCGAGGTCAGGTAGTCCAGCGACAGCAGCACCAGCACTCCTGTGGGGGCGCAGGGCGTCACGGGGACCCCAGCCCCACCCGCCCGCACTCCCGGCTCAGTGGGGGGTGCTCACCTGTCACCAGGCCCCCCGCTGGGGTGCACACCCCCGACTGCGCGTTCACAGCCGTCCTGGAAGGAAACACGGACAGCCCCGTGGCTGAGGGGCCCTGGGCCAGGAAGGGGACTTCAGGGCCCTGTGGACACGGGCACCTAAGTGGGGACGCGGAGGGGCAGCCGACCCCGCAGCGGGGGAGGGGGGATAACCGCGCCAGCCTGTGGCATTGTGTCACGGCAGCGCAGCCAGAACCGTCACTTGTGTTCACAGCTACGCGGACGTGCCGGTGACATCGAGCGGAGGAACGTCCCTCTCTGCACACGCATCACCTACATGTGCGCGGGAACAGAAAGAGGCCTGGAGAGAGACGCCGCGTGCAAGACAGCGAGCCTCCTCCCGGAAGGGGGACAGGAAGGTAACTTTGCGGCTTCCCTTTCCCTGTTGCCTGTTTGGAAAGCTGGGTTCAGACCCGCATCCCAGGAAAAGGCTCCTCTGCCCAGGGACTCGGCCGGGACCCACATTTCCCTCTGCCACCGCGAGGGCCACAAAGGAAGGGCCCCCTGACTTCGGCTCTCGATCACCCGACGGCGACCTGTGCCCACCCTTGGGATACGGCAGTCGGTCGCTCACGGCCAGGGAAAGCCTGCGTCCTCCTCCCCTTTGCGGCGCCGGGCAGGGGCTTCACTCCTCAAACACTCACTGGCTTCTCCGGTGCCCATCACATGCAAGGCACTGTGCCAGGCGGGGGCACAAAACCTGTGACCTTGAGGGACAGGTCACGTCACAGAAGGGAGTGGGAAGACAGACTGAACACGGAGGTTTTATCTCACAAACAGCCCAGGGCCTGCAGGCTGCCCGCTTCGTTCCACGCGCTCATTCACCTGCCAGTAGCTGACTCGGCCCCACGTGACTCCTATTTGTGGGGGAGCACGTGGACTGTGCCCTGTGGCACCCCTTGGTTTAGGGGTGTCGCAAGGTCCAGTACTCAGACGGGGCCAGGCCAGCCATGCTGGGGCTGCGGGCGCTGCTGACCGACGCCCCCACTTCTTCCAGCACAGGTCACTCTCTGCCCTGCCCCCCACCCCCGCCTTGCAGGGTCCCTCGGCGACAGCACACGAGGAGGCTGTGACCCGCGCCCCATTTCTCCACGCACAGCGTGATGCTTCCCATCCCTTTTAGGAACGCGCCCTGGTACGAGATGCGGGAATGTCTGGGGGGTAAACCGCGGCACCAGCGATCAGGGAAACCCAGGTGAGATGGTGCAGGGTGGTAGTCGCCCTCAGTCCTGCCCCCCACGGACGCCGCTGATCTAGGGATGCGGCTGCCACAGGCCAACTTCTGCCCCAGAGGAGAACAGAGTGGCATCGAGATGTGGGCAGGGGCCCGACAGGCTCTTTGAGCGCATTGTGGACCCTCTGGCCTGGGCTGGGGCCTTCCCCACCCAAGGCACAGAGAAGGAAGGGCGTGGTCACTCACCGCCCAAAGCTGCCTGTGACCGGGTAGGAGGAGACGAAGGAGCCCAGCACGTTGGTCAGGCCTGGGGAGAAAACGGAAGGAAGAGGTTCATCCGAGAGCGAGAGGGATACCAAACAGACGGGAGGGATCCCCCGAGGTGTCCTATGTCCGTGTCTCCGTGTCTGTCACAGGAAGGAAACACAAATCACGACCTTTGCCAAGTTCACTGAGGTTGACCCTAACTTTAAAATAACTCTGGCCCCGGCCTTACCCTGGTGAACTGAACATGCCTTTTCTAATGGGCCCAGAGGCCCACGTGCCCAGAGGTCAGCTGCCCACCTCCTCCGTCAAATCCACAATCCTTTCGTGAGATGACCAGCTGGGGCACAAGGTCATGGCTGGTAAGTGCTCCTGCCCTGTGACACTGACCCACCCACACCTGAGACACGGGCTGGGACCTACAAACGGAGGTAAGTCATCAGCCCACGTGTACATCACCCACGTGGCGAGCCCCAGGACCTGCACAGACACCACAATCCCACACAGTCCACAAGGCCATGCTGGGCTCACAAGTTCAAGTACCTGCCTGTGACACCGCTCAGGGTGGAGCCCACTCAGAACCAGGCCCTCCTGGCTCCCACAGCCGGCGCACGCCCCGAGAGCAAGGCCAGACATCAATGGACGTGGCAAAGGCAGTGCGCTGACTGCACGTGGTCACTCTCTTTCCCATGGCCCCTTGAGTCTCAGATCAGAGACATGACCGCGTGGTGTGGGCGTTCCACGGTGCCATCCACCATGAGCTCTGAGAGGGGTCTCCCAAAGTCCCCGTGACCCATCCTGGAGCCCCACACCACGTGCGGTCAGGAAACTCAGTGGCTCAAGCCCAAAATGCTGCTGCGAAGTGAAGTAGCACTGGTGGGAGGGGGCGTGGGGGGTTCCCGTGGACCCCCTGGTAGACCCCCTGGGAAGGCACCTACTGGTGCTGCCCAGTCAGACCCGTGCCCGCCTCACAAGGGGCAGGAAGGAAAGACAGACAAGCCTGAGGTCCACAAATTAAAAACAGTAATGTAACTAAATTTAAGATTCGTGCCATGCCCTCAAAATGAATCATCAAGGAGGCCAGATTCATGGAGACAAAACAAAAATCCACAACACCTGGCACAGACCCATCCAATAGCGGGGTCTAGCCAGGTGTTCACTGATCTACCTGCCCAGCCTGCAGGGTGGTCACGGGTGGGGGCAGATAGGGTCCTGGAGCTCTACCTGCCCATGCTCCTCCGCGATCTGACCCCAGAGGGGAACATTCCTGGCATTCCTTGACCCAGAGTGAGGCGGCTACAGACCTCAGGGTCTGGTACACAGCAAGCATTCAATAAGTGTCAGTCAGAACGGACACCAGAGGCCAGCTGCCTACTCCGTGTGACCACACACAGAACCGTCTGGGGACTGGCCCGACTCTGGGCCACCTCTGCTGTGTGTACCTCCCCACGACAGTCACCACGGTCTGCGCAGCCCAAGTGAGATGCACAGATGCACACTCAGGGCTCGGGAGGGCCGCCGCGGGGGTCTTACCGATGGACAGCAGCTCCTGGTTGGCGTCGATGCGGTAATTATTCTGAGAAGCTACAGAGAGAGAATAAAAACACAGTCACTACATACACGACGCCACTGAGTCAACGTCCGTCAGATAAAAACCTAGATCATAAACATCTACCCACCGCATCACCTGTTATGTAAACGTAAGCGTGTAAACACGTATATAAAACGTGTGCAAACACACACGCGTAGGTGTCTGCATGTGTCTCACAAGACAGAGCAGAGACAGACGGGAAAGCGCAAACAGCAGCTAACCGGGTGGCGTACGAGTCTCCACTTCCTGCGTTTCGTATGACAACACATGCTGCTCTCATGAGAAGGGGCAATTCTGAAGCTAAAACCTCTCTGATCACAAGTGAGGGGCACAGGGAGGGAGGGCGCAGACGAGGCGCTCACCCCCAGGTAAGCCAGCGGGCACCGGGGGTACAAGCAGCCCCAGGTCCGAGGTGGCGGCCGGCACGCATTTCCACGAAGGGCCAGCTGGGAACGTTTCAGGCTCTGCCGGCCACGCTGTCAGAAGGACCCAGCACATGTCACAGCCGGAAGCTGCGTGGGAACTCGCATCACGCGGGCATGACCGCGTCCAGGAGCGCCTTTTCTTACATGAACACCGAGATCATGAATTTCACGTGCTTTTCACGTGTCACGAAATCCTAATCTTTAGAATTTTCACACACTTAAGAACGGAACAGCCACTCTCAGGCCACGCGCAGCAGCGTGGGTTCTCCAAGCCCATTTCAGGAATGACAAGCGTTCCGGTCAGGACAGGACATCAGCTGACTTCGAAAGAAAAGTTTTGTTTTTTTAATTTTTTTAATGTTTATTTTTGAGAAAGAGAGAGGGAGAGAACGAGCAGGGGAATTTGAAGCAGCTGTCAGCACAGAGTCTGACATGGGGCTCGAACTCACGAACCATGAGATCATGGCCTGAACCAAAGACAGACGCTTAACCAACTGGGCCCCCGAGGTGCCCCAGAAAACAAAGTTTTAAAGTGAGGCAAGAGGCATAAATTCCATGAGATGCAGACTCCAAAATGCCCCCAAACCTCCCCCATGCCAGAGAAAGGTAATCAGGAAAACAAGAGCCGTACAAGCAAGATCTGATCAGAACGTGGCCTCAAACAGCCACTGGCCTTTGGAAGAGTGTTTGACAAGACTCTCCTCGGAAGAGGCTGCTGGCACTCAGGACGGGGAAACGACATCCCCGGACACCCAGAGCCGATCTACGGAGCTACAGCGGCGCACGCGCCGTTCCCAGGTTTCATCTTTAGAACCAACCTACACCCCGGCGCGAGAGCTTAACGGCACAGAACGACATGAAAACGCCGTCCACACGGACAACACAAAGCTGGACGTCCCGAAGGGAGGGGACAGGATAAGGACCAGCAGCCTCAGCTCAGAGGGAGGAACGAGAGGGAGATTTAAGTAGATTAAGGTTTCTGGGCCTCCCTGGGGGCAAGGAGGGGACAGGCCAGCTCTGCTCAGCCAACTGGAAGGAGCACATTGTTAACATTTTTTCTTTAAATTGTTTTTACTTATTTATTTATTTTTTAGAGAGCCAGTGAGCATGAGCAGGGAGGGGCAGAGGAAGAGGGAGTGAGCCTGAGCAGGGAGAAGGAGGGAGAGACAGATGGGGAGGGAGAGAGGAAGGAGAGAGAGGGAGAGAAACTTAAGCAAGCTCCACGCTGAGCAAAGAGCCTGACACGGGGCTCAAACCCACGACCATGAGATCATAACCTGAGCTGAACACAAGTGACAGGCACTCAACTGACTGAGCCACCCAGGCGCCCGACGCTGTTAAACTTTTAGGAGTTTTGCGAATTTGCCATCAAACACAAGCATTACTATCTATTATGTGAAAATGTTCAATCAAATTATACTAAAAATAAAGATATACTTAAAACTCCTCCCTTCCTGATTTTCCTAGAATGAGGTCGGGTCACTGCAAACACAAGGTGGGGGCGTGGCTACCACACAACTCATCACTAGAGGCAAACTCCCAGTTCTGCTGGGAGCCAGCTGGGTGGGGAATGCTTCTGCCAAAGAAAAGGCAAAGGCAAAATGCAGGGCCTTCTCTCTCTGGAGAGCAGGCTCCCAGGCGTTAGCAGCCACCCCTGGATGAGGTGTTTCATTGCGAATCCACTTTCACTATAAACTTGCTGCTTAAAGCACAAACGTGTACCACGTGGATAAAAATTCAAGCTGCGAAAAATCAAAGCAGAGAACAGAAAGCCCAAGGGCAGGCAAGCGAGTCAGGCTCCGGGGCAGCACCTGGGAGGCATGGGCGGCGGACACCTTACCGAAGGACTTGGCCACGGCGATGCTCTCCAGGAGACCCATCAGGGGCACCACGGCCAGCCCAGCCCCCATGTCCTGAGAGAGGAGAGAGAGGCCGTAAGTGACCCTCGGTCTGAGGAAGGAGCGCAGGGTCTGAGCGGGCAGTGACCCGTCCTTCAGCGGTGGGGCCGTGAGCTCACACAGGCAGGAAGGCAACTCCGTACAGCGCGTGCACAGAGCAGGACACGCCTCTGGGCTCAGGGCAGGAAAATGAAGGTGGTGTTCTCTGAGCTTGTGCCCGATCTGGAACTCCTGCACGTCCGTCCCTGCACCCAGAGGCGCTCTGCCCTGAGGACTCAGGGGCCCCGGCTGGGCTCGGAGCTCCTTGTTATGAAGCAAACGCATCAGGGCTCAGCCCCAGGCCCAAGGCCGCCACGGCTCAGCCCAGCAGGCCTGGGTCCCCATCTCCACCCACCTGTACCAGCTCGCTGAAGGAAACGGTCCCGTTGGCCGTGGTCACCGAGAAGGGCGGGAGGCGGACTGGAGGGAGCCCCTCGGCCGTCTGCCCGGTTAGAACAAAAGGCTGGTATCCCGTCACCTCGAAGGAGTACGCAACCAGGGCGGCGAAGGAGACCACCAGCGCATTGCGAGCTAGGAGAGAACAGGACCCGTCGGGGACACCTGGCTCCTCTGAGCAATGGGGGTGACTGCATCCCACCCCAGCCACGACCCCAGACGCTCCCGCCTGGGAAGCAGCACGGGCACCAGCGGCCGGGGTACGGGCACCAGCGGCCAGGGTACAGGCACCAGCAAACGCTAGATGGCAGGTCAGGTGAACGGTGACATGCAGGGCCCTCAAGTGTCACCCACCGGTTCACCCTGGCCTCACCCCTCAGGCCTTGCCTGGGCTGTGCTGGCTGCTTAAATGGGGGCGCTACCTCTTCCCGGAATATGAGCCCCATTGTCCAGCCAGCTCAAAAGCCTGTGCCACGTTGCTACGCTGACGCTGCTGTCTTAACTACAATCGCTCCAGCCGTCTAGAACCTTCCACGGCTCTGTGACCCACTGTGTGACGGCAACCAGGCCCACAGCCGCACGCCTCGGACAGAGCCAGGTGGTCTATTAGCATTTCTCCCCCGGGGCCTGGCAGGCTTCCTGGCTGCAGCATCGCTGTCATTTTGGACCAGATCACTCTTTGCCACAGGAGGCTGTGCACGGCAGACATTCGGGGCCACCCTGGCCTCTCCCCACCCGGTCTCCAGAACTTGCCAAACCTCCCGGGGTGGGGGGCAGGGTCGAAATCACCCTTGGTTCACATCTCTTGCTACGAAAAGGTGCTCTCCGCCCTGACTGCCAATCAGAGCTACCCTGGGTTTAATATCCTGGTGCCCAAGTCATGCCCAGACCAGAGACAGGAGGATCCCCCCCGCCGTGTGCAGGACACCCCTCACCTGTTGTGGCCGTCCAGACCAGCCCGTGGCTGAGCCGCACGCCCGGGGGCATCTCGGGATGGACGGGGGGCACGTGGTCCCGCATCAGCTTCAGCACCAGCAGCAGCACCATGCAGACCAGCCCCAGCACGGCGTCGCCCACCCTGTAGACAGACACTGGTCACACCCGGCCTGGGCACCCAACTCCCCCGGCGGGTGCCCCTTCAGCGGGAGACTCTCCTCTCTCGACTGTTCTTCCCACTGTCCGCTAAGACACATGCTTCTCTGTTCTATTTCAAAACTTTATTTAAGTTAGTGACCACGCAGGTCAGCGCAGGCCTGAGAGCAGAGGCCGGGGTCCCGGGGCAGTGGGGCGCGGGCTCACGGTTTCAGTCACAGTCACGAAGCTCTGGCCTTGACTGTTGCTGAAAGTTCTCCTCCGGGAAAAATTGCCTAAGGAGATCTGACCTATTGGTGTTCTTACCCTGCCTTCCCTCTGGGGGAGGCCCTTCGTCTGAAGAAGCCCTAGGACCCTCGGGCACCTGCACCCCCCCTGACCCGTCCCTTGGGCACCCACGCCCCAGCCCCCCCAGCCCTCGGGCACCCGCACCCCCGCCGCTCGTCCCTCGGGCGCCCGCACGTTCCTCGCTCCCCCATGGCCCGTGTTCTCCTCGCTGAACACAAACTGCTGCTCTTCCTCTGCGCGGGGCCCTCCCACTCCTAACCACCCAAGGCTCCGCGCAGGGGCCCGCGGGCCGGCTCTCGGGTCAGTGGGCGCACCGACTCCCCGAGGGCCCCACCGGATGCTGCTGCCTGAGCAGGTCTGCGCACAGCTGCGAGTCTGCATCCCTGACCAGCTGCCCCGTGACCCTGGGTGCCGCCCTGGGACCCCTGGGGGGGGGGGGGCTGGGAGAGGGCTTCCGGACACGGGGCAGGACCGTCAGGTACCTGGTGTCCCCGATGCTGCGGAAGGTGTGATACACCTGCAGGAAAAACTGCCTGGGGGTTCCCTGCAGACCCAGCAGGTTCTGTGCAGACAGACACGCAGGTTAGACAGCCCTCCCGCAGCACCCCGGCGCTGTACACCCAGAGCCCGCCCGCCAGGGCCCTGCTGGGGGCGCACCCCAAGGCCCTCTGTGGACCATGCACCCGCTCCCACAGCCCCCGCGGCAGATCTGCACTGTCCGTGGGGGAAGGAGATCAATGACACGTCTTGGTGAACAATTCTCCCTCGTGAGGAAAACCAGTCTGGCGATCTGAAGGCGGGGGGACCTGTTCTCGGGCGCGCTGGTCAAGGGTCTGGGGTCACTGCCTGCCCCGCCCCGCCCTACAGGCCCCACTGCCCTTGGCTCCATCCTGTCCCTCGTGCAGGGCACCCCAACCCCCACCCCCGCCACAACCCACACCCGGAAGCCCGCCCGCCCGCCAGCCAGGCAACACCTCCTGCCACAGGGAAAACCAGGTGGCGAGGGGCTCCTGGGAAGGGAGGGTGGGGTCCTTGGAGAAGAGAAGGGCCTCTACCCTGCGTTTAAGTTCTGTATCCACTTTAGACAAGATGGGGAGGGCTAGCGAGGAGGTTGAGGCCCAGACTCCCCGGTCAGGCTGCGAGGATCCCAAAACCTGCTGCACACAGCTCCACATGGGGGCAGTCACTGGGGTGCAGACACACGGGTTCGGGGACCTCGGGGGCTCCTCCCAGGGCAGGTTCAGGAGGACCCCCACTCCTGCCCCCGCTCCCCAGCCTAGGGCTCTTAAAAGACTATCATAACCTGCTCAAGGTGTTAAAGATTTGGGGGACCTGGCATCGCCAAGCACACGTACGTTAAGAAGCTGTCCTCTAGGGGCACCTGGGGGGGGGGGGCTCAGTCAGTTAAGCGTCTGACTCTGCGAAGCGAAGCTCACAATTTCATGGACTGTGAGTTCAAGCCCCACAGCGGGCTCCATGCTGACAGCACGAAGCCTGCTTGAGATTCTCATTCTATCTCTCTCTTTCTCCCTCCCTCTCTCTCTCCCCCCTCTCTCTCTTAAAATAAACAAACTATACAGGGGAAAAAAGCAGCTCTCTCTGTGTTACAGTCGCATAAAAGAACATTCTTGACACCGAAAAGGAAAGAGAGTGTTTCCAGAATAAAGGACAGACCGTCCCACGAAGCAGCACTTGCCAAGCTTCCCCGACATATGTGTGCGCAGGATACACAAACGTGTCCGCCCACACCTTCCCAAGCAGCCCCTCCTCTCTAGTGCGGATCACGATAAACCTGCCTCCCAGGAGCAGCCTGAGAACCAAACACAAGGTGGGGTTCGGCCCAGCACCTGGCACGTAGCAAGAGCACAAAAAGGGTGCGCTACCTTCCTCCGGCTCATGCTCTCCTGACCCGGTGCTGGGCCAGCCGGGAGCAGAGCCCGGCCATGGGATCCAGGCCTTAGAGACGCCAGGAGGTGACACCCAGGCAGGGGTGGGCCTTCCATCTCCCACGGGGTGGGGGGGGCGGGCTGCATTCCCACACCCGGGCTCAGCTCTCCTCTGCGCACCCCACTGAACACTCGTCTCCCTTCTACAAAGCACAGGGCTGGGCGACCGCAGCCCTAAGCAAACCATGCCCTTCAGGAACTTAAAACCCAGCGAAAGGACAACTAATGATGACCTCAGATAAAGAATGACAATTGGTTCGACTATTTCTTACAGTTGTGTTTAACAGAAATATAAAAAAGCATGGCATTGGAAAATACCAAATGGGCACCTGCGTTGCTAGATCAGTTGAGTGTTCAACTTTTTTTTTTTAATTTAATGTTTTATTTATTTCTGAGAGAGAGAGAGACAGTGTGAGCAAGGGAGGGTCAGAGAGAGGAGACACAGAATCTGAAGCAGGCCTCAGGCTCTGAGCTGTCAGCACAGAGCCTAATGCAGGGCTTGAATCCACGAACTGTGAGATCATGACCTGAGCTGAAGCCAGACGCTTAACCGACTGAGCCACCCAGGCGCCCCAGATGTCCAACTCTTGATTTCGGCTCTGGTCACGATCTCAGTTTGTGAGTTCGATCCCCGCATTAGGCTCTATGCTGACAGTACAGAGCCTGCTTGAGATCCTGTCTCCCCCTCTCTCTGCCCCTCTCCTGCTCACTCTCAACCTCTCTCTCACTCAAAAACAAAGAAACTTTAAAAATGTATACACACACACACCAGTAAGTTTTTAAAAATTAAAAACAAAAAAAAGACTCCACAGGAACTGGGAAAAAGAAAACTCCGGCGAGAGCAGACTGTCGTTACCCGTCAGTCCCCCAGGTTACTGAGCACGGTTCTACCGACACTCAGCATCTCCCCCGAGGGCTCATGGTATTGACGGAGACCCGCCAGAGCGACCGTGCTCTGAGCTCCGGAACAGCAAGACATCAGCTGGCCCACACGTATGGACCCCAGCCTCGGTCCTACTACCCGGGAGGTGCCCAGGGACGAGCTGCTGTGCCTACCTTGATCTGCCCGAAGCCAATGGTGATGGTGGCAGCCGACGTGAAACCTTTGATGACGGGGCAGGAGATGAAGTCCAGCAGAAAACCTGGCCAGCCCAGAAAGAACACTAAGCTGGTCCCAGCTCTGCCCAGTCCCGGAGGACGTGGCTGGATGCGGGCTGGGACAGGCGGGCTGGGCACACTGAGGCTAAGGACTGTGGGCACACGCCCTGTCTGGCCTGGTTTGGACCGTGGGGAAGAGAGGCTAGGGGCCGAGGCCCAGGCCCTTCTCCAAGTAGAACAGTGGAGGGCTGAGAGGACCCCCCCACACCCACAGGAAGAGCACTTGGAACGCAGAGAAGGAAAGGCGGAGGCCCAGCGCGTCCCCAGGAGGCAGGGGCCTGGGTACCCCCGGTAGGCAGGCCCGAGAGTCTTACCCAAGCGCAGGAAGCCCATGGCTAACTGGATGCAGCCGGACAGGAAGGCCAGCAGCACAGCATAGGCAGGCTCGTGGAAAGTGTAGAAGGAGACCAGGAGGGACATGATGGCCGTCGGGCCCAGTGTCACGTCCCGGGAGGTGCCCAATAAGAAATACACGAAGCATCCCATGAAGGCGGAGTAGAGGCCGTACTGGTGGGGGGAATGGCAATGAGCATCAAGAAAGCACATGGCAGGCCCACGGCGCCCTGCGGATGGGTGTCTGGGCACAGGATCTGCGGCGGGTGGCTGTCGTGTACTACGGGCGCCCCAGGGCACGGGCGGGGTGAAGCTCTCAGCCCATTAGCTGCCAGTGTGGACCTACCGAGCTGGGGGCCTCTTTCCCACCTGCTTCCCAGTTGGGCGCCCGCAGGGGTACAAAGGCCTGCGCCCTTATCTCAGCCTAGGAGTCTAAGAAAACGTTCTTACGGCCACCGTGAGTCATCCTGCTGTCCCATCAGGCAACCCAGCACCAGCTGAGCGCCTGTGAGTGTGACAAGAGCCGTTACAGGGGCGTGTGTCTGCCCCAAGGCAGTCACGCGCTGTAGACGGCACACCAAGCCTCCTGGGGCCCCACGGGGCTGGAGTTCTGGTGCCCTGCCTGTCTGGAGGGGACGCTACGCATTTCTCTTCGACTCCCGGGTGGGTAGGTGCTGAGGCCGGAGTGGGGGCAGACGTCTCACCTGGGGCGGGAGGCCAGCCACCTCGGCGTAGGCCAGCGCCTGCGGGATGACCGTGAGCCCGACGGAGAGCCCGGCGATGAAATCCATCTTCAGCCACTCCACAGAATAGTCTGGCAGCCAGGCCAGGACGGGCAGCCGCCGCTGCAGGGCTGCAGGGGAGCAGCAGCGGGCCTGGGGGGCCATGCTGGCTCCAGAGGGCCTGGTCTGGCCCAACGCCTTCACAGAGGAGGGCATACCTGGGGAGGGGGGGGTATGGAGGCGACACAGGCCAGCAGTCAGGATCTAGGCTTGGGAGGGTCCAGCCGCAGGGCAGGGTCCAGGGCAGTGAGGAGGGGGCGCATGGGCATCCTCTAGGGGACCTGAGCCAGATGGATTAAATCTGCCCCTTTCCTGCTCTCAAAGCCAACAACCAATACAGAGGGAGCCTCAACAAAAGACGTAGTGGCCCGCCCTGTCCCCTCCTCGCTGCCCTCCCTCAATGCCGCCTGCCCAAACCCTAGCCGCCTTCTCTCCACGGCCACTCGGCAGAAAGAATGGGATAAACGGTTTCTCAATGAGAGACCTAAGCACGAATTAGACTCCACGTCTCACTTCTTCCTCTTTCCTCGCCAAGCAATTTAACGGGAGCAGCGCGGGGACCAGCGGGGTCCAGGCGGCTCCCTCCCTCGTAGGGCGGGCGGCGTGCGGGTGGGGGGGCTGCGGCCTCGGGGGCCCCGCGGCTTTCCAAGTGCGCAGCACCGGCGGGCTCCGCCCACTACGGCGGACTGCGGCGCTGAGGTGGGGGTCTCGCGCCTCAAGGCCGCGCCTCACCCCCCCCACCTGTGGCATGCGCACCCCTAAAGGAGCTCCAGGAACTCCAGCGGGCGCTGAGAACGTTCGAGGCCCATTCGTTCATTCAGAACGCGCAGCACCCTCTACGGGCCTGGCGCCCCCCACCCCGCCGCGCGCAGAGCCGGCCCCGGACCACCCCGCACCCCCGGACCCGGACGCGCCCCGCCTCCCGCCCTCGAAGGCGCTTGCCCCGGACCCTGGGTCTTAGGATGGGCACCCCGCGCCTGCTGACCGTTCAGCAAGGCCGAGGGCGGCGGGGACCTGGCGGGGGACGCGGTGGGGAAGGGTCCCCGCGAGAGGAGCCCGCCACCTCCGGCCCCGAGCCTCCCCCGGCGACCCCAGCCCGTCCCCCGTGGCTCGCCCACCCCGCCCAGGCCCCGCTCCCCGCCCGCGACAAACTCACCTGGCGCCGCAGCTCGGGGTCTCCGACGTCTCCGCAGCCGGGTCCGCAGGAACCGCAGAGGGAGAGGGAAGGAGGAGCGAGAGCGGAGGGGCGGGGCCCGGGCCCACGTGACCGTGTGGGCGGGGCCTGACCCCACGTGACCGGGGCGGGGCGGGGCGGCGGACCGGGAGCCGCCGCCGCCATGCGCCGTCGGGGGCCGGCCTGCTGGGGGCTTCTGCTGGTGTTGGGGCTCTGCCGCGTGCACGGGGCGCGCCCCCGGAACGTGCTGCTGCTCCTCGGTGAGTGCGCCCCCCGCCAGCGGGCCCCGCGGCTCTCCCCGTCTGCCCTCTCTGCTGCCCCAGACCCTTCTCGGCCGGGTCCGCGCATCCAGCCCCCCACTCCTGCCCCCCTGGCTCCGACCCTGCACCGCGACGCGTGCCCGTAGCCCTGCGGGCCCCCAGCTCGGGCAGCTGGGTGGCCTAACAGAGCTCAGTGGTCCACAGCCCCCAGAGGGCATGCGATGGAGGATGAGCTGGGGCCCAAGTCCCCCGAGACGCGGCTGGGTGTGGGCGGGGGTGTCTCATCTCCCAGCTGGAAATCCTGTAAGTTTCCCCTTCCCTGTTCAGACCCGGGAGCGCTGTGGCCCAGCTCTCTCCTGGCTGAGAAGCGCAGCCCCCCTGCCCCCCAGCTGCCCTCTCCCCTAACCCTCTCCCCTCCCAGACATCCCAGTTCTTCTACCGCTCTGCCATTCACGAGACTTGGTGACCAGAGCGGGGCTGTCACAAGACAACCCTGTTCTTTCCTCTTTTGAGGTCTGGAGTTCAGCCAGATTCACACTTTCTGATAAACTTTGTGGTCTCCAACCCGCCCTTGAGCTGATTGTAACACCCAGCTCCCGAGGGCTCCTCCCTGCTGGGGACACGGGGGCAGAAGCCACATTTCCTGCAGGGTCTGCGCAGCCCAGGGCTGCCCGGTCACCCCGCTCGCTCTCCCGGCCACCTGAGTATCGCGTCTCGGGCATCGTGCCTCCCTGAGCACCAATCCCACCCGGTGTCACGCCTGCCTGCCGATGCCTTGCCCAGCTCTCGTGCGTGCCTGGTCGCGTTCCCCCTCGGGTGGGACGCCTGCGCAGATATCATGCCCGCGTGGGTCATGCCGCCTGGGCGTCACGTGCTGGGCACCAGTGGCCCAGCCCCCCACGGCCTCAGTGCCTCTGCCTTCCTCAGCGGACGACGGGGGCTTCGAGAGCGGTGCCTACAACAACAGCGCCATCGCCACGCCTCACCTGGACGGCCTGGCCCGCCGCAGCCTGGTCTTCCGCAATGCCTTCGCGTCCGTCAGCAGCTGCTCCCCCAGCCGCGCCAGTCTCCTCACCGGCCTGCCCCAGGTGAGGGCCGCAGGGGTGCGGGAGGAGGGCCTGTGCCTGCCCTCTCCAACCCGATCCCAGCCACGCGGGTTCAAGTATGGGCTGGGGGCACGGACTACCCAGCGCGAGCCCTCTCTGCTGCTCTGTGCGACCGTGAGCAGATCACAGCGCGCCTGTGCACCTCAGTCTTCCTACCTGTTACATGGGGTCTTGATAACACCTTGTTCGTGGGGTTCTAATGGGATTGGCCAAGCTTGTCCTTTATACAGAAGGCGGCTAGCAAGGTGCCTGGCACACACTCGTCCATGATTAACTCCTGGCACCGTGTCGTCCAGGAGCTTGACGTGTATGTAAACTTTTAGTCTGTATTTTGCGTGTGTGCTGGGATATGTATAGAGTAAAATTTACCATTTTAGCTCTTTTTAAAATTTTTTTTTTTAATGTTTCATTTATTTCTAGGAGAGAGAGAGAGAGAGACAGCATGAGCAGGGGAGGGTCAGAGAGAGAGGGAGTCACAGACTGAAACAGGCTCCAGGCTCTGAGCTGTCAGCACAGAGCCCGACGCGGGGCTCGAACCCACGAACCGCGAGATCATGACCTAAGCGAAAGTTGGTCGCTTAACCGACTAAGCCACCCAGGCGCCCCGAATTCTATACATATTTATTTTTTTTAATGTTTTATTTATTTCTAGGAGAGAGAGAGAGAGCGTGTGCAGGGAACAGTCAGAGAGAGAGGGAGTCACAGACTGAAACAGGCTCCAGGCTCTGAGCTGTCAGCACAGAGCCCGACGCGGGGCTCGAACCCACGAACCGCGAGATCATGACCTAAATGAAAGTCGGACGCTTAACCGACTAAGCCACTCAGGCGCCCCTTTTAGCTCTTTTTTAAAATACTTTTTAAATTCTTTTTAGATTTATTTTTGAGAGCACACCCGTGCAGGAGTGTGGGGGAGGGGCAGAGAGCGAGGGAGACAGAGGACCTGATGCGGGCTCTAGGCTGACTGTGCAGAGCCCAACACAGGGCTTGAACTCCTGAACCGGGAGATCATGACCTGAGCCAAAGTCAGAAACTTAACTGACGGAGCCCCCCAGGCGCCCTCATTTCAATCACTTTTAAGTGCGTGTGGCTCAGCGACACGTTATCGCGCAGCCTTCCATCCAGCTGCCTCCGGGACTTTATCACGTTCCCAAGGCGGAGCTCTGTGCCCACCAACACCCCGTCCCCTCCAGGCCCTGGTAACTTTTATTCTGCAGTCTCTGTGAACACACTTACTACACTATTTGTCCTGTGGGGACTGGCCGACTTCACCCAGTGCGCTGGCCTCGAGTAACGTCATAGCAGGTGTCTGAATGTCTTTCCCTGTCATGGCCGAAGCACTGAGGAATATTCTGTCATGCGGATACGGTGTATTTTTGCTTACTTGTTCATCTACGGACAGTGAGGTTTCTTCTACTCCTGACTATCGTGAGTAACGCTGTTATGAACTTGGGTACGTGAGTACTTACTCCTGATGTGTCACCCCGAGACACCATCTTCCGGGGAGCCAGTGTGCCCTGTGCATCCCCGTTGGAGAGAGCGAGGCCACGCGGAGGCACACGCTTCCTGGAACGTTAATCAGGCAGCTTTGTGTGAGCCGCGCTCCCGTCTGGGAGAGGGCTGCTCCAGCTTCCCTTCCGTCTTTCCGGTTTCGGTCTGTAACGTGTGCAGCTGTTCTTTTACGCTATTAAATATCCAGTTAATTGGGGTGCCTGGGTGGCTCAGTCAGTTAAGCGTCTGACTTCGGCTCAGGTCATGCTCTTACGGTTCACGGTTCAAGCCCCGCGTTGGGCTCCGTGCTGTTGGCACAGCGTCTGCTTGCCAATCTCTCTCTCACTCTCTCGCTCTCTTTCTCTCTCTCTCTGTGCCTCCACTACTCATGGTCTCTCCCTCAAAATAAATAAATGAACTTAAAATCCAGGTGAGAGCGGTTTGTCGCCCCCTTGCCCGCTGTCGCATGCGCGCGTAACGAAAAGCTGGAAAATCCAGGCAGATGAAAAAGAAGCAAACAAAAGCCACCTCTTGGGGCACATCTCTCCGAGTGTTGTATTCCCTGCTGACGTCACGGAAGGGACCCCGGGGAGAGGCCGTGGAATTCTCCCTGGGTGCTGCCCACCCGAGTCTAAGGGGGGAGCCCCGGGAGGGCTGGGCAGACGGGCGGTGGGGAGAGCGGCCCCGCCTCACACGCCTCTGTTGCAGCATCAGAACGGCATGTACGGCCTGCACCAGGACGCCCACCACTTCAACTCCTTCGACGAGGTGCAGAGTCTGCCGCGACTGCTCGCCCAGGCTGGCGTCCGCACAGGTGAGCGGCTTGCGCCACAGCGGGGTAGGGGCGAGCCCAGGGTCGCCGGCTCTGAACCCGAGGCCCAAGGCCTTTCCCCTGAGCCTGGTGTCCATGAGGTCAGGGCCGCAGCTGACCCCCGAATGGCCACGCCAGGGCAAGGGTCTTGGGGGGGAGCAGAAGGGGGCGGGATGCCTCAGGGGCTCTGGATGGCCTGTGTCCCCCTCTCCAGGCATCATTGGGAAGAAGCATGTGGGGCCCGAGCCCGTGTACCCGTTTGATTTCGCGTACACGGAGGAGAACAGCTCGGTCCTCCAGGTAGGACGGAACATCACCAGGATTAAGCTGCTCGTCCGGAAATTTCTGCAGACTCAGGATGACAGGTGCGAGGAGGTCCCCACCCCCTCACCCCTCACCCCCTGGGCCAGGTCTCCGCACAGTTAACACTTGATCCCAGAGTCTTTAGTTGGGGTTCTCGGAGACCCCAGGAGGAAGAACGGGGAAGGGGGAGAAGGTTCCAGATACTCAATCTGGTCAGAGGAAGAGGGGAGGGGACAGTCCTGGGGGTGTGTCCTCCTGAAGAATGGGGCTCCACTGAGTAGAAAGCCGGGTGGCAGCAGGCTGACCTCCAGCCTCAAGCCCCCACTCCCACCCCCCCAGCAGACCCTTCTTCCTCTACGTGGCCTTCCACGACCCCCACCGCTGTGGGCATTCGCAGCCCCAGTACGGGACCTTCTGTGAGAAGTTTGGCAGCGGGGAGAGTGGCACGGGGCGGATCCCAGACTGGACCCCCCAGACCTACAGCCCACAGGACGTGGTGGTAGGAGAGCCCCCGCCGCGCCTCGAGACGCCAGCTTACCCATCTCTTGCCTCCTAAGTCCAGGGGGACTTGGCAGCCTGGGCCCGGGTGTGTGACGTCAGCACGTTAGGGAAGCGCCCCTCTGACCCACTGGGTCCGGTCCCCATCCGTGGGGCCCGTGGGGCCCGTGGGGCCAGCAGACAGCAGTGTTGATGCGGGGCGGGGGGGCTGATGGAGTGCTCCCTGGCAGACCCGGGTTCAGGCCCTGGGAGGAGGCTGGCCCCTCGTCTCCCTCCCCCCCGGTTCCGGGACGGACCACCCCTCCCCCAACCGTGTGCTCTAGCCTGGCTTTGCGGCCACCTGCCCCTCCAGGTGCCCTACTTCGTCCCTGACACTCCCGCGGCCCGAGCCGACCTGGCCGCCCAGTACACCACCATCGGCCGCATGGACCAAGGTGGGTCCCCGTTCTGACCAGAGGACCGAGGTCTGTGTCGGCAGGGCCGTGGCCCCCCGCTCTGGGTCACAGAACAGCCTTGCTTCTTCCAGCGTCAGGTGGCCCCGGTGTCCCTTGGCTCGTGGCTGCCTCCCCCCAGTCCCTGCCCCCGGCCTCCCACGGCCTCTGGTGCATCTATGCTGTGCCTGTCGTCCCGACGCTTGTCGTAGGCCCCAGGGCCCTCTGGGCACCTCAGGAGGCTCTCCTGCAGATCCGTGGTAGCGACACCTATAAAGTCCCCTTAACCAAACGAGGTCACGTTCTGGGTTCTGGTGGGTTTTCCTCACAGGGGCCACCGTTCGGCCACTACAGGAAGTTGGAGCCTTTATCATTTGGTGCCATTAGCGGGTGGTGACCTGGGAAGGGGCAGGTGTAGGGGGCTCCTGTCTTGCCTCTGTCGTCCCATGAAGTCCCTGCTACCCACGCTGGGCAGGCAGGAGATTCCAGAAGACAAACCACTGCAGGGCCACGGATGTGCTGAGGGATGGCCGGTGTGCTCCAGGACGGGGTGCTGGGGAGGGGCGGGGGGCGGGGGGGGATGGCAGGGGCGTGAGGTCCAGCAGGTGGATGGAGAAATGTGTGAGTGCCTGTGCACCCACACCCCTCCACGCCCGTCCGTGGCTGAGCTCTGCTGTCCCTCCGCACCCGCGTCCGTGGCTGAGCTCTGCTGTCCCTCCGCACCCGCGTCCGTGGCTGAGCTCTGCTGTCCCTCCGCACCCCCAGGGATTGGACTCGTGCTCCAGGAGCTGCGCGAAGCAGGTGTCCTGAATGACACCCTGGTGATCTTCACGTCGGACAACGGGATCCCCTTCCCCAGTGGCAGGACCAACCTGTACTGGCCAGGCACTGCCGAACCCTTGCTGGTGTCGTCCCCAGAGCACAGGAAACGTTGGGGCCAGGTCAGCGAGGCCTACGTGAGCCTCCTAGGTACGGCTCTGCGGCTCACGTGGGAGGGTAGGGGAGGGGAAAGGGGGACCTGCCGTGTCCAGACCACACTCTACACCCATGGTCTACACCCACGGTCTTACGTGGTTCCCACACCACCTGGACAGGGAAGGGACGGCCACCCCCTTCTACAAATGCAGAAATGAGGATCAGAGAGGTAAGGTGAGTTGCTCAAGGTCACACAGCTTGTAAGAGTCAAGATGGGATTCTAGCCTTGGTCTCGCTGCCTTTGAGACTAGCCTGCTGGCAAGCATCAGAGCCGCCTGGAGTGCTTGGTAATGGCCACGTGGCAGACTCCGTCCCCAGAGCGTCCAAGAATTTGCATTGCTGATGAGTTCCTAAGTGACACTGGGGGAGCCGACTTTGAGGGGCCAGGGCAGCAGGGGCCACACACAACTTGGGGCCCACATCTCCCTTTGCCCCAAAGCACAGGTTCCGCAGCACTGCGGCCACAGCACAGGACAGGAATAGATGAAGCCCTCCGTGGGGGCTTTCTTACCGATCGAGAAGATTTGACCAGGATGCCTAGTATTACCCAGCCGGGGCCAGGCCCTAAACCATTAAAGGCATCACGTCCTTCAGTTTTGGGGCGACGCTGGCAGGTCGGGCCCACCGCAGCTTCTCGGGGCTGAGCAAGGTGGCCCACCAGCGTTCAAGAGAGGCCTGGATCCAGCCCGTCTGTGGTGGGGGCTCTTGTGCCCTCAAGGGCCACCGTGCCAAGATCCCACCTCCTTTGCAGACCTCACACCCACCATCTTGGATTGGTTCTCCATCCCTTACCCGAGCTATGCCATCCTCGGCTCGAAGACTGTCCGGCTCACCGGCCGGTCCCTCCTGCCGGCACTGGAGGCGGAGCCCCTCTGGGACACCGTCTTTGGCAGCCAGAGCCACCACGAGGTCACCATGGCCTACCCCATGCGCTCCGTGTACCACCGGACCTTCCGCCTTGTGCACAACCTGAACTTCAAGATGCCCTTTCCCATCGACCAGGACTTCTACGTGTCGCCCACCTTTCAGGACCTCCTGAATCGCACCACGGCCGGCCAGCCCACGGGCTGGTACAAGGACCTCCATCACTACTACTACCGGGATCGTTGGGAGCTCTATGACAAGAGCCAGGACCCCCACGAGACCCAGAACCTGGCCGCCAGCCCTCGCTACGCCCAGGTTCTGGAACTGCTCCAGACCCAACTGGCCAAGTGGCAGTGGGAGACCCATGACCCCTGGGTGTGTGCCCCCGACGGCGTCCTGGAGGAGAAGCTGTCCCCACAGTGCCGGCCACTCCACAATGAGCTGTGAGGGTGGCCGGGGGCACGTGGGAGGCCTCCCCAGACCCGGCCCCCACCTTTCCAGCCAATGTGGAGGAAGGGGCAGGGATGACAGCATCCCGTCTGAGGAGGGCTCTCTCTGATGCTGGGGTCGTTGCTGCCACTGCCCTGACCGGGGAGTGGTGGGCGTGCGCCCCAGTCCCTTCCTCCCCCCGTGGGGGTGGGGACGTGGCTGTCCTGGTGTCTGAGTCATGTCTCAGCACAGGACCTCCAGGGGTCCGGGAACAGGGCGGGATCCCCAGCCCGTGACAGGTGGGGATGGCCTGGGCGAGGGGGCCTTGTCTTCTGGGTTCAGTTGGGGACCTGCCAATGAAGGGCCTGGGACCTGGGGCTTAAGACCTTCGTTCCTTGGAGCCCACGGATGTCCCTGCACCCTTCACCCAAGGAGATGGGGCTCCCAGGGGCCTCGTGGGTGGTGGCGGGTCCAAACCACACTCTGTGGGAGCCCAGCGTCCGGCTTTTATCAGTCTGTGGCCTTTAAAAAGTGTTTGAACAGGGGCGCCTGGGTGGCTTAGTCGGTTAAGCGTCTGACTTTCGCTTAGGTCATGATCCCGTGGTTTGTGGGTTCGAGCCCCGCGTCGGGCTCTGTGCTGACTGCCAGCTCAGAGCCTGGAGCCTGTTTCAGTCTGTGACTCCCTCTCTCTCTGACCCTCCCCTGCTCATGCTCTCTCTCTCTCTCTCTCCTAGAAATGAATAGAACATTAAAAAAAAAAAAATGCATAGTTAATAATCTGTAGAGCAACCACTACGATAATTTCAGCACCCTAACTTTGAAGGCCATGGTTGAATGTGTGTTGNGACTCCCTCTCTCTCTGACCCTCCCCTGCTCACGCTGTCTCTCTCTCTCCTAGAAATAAATAAAACATTAAAAAAAAAATTAAAAAAAAAAAAAAGTGTTTGAACAACGCTTGGGGGTGTTTTGCTTCCTTTCCTTTGCCCCATGGTCAAGTTCCCGACCCCGGCTGGGTTTCCATCAGGCTGATGACTCGTGGCAGGCTCGCTTCCCGAGCGCCGGCTTTCGTTCCATGGTCTGTATGGCAAAGCTCACCCTCTGTGAATGTCCAAGTGTAAAGACCCCCAGCCTGTGGCTCGGGTGGTTTTGTCCGTCTGGAAGCCAGCGTGGCAACACACCTGTTGCTTGTAGATGCTCCTGACCTGCCCAGAAGGCGGGGCTTTTCCCTCCAGTGGCCTCGGCTCCTGCTGCCCTTCCCTCCCTGCTGACTCCGTCCCAGGAGCGTAGGGAGAGAGCCACGGTCCAGGTCACTGTAAAAGCTTTATTTCAATAAAATACACGAAAGTTCACATTCTGACCGTGTCTGTGATAACGGCGGCCTGAGTTCCGCCTGAGGCGTTCCGACCCAGCCGCTGCTGCCAGAATTCTGTTCGGTCTGCGACTGAGGCAGAGCTCGGTGGTGAGGGGACCCCGGGGGGCCTTGCCCGAGCCTCACCCGAGCGTCTCCTGAGCTCTGGAGGTGGGGTGAAGGTGCTTTCCTCTGGACAAGGAGCTGCGGGGGTGCCCGCCTAGTGGGGTGCAGTTCCCAGGCTCAGGGGAACGAAGCTGGCATTTGCACGACGTGTGTGTGGAAGGCTTCTCCAGGACCCCCAGGGGGCCCCGGACCCGCCAGGCACCGCTGAAAATACTGTTTCTGTCACCGGGACACCAGGCACACATCTCTCTAAACTGGAGTCCCGAGGGATGTGTCAGCCGTCAGGAGCTGAGAAAGTCAGGATGACACGAGGGGGTTGGGAGGGACCGCGGGGGGCCTCAGGGCCACCAGGCTGCTGCCACCATGGCTTTGGAACGAGCCCTTTGGCATTGAAATGCAAAAGGGAAGTGCAGGATTCGGGTCCGACGGGTGGCCTGCAGCCCTGGGAGGGCTCGGGGGACGCCCCACCGCGGACGTGCTCTCGGGGCCTGTGGTTCAGACCACGCGGAGCCGTGGAGGAGAAGATGGTCCAGATGCCCAGCGTGCGCTGCCCGTGGTGCAGGTTCAAGGGTGGACCCCGGTGAGAGAGGGGAGCAGATGCCCGCAGAGCTGGGCCTGTCGGGTGAGCACCCCCAAGGCTGTGCCTGCGAGGCCCCGAGCCCGAAGCACAGGACCACGTGATCAGGGACTCCCGTGGGGACTCGGAGGTCCCACACTTCCTGGTGGGACCTGAGGGGGCGTCAGCGGGGGCTCTGCTCTGCCCACACCACCTTCTTCTGTTCGTCCACGATGGCCAAGCGGACGCAGCCCACCAGGGTCTCCAGGTCGCTCCAGCCGTCGGGGGCCAGGCTGCCGTACAGACAGGGCACCTGGTCCAGCTCTCTCTCCTCCCGCCGGCTCACCTCCAGGAGCTGCTCCTCCGAGGTACCGAGCCGCTGCAGGGCCTTCCTGCACACGTGGGACACGGAGGGCCACGGTCAGTAGGAGTTCCGGGGGACCCGCTTTGGGGGTCCACGTGCCTCGTAAGGAAGACGGGAGTCGGGCCCCGGGTGACACTGCACTGGTGGGGGCGCGGGCTCTCGTTTACAGCCTCAGATACAAACTGTAAGGGGGCCACACCCCAACTGCGCATACCCCAGCCAACACCCTGGCAGCCTTAGTCAAGCCTGATGCCAGGCCTCCCTCCCCGTCTGGGCTGCTCCTGGGGGTAGGGCTGCCAGTGCCTTGTCCACCAGGGGCTGGCACAGGTGAGGCCTGGAGACCCCAGGCACGTGGCACCAGATTCAGAGCCACTGCGAGCCTGCGGGGCACACCTACTTGAGCTTCCTTGCTGCCTTCTCGTTGACGGGAATGTGGACGATGATGGGGAAGATCTCCATCCTGTGCAGGGCACACACGCTGTCCAGCCGGACGTCCAGCAGGGCATGGGTGTTCTTCAGGGGAGAGGGGAGACGGCCCAAGGCCCTTGGCCTCAGAGGCAGCGAGAGGAGCCCACACCCAGGAGGGGGCGGCGGGAAGAGAATGTCGTGGTACGAGGGCACTTGCTGTACAATCTTAAGTCTGTCCCTCTGGGTTTTCACTGGCAGAATCTAGGAACTACGAGCCGCTGGGGTTGAGAGAGACTTTGTGGGGGGCCGGCACCCTCGGGGTCAGAAGGCTCCGTCAGCCTCTGTGGGGGGGGGTTCAGGGGGGCATCTGCCTCCGGCTCACAGCTGGGCCTGCCCATCTTACGTCCCCATCAAACTGCATGGTTCAGGGTGAACTGCCTTTCATGTATTTGTTTGAGCCTTAAATTAGTATGGAGGCTTATCTCCATTTTATTCCTCGTTTTAACAAATATTACTCAACGTTGCCTGTGCCGAGGAATCCGGCTCAGGGAGGTTAGTGGATCCCAGACGGCAGAGACAGGGCTCCATCCTTCTGCGCTACGCCCTCTGCACACTGAGCACCGGCACGGGGTGCCCCTGGCCTGCAGGTGGGCCACCAGCATCTCTCCAATCTCAAGGTCAGTTCTTCCCACCCTATCCCACCACCATCCACTGGAGATGGGGTCCCCAAACCCCCAGAGCAGCCCCTGCCCCGCCCATTACCTTTTCCATGAGGGACTCAACAGCCTGGCGGGTCACCCAGTAGCGGCCACCGGATGCCTCCTTCTCCTGGATGATGTCCCCCCTCTGGCTGGAGGCATCGTACTCCTCCTGGCTCAAGTACTCTGAAGGTGACAGCAGATGGGGACATCAGGCACCCAGCTCTGCAAGGTCCCGAGGGAGCTCCGTGCTGAAAGCTCTCACCCCCGTGCCCCCCCCCCCCCGAGCTCTGGGGAATGCTCTGCCTAGCGTGGCCTCTGTGTAAACCTGGCCCTGCTCTTCACACTCAGAGGAGTCTGTGCTCTGCACGTGCACCTTCAACCGTCAGTCATGTGCTGGGCCAGTGCCAGGATGCGGGGGGATGGATGGAAGGAAGGGGGGAAGGAAGGGAGGAAGGGTGTGGCTAACCCCCTCCCCCATCACCCCCAAGCTCCAAACATGCACGTCCAGCTTCTCACCCCTAGAAAGCCCTCAGAGCCCACAGGTCAGAGCTCCTCAGCCAGGGGCTGGGGCCCCCCAAGCAAGACCAGCCAATGTCGGCAGGCATTTTGGGCTGTCACAGCTCAGGGGGAGGGGGTGCTACCGTCATCTGGTGGGTGGAGGCCAGGGACATTGCTCAACACCCTCCCACGCCTGGGTGGGGCCCCAGCACAGAGAGTGAGGCCGCCCCACCCTACGGTCAGTGCCCAGGTGGAAAGCCCTTGCCCGGAACAAACTAGTCAAAACACACCCCACTTCTGCCACTCTCGGTTTTGACACCCATTCTCCGGAGTCAGAGTCGTGCCCCCAAAGCACTCCCACAGTCAGGCGACCCCAGCCCGCGGAGAGCCCTTCTCTAAGGCCTTGCCTCCCCAGCGTGGCCGCGCCTGCAGCCGCCCTGGCCCCAGGGGCCCGGAGCCCCCTGCGCGTCTGCACACTCTGCTCGCTCACGGACTCCTACCCGACCGTCAGAGCCCCGTGCGGCACGCCTTCTCTGAAGAACCTGACTCCCTCTCAGGCCGCCCGTGCAGCCAACACCCGGTGGCCTGCGGCGGCATCAGGAGGCTGTCTCCAGCTCCCTGCACAGAGCCTGGCACACGGCCGCTGCCCACGAGAGGAGCCCACCGGCGGGCCCCGTGCCCTCTGTGCGTTCCTGGGGGTAGTGCAGAGCCGAGCCGTGAGCGGATGAGTGAAAGCTCCCACAAAGCCTGTGTCCTGCTCTCCAACCTCAGAACCATCTTTTCTGCTGTGTGGATGCTCAGACGCTGTCCCCTGGATCCCGGAGCCCAGAGGGCGGGTTCCTCTCAGTGACTCTCCACTGAGCAGCTCTGGACGTGAGCAGGTGGGAGGAGCCCTTCGGTGCCCCCGCCCAGAGGTGGGTGGGGCCCTTCAGTGTCCCTGCCCCAGAGGTGGGTGGAGCCCTTCGGTGGTCCTGCCCCGGTTCTGTACAAACCTATCTGTCAGCAGGGACTGCGCTGGATTGAATAGCATCCCCCAAAATGCATGGCCTGGAGCCTCAGAATGCGAGCTTATTCGGAAATAGGGTATTTGCAGATGTGATTAGTTACGATGAATTCATCATGGAGCAAGACGGGCCCTAAAGACTGGTTCCTTATAAGGAGACTGTGTGAGGGGCCCCGGGGTGGCTCAGGTGTTAAGCATCGACTCTTGGTTTCAGCTCAGGTCACGATAGTACCGTTTGTGAGCTTGATCCCTGCACCTGGTTCTGCACTGACAGCAAGGAGCCTGCTTTGGATTCTCTCTCTCCCTCTCTCTCTCTGCCTCTCCCCCCTCTCGCACTCTCTCTAAATAAATAAATAAACTAAAAAAGAAAAAGAAAAGACTGAGGACAGAGACACAGAGAGGGAGGTCACATGACAAGGAGGGAGAGACTGCAGTGACACAGACACAATCCGGGCCCCCAGGGCTGTGCCCCCCCCCCCCCGGGAAGCCAGAAGAGGAAAGGAGTCCCTCCCCTTAAAGCCTCTGGGTGGGGGCTGGGGCAGCCCAGAGACACCGGGACCTCTGCCTCCTGGACTGCGTCACCTGGGAGAATACACCCCTGCCGTTCCGAGTGCCCCAACCTGTGGTCCCTTGTCACAGCAGCGCCAGGACGCTCACGCAGTAGCCTCCTGGAAATCGCTCTGCCACCTGACAGACGGGTGGGGCTCCCAGGCAACAGCGTACCTGCGGCGCACTTCTTGAACCCCTGGAGGAAGCACAGCTTCTCGCTCAGGATCCTGCCGACCACCCTGGGCACGAAGAGCACGGGCCGGGGCCGGCCGGGCCTGTGGGGGCACACCAGGCTGTAGGGCACCAGGGTGAAGCAGCTCTCCGCCCAGAAGCAGGCGGTGGAGGTGGAGGGCTCTGCGGTGGAGAGCAGGGTGAGGGGCCGGGCCGGGCAGGGCGGCTCACCAGCCCCCGCGGCCCAGGATGCACTGTGTCAGCCTGGGGCTCCTGCCGGGACACGGGAGCACCCTCCGCTCCCACCAGCGACACCCGCCTCCCACACGGGCTGCTGGCGGCTCCTTGCGCCCTTTGATTTGAGGGCCCTCCAGGCGCAGCTCCGCAGGCCCACGGCGGGAAAGAGAAACAGTTCTCTGCCTTCCCCACGGTCGGCCTGCCCCCTGGCTCGGGGTCCTCGCCCTTGCTGGACGCACAGCACCAGGCCTTCCCTCCCTCCGGATCCTGTCTCCAGCAGCCGTGTTACGCACCCAAAAAACCTTCCAGAAAGAAGAAAACTCACTCTAACAATCCACTTCCACTGTCTTCATTTGCACGGTTTGACCTGATCGGGGGGTGTGCCGTGCTGACCTCTGTTACGACCTCCCACCCACGCCTGGCATGAGGGGGCCATCAAGGAGCCCCTTGATCCGCACCTTCCAGCCTGCCGCGCTCCAGCAGGGCCCCGTCAAAGGATGAGCACAGGGGGCCAGCCTTGGTTCTGTCCACGCTGAGACGGACCAGCTTCTGGGGTCCCCCGGAAGACTGCTGGAGGGGGCGGAGGGACGCGAGGTGTCTGTGCCGTCTGCACACGGCCAGGCCCCGGCCCCTAGAGCACCAGGCTGTGCTCACCCAACAGCTGGGTGGTGCAGCCCCACGCCAGAGAGAGGGCGGGAGATGAAGGGGGGCAGAGGCCCTGAGCAGGGCGCCCACAGAGAGGCAGGACTGCCTGAGGCAGGAGGGAAGGGCAGGGGCCCCCACGGCCGCCCTGCCCAACCCCGGGAACCTGGCCTAGCTCCCTGCCCGGGCGCAGCTGTGGGCTCCACGTCAGGCCCTCGGAGGGAAGGGATGGGGTGCAGACAGGCAAACGGGATGAACTGGGAGTGTGGCAGAGGGCAGGTGTGACCTATCTGCACACATTAGAGGAACTTGCAGGCTGGGTGCCACGTGCAGACCCAGGTGACCGCTGGAGGGCCCCCCAGGGAGAAACACGCCAGGGGTCACGCCCGTGGGGTCAACAGGCCACCCCAGATGGGGTCAGGGCCCTCCAGGTGGGACCCACCGGCAGATCATGTGACCGGGGAGGAGGCGGGCCAGGGGAGAGAGGCAGGGCCCGCCGTAACAGCGGCCTGTGTCAGGGATGAGGTTGCCCGTCTCGCCCCCTCACCTTGCGGGCACCCAGTCCCACCTCACCTTGCGGGTGACCGTACTCTGCTGTGCCATGTCCTGGATCAGGGCGATGAGCAGCTGCTGAGCCCTGTGCAGAGGAGCACAGCCCTGACCCAGGGGCAGGGAGGCCCCTCCCAGTGCCCCAGAGCACCGCCGTGGCCCCAGGAAGCAGCCCTCGGCTCCAGTGGCCACTGCGGTCCGCTGGGGCTCTGGAAAACCCACAGAGCCCCGGCCCACCCCCGAGCTGCCAGTTGAGCTGTTCCGAGTCGGGGCCCGGGTGACTCAGGGTGGGCCAGGGTCTGGGCCACGTTCCAGAAGCTCGCCAGCCAGGTATGGCCACGGGTGAGAAGGCTACACGGTACCGGGCAAGTCGCCCGCGCTCTGTGTACTACGCTTGGTCCAGAACACGGTTCTCCGCAGGCGTGTTGTAGCTCCCAGGGAGGCCGACCCCTGTCCAGTTGGCCCAGGTCTGAGGGCGCCCCAGGATGCGGGGCTTGCTGAGCTCAAACCAACACAGTCCCGGACACACCAGGACACCCTGGGCTTTAATTGTCACAACTAGGGGGCAGAAGGACCGCTGACAGCTCAGCCCGATGTCACGTGGTCCTCAGTGCTCTCGGATGGAGGCCACCCTTCTCACAAAGAAACCCCACGTAAGCAGTAAGAGGGAGGGCGGCACATCGGGGGCTCCATCCACTTGGGGGCGTCTCGTCGCACCCGCCCTCTGCTCCTAGGCAGTGAAGGGAAGCTTGGGGAGACCACTCTTCCTCCCTGGCAGGAGGGTTCGTCCACGAGAAGCCAGGCCAGGCACCCCCGGCAGCGCCCCGGCCCAACCCGGGACAGCTGCTTACCGTGCGTAGTTGGGGACGGCGCCGTGCTCGGCGCCCTTCGTGCTATAGGGGCCCACGCGGTGGGCGTGCCAGCAGCCACGGCCCTGGAACATGGTGTCGGTGACGTGCAGGATGTCGTTGCACTGGGCCTGCAGCTCCCCCGCCGCCCGCGCCTCCAGGGCCAGGTTGACTCGGATGTAGAAGGAGTCCCCCGAGGTAGCCGCTTTGGCCTCCAGGTCCTGAACCAGCTTCTTATAACCTGATCAGAGATGAGCCTGGGGCTATGATCCCGCACGAGGAAAGGTCTGGAATGTGAGAGCAAGGGAGAAGGAAGGAACCCCCCACCCCCACCCCAGAGTCTTAGGAGCCGTTTCAGTGCTGGAGTCCGTGGGCAGGAGATTCCAGCCGCCCCGGGGTCCTCTGCCGACTGGGGGCACAGCCTGGTCCTGGGGTGGGCAGCAGGGCGGGCCTCCGTGCAGCCAGGGGCCCGCGGACACAGGACCCCGTGGCTCAAGTCTGCAGTGGTGGGCTCACGGGGCAGGTGGTGTGGGGGACTGTGTACCCTCCATGTTGACCTTCACAGACAGGCAGCAGAAGCCGTTCACCCTCTGGAGAAGTCCGACAGCCTTCTCCAGGGTGGTGCCCTGGAGGGTGGCCTTGAACGAGGACTCCGTCGCCTCATAATCCACCTGAGGGCAAATCACGGGTGTTGGGCCCTGTTGACCTGGATTCTGCCATCCCAGTCTGAGTACAGGTGTGTGCCCTACAGAAGGACCCACTCACCCTCCCAGCGTCCACACACACCCATCCCAGCCCTGGTCACCCGCCCTGTCTCAGGACATCCTGACGTCGGCGGCTCCGACTACACACATCCCCAACCCGAGAGTCAGCCACCATCCCTTCTCCTGATGCAGAAGGATGAGACTGGACCACTTTATGGCACCGCACACAAAAATAAATTCAGAAGGGATGAAAGACCTAAATGTGAGACAGGAAACCATCAAAATCGTATTGGAGAACACGGGCAACACCTCTCTGACCTCGGCCACAGCAACTTCGTACTAGACGCATTTCCAGAGGCAAGGCAAACAAAAGCAAAAATGAACTATTGGAACCTCATCAAGATAAAAAGCTTCTGCACAGGGAAGGAAACAATCAACAAAAGTAAAAGGCAGACTATGGAATGGGAGAAGACATTTGCAAATGACATATCAGATAAAGGGTTAGTATCCAAAATATATAAAGAACTGATGCAACTCAGTACCCAATAAAACAGAAACCCAGTTAAAAAATGGAATGGGAGAAGACATTTGCAAATGACATATCAGATAAAGGGTTAGTATCCAAAATATATAAAGAACTGATGCAACTCAGTACCCAATAAAACAGAAACCCAGTTAAAAAATGGGCAGAAAACATGAATTGACGTTTTTCCAAAGCAAACATCCAGATGGCCAACAGAAACATGAAAAGATGCTCAACATCGCTCAGCATCAGGGAAATACAAATCAAAACCACAACGAGATACCACCTCACACCTGTCAGAGGGGCTAAAATTAACGACTCAGGCAACAACAGATGTTGGCAAGGAGAAAGGAGATCCCTCTCGCACTGCTGGTGGGAATGCAAACTGGGGCGGCCGCTCTGGAGAACAGTGTGGAGGTTCCTCCGAAAGTTACAAATAGAACCTACCCTACAACCGAGCAATAGCACTACGGGTATTTACCCAAAGGATACAAAGATGCAGATCTGAAGGGTTACACGCACCAGATGTTCACAGCAGCATTATCAACTGTAGCCAAATTGTGGACACAGCCCAGGTGTCTATCCACTGATGAAATGGATGAAGAACATGTGGTTTATACACACACACACACACACACGCATGCCCAGAATGGAATATAACTCAGTATCAAAAAGAATGAAATCTTGGGGCGCCTGGGTGGCTTAGTCGGTTAAGCGTCCGACTCGGGCTCAGGTCATGATCTCGCGGTTCGTGGGTTCGAGCCCCGCGTCGAGCTGACAGCTCGGGGCCTGGAGCCTGTTTCAGTCTGTGACTCCCTCTCTCTCTGACCCTCCCCTGCTCACGCTGTCTCTCTCTCTCTCCTAGAAATAAATAAAACATTTAAAAAAAAAGAATGAAATCTTGCCATTTGCAACAACATGGATAGAACTAGAGGATTACGGTACTAAGCAACATAAATCAGTCAGAAGGACAGATGCCAGATGATTTCACTCATATGTGGAATTGAAGAAACAAAACAAAGGAGCAAAGGGAAAGAGAGAGAGACAAAAACCAAGAAACAGACTCTTAACTACAGAGAACACCCAGATGGTTACGAGGGGGTGGGTGAGGCAGGCGATGGGGAAGAAGGAGGGCACCTGTCGTGACGAGCCCTGGGTGACGTGTGGAGTCACTCTTTTGTCCCCCCGAAATTAATCTTACCCTGTATGTTAAGTAACTGGAAGTAAAATAAAACCTTAAAAGTAAATAACTAAATAAATAATAAAACATATATTACAACACGTTTTCAGGCCGTTAGACCTGAACTGGCCCCATTTGGATGCCAGGACTGTCTCCCCAAACATCATAAAGGGCTCCTGTCGCTTTAACCACAAGGTAGGCTGATGACTGAGAATCTTAAGGGGCCCGTTAGGGATGTGAGGAAGGGCCACTCGCACACGTGTGTGTGTGTGTGTGTGTGTGTAAAACACACTCCCGCCAGCAACTCCTGCCCCTTGCACCAGAGCAGGGACGAGGTTGCGGGGCCCCCACCCCACCTCCCATCCCCCGCCCCTGGCTCACCCCTGGGGGAACCGCCCACGGGAACAGGACGACTCTGTCCACTTTCAGGCCACGTCCACGTCACCTTCCTGCCCACGTATTCACTTGACAATAATTAGGTAAGTGGTGAATTTGTGGGTTTTGCAGTTTAATGAATATTTTCCAATAAAAAAGCTTTTTTAAATGCCCCCGATGAATCCTATGTTAGTGTCACGTGCATTTTACTACACTCACACCAAGCGGTCAGCACAGTAGGGAAACAAAGGCCCCGACCCCAGAACAGGCCTGGGTCTTCGTCACATGGCCGTAGCCTCGAGCGAGTGGAGCCTCAGCCTGAGAGCTGAAATGTCCCCGTCCGGTCAGAGCTGTGCTGCCGACCCCGCTGGGTCCTGGGGGCTCGAGGCCCGGTGCCACACTCACCATCATGATCTGGGTGCCCGGCCGCAAGGCCATCTCGTCCGCTGCCGAGCCTGGGGCCACCCGGTGAATGAAGATGCCCGAGAGGTTGCCGCCAATGATGCTTATCTGCTCCAGCAACGCGTCCCCCTGGAAGGCCAGCACGGTGACCTGGCTCAGGAGCTTGCGGGCTGGCCTCCTCCGCACTGGGACGCTGCTGCGGGAGGGGAGGTGACAGAGCCCACGAGCCACCCAGAGCCGGAAGTCAGGAAGGGCCCTGTCCCCACCGGCCCCAGCATTCTGGAATTCTCACCACCTAGCCACCACCCCCTCCTCAGAAAGGCTGTCATTTCCCAACAGTGATAGGACATGGTCCTCACTCCGCCCTGCCACCGGCTGGCCCCAGCGCCCCCTCCCCCGCCGTCTCCCCCCCGCACCGCTCACCTGACAGGGAGGCCCCCAGAGGACGGCGGCTGCAGGCTGCTCTCACACCCAGGGAGGTCTGGACGCAAGCAGAGGGCTCAGACACTGGCCAGGCCAGCCCCCGAGGTCACCCCTCCTGACCGAGCTTCTGCTCACCTGGGCAACCTCCCCCCCCCAACGCTTAGCCGCCCCCCCCCCAACACTGGTCTGTCTCTTTCTGCTGAGGCCGAACCTCCTCTTCCTCTTCCCTCTCTCGCTGCTTAGAACCTTAGTTTCCGGGCTCTGTGCTGACAGCTCAGAGCCTGGAGCCGGCTTCAGATTCTTCAGATTCTGTGTCTCCCTCTCTCTCTGACCCTCCCCTGCTCACGCTGCCTCTCTCTCTCAGAAACAAATAAAAAAACATTTTAAAAAATAAAATAGGGGCGCCTGGGTGGCTCAGTTGGTTAAGCATCCGACTTCGGCTCAGGTCATGATCTCACGGTTCGTGGGTTCAAGCCCCACGTCGGGATCTGTGCTGACAGCTCAGAGCCTGGAGCCTGTTTCAGATTCTGTATCTCCTTCTCTCTCTGACCCTCCCTGTTCATGCTGTCTCTCTCTCTGTCTCTGTCTCTCAGAAATAAATTTAAAAAAAAATAAAAAAATAAAAAATAAAAATAAAATAAAATAAAATAAAAGAACCTTGGTTTCCTCTTCCCCCAAACAGCAGTGGGGATTGACCTACACGGTGTCCTATGTGATAGCTGAGTAGCCAACATTGTACAGGACAGGACAGCTGGGGTCTGGATTTCTGGCTACATTAAAAATCAAATCCACGGTGGGCAGAGTGAGTGAAATAGGAGACGGGGGAATGAAGTGCGCTTGTGATGCGCACTGGGTGATTACAATAAAAACGGAAAATCAAGTCAAATCTGGCATAACCCTGGGCCCACATTTCCGCATGGATCTGCATTTCTGCAGGGCGGCAAGTGCCAGCACTGGCCATCAGCTGCCTGGTCAGGTGACCCAAGGGAGCCCTGGACCCCTCCTGCCCTGAAGGTGTGGCTGTTCCGGACAGAGCAGGTTGCGCGCGCCCCCTGGTGGTCACATGGGTGAATTCGAGTCGGGGTGCTAAGCACCTGCTGTGTGTGTGAGGCACGCGGCTGGGGGCAGGTGAGCAGGGGTGGACAAGGTGAGGAGGCTGTCCCTGGGGGGCCCATCGCTTGAGAAGGAGGGGAGACCAGTTAAGTCACAGATGTGAAGAATAGGCCCTAGTAAATGTGGAAGGTCTCAGGTGGGAGAGAGCTCCCAGCAGCTGTCCCTCCCAGGAGCAGTGAGGGCTAACCCCCTTTGCCTTTGGTATTGCTGGGAAACTTAAGTGTCCCCGGGCCAGAGCAGGGAGGCACGGAGAGAGAACTCGTGTGAGTGCTGATGCTGAGCTGGGCAGGAAGATGAACACAGCCCCCTCGGCCTCCAGGCGAGAGAAAGGACTCCCAGTAACAGGGCACACCTGGGCAGGGGCTTGAGTGACCCGGGGGTCTGCACTTCCCAGAGGCCGGGGGCAGGGCAGCGTGAAGCTCGCCTCCCCTCCCTCTGGAGAGGAACCGGGTGGTCTCACCAGCCCCCCTGAAGACCCCCGTTCTCACTTGTCCTGCTATGGCGGCCCAGCCCGGGAGAGGTGAGCCGTCGCGGAGGTCCGTGGGGAGGGGGTGGGGGCGGGGGGAGTGCACTCACCTGCCCGGTCTACAATCTCATAGTCCAGGTCTGTGTCACCTGCCTTAGCCCCCGGGGAGGGTCCCCGGTCCACCTGCAGGCTTTCTGGGAAATTACTGGAAAGTGTGGAAAGATTGCTTACTCCCTGGCTCAGACCCAGAGACCCTGATACCTGCCCAGCCCTCAGCCGGCGTCCCAGTGAGCCGCCGGGGCCCGCGCCATCTGAACCCCATTGCCAGTCCCCTACCTGAAAGAACAGGGATCTTCCCAGAAGTCCTCTGTGGCCCGCTTGTACAGGGACTGCTGACTGGGCGGCACGGGGCTGCTGGAGCGGAAGCTGTCCACCAGCTCGCGGTTGGATGAGGCACTCAGGTCAGAGCAGAGCTGAGACTGGGCGGGGGGGGGGGTTGGCGGGACAGAGGTCGGCACAGGGCTCACCCGGGGACCCCGCTCGACACCTCCCCGCTGCTCTGCAGGGCCCCTATCGGGGCAGAGGAGGCGAGAAGGACATAGCACAGAGCAAGGTCACACTAACTGAGCACCTACTATGTGCCAGGCACCCTGCTGGCTGCTTTCTATATTTCATGTGGCTCAGTTCCGATAGATAAATCTACGTGGTGGGGTAGTATGGTCCCACTTTACATACAAAGCAGCTGAGGCCCAGAGAGGCCAAGTTCCTGGCTGCTGAGGGCCACGTGTGGAGCGAGGCACCAGAAGAGAGCAGGTGCACTGTGTGGGTCTGAATGCAGCGCCCCCCCACCGCAGTTTCACTTCACAAGGACTTCGTTACCACCTGCGGGGGGCCAGGTGCCCGTGTATCCCGGTCAGTGGGGACGCGCCTGGCCTGGCCCCAGGAGAGGACGTGGCGGCCGCCATACCTCAGTGGAGCTGGAGCAGCTGCAGTCACTGTCGTCCCGTGGACAGATGGCCAACATGCGCACCAGCCGCTGCTTCCCCTTCGGACAGGGCTCCCTGGCGCCAGCTTCCTGCTCAGGCTGCCAAAGACGGGCCACAGGTGGTCTGTGCAGGAAAGCTTCCTCTCGGATGCCCTCGGGGGTGGGGGTTCCAGCAAGTCACCTCCCTCCCAGGTCCCCCTCCTGCCTCCACCTCCCACCTCCTCCCTCCAGACACTGTTTCCTCATCACGTCCCCCCCTCCGAGCCTGGGGACCCGCCCCCCGCACCACAGGAGCTGACCACTGAAGAGACGGAAAGCAACCAGCTTAGTGATGCTATTTTAGGGATTATATGTTGTCCCTTACAGGTTATACAAATGACATATGCTTCATGAATAACCCCAGGGCTCTGTACAGAATACTGGGGGCAAACAGAAATGGTTAGAGGAGAAAATAAAATGCACCCATCCTCCACACTCAAGAACAAGACCATTAGCATTTTGCTGTCTGTCCCTATTTTTCTGTGTATATACATGCATAATGTATGTATGTATATTTGGAACGTGGTTGATGTGGGCAGGGTGAAGGAGGAAGGGGCTGGGGGCCTTGCCTCGGCCTCACCAAGGACCCGGGCGCCTCTGAAGAGGCTCACCCCCCAACCCCCGTGCCAGAGCTGGGGCTGTGGACACATTGTAGCAGGAGGTTTTTAGGACCATTTTAGCTCCTGAGGAAAGCAGTCCCTCAGCGTGGAGTCAGCTCCTGGACTTGGGACTTGCAAACTTAAGATGCATCAGCTACAAAAGCAAGTGGCTGCCCGCCCCGTTTCATATGCTTTCCTTCTTCATCGAACACCATACTTTAGAGGTTCCGGAACCTTCCGCCAGGCTACCCCTCTCGTGCCTCGCATAAAGAGTACCATCAAAGGAGGTGCAGACGCAGACTCAACTTGCCCAGATGTGTGTATCTTCAAGGATCCGCCAACACGGTTCACCCGGTTCATCCTCGAGAGCCGGTGTGCAGTGGACATGGCACAACCCGACGACCCAGCGAGGGGACCGTGATTGGCCTCCCAGCCCCCCCCCTGGCATCCCCGAGGGGTGGGACCGAGGCACTCACCCCTTGCTGGGTCCCAGCCTGCGGCTGGTGGAGCTGCTGGCGAAGCTCACAGACCTGGTCCGTCAGCTCAAACACTTTCCTGCGGAGGGCGTCCTTCTCCGTCAGGCTCTGAGAAATCTCCATCTGGGCAGCGTCTCGCGCCAAGTAGGCCTGGGAGCCAGAAGGGGAAGCAGGGGGGGATGGCACGCAGCGAAGGAGCGGGTCTGTGGGCGACAGCGGTGGGGGGGCCCGCCCTCCGGCACCTGGTCTCGCTCTTTCTGCAACTCCAGCAGTTGGCCCTGCAGGGAGGTCACCTTCTCCCTATAGATGGCGCAGTCGGCCTTGGTCTTCTGGAACTGCAGCAGGGTCTGCTCCTTCTCCTCCCAGAACTGGCGGGGGACAGACAGACAGCCCATGCAGGCCTGCGGCTCTGGGGACTGAGGGCCGCGCGGGGCCGGGGTGCCTCGGGGAGGTGGGGGGGGTCCAGGCGGTAAATGCTCATTTCTTAGGTGCCAAATTCCAAGGTGCGTCCCCCCACAAGGCTGCTATGCTGATTATATCTGAATTTAGTTGGCTCTGGATCTCGGGGTTCTGAGTTCGAGCCCCACGCTGGGGCGCAGATTACTTAAAAATAAACTCTTAAAAAAACACACACGGTCGTTGCACGTATGACTGTGTTTTGTGTATTCTATGTCCCCGAAGATGTAAGCACTTTCCCTGCATGTGGCCTCATTCTGTCTATGGTCTCGCTCCTTGCCTCCCGCCTTGCCTGCTGTGGCAACTAACTGGAAAGCACCCGCGGGTGTATCGCTCGTTTGTCTGGTTGCTTCCTGGCCTCCCACCAACCAGACGGGACCTCTAGCCTCGGGTCCGTATAGCTTCCGTGAAGGATGAGCGGACGGACCGGCGGGTTCGTGAAGCAGATTCGGATTCAAGCTCTGTGTGGTTTCAAGGGCCTGTGTCCCCCGTCCGTGCAACGCGACCTGCGACCCGGGACGCGGCCCGGCAGGGTCACCTGCTTCCGCTGCCTCTCGGCGGCCATGGCCCGCTCCCTCAGAGAGTGGATGCGCCCCACGAGCTCCTGCTTGCTCTCCAGGGCCTCGTCGAGGTTCTGTTCCAGGATGTCCTTCTCCGCCTGCGGAAAAGACAGGTCAGCCGGGGGGGCCCTGACCCCCCTGGGAAGCACCCCATCATCCTCCCCGAGAACGGGCAACAGGAAATCTCGAGGCCGGGCATGTGGGTGGACTTGGCCTTCTTCCTGCACATCTCACAGAAGGAAAGGCTGGGTCAGCAATCAAAACGGGAAATGAGCATTTCACTTCTACTTCTATGAGGTCGAATATGGAAAGTAAAGGAAACTGAAAGCCTCTGGGGTGGCAGCCCCCCCCACACTCCAGAAGCAGTGTCGGGCTGCTGTCCCCACATCCACCCACAGTCTCTGAGAGATGGAGTGTCCATCGGTTCACTCGTGCCCGCTCTGCGGGAAGGGGCTTCAGAACGGTGGCCCCGACCCGGGCTGTGTGACAGCACCAGTGTGGCGCCCGCAAGGGTCTACCCCTGCTCAGTAAATGGACATTTTATTGACTGAAAGGAATCGAAGAGGAGAGGCAAAGGGCTTGTGGAGTTCTGAGGCTTTGGTGTGACCAGCGTACGTGTGGGCCCGACAGCAGGCACTCTGCAGGCAGAGGGTCCCCCCACAACCTTGAACCCCGTCGTGTATAATCAGCGCAGAGCTCTCCACACCAGCGCAGCAGCAGCTGACCGGCCGCGGGGGCATCGCCATGCACGTCCGCCAGCTGTGCGACCCGCCCACGCTGGGGCCGGGGAGGCGCGGGGAGGGGACGCAGGGCATCGCTAGATAGCAGCCCACTCCTCGCCCCCCACCCCCAGCCGACGACCTGTCGGGAGCCCCGCGGCCCGTGGGAAAGTCCAGCCGGCTGCCAGGGACGGGGACCCACCAGGCTGAAGGTCAGCGAGCGGAGCTTCTCATTCTCCTCCTTCAGGCGGGTCAGCTCCTTGTCCCCAGGCCCCAGGCCGCCGGCCATCTGCAGGGACCGCTCTCGAAACTCTCGCTCGTGGGAAGAAGACATCTTCTCGCGCTCCAGCTCTTGCTTCATCAGGTACAGCTGCCGCGGGAGGCCGAGGGGGAGGACAGGGAGCGGCCGTGTCTCCACTGGCCAGGGGCCCAGGGCCGTCTGCCTCCCTCAACATGTCTCCTCAGCGATGCTGTCGCTCCTCTCAAAGGGGCCCCTCCCCCAAGATCTCAAAACCCGTCAAAGAGTTTACCTGGCGACTCGTTCCTCTGTCTGTGAGGAGAAAGGCTTTCTAGCTGTATTTTACAGACGAGGCATAGCAGCTAAGTGGCTGGGCTGGGGCCCCAGGGACCGAGCAAGGAGCTCCGGGAATCACTTCTCTGACCATCCTGCACAACTGAAACCCCCATGGCTGGTGGTAAGTGGCCAGTGACCGAGCGTCTTCCCGCTCGCCCCGGGGCTTCCCTGCCTTTCCAGATTCTGCTAAGTCCAGTGCATCAAGGGGACTGGGATGTGTGAAAACCAGTAAGTGCAGAGAAAGAGGAAAGTCAAGTCAGACGGAGCAGAGATGCCTGGTCTATGCAGATGCACTTGTAATCCACCTGCAAACACGTGCCCCGCCCAGCTGACTGCTCCTCCAGGGCTGCAGGTCTCTGGAAACTACATGCCTGGCCTTGGCCCTGACGGAGAGCGCCCCGAGGGAGGTTCAGGTCTGGAACGAAGAGCCTGTCCCCCGGGGAGAGGGGACTTTCCTCCAGAGGCAAGCCTGGGAGACCTGGATGTCAGGGTGGAGTCAGCACTCACTCTAGGGTCAAGGAGACAAGGAAGGACCTTTCCAGTTGGACTTTTTCCCTTCCTCGTCTACTTAAGCAATAACAAACTTCCTGCTATGGGCCACCTGGGTTAGATGTGTCATACGCTACATATTCAAGAAGCAAAATTAAATCGTAAAGATTGGAATGAGGGGGCACCTAAAACTGATAATAAACCTAAGCAAATGAAACTAATTATATTTCAAACACGGTAACCACAATTGGGGGGGGGTGTATAGAGACACCAGCAGCCGCAACAATTCCGGGACGCGAGCCTGAACCGCACACCCTCCGCCGTCCTCAGCAGCTTTGCTCCCCTCGCAGCGTGAGCACGGCTCTTCTGAACGTATTTTCCACGCGCCGCAGGACGGAGCAAGGGAGTGTTCGCGTGGGTGGGACTCTCACGGGGGGACGGGCACCCGAGTATGGAATGGGGGAGGCCAGGAAACGCGCTCTGGGGATCGCCTGGAATTTGAGGTGTGGGGGTGACCTCCTGGCTTCTAAAATACAAGTGTGTGTGTGGGTGTGCATGCACACACGCCTGTTTGTATGCGAGCTCGTATATTTACACGCACGCTTCCTCGTTCTACCTGCGGAAAGGGCCAAGGAGCAAAGGCACCCAGGAGCAATGAGCTCACCTAGAGCCCTGACCTTCGTCTCTGCAAGGGGCCAGGGCCCTTCGGGGAGATGGCTGAGCCCAGCGCTGGGGCCGGGTGGGGACCTGATGACCCCAGAACCTCCCGTGACGTCAGAAAGGGAGTCCATGCACATCCCCAAAAGCAAGGGAGTCAAGAGCAAAAATAAATGATTGGGACCTCATCAAGATTAAAAGCTTCTGCACAGCCAAGGAAACAACCCAGAAAACTAATAGGCAACCAACGGAATGGGAAAAGATAGTTGCAAATGACATATCGGATAAAGGGTTAATATCCAGAATCTATAAGGAACTCACCAAACTACACGCCCGAAAAGCAAACAACCCAGTGAAGACATGGGCAGAAGATATGAACAGACACGTCCCCAAAGAGGACATCCAGATGGCCGACAGACACATGAAACGATGCTCAGCGTCCCTCCTCATCAGGGAAATACAAATCAAAACCACACTGAGATACCACCTCACGCCGGTCAGAGTGGCTAAAATGAGCAAATCAGAGAACTCTAGATGCTGGCGAGGGTGTGGAGAAACGTGCACCCTCCTCCACTGTTGGTGGGAATGTAAACTGGTTCAGCCCCTCTGGAAAACAGTGTGGAGGTTCCTCAGGAAACTAACAATAGAACTCCCCTATGACCCAGCAATAGCACTGCTAGGAATTTACCCAAGGGATACAGAAATGCTGAGGCATAGGAGCACATGGACCCCAATGTTCATAGCAGCACTCTCCACAACAGCCAAAACATGGGAAGAGCCTAAGTGTCCATCAACGGACGAATGGATCAAGAAGATGTGGTTTATCTATACCATGGAATACTACATGGCAATGAGAAAGAATGAAATCTGGCCATGTGTAGCAACATGGATGGACCTTGAGGGTGTTATGCTGAGTGAAATAAGTCAGGCAGAGAAGGACAGATATCATATGTTTGCACGTATAGGAGGATTAGGAGGAACTTGACAGAGGAACAAAGGGGGAGAAGAAGGGGGGAAATGGTGGGGGAAAGGGAGAGAGGCAAACCATGAGAGACTCTTGAATGCTGAGAAAAAACTGAGGACTGATGGATGTGGGGGGGAGGGGGAGATGGGCATGGAGGAGGGCACTTGTGGGGATGAGCACTGGGTGTTATGTGGAAACCAATTTGACAATAAACTATTTGTAAAAATAAATAAATAAATAAATTTTAAAAATTTTATAGAAAAGAAAAAAAAAAAAAAAGAAAGGGAGTCCGTGCTCGGAACACGAGGGGGCATTCCACAGGACAGGGAGGAGACGGAGGGGCTCCCGCGGGCCAACCCGGGACAACGTGAGCAAGCCCACTCGCGACAGCGACGCGCCACAGACGGCTGGAGCAGGAATGCGCGGGCTGTGCGGACAACAGACGCACGTGCCGGGGAGGAAGCCCCCGCCTCGGCCTCAGGATGTTGAAGGCCAACTGGTTGACCAGAGAAGTGGCTGGAGATAGGCTCTGCGGCCACCAGACCAGAGGCGAGTTTGGGCGAGAATCCCCAGTAAGGCTCTCTAGGGGGAAATGTCGAGGAGGCCAGGGTGCTTGCTGGGTCCAGAGCACCCCCCGCCCCAGGCTGCTTCTCAGCTGCGCGAGGACAAAGGACAGCAACCACAGCGGACGGACGGAGCTACGGCACCGGGCCAGGGGGGCGCGATTGACGGCAGCATCGAGGGGCGCTGTGCGGGTCCCGCCAAAAAGCCGTAACGCCTGTCCAGTGACAAGGACACAGCACACAAACCCGAAAGGAGGAGCCGTCTATTTCAGAGCAGGGGGGCCGCGGGGCGCCTTGGGGGCTCAGTCCGTTAAGCATCCGACCTCAGCCCAGGTCATGATCTCACTGTTTGTGAGTTCGAGCCCCGCCTCCGGCTCTGTGCTGACAGCTCAGAGCCTGCTTGGGATTCTCTCTCCTTCACTCTGTTCTCCCCCCCATCTCAAAATAAATAAATAAACTTTAAAAAAGGAGTGAGGGCCTGTATTCTTAAAAAATACCCACACTACAATAGAAGCTGCGGAAATGTTCCGGAGGCAAGGAGGCAGCAGAGACAGGACCAGCATGGGGTCTCCTCCTGGACTGGAGGAAGATGCCACGAAGGATGATATTTCGGTGGTGACAAAACTGGACACAGACGGCAAGTTACATAAGCAGACCGTGTCGATGGAAGTGCACCAGGTTGATAACTGAGCTACCGTCACATCAGAGAAGATCCTATTTTTAGGAAACACACATTAAAATGTTTAGGGTGCAGGGCCCTGATGTGTGTAATGCAAGTGGTTCAGAAAAAAGAAGAGAGAGAGGGAGTGTGTGTGTGCGTGTGTGCGCGCACGCGTGTGGGCATGTGTGTGTGTGCGTGTGTGTGAGAGACAAGCATAGACACACAGAGAGGGGGACAGTGATAAAGGAGGGATGCACAGGTGTCCTGGATACTACAGATGACACGTAGAGAGCGAGAGGCTGGGGGCACCGGCCCCCTGAGCCCCCCTTGTAGCCGGAAACCTGTATGTAACCTCTGACTCTCCCCTGGACTTAACTACTATGTAACCTCTGACTCTCCCCGGGACTTAACTACTAGCAGCCTGCTGGTGACGGTACGCCTTCCCGACTGCCCAGCCCACTAACCCGTTCTGCGAGTTACGTGCATCCTTGACGCTATTCTTCCAGTAACCTCAGCTAGAGAACAGGTTACGAAGGAGAGGAAAGAACACGGTCCTGCAGTTACGGGGAAAATCCAGGAGCGGGTGGGTCCCTGCACTTCACACCACGTTGTTCAAGGGGTGGCGACAGTTGTATGTGTATATTTGTTTACAAATTTGAGATTATTTTCTCAATAAAGTTAAAATTTAAAAACTAAAACAAGCACACGGGAGCCACAGTTAAAGGCAAACAGCCAGCGCCGGAGTGACAAGGGCTGAGTGTCCTCAGTGTTGAAAGAGCTCTTACAAGTCAACCAGAAGATGGCGGCAGGGGCGCCCGGGGGCTCAGTGGTTAAGTGTCCGGCTTCGGCTCAGGTCATGATCTCACAGTTTGAGAGTTTGAGCCCCGCATCTGTGCTGACAGCATGGAACCCACTTCTGATCCTCTGTCCCTCTCTCTGCCCCTCCCCTGCTCATGCATACTCTCTCTCAAAAATAAATAGACACTTTTTAAAAACTAAAAAAAAGGTTAAAAAATAAGGAAAAAGAGGGGCGCCCGGGCGGCTCAGTGGTTAAATGTCCAACTTCGGCTCAGATGACCTCACAGCTTGTGAGTTCAAGCCCAGCATTGGGTTCTGTGCTGACAGCTCTGAGCCTGGAGCCTGTTTCAGATTCTCTCTCTCTCTCTCTCTCTCTCTCTCTCTCTCACTCAATCTCAAAAATAAACATTTAAAAAATTAAAAATAAATAAAAATTAAATTAAATTAAAAAGAAGAAGATCATGGCCCGAAGCGGAGAAATGATCAAAGGTGCGGCCGAGTCCAGGGGCCTCGTTAACGGCACGCCGCTCCCCGCAGGGATGCAGGCCCCGCTGAGAGACCCAGGAGGGGGGCGCGGAGGTCCCCAGGCTCCCGGTTGCTGACTTCACCGGAGGAGGGTGGCTCCTAGGTGAGTCCACCCCTGCGGTGGCCCTGGCAGGGGTGGGGGGGGCAGGGGCGGGGGCGGGGCACCGGTACCTCCTCCTGCAGGCTGCGGCAGCGCGTGGCCGCCAGCTCCTTTTCCTGCAGCGCGTTGCTGTAGTGCAGCGACAGGCTGAGCATCTCGTCCTTGAGCTTCAGCACCTGGTGGAAGTGGGCGCTGACCTCGCGCTTCATGCGGTCATGGTTGGCCTCCAGCTGGCCCAGGCTCTGCGCGCGGGCCTCCGCCCGGCCCAGGCGCGCCTCCAGCTGCCCGCAGCGCTGCTGCAGGGCTTCCTTCTGCCCCTTCTCCTGGCTCAGCTCCTCCTGCAGGCTGCTGATGGCCCCGGCCAGGCACTCGGTCAGCTTGGACGTCTCCATTAGCCCTGCGGACGACGGCCAGATGGGCCACCTCGCCCCCCACCCCCGTCCACCCAGGGGCCTTGGCTTCCGACGCCCGGACTCTCTGCCTGGAGCCCCACCCTGATCCGTCCGTCTCCTTAAAAACTTGCGGGCTCGGGGCGCCTGGGTGGCTTAGTCGGTTAAGCGTCCGACTTTTGCTCAGGTCATGATCTCGCGGTTTGTGGGTTCGAGCCCCGCGTCGGGCTCTGTGCTGGCTGCCAGCTCGGCAGTCTGTGACTCCCTCTGTCTCTGACCCTCCCCTGCTCACGCTGTCTCTCTCTCTGTCTCCTAGAAATAAATAAAACATTAAAAAAAAAACAAAACTTGCGGGCTCAACTGGACTCAATATTTGGTTGAATAAGTAGCACGACTTGCGACTTTGGTACCGGGTTTTCGTCTTCTCGGCGTCCCTGTGGGCCCGCTGTCCAGACCTGACCCCCTCGCCAGCTAAGGTGTGCTCGATGCTAACTCACTCTAATGTCCCCCTAAGAAAATCATAACAGGGACCATGAGTCCGTACAGTGCCTGGCGGAGTCTAACATAAACGCGGGCTGGATGCCAAACAGGCAGAAACATGTTCTTAGGGGTTTGGAGTGATGTTAGTCCTGCCCGTTGTACAATACAATGTTTCCAAATCTCCAGGCTCCCCTCCTGCTGGGCTCCCGCCGGGCCGGGGCCTCTCTTCCCTAACCCTAACCCTAACCCTAACCCCCCCAGCCTCCCAGCCGAGCCGCTCCAGGACCCAGCCGCCTCCCCTGCCCGCCAAGAAGCACAGCGCCAGCTCAGGCCTCTCATCTCAGGAGCACTTAGGGAAGGATGTGCTTCTCCTCCACCTGCACCTCTCAGATGCAGAGCCTGTGCCCCGTGAGGCGTCCGCCCTCGGCACCCGGTAATCAGGGACAGATTTCTTTTAGGACCAAAGGCCGCCGGCTCCGGCTCCTGCACTGTGGCTGGCGGGGGCCTCCTCACGCCCTGTGCTGGGGCACTGAGACAGGAGCCTCTGTGTGGGGGGCGGCGAGGGGAGGTCAGGAGCCTGCAGGCACCGGGATCCAGAGGCGCCCAGCCCCCCAGAGAGCCAGCTCTCACCACTGAAGTTGCTGAAGTCCCCTTTGGGCTGCAGCCCTGTGAGCAGCGTGTACACGTCCGGATTGTGGAACCTGAGGCTCTCCAGGAAGGCAATGGCTCCATTCTTCCCTCGCATCTTCAGCAAATCCAGCAGGTGCCCTAGGGTGCAAACAGTGTCAGCTAATGGGGCTCGCGGGGGGCTTCCTCCGGGGATGCATGGGGAGGACCCATGCACATCTGGGCATCAGGGGGTGAGAGCGGAGCCCCAGGATCCCGGGGGGGGGGCCTCACTGCTCTTGTGGGTCCCTTCAATTCACACGATGGCAGCCAGTCCGCAGAAGGGCCAGGCTGACACGCACTGAGTAACACGACAAGCCAAGTGCTGAGGGTTGGCCGTAAAGGATGAGGGAAGATGACCTTGGCTCTCAAGCCCTCCCGGTGTGTTGGTGAACACGTGCAGACCCTGTGTGTGAACCCCATGGAACAAAGGACACAAAAGGCAGCACCCCAGGGCCCCGGGTCCCAGAGAGCCCACTGCGACCCCAACGCTCTCAAGCCTGACTCACTGGCTTGGGTTCCTTTCTCCTGTATCTAGGGTTCATAAGCAACAGGCAGAAATAAGATCATATTAGTAGCTACTCCTTACTGCCTGCTTCCCATGGCCTCAGCCTTGAGATGAGTCTCATTCAATCCCCCAACGACCTGATTAGCAGAGGCTAGTCACTTCCCTGTTTTGGGTGAATAAACACAGCTAGTCAGACTGTCAGAATCGGCTCCAAAGACATCTGGAGCGAGTCGAATTGTGTCCCCCCCACCAAAGGTACATTTACCTGGAAACTGTCAGTGGCACTTTATTTGGAAAAAAGGGTCTTTGCAGATGTAAGTACAGTAAGGACCTTGAAATGAGGTCATCCGGGATTATCCAGGGGGCCCTAAATCCAGTGACAAGGGTCCTCATAAGAGACAGAGGAGGGGGGAAGGGGCGCCCCGGGGGCTCAGTCAGTTAAGCGTCCAACTGCGGCTCAGGTCATGATCTCGTGGTTCGTGGGTTCGAGCCCCACGTCGGGCTCTGTGCTGACCGCTCAGAGCCTGGAGCTGCTTTGGATTCTGTGTCTCCCTCTCTCTCTGCCCCTCCCCTGCTCATGCTCTGTCTCCCTCTCTCTCTACCCCTCCCCTGCTCATGCTGTCTCTCTCTCTCTCAGAAATAAAATAAAACATTAAGAAAAAAGAGAGAGAGACAGGAGGGGGAAGACGCAGGGAAGTCTGCGTGATGACAGAGGCAGACGCTGGAGGGATGTGGCCACAAGCCGGGGAATGCCCGGGGCCACCAGGAAGAGGCGAGGAAGGAGGTGCCCCTGAGCCTTCGAGGGCGGGAGGCCCTGCCCACACCCGGATCCCAAACTGCGAGCGAACACATTTCTGCAGGCATAAGCCGCTCAGTTCGTTACGGCAGCTCCGGGAGAGCCCCCAGTGTCCCCGCGTCTGGAACTCTGGTCTTTAAAGTCCTGCACCCCTGCCCAGGCTCCGGCCGGCGTGGAGCTGGTGCGGCAGGAAGGGCCGGGGGGGGTCCTCACCGACTCTCATGACGGTGTTGGTGAACCTGGGGCTGTGGAGCACCTCCTCCTCGTCCAGCTGGCCCAGCACCTTGGCCTGGCGCAGGTAGGGCGTGAGGCGGCTGGGGCAGATGCGGCTCACGATCTTGTGCCGGTGGCTCTCCATCATGTCCCACAGCGCCTCCTCGTCCAGGCCCGTGAGCGTCGAGTCTGTGCGGTGCAGGGTCGCCATGACCGCGCGCTCGGGAACGCTGGAGGGAGAGGGGGCGTGGAGGGCTGGGGCCAGGCCCTTCCGGTCAAACCTCCTCCCCCCGGGTTGTGCGCAGGGAGGGAAATGACCTGTCGGGGGGGGGTGACACTCGCCTTGGCCCTGGCGTCCCAAGACCAATGGGGGTTATCCGTCCTCGTCCTCAGTTGCAAACCAGTCCCTCTGCTCGGAGCAGAGAGGACGCTGAACTTGGGGGGCCGCCTGGGGGGCTCAGTCAGTTAAGCGTCCGACTTCAGCTCAGGTCATGATCTCGCGGTTCGTGGGTTCGAGCCCCGCGTTGGGCTCTGTGCTGACAGCTCAGAGCCTGGAGCTGCTTCGAATTCTGTGACTCCCTCTCTCTCTCTGACCCTCCCCTGCTCACGCTGTCTCTCTCTCTCTCTCTCTCTCAGAAATAAATACAACATTAAAAAATTAAAGAAAAAAAAAAGGACACTGAACTTGGCTTTGAAACACAGGAAACTGCCCTTGGTGTGGGGAGCTGGTTTCCAAGATTGATCTAGAACATGCGTTCTCGAGAAGGGTGACACAGAGCCCCCAAGGGGCCGACAATTGGTTCCTGGGCAACAATTCTTACTCCCCTTCGTGCAAAGCACAGCTGTGCATAAACAGACACTCAGGGTCCTCAGGATCCTGACATCTTGTGGGAGGGAACGCGGCGGGGGGATGTCTAGCAAGTGTCCGCAGGGGTGAGGGTGACAGAGGGTGACACCGCCCTGGGGGAAGTGTGAGGGTTTGGGCGGCCCATCCTGCAAGGCAGGGAGCAGAGGGGGTCCCAAGGTCCACGGCGAGGGCGTCGGGGCCATCAGGTGGGAGCAGGCCGGGACAAGGTGCCCACAGGAGGTGCACCAACTCCCCTCGGCGAGGCAGACGCCTGTGACTTTTCAGCGGCCCCAGGACACTTGCACTGAGACACTCAGGAAGTGTGCTAGGGAATGACACTTTGTGAAGTGTATTACAAAACAATTTACAACCAAAACCAAGTAGTAAAGGCCACGACCTCTTGGCTGGCAGGATGGGCGGATTAAAGATGGGCAGGTCCCTGAAGGCGCTGAGCTGCCGCTGGTCTGGGCAGACTCTCCGACTGGGGTCCCAAGCTCCTGGCCTGTCTAGGTGAAGATCACGAAACAGCTCACTTTGAAAGTACTGGAAAAGCCACCAGGGCAGGGGGTGTTGAGGCTGACTGATCTAAATTCCAGGACCTTCCGTTGGGAGGACCTTGGAGGGCGCCACCCAGCCTCCCATCCAGGGACACGGAACACGCCCTGGGTGATGCCAGCTTCGCCACGAGACGCCTCCGTAGCTGGGTCCCTGCCTGAGTCTCTTCCCTCCTGGCCCGGGCACAAGGTCATTACACCGTGAATCCACCTAAATCGTGCTAAAATGTTTCCAAACCCTGGGCTGGTTCAAGCAGATTTTAAAACATCTTTTTTACATGTATTTATTTTTGAGAGACAGAGTGCAAGCAGGGGAGGGGCAGAGAGAGAAGGAGACACAGAATCTGAAGCAGCTCCAGGCTCTGAGCTGTCAGCACAGAGCCCGACACGGGGCTCGAACCCACAAACCGTGAGATCATGACCTGAGCCAAAGTCGGACGCTCAACCGACTGAGCCCCCAGGCGCCCCTGGTTCAAGCATATTTAAAAAGTCCTGCAAATACACAACATATCCGTGTACCCATCATGCAGATTGGACGTTTTGCACTCATCAAGCAAATGCATTTTTGGAGACGACAGCTCAGCCCCGCGGCTGCGGCCCGACCCCCTTCTCTCCCAGAGGCAGCTGCTGGGCCACGTCTTGCACGTGTGTGCCTACAAATATGCACCTGCTTTTGCACGATTCTTGGTGCACAGAGTGAGTGTGGATAAAGAGTATCTTTACTGCGGACTCTCACGTGACATAAGCAGGGTCTCGCTGGGCACGAGGCTGAGGTACACGCCCCCTTTTCTTTTTTTTTTTTAATTTTTTATTTATTTCTAGGAGAGAGAGAGAGACAGCGTGAGCAGGGGAGGGTCAGAGAGAGAGGGAGTCACAGACTCTGAAACAGGCTCCAGGCTCTGAGCTGTCAGTCAGCACAGAGCCCGACGCGGGGCTCGAACCCACAAACTGCGAGATCATGACCTGAGCCAAAGTCGGACGCTTAACTGACTGTGCCCCCCAGGTGCCCCACACGCCCACTTTTCTAACTGGTGCCGGATTCCGTGCTGGGAGCAAACCACAGCTGAGCTACGGACGCCCCTGTGGGCGAGCGCTAGGTCGCTCCCGCGTGTCCGCTGCACTCAGTGCCGTGGTGACGTCCTTGCACACAGGTGCCTCTCAGACCCCTGAATCCCTGTGATCTGGTCCTTTACAAAACTAAGAAGAGTGGTGGGAAGACCCGTGTCCGTGCCCGGCCCCTCACGATCCCTACGAGGACCCCAGGCTGCCTGTGCTCACCGAGGACGCTTCAGCTCGTTTTCCCAGCAGCTCCTCACGGTGGGCTGGGTGGGATTGGTGTCCCCTCCGTGGCCAGGGGTACTGGCGGCTCCTTTCTCTGCGGGCTGCAGGGCAGGACGGGGCTGGGCGCCCACGCCCACGGGGCCTGCCTGCTCTCGCTCCAAAACTCAAAGTTCAGGCACCAAAGTCTACGGCAAAGGAGGAAAACAAAAGGCAGATTCTGATCCAGGAAATAATTTGACAGACCTTTGACCTCTGTGGTTTGCTCAGGGACCACAGGGCTTGGAAGCGGGTTCCTCGAAGGAAATGGATCGTGAGCCCCAGAACAGCAAGGGCCCTGACAGATGCCGTGGTTACCCACAGTGCCCGGGCCCCCCGGGACTGCGGTGATGGTGGCTCCTGCCTATGAATGTGCGAACAGCCATAAGCTGCACGCCTTAATGGGTGAATTGTCCAGTATATGAATTATATTTGAATAGCGTCTTTTTTTTTAATAAAAAGACCTCAGAGCTGCCAGTAACCACGCCCGCTTCCCTCTGGGCCCCACTTCCTGCCAGGCTGCAGGGGAGGGCGGGTGGTGAGGAGGTCCCCTCGGGAGCGGCCTGCCCCTGCCTCCCTGAGGCCACCTGCCGCGCTCGGCATGTGGGATCGCAGCCCTCTGGCCTTCCTTCTTCCTTCTGGCCCAGGCTGGGCCCACAGACGCCCTGATGCCCGGGCCCTCAGCCGGCTCTGTCCTCTGCCCTCCACACTCCCTGACGGCCTCTCTCTTCTGTCCCCTACGCTTGCTCGGTCCAGCATCCGGGTCCCCTCAGCTGCCCTGCGCCCCCACGAGCCCCTCTTCGATGATATCAGTGAACCCCACAAGCACGGCTGCCCCCCACCACATCCAACTCAGACTCTGGGTCAGATTCAACATACGTGATCGGCGTGAGGCAGGCCCACCGACCTCTCTGCCCCAGCCCCTCACAATGTGGCCAGAATTCTATATATTTACGTGGAGCAGCCCCCAAGTGAGGAAAGTGTTCTGCCAAAAACTTTGAAAACTGGCCTCTGAGAACAGGGTTAGTCTGCAGAGGTGGAAGAAAGCACCCCAAGCTGCCCCCGACTTCCGCTAGAGGAAGCTCCACAGAGGTGGGGGCCTTCCTGGGGGTGCGTGCGCCCTGCACAGGGTGGAGGAAGGAACCCTGGACCCCAGGCAGCACCCCTGGCCCCGCGGTGAGCACTGGGACCATGTGATTTCAGACCCGCCCCCCGCTTCACAGGGCTCCCACGCAGGGTCTGCCAGCACTTGACTGCTGAGAGTCCTGCCCCCATCGGAGGGGACACAGAGGGTCGGGGAGCTGAACACAGGGGTCCCTCCAGGGCTCCCCACACCCCGACATTGCCGCAGTCTCCTGGGACCCTGGGCCTCCCTGGGGTTGGGTAAGCGGGTGTAGCCGGGTGGTAGCCGTTCTGGACCATCCTCTGTGCAGCGAGGCAGCTGATGCTGAAACCCCGAATGGCAATAAAACGTGTAGGAGCATCTTTGCAGTTCGGTTCTGATTTATTTTATTTTTAAGTTTATTTATGTATTTGGAGAAAGAGCAGAGGCAGAGAGAGAGAATGCACGCTGAGCTTGGATCAACGTGGGCCTCGATCCCACGAACTGTGAGGTCATGACCTGAGCCAAAGTCGGAAGCTCAACTGACCGAGCCCCCCAGGAGCCCCTCTCAGGATATTTTATAGTTTTTTTTATTTTTTTATTTTTGAGACAGAGAGACAGAGCATGAGAGGGGGAGGGGCAGATAGAGAGAGAGGGAGACACCGAATCCAAAGCGGGCTCCAGGCTCTGAGCTGTCAGCACAGAATCTGACACAGGGCTTGAACCCACAAACCATGAGATCATGACCTGAGCCGAAGTCGGACGCTTAACCGACTGAGCCACCCAGGTGCCCCAGGATATTTTAAACTCTGTAAAAGTCTCCTCTCACCCTGTAGCCGCTCCAGGGAGAAGCCAAGCTCATATGAACCCCGAGCATCTGAGATGTGGGTCCTCCTGTCGGACCCCCGCATCTCCTTGTAGCTCAGGCTCACACTTCCCTCGCCTGTAACGGAGGGGAGGAGAAAGCACATCGGCACTCGAGCTCACGCAAGCGCTCACACCCACACATGCTCACACACATATATGTTCTCACATGCACATGTGCTCACACAGCGCTCATATGTACACACGTGTGCATATGCATACCCCGCTCACACGCATACATGCGCTCACCCATGCACACACGTGCTCAGTGCAGTGCTCACGCCCACACATGATCACACGTGCTCACATGCACCACACCACACGTGCTCACACCCACCCATGCTCATACACATGATCACATGTACCTGGGCTCATACGCACGTGTGTGCGCACACACAATCACAGGCATATGTGCACACACATGCTCATGTACACTCACATGCACACACAGGTTCATATGCACATGGGCTCACACGCACAGACGTGCTAGAACATGTGCTCACACACCGTGCTCACATGTGCACACGTGCTCACACACGTGCTCACGTGCACACATGCACGTACAGGACTCCAGGACTCCTCGCATAGGAGGATGTGAGCCGGCGAGAGCTTAGAAAATCCAGTGACTTGCACACACGGCAGGTGGGGCAGGTGGTCACCCAGCGAAGAAAGAGGTACCTTCTTGCACCCCTCAGCTAAGAGCCCATCCAACGCCCCCATCTGCACGTCTGGCTGTGTCCTCACCACCAGTACCACCCGCTGCACTTAGAAACCTTCCTTCCCCCTTCTTTCACCTGGGGCAACAGTGCAGAGATCAGAGTACGTATCAGAGCGTTTCTTCTGTCCGTCGCGGCCCCGAGCCGCCAGAGGATGTTCAAGTAATGTAATCAAGCAAGATGGGGCGCGCTGTTCCCGCCTCTCGTCCACAAAGCCGGCCTCTCCACCCCTAATGAGGCAGAGGTCCTGACCCCCCCCAGCCCCCTCCTCACCCCCACCGAGGACCCAGTCCCAGCTTCCCGCCCCCGGGGATGCTGACCTGCTCCTGCTGCGACAGACTCCGTGCCCTCGCCTTCCTTGTCCGTGAGAAGTGGGGAAGGAAAGGCTGGCCCAGCGACTGGGCTGAACAGCCAACCAGCAGGTCCGACAGGTCTTTCCGTCTGTCCGGGCCCTGCCCACAGAGCCCGTGCCTTACCCTGGGTCTCCACGGACCAGCGAGGCTCCAGTACGTTCTCACAGCAGGGAGGACGCTTGCTTTTGTAAGAACCCCAGAATCCACAGGAGGTGGTGATTGACAGGGTGCCGGAGAATCTTGGGGTCTTGGGGTGCTGGGAATCTTCTCTCTGCACCGTCAGCCCAGTTCATCAGAAATCCCTCAGGAACAGTGAGATCAGGATAAATCCTGGATTTTTCTTTGGTTCTCACGACCAATAGTGGAGAGTATCTTAGTCATTCCAGTGCAGCCTCCTAAAATCAGCATTTGGTAACTACTAGTTAGGGCTAGACAAGAGTCTTGGCTCACTTCTCACTGCTTGAACCACCGTGCACCGAGCTCTGTGAGGACCTCCCCGCCGCCTGCTGCCACACACACCCCCTCCCCCAGCCAATTCTTAACACGGCTGTTCAAGGATGAGCCAGGACAGGTCATTTCCTTCTGTCCTCACGTCTTCACCGTGACCGACAGCGCCCTGCGTATCTCGTACTTGCTGATCTCCTATCCATTTACCTGCTCCACACGGGGGCCTGCTCAAAAGCCTTTGAAAGCCCCAGGCACACTTCAGCCCCAGGACCCTTGCACGTGTGGTTACTTCTGCCTGAGATGCTCTTTCTTCACTCCCTTCAGGACTGCCCTCAAGAGCCATCTTCCCAGAGAGGCCCTTCCAGTCCGTTCTATTTAAAGTCACAGACTCCCCACTCTGGTTACCCCTTCCCTTTTCCCTGCTTCTTTCTTCTCTGTTGGACTCCCTGCTTCTGAGTATAGGAGACATTCTGGTTCCTTGCCTGCCTCCCCAGCACGAGCCTGTAGCCTCCAGAGGACGGAAATCCTTGTTTCTCCTGTCCCCTGTGCTGTCTCCACACCCAGGACACCGGTGCCCCAGACACATGGGTCGGGCGAATGAGTAAACAGTGGCTGGGTGCCTGGTTCCCACAGAGGCAGAGACGAGTGAGGAAAGAAGAGAAATTCATGGCTCTACAGGCTGAGCACAAAGGACCTTAAAGATCGTCAGCCCCGCAGACAAGGGTCAGTTCCCAAGGTCACACGGCTACTTCATGCAGCACAGCCCCAGAACCCAGCCCTCCCGGTGAGGAGGAGGTGGCTGTGGCCGTCTGGGAAGAGGGGGCAGGGGCACAGACCCGAGGTCACACTTGGACACAAGCTCTCACCCAAGCTCCTGGCCTTGCTGCTCGTCGGCTGTCCTCTCGGGAAGGAGAGAGAAGGCTTAACTCCCAAGCCCTGGCTGCCCACCCGGTCCAGCGGGTTAATAGTGGCCCTGCAGCACGGGGCGAAAGCACTTCCCACCATGCCCGGTGCATGGAAAGTTCTAGATGGTTATAAAAACCTCAAAGAAATGCCAGCATTCTAAGTCAAAGAGGAGGCCAGCAAAGGTGCTGGATCCTCAGTAAGCCTCTGCCTGTCTGTAACTCCTTTCTGCAGAGAACAGGTATACCAAGGGGCGCCTGGGGGCTCAGTCAATTGGGCGTCCGACTTCGGCTCAGGTCACGATCTCACAGTTCACGAGTCTGAGTCCCGCGTGGGGCTCTGTGCTGACAGCTCGGAGCCTGGAGCTGCTTCAGAGTCTGTGTCTCCTTCTCTCTGCCCCTCCCCCTCTTGCACTATGTCTCTCTCTCAAAAATAAATAGAAACATATTTAAAATATTTTTTAAAAAGAACAGAAATACCCAGAGAGTTGTAGGAACAGATTTGAGGAAGCCCCCAGTTGCCCAAGGGCCATGAGCTCAGAAGGAGGCGAAAAACCGTTTCTTAGTCACCATGGCTACGTCGGTGGACCCTGACTGACCATCCCCCCACACTTCCAAGGTCAAGAAAGCAGCATTTCTGTTAACTGTATTTTTGGTTTGGTTGAAAGAGTGTCTTCTGGAGGAACCCCCAGGAGTGGGGTGAGGGACCCGGTGGGCGTGGGGACAGCGCCACCTGGTGACCGCATCCCAGAGAGGTGATCAATAAAGGATCCTGCAGCGACCCATAGTTGCGGCGCGCTGCGCGGGGCCAGCCACCAGCCACCAGCACCTGCGGAGGTGCTTTTGTCTGTAAAACGTACGGAGTTTGAGTGGGGGCTTCTGGGCTTGCTTTGCAATCATGGCCTTGGCAGCGGGTAGGGGTGCACGTGCTAGGTACGTTAGGGTCCTGTACAGAGAAAACGAGACCCGATGCAGCGGAGGCCAGAGGACAGTTCAGGTTCGGGGGCCCCCAGCCCACTGGTCTCAGGGGCAGCTTCCAAAGAGGGGGTGACGTACCTAAATGGGGGCTCTGCTTCTTCGCTCTCCCCACTAATGCTGGGGAGGGTTCCGGAGCTTCTGGGCAGGTTCTTGACCGCTGAGCTGGAGGCAGAGCGAGCATCCGGGGCGGGGCTGGGTGCGGCTCTGAGGCTGGGCTCTCAGCCCGAGCTGGCGGTGTGGACCCCACACCCACCTGTGCGGAGCGTGGGCTGAGGGGGCAGGAAGCAGCTATTTCCACAGGAGCAGGTAAAACCGGTCATTCTCTTACTTTTCACATGTGTTTCCACCTGCCTGACAATCCCCCTCGGAGGTCTGGGCATCTCAAATCCAACCCAGCCAGACCAGGTCCATGAGATTTTCTTTATTTTTGAGAGAGAGAGAGAGAGAGAGAGAGAGAGAGAGGGAGGGAGAGGAAGAGAGAGAGAGAGAGGGAGGGGGAGGGTCAGAGAGAGAGAGGGAGACACCGAATCCCAAGCAGGCTCCAGGCTCTGAGCTGTCAGCACAGAGCCCGACGCGGGGCTCGAACCCACAAACTGTGAGATCATGACCTGAGTCGACATCAGATGCTTAACCGATTGAGCCCCCCAGGTGCCCTCAAACCAAGTCCATCTAAAAAATTTTTTTGTTAATTGAGGTGAAATTCACACAACCTAAAATTAACCATTTAAACAATATTTGTAACATTGATTGATTGAGAGAGCAAGAGAGCACGTACGAGAGAGAGAGAGAGAGAGAGAGAGAGCGCACAAGTGGGGAGGGGCAGAGAGAGGGAGACAGGGGATCTGAAGCAGGCTCAATCCTATGAGCACAGAGCCCGATGTGGGGCTTGAACCCAGGAGCTGTGAGATCATGACCTGAGCCAAAATCAAGAGTCAGCTGCTTAACCAACTGAGCCACCCAGGCACCCCTAAAATTAACCATTTTAAAGTGAACTGTTCAGTGGCTTTTAATGTTTTTGTTTTGTTTAGAGAAAGAGAGAGAGGAGCATGAGCAGTGGAGGGAGAGCACGAATCCCAAGCAGGCTCCATGCTGTCAGCGCAGAGCCTGACTCCCGGCTCGATGCTCCAAACATTGAGATCATGACCTGAGCTGGAATCAAGGGTCGGACACTTGACCGAGGCCCCCAGGCGCCCCTGGCGTGGCATTCAGTTCACTCCCAGTGCAGTGCAAACATCACCCCTATTTATACAGCACTTCTTTGTCGTCCGCAAACCGAACCCTGTGCCCATTGAAGCCCTGCACCCTCCCCCCCCCCCCGCCCACTTCGTGGCACCACTGATCTACTTTCTGTCTCTATGGATTTGCTCCTTCTGGACATTTTATAGAAATGGAATCCTAGGTATGTGACCTTTCGTGTCTGGCTTCCTTCGCTCAGCATAGTGGCTGAATAATATCCCATCCTCTGTGTGGACAGACCACACCGTGGTTATCATGCGTGTCCCTCACTGGACACCAGGTGGTTCCCGCCTTCCGGCTCCCGTGAGTCCTGCTGCCTTAAACCTGCGTGACCTTGTATTCTTGGGTCTGTTGATTTCGCCTCGAGGCCGCCACACGCTGCTGTCCCGCGGCTCCCCCGTCTCACGGGGCTGCCACTCAGTCTTCATCCTTCTGAGCCCGAGTCCACCCCATACGTCAGCCCTGTCCAGACTCTCCTGAGTCCCCCTGGCCCCATCTCCACGGGCTCGGGCAGCCGCCGCCACCTGCCCGGCAGGGCTCTGCGGCCCTCAGACCAGCCTCTTCCCTCCTGCCTCAGCCGGCTCCTCTTTCCAAACCGCTTATCAGAACACATTCCTCTCTTCCCAAAGAAAGGCCACCCTGAAGTGACGCCCATGGCAACCAGAATGCACTTATTTATTTTTCTGAACTTTCACTTTTGTTTATTTTGTAAATGTTTATATTTGAGAGAGAGAGACAGACAGACAGTGCACCAGAGCAGGGGAGGGGCAAAGAGGGAGGGAGACACGGACTCCGAAGCAGGCTCCAGGCTCTGAGCTGTCAGCATGGAGCCCGATGCTGGGCTTGAACCCATGAACCGTGAGATCATGACCTGAGCCCAAGTTGGACGCTTAACTGACCGAGCCCCACAGGAGCCCCTAGAATGTATTTAACCTCCACTCACAGCCTGTAAGACCTTTTATGATCTGGCCACGCTCATCTCTTGCCCCACCCCCACGCTTACCCACACTCACGATGCCGCCACCACCGTGGCCTTCTGCCCCCTCTTGTACCAATCCCCTGCCTCACTGGGAGTGTCTGCACGCCTCGTCCCTCCTTCCGGGAACACTCCTCCCTGGGCTGTTCCCATGGCCACCTCCCTTAACAACTTGCACCACACCTCCCTCCAGTCGCCCAGTAAATCAGCGACCCACTGTCTTCCCCTCTGCTTTTTTTTTTTTCCCCTTGCAATACAGCAGTGATAGAACCTGCAATTATCTCATTGGTTTGCATGTTTTGTCAGGCCTGCCCTCCTAGGGCACACAAGCCCATGCCAGGCACTGCTGTCCACCCCGCCCACCAGCCAACCCAGCGCCCGGAACAGACCCCCCTGTGCGCCGGTACCTCCGCTGCCCAAGTGCCGGACGCTGGCAGCGTGTAGTCCAGGCTCCAGCCAGTGCTGGTGGGAGCTTAGTGAGAGAGGCCCGCTCCTGGAAAGGGACAGTGGGGTGGGCGGAGCTCCCTGGCAGGAAGTCCATCTTTGGGGACAGCCCCTCGGATTCAGGGCATCAGCTCCTTCGGTGATGATTCATGGGAGCCCGGCCCAGCCCAGCAGCGCTAACCCACACCTCCGGCTGCCCCTGGACAAGACAAGCCACTTTGTCTCCACCGCGAGTCTAACACAGGTACAGAGAAAGCAGCAGGTGGGCTCTTGTGGTGTGGCCCACAGATCTGTTCCAGGCTCCCCACGGCTCCGGGATGAGCTCAGGGGGCTCTTGAACGCCAGACCCGTCCTGCATTCCTCTTGCCCTCCTGCTCCACGCCCCCAGGCACCTACTACGGGCCTGGGCCCTGCCCTCCCTGACGTTAGTCTAGTTGGGGAAGGTAGCCTCTCTCCCCCAAATATAAAGGGTGTGGGAAGTGAGGCGCAGGAGACAGAGGGGGTACAGAATGGGTGGGTCCCCTGTGGGGACAGGAAGGCGTGGGATGCAGGGCCCCGGGGGTGAGAAGCGATCGAAATCCACTTTTTAGGGGACTCAGAGTGGAGCCATTTCTAGCCGGCACCTTCTAGCTGGCATCGTAACCGAGGGGTCCAGTAAGAGTGGAAACATTAATCTGCATGTTCGAGTGGTGGAGATGTGCACTGATGGCCAAGCTGGGTGTCAGTTCTTCTTCTTCTTTTTTAATGTTTATTTTTGGGAGAGAGCAGGAGCAGAGGAGGGACAGAGAGGGGGACAGAGGATCCGAAGCGGGCTCCACGCTGACAGCGGCCAGCCGGCGATCCCAACGCGGGGCTCGCACTCATGAACCTCGAGACCATGACCTGAGCCCAAGTCAGACGCTCAACCAACAGAGCCGCCAGGCGCCCCTGGGTTGTCAATTCTTGCTTCGTAAGCATGCGCTTACGCCCAACACAACACAGTGACGTAGAGCCGATATGCCAACCAACAAAGCAAGTCACTGAGGCACGTTCTCAGTACACCACCAACTAGTTATATTTGCTATTGGTGATAAAGCAAAATGCGCTTCAGATCCGACTGGCCCTTTGGCGCACGTTGCATAGGCTTTGTGAAAACTAGCGCAGTACTGGAGCGGGAGAACACCTCCTGAGGGGCTCCTTGGAGGCTCAGTCTGTTGAGCGTCGAACTTCGGCTCAGGTCATGATCTCACAGTTCGTGGGTTCGAGCCCCGTGTCGGGCTCTGTGCTGACAGCTCAGAGCCTGGAGCCTGTTTCTGATTCTGTGTCTCCCTCTCTCTCTGACCCTCCCCTGCTCATACTGTCTTAAAAAAAAAAAAAAATTAAAAAACAAACAAACGAACAAAGGAGAACACCTTCTGAGGGTGGCTCTTTCCCTGGCTGCACTTACCAAGCGCTGTCTGTCCCACGTAATAAACACGCTCGGCCGTCATCAGTGGAACCCACTCCCAGCTCCAAGCTCCCTAGAGTGGATTTACCCTCCTTATTTTCCCAGAGGCCTCCTGGCCACCAAGGGGGACCTGCCTGTGATGTTCACGTGCACCCCTGTGTCCTGCACCTCACTTCACCCGCTATATTTTGGGGGAGGGTGTCATCCCATCTGATTATATGAACCTCAGGGACAAAGATCAAGTTTGCCTTGTTCCCCATCGCTCTCTGGAGAGCACGGCTTATGAGAGATGGCACAGCTCTTCCTGTCCCCCTCCCACCCCGACCTCCTGTCCTTGTCATGACGTTGGCCTAAAACGTTGAAAAGTTACTGGCTTTTAAGATGTGTATTCAAACTCAGCAAAAGAGCATTGCCAGGACACTGACATTAAATGCTATGAAAGTTTAAAGGTGAAAGACAAGTCAAGGTGGATCGTGAATAAGGTGAAAAATCTCCAAGCAGGCACAGAGGCAATTCTCCCCTTTGCACTTAGTAGGAATGCAAGTTTTTCTCTCCTCATTGATGTCAGGGTTTGTAAGTCTTCTATTTACTCTTCCCCCATGTTCTGGCAAGGTTATTTTACGTGCTAAGTACTTAGAGCAGCATTGTCCAACAGGGATATCATATGCAGTATGATTAAAACATTCTAGAAGCTGGGGCACCCGGGTGGCTCACTAGGTTGAGTGTCTGACTTCGGCTCAGGTCATGATCTTGGGATTCAGGGGTTCGAGCCCCATGTCTGGCTCTGTGCTGCCAGCTTGGAGCCTGGAGCCTGCTTCGGATTCTGTGTCTCTCTGTACCTTTTCTGCTGTTCTCTCTCTCTCTCTCAAAAATAAATAGGCTTAAAAATAATAATTGGGATTAAAAATAAGTGAAATTAATTGAAATGACATTTTATGTAACTTAGTATAAAAGATAGCCATTTCAACATATAGTCAATATAAAAGTTACGGAGATATTTTACACACTTTTCTTACAGTGAAATAAAATAGAAGTTGCTAGGTCTTCTCCACAAAGGATCATGCAGCGCCCTCTGTGGTTGTACACAGGATTGCAAGCTGTGCTGTGTTGTAAGATGCACACGATTTCAAAGTCTAAGAAAGTCGGCTTTCGAAATACTGAGTATTTGACTAACGCCCGCACGCTCAAGAGGCATGTTTATCAGACCAACTATCTTGTAGAGCTTGGACATATGCTGCCCTCAGGGAGGGTGCTTCGGGGGGGCGGGGGGTCACTTGTACCGCAGCCCATTGCACTTACAGGGTCTGGTTTCCTGGAAGAAACGAGTATCCACGTGCAACTAAGTTAACCTTCACGGCAGGAGAGCGTCCAGCGCCCTCGGAAAGAGACCGCGGATGTGGAGGAGAGACACGCCCGGGATGCGAGCCGGGCCACCGACGGGAAAGGGGGTGTCAGCCTCACGAAATCAAACGCACAGAGGACGGAGCCAGGTCGGGGGGTGACGCCGCTCCAGGGGCGAGTGAGGCCAGTTTAGGGTCAGGTGCAGGCCTGGCTGTGTGGACAGGGCGACAAAAGCCAAGGCCTCGGCGGTTCCCTTCCTGGCAGCGCACACGGGCCCGGGGGCCGTGCCCTCACACACTCGAGCCCGCAGAGGCTCTTCCTTAGCGGCTTCTAACCCGGCCCCCTAACCGGAGCCGGCAGCGAGGCTTTCCAAACGCAGTCCCTTTCCATCGGGGGCCCGTGACGCGGAGGGGCGGCCTGTTCCCCGCGCCGAGCGGACGCCCTCCGCCCCGCCGGGACCTCAGCGGAACGAGGGCGCGGCCGGGGGGAAGGCTGGCTCGGCGGCTGCCGCGGGCGGGGATCAGGGGTACGTGTGTCTGGTGGGCGTCCCCACACCCGCCCGCCAGGGCGCAGGGTCCCCCGGCCCGGCGTCCAGAGCGCGGGAAGTTTCGACCTAAACGACATCCCAGAAGATACCGGCTCCACGACGCTTCGGCCCTATTTATAGGGGGTTGGGCGGGCTCCGCCCCTCGCGAGATCCCGCGGCAGCTCAAACCTCGCGAGAGCAGCGGCAGCACCGCCTCTCTTCCGGAGGCCCCCTCCCTTTCCCTTTTCTCGTGAAGAGGAGCTCCACCGCCCCACCCGAGACGCGGCCCGACGCACGCTCGTACGCACGCGCGCGGTGGCGTCAGTTCCTGGCGCCGGCGGCGCGGGGGGCCCTGCTTCCGCTTTCCTGTGCGGCTCGCGCTCCGCTCTCAGCCGACTCGCGGTCATGGCGGCCACGGCCACGATGGCGACCTCGGGCTCTGCGCGGAAGCGGCTGCTCAAAGAGGAGGACATGACCAAGGTGGAATTCGAGACCAGCGAGGAGGTGGACGTGACGCCCACGTTCGACACCATGGGCCTGCGGGAGGACCTGCTGCGCGGCATCTACGCCTACGGTCCGGGGCGGCGGGGCGGCGGGGCGGGGGCGCGGCCGCGAGGGAGTCCTGGGGCCCGGCATGCCGCGGCCCCTCCGTGTCGGTGTCGCAGGCCTCGGCCTGTCGTTCTCGGCGCACAGCACGGTGCTCGGCCCAGCGAAGGCTAGGAAGGCACTTGGGAGCCATTCAGGCGTTCGATAACGGGCTCGTACCCGCGCTGCTCTGGGCACTGAGGGTTTGGCAGCGAACGCGGCAGGCTCGTGCCTGGAGCCGAGGCCGCTCCAGGCAGGGGTGATGGCTGTGATTGGGGGGTAGTGGAGCTGGTAGGTAAGGAGGCGCCCGGAAGGGGCTAATGTTTGAACTGAGATCTGGATTAAGGAGCCGGTTGTGAGAGGACCCGGCACAGGGCAGAGCTGCTGTCAGGACCCTGCAGCTCTGAGTCCGTGCATCCCAGGAACAGAAAGAAGCCTCCCGTGGTGGGAAGCCCAGGGGCGACTTTGGAGGGGCAGACAGGGCCAGATCTGGCAGAGTGCAGTGTGAGGTGGTGAAGAGTTTGAGTTTTATTTCTAAGTGCAGCGGAAAGCCATTGGAGGGTTTTAAGCAGAGGTCAGATTTGCGGTTGCAGAGGTTATTCTGGAAATCTGTGGATTGGAGGGGAGGGGAGGGGAGGCTGGAGAAGGGGCGGGGGGAGAGGTGATGGTGTTGGGGCAGAGATGGTTGTGAGCAGCAGAGGAGAGAGGGTTCCTGGGTGTTGTGAACAACTGGTGGGGGTGCTGCTGTTGGCTTAGGTGGGGAGCACGGGAGGGAGGAGGGAGGCGGAGGCGGGAGCTCTGTCTTGGGCCAGGTGAATCTCCGGGGCCTGTAAGCCATCCAGTTGGAGGCAGTTGCCTGAGTTGGGAGCCTGGGAAGAGTTGGGGTGGGGGGTCCAGACGGGAGTGATCAGCGTCTGTGCTTAATGCCTGGGACTGGGCTGGCTTTCACCCGGCAGTTTTTGATGTTCTGTTCAGCAGTCTTTGCAGTTTAGCCAGCAAAGAGAGGGTGCTGAGGGAATGGGAGGTGAGAAGTGCCATTGTGTCCGGGCCTGGCGGTGAGGCTGACAGCCCTCCCTGCCTCGGACATTCAGGACATCCCTGCCCAAAACAGTTTTTAGTTTCCCAGCCGTGTGCTTGGTCACGATGAGAGTTTAAAAAAAAAATTTTTTTTTAACATTTATTTATTTTTGAGAGACAGAGACCGAGCGTGAGCAGGGGAGGGTCAGAGAGAGAGGGAGACTCAGTATCGGAAGCAGGCTCCAGGCTCTGAGCTGCCAGCGCAGAGCCTGATGCGGGGCTCGAACTCAAACCGCGAGATCGTGATCTGAGCCAAAGTCGGCCGCTCAACTGACTGAGCCACCCAGGTGCCGCACGATGAGGGTTTTAAGTCATCTCTTACAGTTCTTTGTTAGAAGGAAGTTGTACTGTGTTTTAAAAAACTGCCCCAACTTAAAACTTTTGTTTTTGGTAACTAAACTTTCGTTTACTGGGAAAATACTTTTACTCCTTCAGAGTAAGTAGCCTCGTTCCTTGGTAACGGTCCTGCAGAGGGATGGTGTCGTAGTTCACGTAGCAGCCTCACTAGTGAGGGGGCACAGCGCAGACCCCTGCAGAACGACCCAGGCAGTAGAGTAAATGCATTGTAGACGCTCAGACAGCCTGCAGACAGACCGATACGGAGAGGGAAGAGGAGTTGCTGCCAAGCTACTGGGCTCATTTTCCTTCTTTGTATTAAAAAGTAACGCAAAAGAATAGAAAGCGCTGCAGGTGACTGTAAATAGACGGAAGGAATTGAAGTAAAGGGCGAGCCTCTCCCACCCATTCTTCCGGAGCGCCACCGCTAACGTTTGGGGGTTTTGGGTAATCTAACTGAGGTTTCTGTATTCTGCAACGGTGTTTTTTTAAATACAGACTTTGTACAGATGAGATCCCTGTGCGTATAAAAACACAGCTCGTCCCGATTCATTCAGCAGCTATTTGCCCCTTGGTGTGTTGGCCTCTGGGGTAGGAGGGGTAGAGGTGGGGGCTTAACAAACCATCTGGGCCCCGAGGAGCTTCTGGTTATGGTTGTAACCATGAGGTTAGAACTTTGTTTCTTTTTGCAGGTTTTGAAAAACCATCAGCCATCCAGCAGCGAGCCATCAAGCAGATAATTAAAGGGAGAGACGTCATCGCTCAGTACGTCCCTGGCCCAAAACGGGGTTAGGCTCTAGTCAGTCAGCCGAGTGCAGAGAGTGCTTTGGGAGCACCGTTTGTCACCCTTTCCTTGACTTTAGCCACAGGGTGTCCTGTTTTCTTGTTCTGTCCTTTACTCTCGAAAGCTGTCATGTTTTTAGCCAGCTTTACTTGTCAGTTGGCATGCGGAATGGTTTATAATATTCTCTTAATGCCTTTAGCTCCCATTTGCCTTTGTAAAATTTTTGTTACTATTTTTTAACGTTTATTTATTTTTGAGAGAGAGAGAGAGAGAGTGCACGCAGGGGAGGGGCAGGGAGAGAGGGAGACACAGAATCTGAATCAGGCTCCAGGCTCTGAGCTGTCAGCACAGCCTGACACGGGGCTGGAACTCACAAACTGCAAGATCATGACCTGAGCTGAAGTTGAACACTTAACCGACTGAGCCACCCAGGCGCCCATGCATTATTTTTAAAGACTTGGTTACGAGAAGAAATAATTTTGGAGGCTGGTTTTAGTCCAAAGTTACAGGAAAGAATTAGGTTTATGTAAAGGGGAATCTCTCCTTTCTTGCCACCTGCAACAGCCGTCAGGGCTGCAGACCCTGCCGTGCCGCCTCTGGTCACACCGCGGAGCCGCCCTTGCGGTTGAGGCGTTGTTCCGCCCCGGGAGGTGGAGCAGGTGCCCGGCGGCTCCCGCAGCCCCCCCTCGGGGCGCTGCCGTGGTGGGGGTGCCGTGAGTGGGAGCAGGGAGCCCCCTTCACACCCTCGGTCTGTGTTTCCACGAACAGGTCTCAGTCCGGCACGGGCAAGACGGCCACCTTCAGCATCTCTGTCCTCCAGTGCTTGGATATTCAGGTAGCCTGCAGCGGCTGGGGCGCTTCCCTGCCCCCGCGCCTGCCGCGTCAAAAAGGACGGCTGTGCAGCATGTCTGCCTGGTTGTACCGACTCCGCTAATTTCTTAAGAGCTTCTCAGCTGCACGCTAACAGGGAGCTACCTAATCCTCTGTCATAAATTCCTTGCCGTTTAAACCGAGAGATCCATTAGTGGACCTTCTTGTCTGCAAGCAGCAGTCCTGCCCATTAAACCCGTGATTGCTGGGCTCGCACTTGACCTCGCATCCGGGCTCGTTCACCTTCGTCCGGAGTCAGCTGTGTGGCTGGCGTGAGCTAACGTTCCAAAGAGATCTGCATCTGAACCGGTGCAGTCTGCCTTGGAAATGCTGAGGATTCTCTGTTTTCTGACATCATTTAACAGGTTCGTGAAACGCAGGCTTTGATCTTGGCTCCAACGAGAGAGTTAGCTGTACAGATCCAGAAGGTGAGGCTGGGAGAGGCGACGCCATATTTGCCATGATTGCTTTCTAGTCTGGTGGTAAAGGCTGGCTGGGGATTGAACCTAATCCTGTGTATTGGTTCCCTCTCATTTTGTTTCCTGATCTCTAACGTTTGTTACGTGAATTCCTCATTTGTATTAAATCATTTTTATTTTTATTTAAAAAAATTTTTTTTTATGTTTTATTTATTTTTGGGAGAGAGACACAGCATGAGCATGGGAGGGTCAGAGAGAGAGGGAGATACAGAATCCGAAGCAGGCTTCAGGCTCTGAGCTGTCAGCACAGAGCCCGACGCGGGGCTTGAACCCATGAACTGTGAGATCATGACCTGAGCTGAAGTTGGACACTTAACTGACTCAACCACTCAGGCATCCCAATATTAAGTCATCTTTAGCATCACTACTGTGATTCTACTAGCTTTTTGCAGTTTTAGAATTGCGATTTTTTTAGCAAAAAATTTGTTTTAGTTAAACGGTTTTTGTTTTTATACTTAAAACACTGTAAAGGCTTGATATACATTAAGGTGTTAGTATTAACGCTGGGTGGCCAAGATTATAAATTTTATGTATTTCTGGAGTATTTTGTAATTGAAGCGTGTTGCTTTTCTACTAAGAAACCAGCAAAACCAATTTCATTTTGGCATAGAGAGTAGAAGGGGGAGAACGGGTCATCTTGTAGTCTTACGGTGCAAAGAATAGAATAAATACTTCTCGGTGGTCGTCTTACTTTGGAGTAGAAATGACCTTCATCTTAGGGAAGCTGCGAGGTCTCTGACTTTGCACGAACGTGACCCTTGTTTGAATCCAGGGACTGCTTGCCCTGGGCGACTACATGAACGTCCAGTGCCACGCCTGCATTGGCGGCACCAACGTGGGGGAGGACATCAGGAAGCTGGACTACGGGCAGCACGTGGTCGCCGGCACCCCCGGGCGTGTCTTCGGTGAGCGCTTTTGTCTCTAAGAGTCTGTGATGAGCAGCGTTGTACGCGGTGCTTAAACGGCCCGGGACGCGTCACAGAGTTTGCACGTGGGTAACGTGTAGGAGGTGGACAGCGGTCCCTGAAATGCCGTGAAAACCAGCCGGGATGGCCCTTTCCTCGTAGCCTGAGGTCTGATTACTTCTAACTGCGATTCCGTAGACATGATTCGGCGCAGAAGCCTGAGGACACGCGCTATCAAGATGTTGGTTTTGGACGAGGCCGATGAGATGTTGAATAAAGGTACGAGTAATGGGCACGGTTCCTGCCGACATTTAACTCTGCGCTTTCACAGCACGAGGTGGGCATGAGGAGCTAAGGCAGGCGTTGTCCGGGTGAGCTGAAGTGCCCGGCCCAGGTGCAGCCACCGGCGTAGAACTTGCACCCTGTCCTTCCCGCCATGAGGGTGGGATGGCTGTGCCACCGCTCCCCGCACGTCCGGGGCTGGCGTAGATGGGGAGGCCCGCGGTCGAGGTGGGGCACATCGAGATGCCTGCTGTGCATTGTGGGGGCCCGGCTGTGTCAGGGAGGCTGGGCTGTGGCCTCAGGGCATTGTGTTGTCTGGAGGTTCTGTCCGTTGCACAGGCTTTCACGTTCTTTTTCCAATTTAAGTTACTGTATTTATTTACGTATTTTTAAACGTTTATTTACCTATCTTGAGAGCAAGCGAGCGAGCAGGGGGAGGGGCAGAGAGGGGCCAGAATCCCAAGCAGGGTGCGTGTTGTCAGCACAGAGTCCCGCTCAAATCCGCAAATGGCGAGATCATGGCCTGAGCTGACACCCAGCCAGCAAAGCCAGCTAGCCGCCTCCCGTTTTTAAAAAATTTTTAATATTTATTTTTGAGAGTGTGTGCTTGCAGGCAAGTGGGGGAGGGGTAGAGAGAGGGGGACAGAGGATCTGAAGTAGGCTCTGCACTGACAGCACAGAGCCCGATGTGGGAGCTCGATCCCACAAACCATGAGATCATGACCTGAGCAGAAACCAAGAGTCAGACGCTCAATCAGCTGAGTCACCCGGGTACCCGAGGCTGATCTTTCTCCCAGTTATGTTTTTAAGGTAAATTTTCAGACTTGACACGTACTTAGGATTTTCACGCGTTTGTATCAAGATGTATGGGGACAGATATGAGATGCCCCCTTGGGGATGGCGGCCGAGGTGTTAGGATGGGGACGTGGTAATCCATCACGACAGGTACTCTGAGTCCAGGGCCCGTTAGAGCCCAGGCCTCCGCTGCCTGCACGCCCTCCCCTCCGCCCCTGCCTCCGCGCCAGGGGTCACCGGGTGAAGGAAGTGCTCTCTCCTGGCGGTAAGTGGTGGCGCAGCTGAGGCTGTCGCTGGTGTTCCTGGTGTCCCTGGTGTCCGGGTCCCTCCGTGGGGCTCCTGCTATCCGTGAGCTGTCCTCCTGCCGCGCCCCCCCTCTCCCCCCACCCTCCCCACCCAGAGGCCCTGCCTTCCAGGTGAGCACAGTACCACCGCCCTCGGGCTGCTGTCTTGGCCTTTGAGAAAGCATCGCCTGCGGGCAGCTTCTTGCAGGCCCCTTGGGTGACCATTCTCACAGTGAGCTCTCTAGGCGGCGGCTATGTGCTCTGGGGTTTGTTACAAGGGCAGGTCTTGGGCTCTGTCGTTTGTGGGGTCGTAGCCTCGCAGTCTGTTAAGGGGCTTTGGAGGCCGGGGATGCCAGCGTGGGCACTCTCACACGCTCGTCTGCTGACCCCACCCTGCGTGGGCCACGGAGGCCATGGTGCTAGTGGCCCCTGGGCCAGGTCCCGCTGATTAGGGTATGCTTGACCATGTGCACCCTGATGACCCCACGTATGCGGGAGATTTTTCCACCTGGGAGGTGGTTCTCTACAAACCCAGATCCCTGCATTCTCTTATGTGGCAGATCTGGCCACATGGGACGCACATCTTCACAGCAGCCGGGCAGGGGTGGCGACCACCAGCAGGCGTCTGAGGTGGTGGATGGCCCAGGCCTGGGGCTTCCCTTGCTCCTAGCCTCTGGCACCCAGGCCTGTCAGGGTGGGGCCACGATCCCCAGAGACGGCCAAGAAGGGGGGGTGCGTGGACTTCCCAGCTCCGTGGAAGACGTTCCTCGTGAAACCGGCCACCTCCCAGCCGCAACTCTGTGTCAAAGCATGCGGCCTTCACGTTCTCTGCTTCTCGTTCTTTCTCCCAGGTTTCAAAGAGCAGATCTACGACGTGTACAGGTACCTGCCCCCGGCCACACAGGTGGTGCTCATCAGCGCCACGCTGCCCCACGAGATCCTGGAGATGACCAACAAGTTCATGACCGACCCCATCCGCATCCTGGTGAAGCGGTAAGAGTGCCGCGCTTCTCCTGCCGCACGCACACGCCACGTGGCTTGCGTTTGGGTCTTAAACCGTGAAAGTTTTTTTTATATTCTTTTTTCGAAAGCCAGCTTTGGGGCATCCAGCTGGCTCAGTTAGTGGAGCATGTGACTCTTGATCTCCGGGTTGTGAGTTTGAGCCCCATGTTGGGTGTAGAGATGCTTAACAACCAAATCTGGAAAAAGGAAAAGCCAGCTCTTATACATGCCCTCTCCCTTGGCTCAGCAATTCCAACAGCTGATGGTATTTGTCCATTGTTCTGCGGGAGTAAAACGTGTAATACGAGGTGTGCCAGTGGCTGAAGTCCCAGGCTGCTTAGGCCTGTGCAGGAGGGGTGTTGACCCCCCGGGAGGGGCAGAGCTGCTGTGGGTCGAACCGGTGCCGGGAACAGTGTGAGGCTTGTGCGTGCCTTTAAATCTTGGTGGAAGAATGAGTTCTTAGGACCTGCCTTTGTTTCCAGTGATGAACTGACCCTCGAAGGCATCAAGCAGTTTTTTGTGGCAGTGGAAAGGGAAGAGTGGAAATTCGACACCCTGTGTGACCTCTATGACACGCTAACCATCACTCAGGCTGTCATCTTCTGCAACACCAAACGGAAGGTACGCAGCCATCTTGGCTCTTGCGTAGCCTTTTTTAAAAACAATTGTTTTTGGGGCGCCTGGGTGGCTCAGTTGGTTGAGCGTCTGGCTTCAGCTCAGGTCATGATCTCATGGTTTGTGGGTTCCAGCCCCGCATCAGGTTCTGTGCTGGCACCTAGCTCAGAGCCTGGAGCCTGTTTCAGATTCTGTATCTCCCTCTCTTTCTGACCTTTTCCTGCTCACGCTGTCTCTCTCTCAAAAAGAAAACATTAAAAAAAATTTTTTTTTAATTTGTTTTTAACATTTTATTTACTTTTGAGAGAGAGACAGCACAAGCGGGGAGGGGCAGAGGGGGGGAGGGGCAGAGAGAGGAAGACACAGAATCTGAAGCAACTGCAGGCTCCGCGAGCTGTCAGCACAGAGCCCGACGTGGGGCTTGAGTCCATTGTGAGATCATGATCTGAGCTGAAGTCGGAGGCTCATCCACCTGAGTCCCCCTGGCACCCCAGCTCTGCACTATCCTTACGGCAAAAACTGAAGATTGGTTCTCTTTGGAACCCAGGCAAGACGTTGCCTCTGGTGGCTCAGAAGGGGATGGGTGGGCGTGGCCAGTGAACCTGCACAGAGGTGTTCGTGCTGGTCCCAGGCCGGAAGGCACAGGTGTCGTGGGTTTAGCTGGGCCCGGGCCTGCGGTTTCCTAGGCTCCCAAGTGACGCGCTCGTGCAGGCGACGGGACAGCCCAGGAGTCGGTCACCTTGCAGAGAAGATTTGAATTTCAGATATGAAGTGAGAGGTGGCCTTTTTTTGTCCTTGAGACACAGGGAACCAGGAAGAGGAGTCTGCCCTGATGTGCTAGGCAAGCCCGTGTCCTACGCGTTTAGGAAAGATTCAGCTGAGGGTTTTTTCCCAGAGGTTTATTTTGAGAGAGACCCGGGAGCAGACGGGGGAGGGGTGGGGAGAGGGGGACAGAGGCTCCCAAGCAGGCTCCGAGCTCTTGGCACAGAGCCTGTCACAGGGCTCAGCTCAAACGAACGCATGGGATTGTGACCTAAGCTACGGCGCCCCGTGATTGATCTGCGTGGTGGGGGCCCCAGAGGTGCTGCCGATGGCCCTGCAGACTGAAGCGGGGCCCCCACGCCTTCCGGCTTGGTTTCTGAGCTTACGTCGTGTCTGCTGATTTGACGTGCAGGTCGACTGGCTGACAGAGAAGATGAGGGAAGCCAACTTCACGGTCTCGTCCATGCACGGGGACATGCCACAGAAGGAGCGCGAGTCCATCATGAAGGAGTTCCGCTCCGGCGCCAGGTGGGCCGGCTGCCCTGCCCGCATGCGGCCCAGCCCCTGCCCTCCAGGGTTGGGGGGCTGCTGGGGGGAGCGTGTACGCCTCTGCGGGGCGGGTTGGGGTCTTCACTGCTGGTCATCCCTCAGTGGTGGGGTTGTAGTTGTGCTCGGAGGGCCTGCGGCTTCGTCCTGTAACATGTCTGGTTTTGCTCGGCGCACGCTCACTTCTGCGCATGTGTGCGGGCCGAGCGCCGTGGTCGCCGTGCCCCGGAGGCTTGGCTGCTGGCTGTGTCTCGGACCCTCCGCACATTCCCCTCGGCTTGTCTTCGCCGTCTCGGCATCGCAGCTCTGAGGCCCCGCCTGCCCTGCTGTGTCCGGGGGCCGTGTAGCCAGTGCGGGGCTGCCGCGTTCCCGCAGGGCCACGACACGTCCCTCTGTCCGCAGTCCTGCGGGAGGCCTGCACAGCCTCCTGGAGCGTGGGTGTCCCCACCAGGTCCCCTCACTTGCCCCCCCCCCCCCATGGGCCCCGGAAGCTGCAGGTGTGCTCCATGCACACAGCTCACAGTGGCTCCTGGTTTGCTGCTTTGCCTGATGCTGGTTGCGGTCTCGCAATCAGAGTGGTTCGGGCCATGTTGTTTGGTGGCGACGCTGCCATGTGCGCTTTTGAATTAATATCTATTCCATGTATTTTATCTCTCGTTCTTTTTTTGATTTCTTTTTAAAAAGTTTAATTTGAGACAGCATGCATACATGCAGGGGTGGGGCAGAGAGAGAGGGAGGGAGGGAGGGAATCTTAGGCAGGCTTCATGTTCAGGGCAGATCCTGACGTGGGGCTTCCATGAGATCATGAACCTGCGCAGAACTCGAGTGTCGGATGCTTAGCTGAGCCCCCCCCCCCCCCCCGGTGCCTTGATTTGGGATTTCTCATCCTCGTTCCTTTGCCCCAGTTCCTGTTTTGGAGTCGTCTGTGCTTTGTTACTTAGCCTCCTAGGACGTCCAGCGCTGTGTCTGCGTCCTCCCCGCCCGCCCGGACGCGGGCCGTCGTCCCTGCCCCGCACAGACCTCAGAGACTTCAGTGCCCCCTGCACTTTGGGGTGGTGGCCACGGGACTTACGATATTACAAACTCCACAAGACGTCTTTGCTTTATGTGATAGAATTCATGCACATCCAGACACGTTCTTCCCATCTTGTTATTCTCCTGTCTGGGAAGTTTCCTTCTCCTTGAAGAACGTCTTTTCGTGTTTGGTTTGGGGACAGGGTGTGTGCTTCACCTCAGAGTGTTTCCTCCCCCCTCTCGAAGGAGGTCTGTGCTGACATGGAATTCTGGGAAGCTCCCCGGGTCTCCCTGCCCCTCCCCGTGCGGCCTCAGCAGGGTCTGTGCTGATGGGTCTCCGCGTGGCTCCCGTCTTTCCTCCCGTTGGGCAGGTGTCCAGCTCCCCCCCCCACCCCGCCCGCGTGGCTGGGCTCCCACTCTCCCTCTCCTGCCTCTGGGGCTGCGGCTGCAGGTGACTGTGTGGCAGCGACACCTCTCGGTCTGGTTTTCAACTCCTTTCTCCCGTGTTGCTCTCCCTTGATTGGAATGCTTCTAGACCAGCGATATGTAGAGGCCGGGCCGCATCGGAGGTTTTCTGGTACCAGCGTTGGAACATAAAAAGAAATGCAATGTTGATTTTTAATACGCTATTTAACTCAATGTTATTTCAGCATTTTCAGTATGTAATCAGCATTAAAAATACTAATTAAGGTGTATTTGGGGTTTTTTATACTAAGCATTGAAAACCCCGTGTGTATTTTACGCTTTAAAGAGCGTCTCGTTCTGAGCCAGCCCCACCGCACGAGCTCGGTGGGCTGGCGGCCTCCGTGTTGGACGTGGCAGCCCATGGTGTGTCCCACCCTGTCCTGGCTGCAGGACACGGCTGTGAGGCGCGTTTCAGTTTGATCGCACTGTAAACCCGCACCAGGGCGCTGGGGCCGCCAGCCCGCACTCCTCCAGGCGGAGGGAAGGTGTCTTTCCCAGGTGTTGATACGGGGTAGCTTTACGTAGTTAAACATGTGCTATGGAAGGTACCGGAATCCTCTGTCTCGGTGCGCGTGAACAGGTCTCTGGTGCTGTCCCGGATGCCGCATGTGTGCTGGGGGATGCGGGGGCCGGTGTGAGGGTGACTGGATGCCTTTCCGACTCGTAGCCAGTCTTAAACTTCCGTGACTGATGCGATGGCCTCAAGTCCCTTCTGTCTTTGCAGCCGCGTGCTCATCTCCACAGACGTCTGGGCCAGGGGCTTGGACGTCCCTCAGGTGTCCCTCATCATCAACTACGACCTGCCCAATAACAGAGAGCTGTACATACACAGGTAGGGCGGGCGCCGGGGCCTGCTGGCGGGTGTCCTGCCCCTCCCTTGCTGCCGGTACTGAAGGGGTTTTGCTCTGTCCTCAAAGAATCGGGCGCTCGGGCCGCTACGGCCGGAAGGGGGTGGCCATCAACTTTGTGAAGAATGACGACATCCGTATCCTGAGAGACATCGAGCAGTACTATTCCACCCAGATCGACGAGATGCCCATGAACGGTGAGCCCCCCCCACCCTGTCTTGTGCGTGAGAATCCATCGCGAGCCTCGTGCTCCGCTTATCTTTTCATCCCGCTTGTATCCGTCCTTCACACGTGCCTTTCTCTCTCTCAGTGGCCGACCTGATCTGAGGAACCCGCCGCGCCGACCCGCTGATGCCCGCCTGCCCCGTGCTCCCTGGGAAGTGCTGGGGGGCGGTTTCCGGGTGACAGGGTTTGCGTGAGCTCGGCCGCAGTCCCCACGACGGGCCACTTTTCTTACCCATGTGTAAATAATGCTTGGAGTTTTTTTCATTAAATGTTTAAAACTTTTCCCATAAACTCTAATTTATGTGTCTTTTTAAAATAGTCACTTGTTAAGCAATCACGACACCCAGCGTGGGGCTTGAATTCACGACCCCGAGATCGAGAGTTGCACCACCACCCCCCCACCCCACCCTGACAGCCAGCCAGTCCCCTCTGGCCCGAGTGTCTTAGGAGGCGCCATCTTGGGCAACAGGTAGGGTCACCTGTGGGGTCACAAGTGGGGACCTGCTTGCGGTCCTGCTGTTGGTGAACGGAGGTAGGAACACTGCCGCCTCTGCGGACCTCCCCAGGCCGGCCTGGGTGGTCGCAGCCACACGTGCGAGGTCGTGGGGAGCCTGACCGTTTCTGAACTTCGTCCCGCGATTCTGACCCCAGGCATCATGGTCATCCGGCACGTGCGAGGAACGTCCCGAGCTCCCGTCCTGGAGCGCCGGCACAGGGTCAGGGGCAGCGTGGGCAGGGCGCTTCCGCGGCCCCCAGCCCCGGCGTCTCCAGCCAGGAGGCACCGGGAGGGAGGGGCTTCGGCAGAAAGGACGGTGAATACTTGTCTTCAGCTTGGCCTCGGGTCTGCAGCAGGGGAGGAGGGACAAGCGTGGAGGCCCTGGGCAGGAATGGTCAGCCGTCGTCGTTCTGGCTTAACAAGCACCGTGTTCTGGTGGAGGAGGGAGGGGAGCACGCAAGGCGTCGTCCGTGACTCGAGGGAGACAGCAGATGCTGTCTAGGAATGAGAGCAGTTAGCAAAGTGCAGACGGTCCCAAAAACACTCAGCTTCACGGGCGGTTCAGGTGTGCCGTGTCACCCGGGAAGATGTGATAACAGCCCCGAGCGTTGCAGGGGTGTGCGAGTATTTACATTGGTGGTCCTGGTGGGAGAGCAGCCTGGCCCTGATCAGCGGGAGCAATTAAAATGTTACTTCTCTCTGAGGGAGTAGTTCTGCAGTAGGCAGTAGTGCGGAATGCACACTGCACAAGTGCATTCACCACAGCGTACTGCAGCCCTGGGGGGGTGGGGGGGTGAGTGCTGGGAGGTGTGGGTGGGGGCGTCGGGAGGGCAGCTGGGGCACTGGTGTCACGGCCCAAGTGGGTTTCGCTGTGCCCCTTGGCAACTGAACATTGAGAGAAGCAAGGGGGCGGGTGTGCTGGGCTGTACCGAGTGACCAAAGCCATTCAACAGCCAATATTGGATGTTCAAATATTCAGCCGCTGGTTTTAGCTGTTAATAGCAGAAAAGTGGAAGTGACCCAAATACCCATCAACCGGAAAGTGCGGTAAGTGTGCGTGACGAGTATTATCCCAGAGGGGTGGGTGCCACTGCCCGCTACGGAGCAGGGGCCTCGGACACTGCTTGCCGAGGGCCACGTACTGTGTGATTCCACTTTGTGAAACGTCCCAGACAGTGGCGTCAGGTGGTGCGCAGGTGGCGGTTTTCCTGACTGGGGAGTGCGGGCTCTGGGCCGGGTTTCTCGGGGGGATGAAAATGCTGAGGGGCTGGATCGTGGTAATGGCTGCACAGCTGTGGGCCTAGGGGGCGTCACTGAGGGGTCACTTGAACCCACTTGAGGGGTGACTCATGGGAGCTGTCTCCGAAGTCGGGGGGTGTCCACAGCCTTCTCCAGAATTAAACGGCATGAGCAAGGGGAGAGTAGTAAAGTCCCCAGTTAAAAGACGGGCAGACTGGGTCATAGAACGGGACACAGCTACACACACTTAGAAGAAATCAAAGCGGGGTGCGGGGGGGAGCTGGGGAGACCTATCATGGGACACTCTGACCACAGAGAACCAGGGACAAAGAGGCCCATCTTGCACAGGACGCCTGGAAGGTAGCTCATCAGAAACCCGGGACAGTCCAGTGTCCATGCACCCAGAGGAGCTTCAAACTGTGGCAACAACTGGTAGAGCTGCGGAAAAGACTGGATGAATCCGGTTCTGGCCGCTTTCAGCATCCTCGTTAGGATAAAGGCCACACATCCTCCTCACATACAGTCAGCGTCAGAACGTGGCCCTGGCCAGCACAGCCAGGGAACGAGAGGGATAGAAGGCATCTGAAAGGAAGTCTGTGCACAGATGACCCGATCCTTTGCATCAAAAATTGTAAGGACTCTGCAACAGCTACTGGAGCTAATAATTGGGAAAACACGGCCGTACGTACACGAGGTCAGGATTCAGAGCTCGCTCATGTTTCTGGAGTCTAGCACTGGACACTTGGAAATTTAAGCGCTGTTTGCAGTAGCACCAAGTAGATGAAATGCTGGGGATACATTTAACACCTCTGACATCTCTGCCCCAAAAGCCACAAAGCGCTGCTATGGAAAATGTCCGTCAACGTCAGCGAGAGGCACTGTTGTTAACGGCCTAGAGGGGGCAGGTCCGCTCAGGTGTCTGTTCTCCCCATGTTCCACAGATCCAGCGTAGCCCCAGTCAAAATACCAAGAGACTTTGGCAAAAATTGTCAAGCTGATTCTGAGGGGCGCCTGGGGGACTCTGTTGGTTGAGCGCCCAGCTTCGGCTCAGGTCATGAACCCACGGTTCGTGAGTTCAAACCCTGTGTCAGGCTCTGTGCTGACAGCTCAGAGCCTGGGGCCTGCTTTGAGTTCCGTCTCTGTCTCTCTCTGCTACTCTCCTGCTCGCACTCTCTCCCTCAAAATTAAACATAAGAATTTTTTTAATAAATAAAATCAATACAGAGATACGAAGGACCCAGCATAGCCAGGACGTCTGAAAACGTGAACGAAGCGGGATTCCTGCCTGACCCCCAGGAACACTGCAAAGTTACGACTCGACAGTGAAGTGTTGGCATAAAGACAGACCCCTTGGATCCCTGGGACGTGGTACAAAGTCTAGAGATAGACCACAGGCTTATGGTGAGGGGGTTTCAGCAGAGGTACTGAGGCAGTGGGGTGGGTAAAGGATGGTACTTTTAGCAAACGGTGTCCGGTTGGTTAGCCATATGCAAAAAAGAAAAACCCTCAATTGTCACTAAGTACCATGAACAAAAAGTAGCTTGAGATGGAAGACCTAAAGCTACAGAACTTCTGGAAGAGAGCAGGAGATAAGTCTTAGTGACTTTGAGTTTGGCAAAGATTTTTTTTAATAGGACGTAAGAAATCCAAATCAGACTCAAAATTAAAACCTTTTACTTCTCACTAAACATTGTTAGGAAAGTAAAAAGGCAAACCACAGACTGGGAGAAAGAATTTCCAAGCCTATACCTGATGGAGGACTTAACCGGAATACGTGGGGAGCTTTTAAGCGGTAGGTGGAAGAATGGTCCCCCAGAGAGGCTTGGGTCCTGCTCCCGGGAGCTCGTGACTGCATCACATTTTACAGCAAGAGGGTCTTTATTGATGGAAGAGTTTGCGACCAGAGCATCCTGGGTTACCCAGGTGGACCCACACGAGCTTTGAAAAGTCAAGAATATTCTCGGCTTTTTGATGGGCTCAGCCCACCATCGCTGGACTTGAAAGCGCCATCCCCATGACGATCAGTCCCCAGAAGCTGCGAGGGAGGTGTGGCGCACGCTGGAGCGATAGACCTGCTGCCTGCGAACCCTGCGCCGAGCTGGCCGACCACCTGCCTGAAGGAAACTGGTCCTCCCCCGGAGCCTCCGGGAAGGAAGCAGCGGGCTGCCACTCGACTGTAGCCCCATGGGAGCCGTGTCACCCCTGCCCGCCAGCACCATGACAAAATAAATGTGTTATTTTAAGCCACTGTAGTATCTGTCACATAGCAACAGAAAAACTGTAATACACGTAAACGATATCATTCCAATAATAGAAGACCAGTGCTGCAAGATAAAGGCAACAGATTTGAACAGCTGCTTCCCTGAAGAAGATTCACCAGTGACAGACCTAAGTCCGTGAAAAGATGCTCGGCGTCCTTGGTCTTTAGGGACATGCGCTTCGAACCACGAGCGCCTCTCACCAGAACGGCCGAGGGCGAGCAGACCAGCCATCGCAGGGGCGGGTGAGGACCTGGGGCAGCCCTCTCACCGCTGGCGGGAATGCAAACCTGTGCGAGCACCTGGAGAGCAGCTTGGCGGCTTCGGGGACATCACACACCACCCCGTATGACCTGACTGTGTCGCCCCAGTATGTGCTCAGGAGACATGACGGCCTGTCCGTTCAAGGACTGGTCCGTGATGGCTCATCGAGGCCTGTTCATCACAGCCCAAACTCATGGACGGCCCGAGGCCACTAAACCAACCGTGGCACATCCATGTGACGGGGAGTCCTTGGCAGTGACGCCGACAGGGCGCTGAGATATACGCGGGTAGGGCTCCCAGTCCGGCTGATACTAGTGGGACGTGGGACAACGCATCCCTGCTGGATGGTTCTGCTTCTGTGAGCTTCTGGAAAACAAGCTGCCGCCCACAAGCAGACCCACGGTGGCCTGGGGTGGGGCGTGGGGGCACATGTCCGCCCACGAGCCTCTGATGCCAGGCCCCGCCGGATGGTGATGCTGCTTTCAGAGCACGGCCTGCCTGCCCCACCTGGAGTGGCCGGAGTCTCACTGAGGGTGGAGTGGCCGCCTCCAAGTCAGGGCCCCGGGACACATACCCCGCCCTGAACCCCAGAAGGACCAGCAGAAGCGTGATTGCAACACCCCTTTTATTAAACATAATTGCACTTCAGAGCGAGGGTTTCCCGGGGTCCTGTGAATTCTCCAGAGGCCCCCGTGGCCGCGCTCATCAGGCCAGCGGGCACCCGCCCGCCACTACCGGGGCGCAGCTGCCCAGACAGCAGTCCTCTCATCTGGACGTGGCAGCCACACGGCCACCCCCAGTGTGACCTGGGGCACGGGGACGGCGTCCACACCCGGAGCCCTCCTCTGCGGTCCCAGGCAGGCCGCGGGTGGGAGGTAGACCTTCCGGGAGAGAACCGCAAACACAGGGCACACGGGCCCAGGAGGTAGACACACAGGCAGATCTGGGTGTTGGAGGGGAGTCCGTGCCGTGAGCTGTGGGCCAAGGGCTTCCGACCCTGAACCCCCCAACACACATCCCGACAGCACGGGTGCGGGGGTCGCCTCCCTGGCCGTCTCTTGGCGGAGGGACCAGCACGCCACGGCCCCAGTTAGGACCAGCTGATGAGAAAGCGTTCTCCCATCGCCAGCGACACAGGGACATCCAGGGTCTGCAGGAGGAGGCAAAGGAACATGTGACCACCAGACGGCTGTCCACAGAGGGGAGACCCTGAGTGCACGGCAGACGGGAGCCTGGGCGGGTGGTGTCCCGGCCCCGGGAGGCCTCCCGCTCTGCTCCTCCCTGGCTGAGTCCGCCTCGCACGCTGGCTGCCGTTTCAGCGCGGCCCGCAGGGCACCGTCAGTGTGGACACGGGCAGAGGAATGACCCAGGGTGCAAGGGGGCCCGTCCTTCCCCGGAGACCAAGTTCCCTTCGCCCTTGTACGGCCCGGCCACTGGCACCGGGTCTCCGGGGCCCTGGGTGCCTCCCCCACCTCCGCCGCCCTTGGGGACGAGCCCTCTGGCCCCATGTGAGGGGTTCTTGCCTTCGAGTCAGGGCTGTAGGTGAAGTTGGAGACAGGCACGCCGTTGGAGAGGACCTGCTTGGGGGCGGCGGCCACCCCCAGGACGATGACCTTCCTCAGCTGCAGGCTGGCCCCCTCACCAGCCACATGCACCAGCTCGTTTGCAATGGTGTTCTGGCCAAGGAGGGAGGTGGGAACAGTCAGCGGACGGCCCGGGGAGACCTGCGGGCTGGGGCCCTGCTCCCTCCCCTCCCTGGGACAGGGACAGGTGACCCCTGGGACCCCCCAGCTCGGGCGGGTCCCGACACTCACATTCTTGGCCAGGAAGACGACCTGCGTGTAGGCCCCGCGCTCCAGTGTCCCCAGGCTCTCCCCATCGTCCCAGAAGAGCTCTCCTCGGGCCTCCCCGCTCGCAGGCAGGGCCGCGACCAGGGCCATGGGCTGCTTTCGGGACTCCGTGGTTGTGAGGCCAGGGCCCTGGAAAAGCGGGTGGCACACGTCACCATCTCCAGCCTGGCACAGAGGCCTCCAGACGGGGACAGGAAGGGCGCTGGGCTGCAGGAGACCAAGACCCTAAGGACAGCCTGCGCCAAGCGGCTTGGACGGCCTGGCGCGCACCGTGGCCTGGCGGACACCCGCGTGTGCAGAGCAGCAGGCGCCCCTCCGCCCGGCACGGCTGCGGTCAGTGACGCGCCCTGAGCGTCCCTTCCGGGTCCGGCTCATCCCCAACCCTCATGCACCGCTGTCTCTGCCTGGGGCCTTGGGGACCGGCCCTCCCCCGGACGCAGGCGGAGCTGGAGGGGGGAGGGGGTCTGTGGGGGGAGGGGGACTCAGGTGGCCGCCGTGTACCTGCAGGGGGATGATGTGGCCGGCCCGGAGGTGGAGGTTGATGGTGTCCAGCGGCGCCGGCAGCGTCACCCACTGCCCCTTGCTGTGGATGGCAGGCATGACGGGGGCAGGCAGCAGGAGACTGCGGAGGGCCCCCGCTGGCCCCTGGAGGGAGGCGTCACGTCACCAGCAGTCCGGGTGGTGCCTAAGCCCCTGTGCTGTCCCTGGAGGCCCCGCGGGCCCAGCGCAGACAAGACCGCGGGGCAGAGGCCTGGCCCCAGGAGCACGACTCTGGGAGGACTGGAGTCCCGAGAACTATCCACCTGGGCCTCAGTTTCCTCGTCGGGAAAATGGGTCACTGCAAGGACTGGGTGGGAAGATGCACGCGGAGCCCCAGGCAAGGGCCATAGGCACGCTCCCCGCTCCACATGGCCACGCCCGCAGGGCAGGAGGGGCAGCCGCTGCGAGGGCCCCAGGACTCACCGTCTGCAGGCCGTACCACGTGCCAGTGGGGAAGTAGCCGGTCACCTCGACCTTCCCAGCCTCGAGCACCGGGGTGATGAGCAGAGCCGCCCCCCACAGGAGCTGCCGGTCCACGGCCCAGGTGCCGGGGTCCTCGGGGAACCTTCAGACAGGAGGGGTGGGCGCGTGGGCCTGGTGGCCTCTGAGGATGGGGTGCTCAAGGGGCCCTCGGGGACAGCCAGGGAGCCGGGTCCAGCTCGGCACTCGGTGGGGTCGGGGGGCGGCGAGTAACCCTGTCCCCTGCCCGCCATTCTGGCAAACCGTTCCCGATCCGTTAATACTGGTCTTACCACCTGCTCTGAGTTTCTTATGTGAGTTTTACGTGGGAAGTGGCACCTCGTCTGATCAGTTCGCCTTTGCGCTTCCGCAGTGCTGGACGTTAGCACGTTCTCCGTTTTGTCCACAGAGCACTGCCTGTTTTCCCCAGATGTTAAGCCCTCCCCTCCTCGCCTTTTGCTTTTGATGCTTACAGGGCCCTCTCCTGCCAGGGCATCGAGAAGCATTCGCTTCTGTTTTCCTGTGGAATTTTCTATGGCTTCATTTTTGACATTTCAAGTGTGTGACCCATCTGAAATTTACATTTGTAGCGTGAGGGGGAAAAGCCGTCTTTTCCAAATAGGGAACGGAGTTTTACTACCTGGGGCTCCTTTAACCCACTGACTACAGGTGGCATTTAATTAACTGCATGGCACCTTTTTACATATCGGAGTCCTGCTGGGGGATATCACTTGGGTCACTTTCGTCCAATCAGGATGGTTTTCTACCTTGTTGCCACCCAGTAGGCCTGGTCTGGACTTGGGGTTCCTCAGCCCGGAAGGCCCCCAGCCCTGAGCTGCTCTCTCATGGGGGGTGGGGGACGCGGGCGTGCAAAGGGCCCCCAGCAGGGAGGTCCCGGAACGCCCCTGCGGCAGGGCGGGGCTGCCCTGGGCCCTCACCCCTGCCGAGGGCACTCACTCCAGGAAGAGGGGCCGGGCCACGGTCTCGCCCCCCACGTGGGCCCGGTGGAACAGCGTATACAGGTGGGGCAGCAGCATGTAGCGCAGGGCGAGGGCCTTCCTCATGGCTCGCTGCGCCGTCTCGCTGAACCTGTACGGCTCCTGAGGCTGCAGAGGGGACGCGAGAGCACCTGGCTCTGGGGCCGCGAGGTCCCCGCCCGCCCTCCCCCTGCGGCGGGAGACCCGGCGTTGCTGGCACTGTCAGTGGCGCTGCGTCCCCAGCGGGACCCCCGGGGGCAGACGCCCCGCTCCCTCGCCCGCCCCCGCCCCTACCAGGCTGTTGAGGTCGTTGTGGTTCCGCACGAATGGGTAGAAGGCCCCCAGCTGGGTCCAGCGCACACACAGCTCCTCTGACGCGTTGCCCTGGAAGCCACACACATCGGCCCCGACCAGCGGCACCCCCAGCAGGTTGAAGAGCAGGATTTCTGGGAGGGGAGGGTCAGGCTGGGGCTCATGCTGCCGGAGCAGGTCGGGTTCAGGGCTGTGGAGCCCCGCCGACAGCCTGCCCACCGGCCCCCACCTGGTGGTCAGTACCGCGCTGGCCCTGGGGTCTCCCACCCGTGGTCACAAGTGCCTTGCGGACTGCTTCCTGACGCCTGGGATCACCCAGCACAGCAGCTCCTTAGGATTGGATTGCATCCCCCTGCCTCACAGGTGTGTGGGAGTCCTGTGCCTGGGGGGCTCATTCAGTCAAGGGTCCGACTTCAGCTTGGGTCATGACCTTGCGGTTGGTGAGTTCAAGCCCCCCTTCTGGCTCTGTGCTGACAGCTCGGAGCCTGGAGCTGCTTCGGATTCTGTGTCTCCCTCTCTCTCTGCCCCTCCCCTGAGCGCTCTCTCTCTCTCTCTCTCCCTCAAAAATAAACATACATTAAAAAAAAAAAAAGGTACGTGGGAGTCTTAATCCTCTGTATCTGTACTTGACGTGACCTTATTTGGAAAGAGGGTCTCTGCAGGGGCGCCCTCTTCATCCAACTTCAGTTCAGATGACCTGAGCTAAGATCATGACAGATCTCACAGTCCAGGAGTTCGAGTCCTGCGTTGGGCTCTGTGCTGACAGCTCGGAGCCTGGAGCTGCTTCGGATTCTGTGTCTCCCTCCCTCTCTGCCCCTCCCCTGCTCACACTCTGTCTCTCTCTCAAAAATAAAATAAAAACATTAAAAAAAAAAAAAAGAGTCTCTGCAGATATGGTTAAGGTGAGGTCATAGAGAGGGTCCGGATCCATTGGGCCTGCTGCCCGTGTACGAGGAGAGCCCAGGTGTGACGACAGACACGGGGGACAAGACCGGGGGAAGACACAGGCAGAGACCAGTGACGCAGCCCCAAGCCAAGGACACCCAGGACAGTGGGCTACTCCATAACTGGGGGAGCGGGCAAGGCGACCCCCCGGGGATCCCAGCACAGCCCCTCCAACACGGCCATTCAGACCGCCAGCCTCCAGGACCGCTGCCTTCCGCACCCGCGTGGGAACTGTGCTCCGGGGGCCCCAGTGAGCCCCCGCGGCTGCTGAAGGCTCGGGTGGGCTCCCGGCCACATCGGCCAGTGTCCACCCCACCTCTGCTCAGCAGGGCCAGGCCACGCTGGGCCGGCCCCTCTCCTCGGTGTCTCCTCGGCAGCCAGGACCCCGCCTAGGGCCGTGGGGGACACCTGTCTGGGCTGCAGCAGGTTCAGGGGCCTGCATGACCTCTGCTTGTCATGATCAGTGCACACCGAGACCCCAGCCCACGGGTCGGCCAGGGACCTGGCACCCGAGGGGGCTTCAGAGGCCAGCCTGCAGGACTGGCGGCCATGCGTGCCCCTGGGTGAGGTGAGAACCTGTGGCACCTGTGGGCAGAGAGCGGCTTCTGGAAAGAGTGGATTCTTCCCCAAGTGCTCGCCCGCCAGCGCTTGCCCACGGCCCGAGGGTCTGCACACGCACACCCCGCCACCAGCACCGATACGACTGTCGGGAAGCTTGCAGGCCGGAGGATGGTGTCGGATCCCCTCAGCTGCCCACGCGGTGATGCTGGGAGGTCACCCCGACCCCTTCCCCAGAGCTCCTAAGCCATGTCTGGGCCTAACGCGCGTCAGCAGCATCAGAGCCCTTGAGAACTCAAATCAGCGTGCCTCTCTGCAGGTGGGGTAGATGGTGCCTGCAGGCTGGGCTCACATAGGACATGGTCACGGGAGGGGACACCGCGGGAGAACAGAATCTGCTTTGCAGGCAGCCGCTGGGGGGAATCGGAGATGGGGACACTTGGGAAGCCCATCACCGCCCACCAGCATGGCACAGGGCCACAGGCGCGCGACTCGCACAGGCACACGACCCCGCACAGGTGCACCGACCCCGCACAGGTGCGCCACCTCACACAGGTGCGCCTCATGCCCCACATGAGTCAACAGCAGGTTCCCACGGTGTCTAGTAGCATCGCCCTGAGCTGAGCCGAGCCCAGTGCTCAGGCCTCGGCCCTCGCCCTCTCTGCGCAGCCCCCCGACAGGCTCTCACCTGGCACAGAGTACGAGAGCTGCTCCCAGCTGCTCCACACGTCCCCTGTCCAGTGGCCGGCGTATCGGCCATGGCCCGCGAAGGTTGAGCGGGAGATCACAAAGGGGCGCAGCCCCCGCGCCTTGATCAGGGCCCTGGGTGGGGCAGGGGGACAGAGCAGTGGCCCAGCGCCTGGCGGACACAGGCAGCGGCAAGGGCCGGGGCGAGGAGGGCGGGGAGGCTCCGCCCCAGCCACCAGACCACCCAGGATGATGAGCCGTGTCACAGGGAGGAGGACGGCTGTCCCTCCAGGCTCCCCCGGGAGTCTGTGTGGTCACCGCCAGCCCGTCCTCTGACGCCCAGCGAAGCCCCCGCCCCGCGCGGCGCTGGCCCCTCACCTGTAAGAGGCAAGGGCCTCTGTCAGGCCGTAAAGGTTGTGCAGGTTGTAGTGCGTGGACAGGAACTGGCGGCTGGAGGCGCAGATGGTGGCTGCACGCAGGGTCCCGCCAACCACCCCTGCAAGAGAAGGAGGCTGTTCCCATCCGTGGCCGCCTGGCGCCCCCCACGCCCAGCCAGGGGCCCCCCTGGAACGCAGGGTGAGTCCCCGTACTGTCTCCACTTTCCCAAGGGCGGAACAAGGCCTTGCTGAGGCCGGCAGACCCCAGACTTCACACCCACCTGCCTCAGTCCTTCCCTGATCCTGCGCTTAATCCCGAAATGCCTTCCCTCTGGAGGCCACGGAGGCCACGCCCCCACGGCAGGTGCCCCCCGTCCACGTGGCCTGGCTGGTATCTCCCCACCCAGACCTTCCTCATGGAGTCGCCCTCCCCTTTCCCGGGTGCCTGTGCCCACTGGCTCTTCAGAAGGGACAGCTCTGAGTCCCCAAAGCAGAGAAAGAAAAGCCGGGATCTGAGCCTTAAATCCTGAGGCGGCAGGTGCCAGGGGGCTGGTGGCGGGGGGGTGGGGGGGAGAGCTCACCCGGCACATAGGGCGGGTTCTCCAGGTCACTGTCGGGGCAGCCATACACAGAGCCCCTGACGAAGTTGGAGGGCTCGTTCATGTCCTGCAAGAGAGGCCCCGGTGGTGGGTGCCCTGCCCTGGGCCGAGGCCGGGGCTGGACCCACCACCCACAGGGCACTTACAATCCACATGCCGTCGAAGGGCACCTGGGCGTGGAACTCAGCCACCATGTCCTGCCACCAGTCAAGGGCCTCGGGGCTGGTGAAGTCGGGGAAGGCGGTAAATCCAGGCCACACCTGGAGGAAAGGCCAGAGGGGAGACCAGGCCCCACAGGGTTCCCGCCTCACTCACCTTCCTGGGGGTGACGGGCTGCGGAGGGGAGGGTCATTGGTGGTAGGGGCCTGAGACCTCCCCTTCAGACAAAGGCCCCTGAAGGGAGTCCGGAGCGACTGTGCTCCCCAGCCTCCCTGCAGCTGGGGCCCCCTTCCCGTGGGTTCCGGGCACATCCCGGGGCTAGAAGTTCAGGACTCTGCCGGGTGCCCCGTAGAAAGGCTGGGAAGCCCCCGGGGGCCTGGAGGACAAGGAGGGCCTGAGGCCTTGCCAAGGGTCCAGAGCCTGTGCTTGAGCTGGACCCTTTCAAGCCCCAGTAAAGGGATTCGAAGCGGCATCCCTTGTCAGGGGCCACCGTCACTTTCGGCCGTGACCCCCACACACTGTGTCCCCTCGGACAGCACAATGATTTCTCAAGTCTCATCGTCTTCCTGAACGTCTTCCTGTCCCTGCCAGCTGGGGACTCCCGCTCTCTCACCCCGCGCACCCAGGCCCCCACCCTACCTTCCCAATCAGCGGCTGCCCGGTGTCGTTGGTGATGAAGACCTTCCTGCGCAGACCCTCGTCATAAGGTCGGTAGCTGCCAGGGGGGTCGGAACTGCTGATGGCGGGATCCTGAGTGGGGAGGGGGGACCGTCAGGAGGAGAAGGGGGTGCTCCAAAGCCAGGCACCCACTGCTGGGAAAACGGGAAAACGCTCTCCGTACAAGATTAACGGAGGCAGGAGACAGCCGCGCGTGCGCATGTCCGGCACACCCTGTGTGCACGCGTGTCCGGCACATCCTATGTGCACACGCGCACGTCTGCGGAGAGGCCAGCCAAGGACCCCAGCTGGCTGGAGGGGGCGCACCCAGATGTGGCCTTAGCTCCGCCTCACGGGCTCTAGAATGTCACCAGCACCCCACTGGGAACACTGGCTTCCTGTAGAGTCAGTGGCCACGGATGTGCGCCGCCCTCGGAGGGGCCAAGGTCGCGGAAAGGGCCTGAATCAGCACCATTCTTAACCTCCCAGCAGGCAGGTCTCCCCTGCTGTGGGGTGTCCCCTGTGGCAACCGCTCAGCCTCAGCGCCCCCTCCCCACGTCCTCTGGCCACACGGCTGGGCGCTGGGCCCGCTGGCGTCGGGGACTGGCCCAGGGTGTGCCTGTGTGCCTGTGCTGGGCCACTCAGAGCCCGGCCCTCAGCCCTGCCCTGCCCTGCCCTGCCCCCCCCCACCCCCCCCTCCATGCCGCAGAACTGACTTGGGTGGAGGTGGGGCCAGGAGACCCTCTGAGCGTCTGCAGTTCCAGCTGCGTCTGTGGCACGCAGGCGCCCCCCCCCCCCACCGCTGGCCCTCCCAGTACCGGGTGGTCAGCTGAGGGCACCCCCTCTTTACCACCCGAGGGCACCCCCTCTTTAAGCTGCTCAAGTAACCTACAACCAAAGGACCCTAAACAACACACGATGTTTCCAGGAAGCCTGACGCTGGACATCACCGGGCAGCAGGGGCCCAGGCTGGGAGTGTGATAACCCGTCCGGTCGACATCAAGAACCCTCAGAACACGGCAGGCGAGCACGAGAAGGCTGCCGCCTGGAGGAGGAGGCAGGGGCAGGGCCCAGCAGGGCGCTCACCACGATCAGCACGTAGTGCCGCCCGCTCTGGTGGAGCTCCTGCACCATGGCCGGGAAGTCCCCGAAGCCGTCCTTGTTGAAAGTGAAGTCCCTCCTGGCGTCCATGTAGTCCAGGTCATTCCACTGAGTGTCCTGCAGCCACAGCACAGGGACAGAGTCCCGGCCCAGCCCCCGCACGCACACCCGCCCCGGGGCCGCCCAGCGCTCACCAGGGGGAAGTGGGCCCTGGTCATGTTCTCCACCACCTGGCGGGTGATGGCCGTGGAGGAATAGCCCCAGCGGCAGAGGTGGAAGCCCAGGCCCCAGTACGGCGGCATGAAGGGGAAGCCTGTGGACAAGGCAGCTCGGTGAGGGGGCGGGGGGAGGGGAGGAGAGGCAGGAGAGAGGGGAGGGGGGCAGGGGGAGGGAAGAAAAGGGGCAGGGGGAGAGGAGAGAAGGGTGGGGGGAGAGGGGAGAAGGGGCAGGGGGAGGGAAGGAGGGGCGGGGGAGGGGAGAGAAGGGGCAGGGGGAGGGAAGGAGGGGCGGGGGGAGGGGAGGAAGGGGGGCAGCGCAGAGCCAGGACAAGCCTACCCACGACTTCCAGGTACTGGCGCACCACGCTCTTGGGCTCAGGGCCCAGGAAGACGTACACGTCCAGGATGCCACCGGTGGCCCTCCAGCTGAGGGCCGGGCGCGGCTGCAGGACCACATCTGGGGGAAGCAGCCGGGGGCTCAGGAACCGATACCTGCACCCCTCCTGCCCCCACCCTGCTTGGCACCTCACGGAAGGGCTTGGTGCCTGGGGAGGAAAGCGCTGAGCCGCCAGCCCCAGGACCCCCAGCCCCAGCTCTGGCCTCGGTTCAGATCCGGGGTCTCAGAGTCCACCTCAGGGGCACCTAAGGGCAGGGCTGGCAGAGGCCACGGCCCACCGGAGTCATTTCTCCAGGGGACAAACAAGGCCCAACCCCCTCCCCACGGCCCCAGGCCTCTCCCTCCAGCCTGTCGGGCAGGCCCCTCTGAGAAGGAGGAGAGCTCAGGAGGGTGACGGGGACTGGGCCACGGGGACGGGATGCCCGCCGGGGTGGCCGCCCACCCACTCACCCATGGCATTGCTGTTCAGCAGGAAGACCCCGTGCGCCAAGCCGCCATCCTCCAGCACCAGGTAGAAAGGATGGGATCCGTACAGGTTCGTGTTGGGCTGGGCGCGTGGACATGGCACTTTAGCACCCTCCCACGTGGCTCCCCCGACCCCCCCCCTCGCCGCCCCTTCTACCTGGGGGGCGATGTCCCGGTTCCACAGGGTGACCTTGGTCCAGTTGGTGCTAAGCGTCAGGGAGCCGAGATGCTCGCCGAGGCCAGTGATGTGCGGGGACGGCAGAGAGGTGGCCAGCTGCAGAAACTGGTCAGCAAAGAACAGGGGCGCCACCGTCGTGTTCAGCCTGCCGGGAAACACCCAGGCGGCCAGATGAGCCCCCGGTGGGCCCTCCCGGAGAGACCCCTGGCCCTGGTGTTCCCCCCTCCCCGCCGCGAAGAGGGCCGGAGTGGCCCGGCCACCTCGGCGACGCACTGACCCCGGGGCAGAGGCGGCCACGCGAGGCCCGGCGACCCAGGGACCTGAGCCAGGTGTGGGGAGCTCGCAGAGCCCATCCAGTGCACCCAGCTACCCGGCTGCACCCACGCTGCCCCAGGCAGGCATCCAGAAGCGGGGTGCCCCTGAGGCCTGGCCACAAGCAGGTGCAGGGCAGGGGCAGCTCGGAATCGTCGAGTGCTAAGACTCGTGGCCCCGAGCTCCTTCCGCAAGGGCCATGCTGCTCCCAGACTCCGGCCAAGGCCTGCCCGGCCCAGCTCCAGAGCCATGGGGCCGTCTGCCAGGGGCGGCCAGGGTCCCCCGAGGCTGCACAGTGTCAAGGGCAAAGCAAGAACCACAGGTGGGGCACAGGGTAAGCACTACCGCTGACTTCCCGGGGCGACCTCCCCCTGCCCCCTGCCTGCCCCTGGACAAGACCCGTCCGCACGCGTGTATGTGCTTTCAAGACCAGTCTGATTAAACGCTTTAGAAAACCTCTCTCAGATCTCTGCCCAAAGGTCAGCTTCCTGGAGAGGCGTCCGTAGCCGCCCCTCCCCCCATTGGCACGCTTAGCTCTCTTCTCCGCTGCACTTGTCCTCGCACTCATTCGCTGCTGCTTCCCACCGCGTCCGCCCTGGGAGCAGCTCGATAATGCACAGCCCAGAATGGGCGCACACACGCACGCACACGTGCATTTCAGAAGGTGAGTCCCCTTAAGACCGAGGTGAGTCCCAGTTAACCTTGTTCCCGAGGCCGTAACTGAGTTCAGTGACAACGGGGAGTCTTGTCAGCTCAGGGCACATGTTTACGTGGGGCTGTGTGGACAGAGTGCACTGGCTAGGTCCTGTGAAAACGTGCTTGCTTAAATCCAATGTCAGGGCGGGCGGAGGGCGTGGGCGGGTCTGCCACCCCGACCCCAGGGCTGCGCGGGGCCACTCTGCGCGGGGAGGTGTCCGACGCTGGGAGTCACAGCCAGTGACTAAAAGTGGATTCCAGGATGCTAGGGCACGTCCAGTCACTGGGCGTGATGGGGGCAGTGGAGGTGGCGCGTCCCCCGGGGGCAAGGGCATGACCCGACCGGATGGCCTCATTCTCCCGCCATATCCTGAGAGCGTCTGCTGAGGGTCGGAACCACTTTGGGAGCTGGAGGCCGGGGAGCGAGCCTCCGGAATGGGAAAGGCTCCTGGGTGGGCAGACCGCAACCATGACCCGGACAAACCTAAGGTCTCAGGGGACACAAGCCCTGGAGGGACAGGAAACAGACAGCGGCCAACAGCATGGATGCGGGGCCCTGGCTCAGTCACCTGCCAGCAAGCCACCTCACCTCCCCGTGCCTCAGTTTCCCCATCTGTAAAGCGGGGGCAGTTAACGGCACCTACTCCTGCATTGTTGGGATTAGCGGGGTTCACGGTTCCCATGCCTGCCCTGCAGCGAGTGACACACAGTATCTGATCATAAATAACATGAACGTTAAGAAAGCGGGTGAGGGGACGTTGCCGGGGGTGGAGGTGCCACTGTGCGCGCGGTGGAGTCCCTGCAGGATGCCCCCCGAGGTTCTGCCCCTGCTCCCCGGGGGCACGCAGCCCGCACTCACAGCACCCGGCCATCCAGCTTCCGGCGCACAATGACCCCGAAGGGCTCCTCCTGGAGGTCCATGCTGTAAAGTGTGGACGGCGCCCGGCTGCGGACACGTGGGGTCTCCAGGGGCACCTCGTAGCGCCTGTTGGCGGGATCTTTGATCTGGAAGTCAGACGGTGTGGCGTGAGGCCCTCTGCGGGCCAGGGGCCTCCCCTGCACGCCGTCCCCTCCTTCCTCACTCTCCAGGGGAGCGGGGACCCAGTGCAAGGCCCAGTGTGGCCGCGCACAGCAGGCGAGCGTGGATAGTTCGTGGGCCTACGGAGCCCAGGGAGCGCCCCCGGGGGTCGCCGGGCAAAACACAGCACGCCCAGCCGATCTGAATTTCTCTGATCTGAATTTCAGATAAACCGGTTTTTTCTTTTAGTACGTCTCAAATAGCGCATGAGACGCACACTAAACAAATAAACTCCTTGCCGGGTCTTCTGGAATTCAAACTCACTGGCATCCTGTGTTTTTATTTGCTAAGCTGGCAACGCTGATCCACCCCACACGCCTGCCACAGGGTGGGTTAGAGAATATACTTCAGGGCGTCCAGCTCCACTCTGCTCGGTACACGGTAATCACTTGGTAAATGTCGGCTGTTATAAATTACTTTGTTAATTATGAATTGGGTGTTTCAGGCTCTCTCAGCTTGGCCTCCACACGTGTATTCAGTCCTCAGGTTTCTGCTGAGCGCCTGCTACATGCCGGACACTGTTCCAGACGCTGGGGGCCAGCGGACCAAAGGTCCTCCCCTCGGGGCCAGCCAATCACCGGTTCCCACCGCCCACTGCCTGGAACATTCCCATTCCTCCCTCTCCCTCTTTCCCCTTATGGACTCCCACAGGGCTTCAGGTCAGGTGGGATGTCACTTCCTGGGGGAGACCTAACTTCCCTCCACTGGACCCTGCTCTCCAGAGCATGTTCTAGAACCTTCCAACCACTGTCTTAGTGGCCATAGCTCCCTGAGTGTCGGCACCGTCTGCTCCCTCCGGGACCACCCCCCACCCCCGCAAGAAGGCACAAAACACGTGTGCACACTAAACAAACACCCAGGACATTGCATCTTCATCCACTGGCCCCCCCCCCCATTTTCTCTGCCCCGCGCAGCCCTGCCCACCGTGAAATGCAGCCGGCTCTCCGTCTCCAGCAGCACGTCCAGCCGTAAGGTCAAGATGTCCTTGGGGAAGAAGGTTGGGGTGGTGCGGGTCAGGGTGGCCATGTAGCCTGTGGCCGTGGTGGTCAGGTTCTCCAGCTTGTAACTCGGGTAGCTGGGCGGGAAGAAGCACCAGGGCTGCCCGATGCGGGGAGCCCAGGGTCCCCGCCTGGTGGGCACGTAGCAGCAGCCGCGGGCCTCACACTGCGCCTGGGTGATGGCCGTGTCTGGGGCGCAGTCGAAGCGGCTATTGGGGGGCACATCGCACTGTGGGGGCGCTGCTCTGGGGCCACCGTGGTGCCCTGGGGTGGCCTGGGCGCCTGGCTGGCCGGCTCCCTGCTGGCGAGCTGGGTAAAGCCCCTCAGGTGCTTGGGAGGAGCCACGCTGCTCTCGGGGGGCCACCAAGAAATCGTGGAGCAGGATGTGCCCCAGGAGAGCGGCGGCGGCCAGGGACACGAGGGTGCAGACCCGTAGCGGGGGGCGGCCGCAGAGTGTCCACCTCACGTCCATGGTCGGTGCACCTGCAGGCAGGGGGCTGGGTCCTGGAGGCCCTGCTGAGAGAAGGGCGGGGCTCAGCAGGGCAGGCGGAGGGAGAGCGCCTTGGGGGACTCATGCCAATTTCCAGACTCGGACCGTGGCCGGCCGGGCAGCGCCCAGGGAGAGGTGGGCCGAGGGATCAGGGCAGGCGAGGGCGGACAAGCTCCTGGCACCTTTTAGAAAGACGGCAAGGGAGGGAAATGGAAAAGCAGAGAAAAGTCCCAGATAAGGGACCGCAGAATACCGTGTACAGGAGCAGTGACCAGGGACGTGCACTTAAGTTGTACGGAAAAATGACTGAATGGGGGGCACCTGGGAGGTCGGTTGTGCGTCTGAGTCTCAGTTTCGCCTCAAGTCATGATCTCACGGTTCGTAAGTCCGAGCCCTGCGTCAGGCTTCGTGCTGACAGCTCAGAACCTGCCTGGGATTCTCTCACTCCCTCTCTCCCTGCCCCTCCCCTGCTCTCTCAAAATAAATAAATACACATTTTAAAAATGACTTAATGACACAGAAAGACCTGGGCAGTAAACCGACAAATGGAACAGTAAGTTACAACACAGAGCAGAGAGTAAACTGCTTCTGTACAGAGTGCGGCCGAGCTGCTGAGTTTTGGCAGATGTGGAAGAGGTGAGGTGGGAGCGCCCTCGGGGGGACCCACCATGTTCCCTCTGCCTCTGCTCTGCTGACAAGGACGGGGCTCCAGCCCGGCCAGAGGCCTCAGGCACTGCAGCGAGGGCAGCGCTCAAGGGGTAGCCCTCGGCCTGGGCAGGTGGAAGTCCCCTCCCGGCCCCTGAGGTCACACGGGGCGCCTCCCTCCCTCCCTGGCTCCTCTGGAGATAAGACTGTTACCTGCCTCTCTGTGTGTTCTGAGTATTTTATGAGGAACGTTGTCGGCCGGCTCCTCCAAGGAGGGATACAACGTGGGACTAAACGTGCAAGGATTTAATGGGGGGAGTCCGTTCTGTCTGACAGAACCCCGAGGCTGCCAGGGCGGCGGGGACGGCGGTCATGCCTGATCTCGCAGGAGTCAGGTCCCGGGAGGGGTGGAGGGTCCAAGCATCCTGGACCACCGTGTGGCTGAGGAAGGTTCCGCGAGGCCACGGGGCTGGGGTGGCGGGTGGGGGCCCCGAGCCAAAGGTGGCCGGCAGAAGGGTCGGGGTCTCCCGGGAAAAGCAGCCTGGCCCTGGGGCAGACGGGGCGATGCATGCCAGCTCCGTGCCGCCGGGGGGAGCATGCAAGGGCTGGGAAGGAGTCACGTGGGGCACGGGGGGAGGGGGTGTCTGAGTCTGTCACAGACACAGACAGGCCCCCTGGGACATTGTGGCCACAGAGGGCCACGCTTTCATTCACGGCACCTTCGAAGCAAACGTGTGCAGGTTTTTGTCTCACACCAAGTCTAATTCCGACCCGCGTTCCTGGAGCCAGCGCGGACCCCACAGGTAAGGCCTCCGCCCCACAGGCCCGTCCCCCTTCAGACCCCAGTCCCAAGCCCCAGGTCTGACCAACTAACTGGCCGTCAATTCGAGGGTTCACCCCTCCCCCACTGCAGGTTCCTAATTGGCTAGAACCACTGACAGCACTCAGAAAACACCTCGACTTACGGTGACCCGTTTATTATAAAGGGTGCATCTCAGGAACCGCCAGCGGACGCGGGATGGGGCGTCCCCAGCCTCCAGCACCAAACTGTGTTCACCAGCTCAGAGACTCTGAGCCCCAGCGAGTTTTGGTTTCATTACATCAGCAAAACTGCTTGAATCATCGGCCCTTGGAGATCCTTGGCGGTGGTCAGTCACCAGCCCCTCTGTGCCGCCGGGGGGGGGGGGGGGGGGGGGGGGGGGGGGGGGGGGGGGGAAGGCGGGGCTGGGAGTTCCCACCCCAGAAGCCTGCCTGGGTGCTGCCTGGGGTCCCAGCCGACCCTGAGCTGTCCAGAGCCCCAGCCACCGTCATTTTATGAGCTAACGGTCCCGAGGTCTCAGGAGTTGTGTGCCGCGAACTGGGGACAGACTAAGTACTTATTTTTTATTGTACAGCGTCCTGCTGCACCTGGCCCATCCAGGAACACACGACACCTCGTGATCGGGGTGATGCAGAGGCCAGGGAGCTCGGGCCCGGCCCCCGCCCCCCCCCCCCACCCGGAGTTCAGAAGCGCAGGGGCGGCCAGGGGCACAGAGGGGCCAGCACCGACCGCTCGCTGTTTCCACTGCACAGACACGGAAGAGCGGTCAACCGGAGGGCCTGACACTTTAGGCAAAATGGGGAAACAGTGAAGGTCAGGGGGGTCACGTGCGCTGCTGGCCGGGAGACCCTGTGACCTCGCTTTCAGGGAAGTGGGTCGGAACCGCTGCCCCCCTGGCCAGGGTGGCGGTGTAGACAAGCAGGTTTCAGTCCAGCTCGGCCCCTGACGCGAGAGGCATGGGTCCTTACCTTGTGCCTCAGTTTCCTCCCCACAACGGGACAAGACGGCTCCCCTCGCCCAGCACCGAGAGCGAGGAGGAGACCGTGGAGTCCCCGGGGTCCCTGTCCACACCGCCGCCCGCGGACAGGGCGCGACGCGCTCCGCTTGTCCAGCAGAGAACCACAGAGGATCAATCCGCGGGCCGATCGGTCCCTCCCCCTCAGGGCGTCGCGGCTGCCCCCACCTCCGAGTCTCTGGTCTCAGGGGCCGCCGCTGGACGACCCCGCCCCGCCCTTCGCCATGACCTCCGCAGCCGCCCCCGCCCGCTCACCTCCGCGCACGCGCGCCCGGCCCGGACCCACCCCCGACCCCGGCTCACCTCCGCGCACGCGCGCCCGGCCCGCCGCGGCCACCCGGGGTCCAGCGCCCGCAGGCACGCGTCAGAGGGGGCCGGGGTGGACCACGTGACAGACCGCCCGCGCAGGCGCCCGGGGCGAGGGTGCGCGCCTCCGGCCGCGCGCCCCCTGGTGGCCGGGCGTCCGGGTCCCGCCCTCGCGGGCCGCCCAGCCCGCAGCGTGGGAGCAGGGCCCGGGGCGCTCGCCTGTCAGGACGCGCTTGCGGGGCGGAGGGGAGCGGCCCCCGGGGTCGCCCGTTAACTGAGGCCGTTCTGGAAGGGAAAGCGTCATCGCGCCCATAAAAGCGGCTGTTGCGCAACCTGACAGGGCGCTTTGGGGGACGGACGGGGCGAGGGTGCGGCGCGGGCGGGGCCGGTTTCTGACTCGCTCTTAGAGAAATACGCCTTTCTCCCGTGTTCAGAAAAAGTTTTATTTTTCGCTGAAAAGTTGGAAACTGAAATTGTCTTGTGGGCCCTTTTAGGGTGCTGTAGAGAAGCCGCCAGGGGGCAGGTGCTCGGGAGCCCGGCGTGGGGGGGGCGCTCCCGCTGCACCCCGAGACACTCCAGCCCCGAGTGGGGGCTGGGCGAGGGGTGGGGGCTGCGCGGGGGAGCTGGGGGGGCGCCCGTCCCACCTGCGCCCTCCGCGGGGCGCTCTGGCTGCACCCCGCGTCCTGGACCCTGCCGCGGGGTGGGGCGCTGTGGGCAGGCAGTGTCCAGGGCCGAGGCGAGAGCCCCCGGAGCCCAGATGCTGTTTTGACCACGAGTCCAGCGCGGGTGCGAGACACCCCCTCCCCTCCGAAATGCCACCGGAAGCGTGGGGGGTGGCCTTAGTGGAAATTGCTGGTGGCTCAAAGAATCAGGCATGCTGACCTGCCTAGTCGTCTTACAGGGCCTCTCAGGGTGGACATGGCTTTCAGTGACGCGAACATTCTAAGTCCCTGATAACACATACAATTCTGGACTCTTCCACCAGAGCGGGCGGTGGAAGGCTGGGGTCCCCGCTGCTCTCTAGGAGGACCCAGGTGGCTCGAGCTTGCGGGCGATCATCTGGCTGACCCTGAGCAGGGCCTCCTGGAACTGGGGGTACTCGTTTTTCACGTGGTCGAGGATGGTGCCGATGGCCGCCAGCCGGTCGTCCAAGCGCGTGTGCTCGGCCAGCAGCGACTGCTTGGAGCGGAACAGGAACACGTACCTGCCGTCCTTCACCGCCTGGAGGTGCTTGACGCGCGTCTGCAGGGCCACCAGCTCCGAGAGGTTCTTGGGTGAGACAAATGACCCCGCATCAGGTTATGCAGATGGAAGGCTGGACACCCCCCGCCCCCACACGAAGTCGGGGCTCAGGAAGTGCCAGGCGGAGAAGGGTGAAGGAGGGGGATTCTCCAAGCCGTGGAGAAGAGGCCGATGCGCACTGGGCAGAGCCTTTTCCTTCGCCCAGAGAGACCTTTAACACCGCCCTGTGCCCGCCCCCGAGCGGACACTTTTCACTAGCTCCCCTGTCTGGGCTGATCGGGCTTGGACCCGGCCGACTAACCTGGCCCCTCTCTTGTGCTCACACCACATCCCATCTAGCAGGAAAGCCCACCGCGGCAGCTGAAATCGTATGCAGAATCCGACAGCTTCTCACTAGCCTCGTGGCTACTGCCCTGGTCCTCGAGTCGTCTCAAACAGGCCTCCGGTGTCCACCCTCGACCTTTCCGCCCCACACTCAGCTTCAGAGCCAGAGTTTAGCAGAGCCTGCTAAAATCTGAGCCACTCCTCAGCCCCCAACCCTCCCCTGTCTTCCCATCTCCCTGAGAAGAGCCCAAAGTCATGATCACCTGCTCCCTGGACGTTCACAGCATGGGGCGGGGCCTCTGCGCCCTCGAGGTCCAGCCTGCTGGCCTCTGGCTGCCCCTAGAGCAGCCTCCTGCCCCGCGTCACCCCGCCGGCAGTTCACCCCTTGCTGCCTTCAGGTCTGGACCCCAGTGTTTTTTCAGACCACCCCCTCCCGACTTAACCCCCCACCCCACCCCGGAGGCCCCATCTCTGCTTTACTTTTTCTCCAAAGTATTTACCGCCACCTAATTCTCATTCGTTTTATTTATCATCTGTTCCTCTGCCCCCCGAATGTGACGGCCAAGGGGGCAGGGATCGTTCTCCATCCTGTTCTGGTCTGTAGCCTCAGCGCCGAGGGCAGCGCCTGACCCATAAAGTGCCATGTCGTTAGATGATTAGAGAAGATGAGATCGCAACGCGGCGGCAGCGCTCTGACCCCGGGCTGAGCCGGTCGGGAGGAGCCGTGCCGACGACACCCGGAGTGGCTGCTGCAAGGGGCGGACTCCACGCCTGGTTCTTGTGGCCCCGCTGGCTCGGGGGATGTGCCTACCTGTTGCTTGAGCGTCAGGAGCCGGTCCAGGTCGGCCTCGAGCTGGTCGGTGCTGGCCTGCATCTCTGACAGCCGCTCTTGCTTCTCCAGGAGGGAGCTGCTCATGTGTTTCTGAGTTTCTTCCAGTTCCAAGATGACTTTGGTGCACTCGTCGGTGGCCTAGGAGATACACGGGGCCATCCTGGGAGCCTGTCCCCTGGTTATTCAGTGGACGGAGAGTCGGGCTAGAAGGATGCAATCTGGGGAGGATTCCCATGAGGACGGAGAGAGTGCCTGCCACACCCCGCACCCCGGGAACCAGGACCTGGAGGGGCGAGTCCCAGTGGGACGCCAGGGCCCGGGTAGCCCGCACTGCAGACTGCTCCCCAAGGGCAGGCGTGGCTTGGGCAGAGAAGTGGGGGGCCCTGAGCAGTTCTGGGGCCTGCCTCCTTCAGCAGGTCTATCTACCAGGGCACAGGGGCAGTTGAGCAGCCGCATGTCAAGGCCAGCAGCAGGGGTGGGACGCAGGAGGCCAGGCTCCATCACTGTGAGGTTGGATGACAGGCGGTGGTTCCCAGAGGAAGCAGCTGCTGGGGTCGCGTGGATGAATAAGTAGAGGTGACCAGGTGACTCTCAGGGTCGAGCTGGGGACAGGGGAGAATCTGGGGTGCACCGGCAGGGATGGGAAAGCGGCCATCCGGGGCACGAACGCCGGCGGCCTTGCTGGGTGTGGTGTGCGGCAGGAAGACTTGGGAACAGCACGTCTGTTGCTGGAGCTGCGCGGGCATCTGGGTGGGCGTGGTCGGTGTGGCAGCGGGGGGGCCCCCAGGGGTAGAGACGGATGGACAGCACGAATGACCAGCATGGCAGAGAGGACCGGCCAAGAAGGACCAAGCAAAGGCCACTCCGCCACCTCCAGTAACTTCCAAATGAGCAGTTGGGTCCAGCCGGTCATTTTCGGCTACTCTGTCCTTATAGAGGATTTAGACCTACGGGGGCAGTTCCAGCACCGTCTGTGTAGTCCTCTGGACGGCTCCACCATATGAGTGCCCGTTTCACAGGTGAGAAAGCCGAGGCACACGGCTGTCAGGCTGTGCCTGAGCCCCGCGGGGGAACGCTTGGCTGGAAGCCGGGGGGGGGGGGGGGGGCTCTGAGGCCAGCTTCTGCGTCGTGAGAGCACGCGGCCCCTACCTTGTGAATGTCCCTGATCTTGCGTCGCAGCTCTGCCTGCCTGTGGTGGAAGTCTGTCCGGGTGAGCAACTTCTTGTCCATCTTGCCCTGCCCCTCGGCCTGGGTGGAGACGGTCTCCCTGCGGGCGACGGCCAGCTCCATGTCTCTGATCATCTTCTCCTGCTGCTTCAGCAGCTGCCCATGCCTGACCTGGCACGCAGGGCAGAGGGGAGGTGAGGGAGACCAAGGCACGGTCGGCACTGCCTCCACTAAGTCCCCTGAGCCCCAGACCGGCATGGAGACGAGGGGGTGCACCCGGGGACAGAGGCATCTGGGGGCATCGCCAGCTGGTCAGAACGATCTTCAGGGCCATGTAAAGAACTCACAGGCCACAGAGAAGAAGGGGCCAGAGGCCAAGGGGGTGGGTAGAGGGAGGACAGGGCACGCAGCCTGGCGGGGATTCCGGAGTAGTGAAGGGACCATAGGTTGATTTCTTGGTCGTGGTTTTGTAAGATGGTGACGTGAAGGGGCTGCTGCGGGACCGGGGCCGGGGCCCTGGCTGCCCAGGAGGCCGACCATAAGAGCCACGCGGGGTTTTCTCAAGGGGCAGGAGTGTTCTGTCTCGGGCGTGGTGGCATCGATGGGGGCCCGAGTCCATCCAACTGGACATCTGAAATAAGTACATCTTATTGTGTATAAGTTCTGCTTCAGAAAAGCAGGTTCAAAATAGAAAAAGATAAACAAGGGCACCTGGGGGGCTCAGTTGGTTGAGTGTCTGACTTTGGCTCAGGTCATGATCTCACAGTTCATGGGTTCGAGCTCCGCATCAGCTCTGTGCTGACAGCCCAGAGCCTGGAGCCTGCTTTGGATTCAGTGTCTCCCTCTCTCTCTGCCCCCTCCCCCTCTCGCACTGTCTCTCTCTTTCTCAAAAACAAACATTAAAAAAAAAAAGATAAACAGGGAGGAATCCACAGGTTAAGGCTGGTGGTGGGGGCCCTAGCCCACACAAGGTGAAGATGGACCCGAGGGACAGTAGCCACATGCTCTGGTCAGCCTTGTCAACGTGATGGTGGCAGCGGAGCGAGGAGCCCTGGATGGGGACGGCACAGAGGTGGGGAGCCGCCATCGGCGTGGCTTTGGCTCAGTGACAGCACCCAGATGACCTGGGGCTGCCAGCGCCACCCGCTCCCCAGTCGAGGAGGGACAGGGATGAGCCCCTAGTTCACACCATGACCCAAAATTAATCCCAGGTGGACTCGGAATCTAAAAATGTGCCAACGCTTGCAGAGAACTTGGGGACACATTTGTGTGACGTCATTCTGCAGTGACCGCCTTCAGCAATGCAGAAAGCCCGGAAGCCACACAGAAATGAGACTGACGCGTTTGACAGCATTCACGGTCACAAGGCCGGGGGGCGGTAGGAGAGCCTGCTCGGAGCGTCAAGTCCAGGGCGGGCGAGGGCAACACGGGGGGCAGGTGTCCAAGACCCGCGTTAGTGACCCTGATGTGCAACAACCCCTAAAAATCGAGCAGGTGCGGATGCTGTCACAACACGCGCACACGGACACAGGTGCGCACTCGATGGCCCCCTGGAGAGCCGGCAACCCGAATCCAGGAACACGGAGAACACCCCTCACGCGCTGGGTTGCAGGTATTATAGACACAAACAAGCAGTGAGTTTAGCCAAATCGCGGAAACAAAGGCAGTCTATGAACGCCGCTTGCATTTCTGTAAACAGAGAGCACTGGACACTGAAAAGTGCAAAGCACCGTTGACTTTAGCACCAGAAAACTGGAGACACTCAGGTGTCAACCTGACAAACAGGCGAGGCCCGGAACCTGACAAGTCGGACAAGATCGGGATCCGCCAAGGGGCCGCGGCACGCTCACGGACTGAAAACTGGCCGTGGTGAGACCCTGTAGACCAAGCAGGCGGTGGGCCACAGCAGTGTAGACCTCGTAGGACAGGGGACAGGGCAGGCATGTGGTCAGGGGGACACAGCAGAGCGCCCAGAAATAGACCCACGCCAACATGGTCAATTGATTTCAATAAGGACCATCCTCACAGCACGCGGGGCTGACACAATGGGACATCCCAAGGCAGGGGGACTAGCCTCGACCCGCAGCTCACACCCTGTACAAAAATTAACTCAGAATAGGGCACCAACCATAATAGATCATGGATCATAATGGAAACCGTGAAAATATGAAGCTTCTAGAAGAGAACATAAGAGAAAATCATATCCTGACCTTTGGCCGGGCAACGATTTCTTAGATGCACCACCAGAACTGTGCACTGAGAGCAGACCAGGCGCTGAGCACCGTGAGGGGTCTCAAAGGCATTATAGGAGGATGGGGCGCCTGGGTGGCTTAGTCGGTTAAGCGTCCAACTTTCGCTTAGGTCATGATCTCGCGGTTCGTGGGTTCGAGCCCCGTGTCGGACTCTGTGCTGACAGCCAGCTCAGAGCCTGGAGCCTGTTTCAGTCTGTCACTCCCTCTCTCTCTGACCCTCCCCTGCTCACACTGTCTCTCTCTCTCTCCTAGAAATAAATAAAACATAAAAAAAAATTTTAAAAAAAAGGCATTATAGGAGGTGAGCAAAGCCACACTGAAAACACTTCATGCTGCAGGATCCGCTTCTGTGACATTCCGGTGACATTGGGGGTAGGGACATGGGAAGCTCAGCCCAGGGGGCGTGAGGGAACTTGAGGGTGACGGGAATGCTGTGTGTCACAAAGTGGTGGTGGTTAGGTGACGGTATGCTTTGTTGTTACTCGCAGGACCATACGCCACAAAGGGCGAGGTCATTCAAATACCGCAGTTCACGAATCAAGGCTCCGGGGCTGAGGCCGTGGGGATATGGCCGTCCTCAAGTGCCTTTTGGAAAAGTGGGGGTCAAGTGCGGAGACACTCTCTCACCCTGTCATCCCACCTTGGGAATCCAGTCTACAGCCCCCGTGAGAAAGGATATTGTTGGAACGTTGCTTATGGTGAGGAGGCAACCAAGGGGGACTGGGAATAGTCTGAACCCTCAACAACCCGGAATGTTCCAAGCAGCTATGATACATCCGTAGGACGTTCCGTAACTGCTAAAGACTGGGTTAATGTCCGTGTTATTATTATCATTACTTTAACTTATTTTAGAGAGAGTGTGTGCATGTGCAGGGGAGAGGGGTGGAGGGAGGCTTCATGCTCAGCTCAGAGCCCCATACAGGGCTCGATCCCATGACTCTGGGTCATGACCTGCGCCGAAATCAAGAGTCAGGCGCTCTGCTGACTGAGCCGCACAGGCATCCCTGCCCATTGTATTTAAAAAATAACAGGGGCGCCTGGGTGGCTCAGTCGGTTGAGCGTCTGACTTCAGCTCAGGTCATGATCTCACAGTTTGTGGGTTCGAACTCCGCATCGGGCTCTGTGCCGACAGCTCAGAGCCTGGAGCCTGCTTCGGATTCTGTGTCTCCCTCTCTCTCTGACCCTCCCCTGCTCACGCTGCCTCTCTCTCTCAGAAACAAATAATTAAAAAATTAAAAAAATAAAAAATAAAAAATAATAAATTACTGAGCTGTATGTACAGATCCTATTTTTGCTAAGGAGAAAAAGCAGCAGCCAATAGCAGGCAGGGAGAAGGTGCCCCTGAGTCCACGTGTGCAAGCGCTTGGTGGGGTTGGACCGGTTGCAGCCGACATATGCCGCTTCTGCGGTTTGAAAAGTCAGTTAAGTGGGGGGATTTAAAAACATATCAGGAGCACATGCATTTGGTCAGAATTCCCCTGAGCGGCACAGCCGGAGGGGCCCTGATTAAAAGCAGCACCGTGGAGCTGACGCATGTTTGTTTTTATTACCTGCTCTTACTGTATCTGCTCGGTGATGGCCCGTGATTTAATTACCAGCCTTTTGTGAGGTAATGAAATCCCCGCTCAAGATAACAGTGGACAAAAAGTGAGGCTCCGAGGGAGAAGAGGGATGTGTTCTCTGCGTACTTTTGACTGAGTGAGACGCCTTTTGATCAGTAGTGGGGTGCATCTCACCAGCGGGCCATGAGATTCAGGGGTCACCACCGGCATGCAGAGTGCGCCTGCCGCCTGGGGTCGGGATACAGCAGGGTCTCGTGAAATACCAGGCGCACGGCCCAGTGTGTTGGTGTCTGATTATCCCCGTGCAGGAAGGATGAAGTGGACAGATGTGGATGGAGGGTCGGCCAGGAAGCAGCCTGTGCTGCCTGTGCTCGGAGCGGGGGATGACATCCGTGCCGCTGGCCAGGGTGGCCCGTGCGGATCCCGTGGGCCCCTTCTCCCTGCGAGGCCAGCCCCTCCCCCCACCCACCCACCTTCATCCTGTGGATCTCCGCCTTCATGGCTCGGATCTCCGTCTGGCCAGTCTCGGAATCCACCGATGCACGCATCTCTTTCGCCAGCTGGATTTTTTTCTCCCAAAGCATGATCTGGCGTCTATACAGGTGGGAGAGGCGGTGTGAGAGAGGCAGAAATTAAGGGGATTTCTTTCTGATGCTTCTGTGAGCCCAAGCCCTGAGGGCTCGCTCCAGATGGAGAGCCACAGTGGGCGCGTGGAAGGCAGGTCTGGGGTGTGGGCTCGGAGGGGGGGCGGGGGGGCTCAGCGCCTGGGACCCGGCTCGGTCTTGCCCCCACTTGCCGTGTCTAAATACCCGGGCACAGAGCAAAGGCCTTGACTGTTAACCAGAAACAAATTTCCCCTGTTCTGGGACCAGCAGGGCAACATAAAACCCTGGGCTCACACACAAGTTCTTGCCACGCCACCCAACCCGGGGCAAAGGGGGCCCTCGTGCCCTGGAGACCAGAGTGGGGCCCGAAGCCCCCTGGGTGTGGACTGGCAGCCTCGGGGAGGGTGGAGTTCTGCTGCCCGCCTCCCTCTCCCCTCGGCGCCCTAGCAGCCGTGCTCCTCACACAGTGCTCAGCGACAGGGGCTCCCCCCTACAGCACCCGACGTGGGGTTGGAGGGCAGGTGGGGCTCACAGGCTGGGCCTCAGAGGCACCCACAGGCCTTCCCAGTGGTGGGAAGTCCACTTTCTGGCACCCTGGGTCAGGGCAGGGGCCACCATCTTGTTTGCTAAGGACCGGGGCGGGGGGGGGGGGTGAGCATGGCAGGAGGAATCTGGACCCACAGACACTGTCACGGCCGGACCCTCTGCCAGCAACGGCCTCTCCTGCCCCACTGAACGTGGTGCCCCAGCCACACGTGGCTACGGGGCGCTTGAACTTGGCCGAGTCTGAATTGAGATGTGCCAGGAGTATAAGGTACACGGCAGATTCCAAAGACCGAGTACAGAAAAAAGGACATAAAATTCAAATTGCGGCACCCACCCATAGTTTTACGGGAGCACAGCCACGCCCGCTTGCCACGTGCTGTCCGCAGCGGCTTACGAGCGGCGTCGGCAGACCCCAGGGGCTTCAACGGGGCTGTGTGTCATGAAAAGCCGAAAACATTTACAGTCTGGCTCTTTACAGCAAGGGTTTGCCAGCCCGCGATACAGACAAACCTCGGGCATAGAACGAGACGGAGAGAGTGGGGCAGGCAAGTAGGAGGAGCCCAGAGAAGTACACGTGATAGAAGTTGCCGGAAGAAGGAAAAAGCCTGCACAGGCCAATAGCCTAGAAGCTACTAGGATATTCACAGAGATTACAGGATAAGTAAGTCGGGATGAGAGGCACAGCCCAGGGAACGTGGTCAGCGGTGCGTGACAGCGTCGGGTGGTGACGGCCCGGAGCTGCCCTGGTGGTGGGCACAGCCCGCACCCCGACACCAGGGGGGACACCGTGCGCCAACTACACCTCAACGAGAAGAGGCTGCACTATCAGCGAAGACCTACGCCCGTGCCCCGTCTCAATGTTCGCGTCCCTCGCCGCGCCCCCTGACGCCCAGTGTGACAGGGGGTGAAGGTGTCACCTCCGGGAGGTCCTGAGGTGCAGCCTCCAGAACGGGACGTGCACCCTCGGAGGAGAGACCTCACGGAGCACCTTCACGGACACAGCGAGGAGTCCGCGCCGCAGCACAGGCCCTCACCCACCAAGACGACACCTTGACCTTGGCCCTCCGGCCCCCACGACTGGGAGCGGTACGCCTCTGTGGTTCAGAAGCCCCCAGCCGGTGCTGCTCCGTTACAGTGCCCGGACGGACGGGGGGCTCAGCTGAGCTCTAAGGAGTGTTGCCTGGGCTCTGGCACAGCCATGCGGGGTCTGCTGAGCAGCCCAACCCCCCCCGCAAATGTCAGTCTGCAGAAAACACGTGAGTCTGCTTCAAAGGGCAGCATAGAGGCGCTCCAGTGGCGCAATCGGTGGGCGCACAGTACTTACACAAAGGGCAGCATAGAGAACACCCCCACTTTGGTTTACAAAGCCAGCAAAGAGGAAAGATATATACACAGTGCTTTCCCGGTGAGGGAAGGGTGTTGGAACTACGTGGGATTTTCCCGCCTACTCTGCACACATTGTTCTAGCGTACAGCTGGGGTGGATCGCTCTCACAACCAGGCCTCACAACAATAATCTAACTTTTAAAAAGTTTATCCGAACGAGAGAGCCACTTGCTCTCCCCCCACCCCCCCACCATGACTGTCTTGGTGACGGCGGGCGAGGGCGGGTGTCTGGAACCGTGCGGTGACACCAGCTCTTCCCTGGGACCCCCTCCCCTGCCCAGCGTTGGCCCCAGGACCGCTCCCCAGGCAGGTGGGCTCCCCAGGCAGGCGTGTGGAGCCCCGGGCTGCAGGGGCGGAGACAGGGCACTCACTCCGCCTCCACCAGGTGGTTCAGTGTGGCCGCCTTCTCCTCCTGGAGCTGGGTCAGCCTGTCCTGCATCTCGATGGTCTCCCTCTCTGAGGCCTGCGCGGGGACAGGGGCGTGGCCGGCCGTGGGATGACGCTGGGGCGACGCGAGCGCCCACACTCGCGCCCCGCGCCCACAAGCCCGTGCGCCTGGGCCTGACCTTCAGGGAGCGCACAAACTCCTTCTCGGTCACCAGGTTGCCCTGCAGTAGCTCCTTGGAGCTGCACTGGTTCCTGCCTATCAGCACATTGATCTTCTTCAGGTCGTTATCCAGGCCCTTCATGTGGTGCTCAATCTCCTTCTGCTCCTTCTTCTCCTGATCGATCTTGCCTGCGGCAGAGGGGAGGTGGGGGTAGCCGTGTTCCCAGCGGAGCCCCCGGCCCCCAGCCTAGCCCTGGCCACGCCCGGCCCTTGGAGGGAACACAGGGAACGACACCTGTGTGTGGATGGCCAGCAGGTGGGGGGACGTGGGGGTGGGGGGCGAGCTCCCCTGCTGGACACTCGGGCCCATTAGCGACCCCCGGTTCTGACACCATCTGGGAGCCCCTGGTGGGATGTTTTTCCAGGTTCCACGGGAGAGGAAGGAAGATCCCCCTTCCCGCAGCCCTGAGTTCGGGGCGCAAGGTGTCCCCCCTCCCCCCGGAGAAGGGGGCCAGCTGGAGGAGCTGCGTTTCTGCATTTCCGGGAGCACCCTTTCGTCCGTGAACTTGACAGATCCAGCAAATGCTCTCGATACTTCCACCGTGCGGGCCACAGGGCTGGCGGTCAGGGCAACGGCTCCCGTTTACAAAAGGGCCGTGATCCTTGTGGTTTCATGAAAGTAGGGGGCGGGTCCCACTCCCCGGGGGCTGAGCCGCAGGGGTCCCTGGACGCGAGCGCTCACTTTCCATGCGAAGCTTCTTCTGCTCCAGGATGTGGAGCTCCTTCCTGAGCATGTCCAGGGACACCAGCTGCTCCTCCCGCTCCTGGGTGACCTTGACCATCTCCTGCTGCAGCCGGAGCCAGGTCACCTGGGCCTGCGTCACGTTGCTGTTGTGCTCCTCGATCAGCTTCGTCAGCCGCTTGATTTCAAGCTCCAGAGGCCCCAATTCCTCTCCCTGCGAGTGACAGTCACAAAGAAGCAAAATGAGCCTCTCTGTTTCCAGAGGGGTGCTTTCTGGTGGGCAGAAAGCAGGCCAGGACCCCTGGGATCACGCATCTGTACGATGATGCCTGGGGGCGTTTACCCTGGGGCACCGGGCACCCGCCATTTGCTCCCCGACATGGTGGGAAGTGTGGGGCTCTGGAGGCCTTCTTCACCACGTCACGGGCTATCTGCCCCTGACGGAGGGAGGTTGGCAGACAGCCCCTGACGTGGGTCATTCCGTGTGGAGATGCCATTTCACCCGTAAAAGGGGTGGGGAAGGAAGTAGGTTCATTTCTCAGCGTGAGAAGGTGCGCAGGCGGCCAGGCACAGACACCCCCAGGGGCGGCCTCTCCCAGCCCGAGACCGTACCCCGAGCTCGGAAACCATCTGCTCCAGCTGCTTGTTGAAAAAGTTGATGAGGCCCTGCTTTCTCTCGATCAGGATCGTGCGCCTGGAGATCTCGCTCTCGCTGTTGGTGATGAGGTCATTGACATTCCTCACTTCCCTGTCCAGCTCGGCCAGCGCCTTCCGATGCATGTCCAACCTGCAGCTGGTGTTCGTGATGTCCAGGGTGGTCTGAGCGATGTTGCCGTCAATTTTGGAGAGATGTGTCACCTGAATTGGCAAAAGGAAATGTGTCTGAGCATTCTTCCCTCTGGGTGGGGGAGGGGGGCTCCAAATGAGCTGGCTGGACTGTCGTTTCCTTGGACGTCAGCCGCGCGGCCAGCCTATCCTTCCTGCCAATCTTCAGACAAACCCCTTCCTTACCCCCAAACCAAAACAGGGTCACGCTCTACACACAGGTTTGTAAGCCCCTTTTTAATTAGCTAAATCTTGACTTCTATTCTCATGTCATTGGCTTTTAGTTGTCATTGGCTTTTAACGTTCACTTATTTTGGGGAGAGACAGAGAGAGACAGACAGACAGACAGAGCACAAGCCGGGGAGGGGCAGAAAGAGAGAAAGACAGAATCGGAAGCAGGCTTCAGGCTCTGAGCTGTCAGCACAGAGCCGGACTCGGGGGTCAAACTCACAGACTGTGAGATCACGACCTGAGATGAAATCGGACGCTCAACCAACTGAGCCACCTGGACGCCTCAGCCTCATGTCGCTTTTAATGGCTCTCTGATTGTACTTTGTACTTATAACATAGCAAGCAAGTCCTGGTCAGCAGTATTCTTCCTCCGTCCCACAGCTATGAATTCAGTGCCCAGTGGCTGGTCTGGGCAACTGGTGCGCTTGGGTGAAGGACATTCCTTCCTCTTCGGGGAGTCTGCAGTCTGTCACCAGTGTCCCTATTCTAAGTAAAGGTATGGCAAGCACAGAGACGACCTCTGATTTGTATCCGATGGGACAAGTGTCCTCATATTTTGCTGAGAAGCTGGACACAGTCGTGGAAAGAAGGGACCTTAACGCGGGGTCATCTGCCGCCCAGCCGGAGGCTCCTGACCCTGGGCTCTTGCCAACCCTGGGTTTCGGGGTCCGGAGCCGCAGCCCATGGCTGAGCAGCCCAGGGCTCCGCGGGGCGCGCCCGCCGTCCTGAAGGTCTTGACCAGCTCCCCCTGCCTCTTCTGTTGGCTCTCAGGAGGGAGTCACTCCATCTCTCCAGTGATGTAGGGTTTACTATAAGGATATTTATGGCACCAGGCACGGCCGCTCAGCCTCCCTTTGGAAATGGGGTCTTTCCCTGGGTGGCTGTGCCCACCAGCTCCTGCCCATGGAAACCCTCAGCTCTCTCCTGGCTCCGTCTCCCGCCAACTCCCCGCCCTCCAAGGTCATCTCAGCTGCTCACCCATGGCCCTGGCTGGCTCTGCCTCAAGTGCACTCTCTCACCGGCCACGGTGGGGGACTCAGCAGGACACCCAACATTCCTAGGTTTTAAAGCCAGAGCCTGCCCAGCACCTCGGTCACCCAGGCCCCGTGGAAAGGTTCCTGAGCCCTCCGTCCTCTGAGCTCTGGCTAAGTCCCCAGTCTCTCTCTTTGCCGAGACCACCTGCGGTGGCCTGGTCTTCACAGGGGCCCCCCCTCCCTCTCTGCCCCCGAGCTTGCAGCCCTGTGGGATTCCCGCTCCTAAGTCTCCCTCTGGCCACCAGCCGGACGAGCCAGGCTCCCTGGATTTCCCTGGCTCTGCTCCTGGACTATTCACTCTTGTTGAGACCAGCCTGGCCTCTCCTGCTCCTGAAATGACTTGCAGACCCAAGGGTGACCCGTGCCTGTCCTCCCTCTGGACCCCAGCTCCAGATCCCAGGAGGCTTTCTCCACCGTTTGGAAAAACTGCCCCGTTTCAAGAGCTGGACTTCTATCTCCTGGACAATCGTAATGGACAGTGGAGGGACCAAGACCCTTTACTGCCCTCTGCTGGTCATAGGTGGAAGTACATGCACCCCCTGCAGGGGTGGCTGGGGGCCCACCTGCATCCCCTCCGGAAGGCGGGCAGGCTACTCCCCGCACACCGTGCTCCTTAGCTTCTCCGGGACAGCCTGGGGCCCCTCGTTTTGCTCCCAGCCCCCACCTCCCAGAGAAAGGATGAGTGGGACACCCCCAGCATCGGACAGGACCTCCCGTGGACACCCCGCTGGGCACAGTCTTGGTTCCAGGCCTGTCTCCCCACTTCTTTTGGGTAACCAGGCCGGGGGCTGGGAGGGCAGGGTGCCCAGGCCGCCGGCCAGGTGGACAGCAGCCCTGCCCCCCCCCGGAAGGACAGGTGAGCCCCACCAGCTGGGCAGCGGATCACGTTTGTCTCAGCCGGGCCTCCTCCTGGCGCGTATCAGTCCCGACATTTAGGGGCACCACCTCTGGCTCATTGTGGCGACGGTTAGATTTAATCCTCTGACACCTGCTGGTTTTCTCATATGAGCAGAGAGGGAAGGCAGAGGCCAGGATCAGGCGGAAGCAGGACTCATGCTCTGAGCCTAAGGCTGGGAGGGGCCCATGACCCCCTCATCTCCTGCCCCTCAGATGGAAGCTTCTGGTGGGACTGGAGAGCGAGGCAGGCTGAGTGGGCCACCTCTCCTGAGACTCGAGTGGGGGCCGTGCGCCAGGCCGTCGGCTGGGATGCGCCCTGGGCCTGCTGTAGGCCGCCAGAGGCGGTCACACCGTGGGAAGAGGCAAAGAAGAAATGATTCAAGTAATGAATTGCTTTCTGAAGGACGTAGGGACCCCTGACCACAGCTCAGAGTGACACAAGAGCCCTGGAGCAAGAGAGGCCTTGTCAGAGGGGGTCCCGGGCCAGGACGGCCCTGCCACCCGCTTACAGCACCCCTACCCTTCAACCCGGGGTTTCTGCTGTCTCGCTCTGTCCTCAGAGGTGTGGACAAAGCTGTGGGGCGACCGTGTTCAGTGCTGACTTGTTTATGATACAAAACCCCACATGTTTATATGACGAACTGTTACGCAGGAAGGAAAGTGGAGGTTTTTGAAGAATATTTCACGGACAATGTTATGTCGCATGTGGCCAGGAAGTCAAATAAAACTCTGTATACACACGGGGAGAAAATTAGCAGAGTCCTACGCCTCTTATCTGTGCCCTTGGCTCTCACTTTTCAGTAAAATTAATAGTAAGAGATTAGAGGCGACTCAAAACTGATACAGAGTCTTATATTGTTCAAGGTGTGTGCACATGAGTGTGTACACAAGTGTGTGCCTGTGGGTGTGTTGGCTCACGCGTGCCTGGGGATGTTTCTGTGCGTGTGCGTGTGTCTCTGTGTGTGCACGTCTTTGGTTGTATGTGTGAGTTCGAGCGTGTGCGTAGAAGGAGTTCCAGAAAGAAATACACCAAAATGCTAGAAAAAGTCGTTTCTGGACAGTGGGATTATTTCCAGGTTTTCTGCGCTAAAGATGCTTCCTTTTAGAACTAGAACAAAGCGGGCAGTGAATACACATGCTGAACGCCCCTTGCTCGCTCTGCTTCCTCTGCAGGGGTGGGGTGGGGGGTCCGTTGGCTCCGAGAGCCGCCTCCCCACCCGCCAGCCCAGGCGCCCGCCCCGCCCGGTGCGTGGTGTCGTACCAGGTTGGTCTTCTCCTTCTGGAGCTTCAGGATGAGCTTGTGGAAGTACTTGGTCATCTTGTTGGAGACCGTGTGCTCCTGCAGCTTCTCCACGATGGAGACGTCCAGCCCCTTCCTCTGCTCCAGCTCGTGCTGGATGGTCTCATGGATGGCCTGCAGTTCGCCCACGATGGTCGCGTGCTCCTGGAAAGGAAGACGCAGAGGTGGCGCTGGTGGGGGAGGGGGGCTGCGGGGACGGGCCCTGCGGGGTGGGGGATACGGTCCTACCACGTGGGCCTTGCCCAGCGCTTCCTCCGTGTCCTGGAGCGCCAGCCGGTAGGTGTTGAGCTCATTCTCCAGGGCCTCCTGCTTGGCCAGGCACTGAGCGGTCAGCTTCTGCATCAGGCTGGCTTCCGTCTCCGCGCGGTTCAGGATGCTGGCCAGCTTCTCGTTCTTCTCCTCCTCCTTCATGATGGATTTCTTGTAGGCCTCGATCTCACCGTCGATGGACGTGATCTGGTGCTGGCACTCGCTGCCGGGGTCGAGAGACCAGAGGTGGGGCATCAGGGTGGCCAAGCGTGTGGCTGTGCCCGCTCATGGGCGGCTTCCCCAGTGGGAAACCACCTCTAAATAGTAGCCAATCTCGGCTACCGTTTCCTGATATATTCACAGAGCCACTGCCCACTGTGAGTTTAAGGCTAAGGCTCTTCTAAGGTAGTGAGGACAGGGGATGGGAAGGAGGGGTCGGGCATTGTCCCAGGGGCCTCATCCACCTGCCCTCGCTAGCCCCCCGGAGCCATCCTGGGAGGGGCAGGGCACTGGAGCTCAGATCACCGGGGTTAGCTCGCCCCAGGGCCACAGTGCGTGGCGTGGCTGGGAGGCCAGTGATGGGCATCACTCCAAACTCTTCTGTTTCCCCCACACACACGGGCCATGAAAACATCTGCAGTTAACATCAAATCACAAACACAGGTGCTGGAAGATGAAGTGGAATTTTCGTTTGTGTGTGAGACATTTTCCCCCTTTGTTCTGAGATGAGCGCCTTTCTCCACTGACGGCATCTTATCCTTTGAATAAGTTCTTATTCAAAAAATCAGAAAGTACTTCCTCTTTGCACTGGAGTAACACCTTCCATGCCTTTTTCTCACATCTGTCCCCAGGCCTTCAAGTCTCCTCCTCAAGCTACCAGCTATTTCTTATATGTCTTTCCAGATCTATTTCATGCTGATACAAGCACTATGTGTCTGTGAAACAAACAGTAGCCCAGTAGATCCCGTGCTGCATCTTTGTTTTCTTGGGCTATCTTAGAGATAGTCAATAGCAGCGTGCACGGGAATGCCGCGGTTCTTCTCAGTGACCGGATGGCATTCTACATGATGACTATGCCGTAATTTAAGAATCCTCACCGATACACTATTGGGTTCTTTCCAGTTTTCTGGCCTTTTTTTCCCCTAATTTCAACAGTGTACCAATAAATATCCTTACACATTTTAAAAAAGATCCCAGGGAGATATGGCATGTTTACTCAGCGGAAGATCCAACATTGTTAAGATGTCACTTCTCCCTGAACAGATCTATAGACTCAACACAATTCCCGTTCCAATCCCAGGAAGTATATTTTTTCCCAGAGACTGACAAAGTAATTTTAAACTTTATAAACCGACAAGACCTCAAATAGCCAAAATAATTTATAAGAGAAGAACGAGGATTCGCACTATCTAATTTTAAGACTTTCTATAATAAAGCTGCAGTGTGGTGTTGGTGAAGGGGCAGATAGATGGATGGGAATCAGGAGTCCACAAATAGACACAACACCACACACACACACACACACACACACACACACACACACACAATTGATTTTTGACCAGAATGACCCACTATTTCAAAGGGGAGACAGTGGTCTCTTCAGCAGTGGTGCTGGGACCGCCAGAGACAGATGTGCAAATGGAACGCGCTTGGGTCTCAGGCCATGACAGGCGATAACTTGGAATGAGTCACATGCCACGTGGAAGAGCTTAGCAGAAGACAGAGGAGGAGGGGATCTTCACGACCCTGGGTCAGGCAACAATTCCTTGCAGAGGACACAAAAAGCATGAGCTATGAAAACGAATTAGTTGGGCTTCATCAAAATTTAAAACCTCTGCTCTTCCAAAGCCACCATCGGGAGAAGGAGCAGGTGAGCCACAGGCTGGGAGAAAATATTTTCAAAGCACATCCGAGAGAGGACTCGGGTCTGGATTATGTGAAGAACTCTCGTAAGTCAATAATAAGATAAACCACTTAATTTAAAAATGAGCAAGAGATACTCCCAAAGAAGGCATAGGGGAGGCAAAGAAGCACAGGAAAGGTGCTCATCCTCACTAGTCTTCAGGGAGATGCATCTACTAATGACCGAACGTAATGGCTACAATCCAAACGGCAGTAGCAAGTGTTGGTGAGTTGGGGAGTAACTGGGACCCTCACCCACCGCTGGAGGGAATGCAAAATGGACGAAACCAAACTGGAAAACACATCGGCAGTTTGTTATAAAGTCAAATACGCGCTGACCAGCAATCCCACGCCTGGGTATTCACGCAGGAGAAAGGGAAACACGCGTCCCCACCAAGACGTGTACAGACTGTCACAGTAGCTTTTCCAATGACATTCCCAAACCGGAAACGACGGGGCAGTCCGTCGGTGGGGGAGCCGATGAACACAGTGGTGGGCTGTCCGGCAAAAACAAGGCACAACTACTGATCTCGCAGCACCCCACGGGGGGATGGAGTGCAGAAGCAGCGTGCTGCATGCAGGAAGCCGGATGAGCAAATCTGCACAGCCATTTACGGGACACCTTGGGAATGACAGGGCCATAGGGGACAGAAGGCAGGTCGGTGGCCGCTGGGGGCGGGAGGCGGGCGAGGGCACAGACTCTGGGGGGGTGTGGGGACACCGGCCTCTTCCATTTGCCGAACTCGCAAAAACCGTGCACTGAAGAGGGAGAACTCTTCCACATAAGAAATGTGTACATAAATTAAGCCTCCAGAAACCCGACTTAAAATGGAAAACCTACTCATTTTCTTTTTTAGGAAGTAGCAGCCTTACAGATGTCTAAAATCTGACAATAAAAAGAAGACGTCCAATTTAAAAAAAGGCACAGTCACAAACGGCGTGACAGAAGTCTGAACACGCGGAAAGTCACACACACGGGAGAAGAGATGCCTGTGCGTGCCCCAAATGCTAATAAATTGTCGTTGTCACCAGAGGGAAAAGATGGTGCTCTTGGAAACCTCTGTTTTGCAAATTCCCTATGATGGGATCACTGATCCTCGATACAATTTATTGCTAAAAAACACACTTTATTATTATTTTTTTTAATGTTTTTATTTATTTCTAGGAGAGAGAGAGAGACAGCGTGAGCAGGGGAGGGTCAGAGAGAGAGGGAGATACAGACTCTGAAACAGGCTCCAGGCTCTGAGCTGGCAGTCAGCACAGAGCCCGACACGGGGCTCGAACCCACGAACCGCGAGATCATGACCTAAGCGAAAGTCGGACGCTTAACCGACTAAGCCACCCAGGCGCCCCAAAACACACTTTAAAAACTTCCTAGATGAACAGATACCAATAGAAAATACCCGGATACAGACACTGGTAGAGCTGAGAACACGGCCCCCACGTCGGGCCTGATCCGTTCACGGGTCACGAGGGCAGCTGTTTGGGGGCCTGGGGCACCTGACATCTCAACACCCCGGGGCGAGGGCTCTGTGCCAGGCCGCCCCTCGCATGTCCCATCAGAAGTAAGACAAGGCTGCCGGCAGGGCCCTGGGGACCGGGTGTGGCCCCGCCCCCAGGAACTGTAAGTCCTTGGGTGTCCCCCCCCCCGAGGGTAAGCACAGCACCGTCTGTGGCTCCTGCTTGTTTTGAGATGTTGCCTTTGAATATGTGACCTCCAGTGTTGACTGTGGTCCCAGTCAGACTGTGGCCGGGACCCGCTTTTGACCTGACTTTGTCACTGACATTGCAAAGATTCAATGGCTCGTCGTGGTCTTTAAAGTGACAGGGAGGTGGGGACCTGTCTGGTCTGGAGGTCCCATATGGGCTTCCCCCAGGGCTGCTGGGTCCAGACTGAGGGGTTGGCGGCTGACAGCAAGGGGCCATCGGGGCAGGAGTGGCCAGAGGCCAGAGAAGCGCGTGGACAGACTGCCCGGTGCTCTGGGAAGAAGCAGGTCGGGGGGAGGGCGCGGGGCCTCCGACACTGAGCCGCGTCCCAGCTGTCATCCGCCCTGTGCTCTTTCCCGCGGGCGGACCCTGTAAGTCCAAGGTCAAGCGTTAGCCTCTTTGGTGCCCACATTTCCTAGTGGACACGCAAGCCTGGCATTCTCACGTCTAGGTCAGCCTCCCGTGCCCTGATCCCTGGAAACCAACCCCAAGGACACAGAGGTACTCCCGACATGATGGCCACACGCGGCTTCTGGGCCGGGGCGGGGGGTGGGCCCGCCGGGGGCCGCCCCAGGTGAAGGACCCCACCTCGGGGTGTGGGCCTCCCGCCGGTCGTCCTGACCGGAGCCAGGAGCGTCGCCGGCTTCCCTCCTTGTCCAAAGCGGTGTACGCGCTACGAGCTGGCAGAGCTGGTGTTTAGTTCAGGCGCTGGACTGGCCTGGAAGTCGGAACGGCGCACGGTCTTATTTCTGCGGCGCCCTGACCTTCTGTTAGACCGCCTCAGACTTCCTTCTTCCAACCTGCATGGATGCACGTGGCGCGTCTCCATCTCTGCGGTTAGAATTTGCAGCCCTCACGGTCTCCTGTGCGGACAACGCGTTCTGACGGTGGACTCCGCTCCTCTGGGCTGCCGTATAGCTTCAGAAAGGACGCTGTCCTAAGCTAGACGTTCCAGTGCTGGTCAGGGGTGTGGGCTGTGTGTGTGCCTGCGCACGTGTGCGGGTGTTGTGTGCACGTGTGTATGTGGGCGCACGTGTGTGTAGGTGCACACATGTGCGCCTGTGTATGCACACACATGTGTGCGGGCTCTGTGTGCACACTTGCATGTGTGTGCGAGCATACCTGTGGGAGCGCGCGTGGGTGCATGTGTGCACATGTGTGCCTGTGTGCATGTGTGAGCGTGTGCATGCATGTGCGGTGTTGTGTGTGCACTCGCATGTGTGTGCGAGCATGCCTGTGCGAGTCCATGGGTGTGAGTGCGTGTGGGTGTGTATGTGTGTATTTGCGTGCACACGTGTGTGTGCCTGTACGTGTGTGAGCACCTGTTTTGCTAAAACACCCACCCAGCCTTCCATGCACGCATGTTGTGAAAACATGGTTTTCACTGTGGTTACATCGCACAGTCCCGAAGTGTGACCCGCTGCGCTCCCGCGGGACTCTGGAACGCCACTGAGCGGTGTGACCGGCACCGCCTTTTGGGGACACAGCTGCCAGAGCTGGGCATGTGCGTCCCCGGGGCTCCAGGCTGATGGAGACGACGGCGTACGGCGCACTCTGAAGCGGATTCACCCTGGACGCGGGGGCACCCAGGAGCACGGGTAACCCTCACGCCCGGGCAGGGAACACCCCCCGGAAGCAGCCCGGTGGCCGCCCTGCGGTGGGAAAGGGAGGAACGAGCGATCCATGTCCTGATTTGGAAAGATCTCCAGGGCACGTGGACGAATGAGAAAAGCGAGGCACAGAGCAGGGCGTGTGCGGCACGTGACCGCAGTGACGGTGCCCGTGTGCCTGTCGTCGTCGCTGTTGTTTGAATTACAGGACCACCAAGGGCAAGTGCTTCCCAGCTGTCTGGCCCCAGGACACTGCGCCATGGAGTGGCCAAGGCCAAGAGCCGTCATTCACTCACCCCCGCCCTCCATGGCTCGGTGCCAGGAGAGCCGCCTGCTGCCTCCAGGCCCGGGCATGGCGTGTGGGTCCCCGTCACCCGGGGCGGTCTGGGGAACGAAGTCAGTGCCGGGCCAGAGCCCCCTGCCCCGACACCCTGCCCAGGCCACACAGAAGGGATGGGGAGCCCTGGGGGACGGCCGTCTCCCTTCCCCACGGGTGGGGAGGTCAGGACAGGATTCCGGCTGGAACGCAGCCTTGGGCACGACAGTCGCACAGGGATGGTTTCCGCGCATGGGTGGCGAAGAGCAAAGCGGAGGGATTCCTCTCCGTCCCAGAAATAAATACGCCTTTCCCCTCTGTCACCGCATCTCCTAATCCTCCCAGGAAACCTGAGCGCGAAAGCTTTGCTGCTCTGGGGGCCGTGGGGAGTTTGAAAGGACTTAAGCGCTGAATCTCGGTGAACAATAGGGAGCTTTTGGGGCGGAAGCCGGGGACATGCCCCCCTTTGTCCCAGCAGCGGCAGTGGGACAGGTGCTGTGGGCGCACCTGAGGGTGGTGGGGGTCCGCACACCCACCTGGGGCCCTGAGCCGGCCCCGGCCCCCGCCCCCGCGTCACACCTGGGAGGCGGCGAGTGGCCCTCCCAGCGCCTACCTGTACGCCTCCTGGATGGTCCTGTGCGCCTCGTCTCGGTGCTTCATGCCCACCAGGCAGGCAGCCCACTGCTGCAAGATGTGCCTTTTCTCCACGCTGATGGCGCCTATCTCCGTGCAGGCCTGCGGGCGACAGTGAGCGTGACGCGGATGGTGGGCTAGCGGCATCAGAGTGCCCAGAACGTCTCCTTCCCATATCGCGCACGGTGAGCGGATAAACGCAAAAATAAGTACAGCTCAGAAGGCACATCGAGCACCCACCTGAGCCCTGACCCCAGGGCTTCGAGGAGCTCAGAGCCAGGGGGTCGAGGGAGGAGGAGGAGAGGGCGGGTGGCCGGCGGTGACTGATGCCCGGCTCATTGAGAACGCAGCCTTGGGTCCACAGATGGAGCCTCGGGCCGACGCCCCTTCCCATAAGAGCCCTCACCATCGGGAACGACCTCGGTGAGGGCATCTCTCAGGCCCTGGTGTGTGTGTGCGCATGTGTGCATGTGGGTGTGGGTGTGTGCAGCCACACTCTTGACGGTTTGCGACCCAAAATTAAAAACCAGCATGTTATACACGGGCTTTCGTGTCAGCAAGTATTTACTGGATTGTCGGACAGGCTTCCACGGCTCGGACATACAGTGACTCTCTCGTAGCAGAAGTCCCCTCCCCCCAGCCCTGCGGGGACTCTGCTATTACACACAGCTCGGTCCACAGTGACTCCCTATTCATTTCGCCGTGCAGTTTTTAGATCTACCCAATGTTTATTCGCATGCGTCTTCAGTACTTTCCTTGGGATGAAGCTCCAGTGATATTTTGGGAAGGGGGTAGGGGAGTTTTGGGGGCTGGGACGGGTGTAGGGGAGCGTCTTTCCCCGTGTGTGTTACAACGCTGTTCTTGAATAAAGATCTTTTTTTAATGTTTATTTTTGAGAGAGAGACAGAGAGTGAGCGGGGGAGGGGCAGAGAGAGAGGCAGACACAGAATCTGAAGCAGGCTCCAGGCTCCGAGCTGTCAGCACAGAGCCCGACACGGGGCTCGAACCCACAAACCGTGAGATCATGACCTGAGCCGAAGTCAGATGCTTAACCGACTGAGCCCTCCGGGGGGCCCTGAATAAAGATCTTGATAAAGACCCACGTGTGTTTTCACTGCCAGCCTGGAAGGCTCCCCACCCCCGCCCCGCCTCAGCGCACCGGTTCATCCTGGCCAGCCTGGAAGTCGGGTCCGACTTCGGCTCAGGTCATGATCTCACTGTCTGTGAATCCAGCCCCGTGTCGGGCTCTGTGCTGACAGCTCGGAGCCTGGAGCTGCTTCGGATTCTGTGTCTCCTTCTCTCTCTGCCTCTCCCCTGCTCATCTCTCTCTCTCAAAAACGAATGTTAAAAGTAAATAAATAAATAACCTCTCTTCCCACCCTCAAATTTACTCGTCAGTGAAAGCCTGTCTCTCCCTGACGTGGCTCCTGTCTTTCCGTGGAGCTGCTGGTGCCCGGGGTCCACAGCCACTCTGGCTGGTGAGCCTCACCCTCTCCACCTGCTCCCTTACTGGGTCTGTGCTTAGAAAGGCCGCTCCAACTCAGGATTTAAAAGATATTTTTCTTTTATTTTCTTCCAGTGCATTTCCCCCCATTTACATTCCTGATCCCATCTGGAATTCATTTCAGTGTCTGGTATGAGGAAAAGATTTAATTGTTCCCCAAATGATTAACCAAATGTCCCTACCCTGTCGTCCATGATTGCTTGTTCTCTACTAATTTATAATCTACTCAAGCTTTACACAAATGTTTGCCTCCTTCTGGGCTCTCTCACAGGCTACCGTGGCCTGCCTGGCGATCTCTGTGCCCAGGAACACATTATTTTACCTTCCGGGGCTTTATGATTGGTGATATTTGGTAGGACAGCGCGAGGGCGACGGGCCATGAAACCCCTCAGTTCCGGGGAGACGGATTGCGGGTCCGCCTTTGCGAATTTCCCTTCCCAACTCCTCCCTAGTCCTCTGAGTTCATTCTTCAGATAAACCTAAGAATCTCTTCTAACTATACAACTGCTTTCATTTTTTTTCCTTCCCCCTGAGATTCTGATCAGAACACATTCTAGATTCACAGGCCGGAGAGCACTGACCACCTTCCCTTACGGACCCAGGCATGTCTTTTTTTTCTCCAATAAAAGTGGTTTGTTTCCTTTCTGTTGTTCCTGCACACATGAGTGCAGATGGTGAGTCACAGATTAAAACAAAAAAAGACAGGGGCGCCTGGGGGGCTCAGTCAGGTGAGCGTCTGACTTCGGCTCAGGTCATGATCTCACAGTTCATGGGTTCGAGCCCCGCGTCGGGCTCTGTGCTGACAGCTCAGAGCCTGGAGCTGCTTCGGGTTCAGTGTCTCCCTCTCTCTGCCTCTCCCCCACTTGTTCTTTCTGTCTCAAAACTAAATAAACATTAAAACAAATTTTTTAAAAAAGACACAGCAACGTTGGTTGCTAGTGTTGGCCTCTGAATGTGGCGCCCACCGACTCCCAGGGCTGAGCAGTTAGGGAGACCCCAGCCCCCCTGACTGGCCACTATGGCCAAGGTGTGCCCAGCGAGCAGACGCGGGGGCCCAGATTCCTGGAGGCCTTTCGGGCTACCGCTGGCTACGGCCAGAATAGAAATACGGGTCATCCACCAGTGGGTTTCTGCTGCATCCGCCCCCCCCCACCCCCACAGGTCAGCCGGGTGTGGAGATGCTCAGGGAGACACAGGTCCGTGCGGGGAGCCTGTGGACTGAGCGGGCACAGTGAGCCGGTCACTCGGTGGGCACGGGCGGGCGCCGGGCAGGTGCCGTGCGGTGCCACAACGCTCCTACCTCGCTCACTGCTTTCCTGAGAACCCGGGTGTCCTCCGTCTGGGCGCCGCGCTGCGCCTCCAGCAGAGCAATCTGCTCCTCTAGCTGGTTGGCTTTGATGGTGAGCCGGTCCACATGAAGGTCCTGGGAAACGAGGTGATGGGCACCTCAGACAGAATTCTCCAGAAGCCCCCAACCCAAGTCAGTGACACCCCCCCCCCCCCCCCCCCCCCCCCCCTCCTCCTCAAGGCAGAGCAGGATGGAGCAAGAAGAGATATTTACACTCAAAGGTCTCTACCTGTATAATTTCTTAGTGAGCCCGAAGGGGGCNCCCCCCCCCCCCCCACCGCCCACCCCCGGGCCGGCCGCAGCCTCTCAGGGCCGCCACATTCACGCAAGAGGCAGAGCTAAGGGCCTTCTGGAAAACCGAAGGTTTGGCGGCAGTCGCTGCATACGCGTCAATTTTGCAAAACACCTGCTGCTTCTTCCCCATCTCGGCCCGCGTGCGCTCCACTTCCGACTTCTTCACCACCTGCTTCATCACGCGGATGTCGTCGCGTACATCCTGGTCGATGTTCTGCATGTAGAACAGATGCAGAGCCAGGCCCTCCAGCTCGGCTTGTAGAGCGGCCACTGCGGGGGAGAGAGGGAGGGCTGCTTGGGCAGCCCGCACTCGCACGCGCCGTCTCGGGGCCCCTCCAGCCGCTGGGGGCCAGGCCTGGGAACCCGCTTCTAGACTACAAAGACCCTTAGGGGCGCCTGGGGAGCTCCGTCGGTTAAGCGTCTGACTTTGGCTCAGGTCGTGATCTCGAAGTTTGTGGGTTCGAGCCCCACGTCGGGCTCTGTGCTGACAGCTCAGGGCCTGGAACCTGCTTTGGATTCTGTGTCTCCCTCTCTCTCTGCCCCTCCCCAGCTTATTCTCTCTCTCTGTCTCTCTCAAAAATTGATAAATGTTAAAAAAAAAAAAAACCTAAGTATTTTTATCTATCAGGCCAACTCATTTTTATTTTTTTAAATTTATTTTTCCCAGTCATGTTTTAAAGCCAGTTTCTGCCATTTTATTTTAACTTCCTCTTCCTACTTCTTTTGGCTAACTTGCCCTTTTAAAGCCTCTGGAAGTAGAATGTTTTCATTTCGGTCTTGTTCACAAAAAGCCAAATGAAACTAGGCAGGGTCATGGGTTTTACTCGAGTGCTTTCCGCCGCAGCCTCAAGTTCCGATTCGTGGACTCCTTTGCCGTCGGTGCCCTACGTGGTCCGTGGTCTCCGTGTGGACGAGTCTCCTTGGCCCTCTTCCCTTACCTCCTGACCGTCGCTGCCTTGTCGTTTATATTTGAGATCTGTGATTCTCAGCCCTGACTGCACATCAGAATTACCTGGAAGGTGAAAGAAAGAAAGAGAGAAAGAGAGAAAGAGAGAAAGAGAGAAAGAGAGAAAGAGAGAAAGAGAGAAAGAGAGAAAGAGAGAAAGAGAGAAAGAAAGAAAGAAAGAAAGAAAGAAAGAAAGAAAGAAAGAAAGAAAGAAAGAAAGAAAGAAGGAAAGAAAGAAAGAGAAAGAAAGAAAGAAGGAAAGAAAGACAAGAAACAAAAGACCCTTAGGGGCACCTGGGTGGCTCAGTCGGTTAAGCGTCCGACTTCGGCTCAGGTCATGATCTCACAGTTCATGGGTTCGAGCCCCTCGTCGGGCTCTGTGGTGACAGCTTGGAGCCTGGAGCCTGTTTCCGATTCTGTGACTCCCTCTCTCTCTGACCCTCCCCTGCTCACGCTGTCTCTCTCTGTCTCAAAAATAAGTAAAACATTAGAAACAAGAAAAGAAAAGAAAAGAAAAGAAAAGAAAAGAAAAGAAAAGAAAAGAAAAGAAAAAAGAAAAGAAAAGGAAAGAAAAGAAAAAAGAGCCTGTCCCTTCGTGAAACTGCTGCGTCAGAGCTGCGGGCTGGGCCGGGTCCCGGTGGCTCTGAGTCGCCCTGGGCTCCTGCAAGGGGCAGAGGCTTGCTCCCCGCCTGCTGGCGTCTGGTCCTGTCCTGCCCGTAAGCCGACAGCATTTTTTTCCTTAGCCTTTGGAATTTGAAAATGTCACCAGCTGTGTCTAGGCACGTTTATTTTCTCTTCCCGCTGTCTGGGCCTCTGTGGCTCTTCACTTCATGTTTGAAGGTTCTGCTTTCCGGAACTCACGCAGATGCTCTTCTCGGATGTCGTCGGTTGATGCCCCTGATCTCCTGGAATTTCTGTCTGACGGGCGTCGACCATCCCAGATGGAACATCCGACTCTTTTGTCTCCTCAAAACGTCCATCGCTGCACGTGGGGGCTCTGCTCTGAATTCGGGGGAGAATTCCTCAAATTTGTAGTGGTGTGGATGTGTCTGCTTAGTGACTTTGTCTTGGTGTGTTTTGGATGACGGTTGTACTTTTTATTTCCAAGTAGCCTCTCCCCCTCCTTCTCTCTCGTTTGACTGACGTAACAGCCTCTAAGATCGCAGGCGGAGTACCAGCGGGGGAACGATCGGCCCTCTCAGCTGCGTCATTGGGCCTGTGCCCAGGGAGGTGACTGCTCTGTGGGCAGGGCGGGGACCACCCGAAGCCCCCAGCGCTCAGAGAGGAGAAGCCGAAACAATTCCGGAATCCTGCTTGGTTGGGCAGTTTCCTTCCCTGTGTGTCCAATGACCCCCAGGAAGGACATGAAGTCCAAGAGGCACTGCTTGTCTCCGGGTGCCTGTCCACACCCTGAGCCTCCGCTGAGGGGTCCTGGCATGAAGGGGTGGGGGCCCCATGACCTACACCCCCGGACGGTGCGACTCTATCGTTACTGCACAAATTTCGCCTTCTCTTTTCGGTATTTTCTGTTAATTTGGTGGCGATCAGGGAGTGTGCTTGATAAATGAGCATTCACCCTGCTGCCGCCAATCCAGAAACTTCTGCGTTTCTCAGGGTCTAACATGTTCCCCATCATAATGATCATACAGAGTTGGTAAAGAAAGTTGGAAACAGGAAAAAGCCCCCAGACTGAAATAATCACAGTGGAGCGTGCAAGTGGCTGTTAGGGGAGGCCGGGGACCCTGCTCTGAGGGGCGGGGGGGGGAGGCTGTTTTACTAGGAAAAGAGCTATTGCCTCATCTGGTCCAAAGCCTCCCTGGCCCCCCGTTCCTGCGCCATCCCCTGGGCCGTGGGCCCCTGGCTTATTCAAGCCCCTGTGCTCAGGACTGGGCTTCAGCCATTCCTTCCCGATTCTTCCAACCCCGCCAACCCGCTGCAGCCCACGTGTCTCTTCAGCCTATGAGGCTTTCGTGTTCCCGTGTTCCCCTCGTGAGGCCTTTTAAGACCCAGATGCCTTCCCTCCCTAAAAAGGCTGGGAAACCTGGTAAGACAGACCACATATTGTTTTCTCCATGCCTGTGATGGCCCGACAGGACGTTTCTGGGGGATGAGATATCGTGTGGCACCTCCCCGTGGGGACGTGACCGCACGTGGGACGCCCCACTGGGTCATGACGGCGCTTGGGGGGACACCCTCGGGGTCGCGCAGGCGTCCAGGGACGTGACCGCACGCGGGACGCCCCACTGAGTCATGACGGCGCTTGGGGGGACACCCTCGGGGTCGCGCAGGCGTCCAGGGACGTGACCGCACGCGGGACGCCCCACTGGGTCATGACGGCGCTCGGGGGGACACCCTCGGGCTCGCGCGGGCGCCCAGGGCCCTGACGCACGCGGGACGCCCCACTGGGCCCTGACCGCGCGCGGGGTCGCCAGCCTTACGCTCCCTGCGCTCGCCGTCGGCGCTCTCGCAGGTCCGCTCGTAGAGCAGGCGCGCGGCGCGCAGCTCCTCCTCCTGCTGCCGCCGGGCGCACGCGGCCGTCGAGTGCCGGTCGTGGCTCCTCTCCAGCTGCATCTGCAGGCGGGCCAGGTGCTGCTGCACCCCGTAGAGGTCCAGCCCCAGCTCCTGCCGCTGCGCTCGGGTTTGCCTGGTGGCCACGGCCTGCGCACGGAGACGGAGGCTGCGTCACGGGCGGAGGCGCACGGCCGCGGCCGGACGGATGGATGGACGGATACGCACCAGCTCTTGAAGTTCCAGTTTCAGCTTCTCTATCTGTCGGTTGAGGTAGTTCTTCAGGGCAGCCTGGAACCTTACCATCAGGGGCTGAAACAACAGAGAAGCGAGCCTGGGTCACTCCTGGCCTACACAGGGCACAGCCCAAGTCATCAGAGCTCTCCGGGGGGGGGGGGGGCGGGAGGGGGCACAGGGAGGACTGACACGCTGGGTGCTCCCCGCTTCTGCGCCGGGACCTGCTCTGGCAGCCACAGACTAAAGGCACTCGCGGTCCCGTCCCGGGCACTGAGCGCGTATTTTGGTGAAATGACTGGGTGAGCGGGTGTGGTGCTCCTGGATTCCCGTCCCCCCCTCGCCCCCGCCCCCAGGATGAGAGGGGGGTGATGAGCAGGGCCTGGGACACCAGCACCGAATGAGCACTGAGCCCTCTTCCCAGAGCGAGAGCCGATGGTCTCCAGGGTGAGCACCCCAGCTTTGCGAATGGGCTCAGTCAGTCAAGATCTGCCTTCCCCGACTGCCAGAAGGGTGGGGCCAGGGAACTCCTGATCCCGTAGCTTCGCTCAAAGCAGTGGCTCTGAATGCGGGTGACCGTGCCCCCACCCAACATCCAGCAGTGTCGGGAGACATTTCTGGCTGTCATGGCTTAGGGGCAGGGGCACTACTGGCATCTAGTGCCTGGAGCCAGGTCCCCCCCACCCCGGGACAGTCCCACCCCAGAGAGTGACCCGCTCCCAATGTCAGCAGAGCCGAGGTTGAGACTTGGCAAAAAAAAAAAAAAAAGAAGATGCTTCACAGAGCACTGGCCCAAACCGTGCGGACACAGTGCTGGGTGGGTGAGGGCCAGCGCCGGCTGGGGTGGGGCGTGGGGTGTGCGGAGCCAGGCAGAGGGAGCCTAAGCAGCAGGCTAAGGGGCGTCTCTTGTGACCCTCCACGTGTCTAGGGCTCCGCTGAGGCCTGGGAGCGCGTCCTTACGTGGTCTGGGTGCAGAACCATCAGATGGTCTGTGTCTTCCTCCGCCTCGTCGCTGCCCTCGGACTCGGTTCTCTCTGCCGCCTCCTCGGGAGCACTTAGCTGTTGGATCTGCTCCAGGAAGGCGGGCATGGCGCCTCCCTCGGGCCGGGCCTCGGGGTCATCTGGGCGGACACCTGGGGGGACAGCAAGCCCCACTGAGGGGTTAGTACGGGGCTTGGCGAGGCCGCTTGCAGGCGCCTCGGGCGAGGCTGATTTCCAACCTCCTGCAACATGATGGAAAAGAGAAAGAAAACATCCAGCGGGTTGGGGCTCAGTGCTGTTTACAGGGTCTTCTGTTCGCAAATCTTCCGTGTGTTGGTTCACGTGTCCATAGAAAGGATCACATTTTATTTATTTATTTTTATTTGAGAGAGAGAGAGCGTGCATGAAAGGATCACATTTTAGGGGTGCCTGGGTGGCTCAGTCCGTTAAGCGTCAGACTTCGGTTCAGGTCATGATCTCACGGTTCGTGGGTTCGAGCCCCGCGTCGGGCTCTGTGCTGACAGCTCAGGGCCTGGACCCTGCTTCAGATTCTGTGTCTCCCTCTCTCTCTGCCCCTCCCCTGCTCATGCTGTCTCTCTCTCTCTCTCACAAATAAATTAAAAAAAAAAAAAACGTTAAAAAAATTTAAAGGTAATATGGGGGCGCCTGGGTGGCTCAGTGGTTAAGCATCTGACTCTTGATTTCAGCTCAGGTCATGATCTCACTATGTGTGAGCTCGAGCCCTGCATTGGGCTCTGTGCTGACAACACAGAGCCTACTTGGGATTCTGTCTCCCTCTCCGTCTGCCCCTCCTCTGTTTGCTCTCTATCTCCTGCTCAAAAATAAATTTTAAAAAAGGTAATGTAATGTATGTTACCTTTAATATATTCCAAGAAGGAAAGGTGTTTTGTATATACTTTTTTAGACACAAATAGTGAGTATTTGATGAAAGTTGGCTTCTTACTGTTTTGTCTGGTTTTGAACGGAAAACGGCGGGTAAGATTGACAAGAAATGAAGTATCTGTGAGGTTCCACTGCCAGCTTCCCTATCCACCTGAGCTGCAAAGGTCCCATTCTGTTTTTAGCTCGTTCAGATGTGTGCTACCTTCATGTCACTTGAGGGACGATGCAAGACTTTGTTAGCTGGACCATCCATGCACATGCACCATAAGGAATAAGAAATACCCCGATTTGCTTTCCCCACATCCCCCACACGGGGACAGAGGACAGGGTGTGTCGAGTGAGCCTCTGAAACTCAGCAAACGCGTACTCTTTGGGGTTTCATTGCTGAGCGCCTCTCTGAGACCAGGAGGCAGCAGGAAGTGGCAGTCAGGGGCTGTGGTTTGGACGTCATCGGAGCTCAGTCAAGGCTTGGTTCTGCCACTCACTCGGATAGGCCACTAAATGACTCTGAGGGTCTTTGAAAAGTGCAAGATTGGTTCCTACTTCATCAGGTTACTATAAGGATGAAACCAAATAAAACAGAGTGAATGCTCCATAAATATTATCCCTGTTTTTTAATAACTTTTTTTTGTCTTTAGGCTCATAGCTGAACAGGAAACGAGGTAACAGGTGGCGAATGAGTGGCATTGCTCACACAGAAGGGGACGTGAAGGGGCTTATCCCGTGGACAGCATGAACCCGGCAGGGGCATCGTGGTACCTGGCTCCCGTGTGAAGGGCTCCTCCGTGCTCGAGAGCAGCTCATCAAAGTCCAAGGACATGATGCTACTTCCCTGGCTCAGTCGGAGATGATGTCGTGCCCCCAGAGGGAAGACTTGTTGCTGGAGCTCTTCCTGAGAGGTTTTCTAGAGCAGGCACAACCAAACCCACATCAACGAGGGCTTATTCAGGACTGAAGTTATTTGATTTTGATCTATTACAGTGTTCAAAATTCAACGTAATTGCTAAAGCAAAACAAAACCATTTGGATATAAAGTTACTTGGGTTTTGCAAAATAGAAAACATCTATGCCCTCGACCCCAGGAATTCAGGAATTCACCTGTCTACATCTGCAGCAAAGTGTAAATGCTGAGGAATGGGTGTGTGTTACATGTGGGGTTCTTTACTCCCTGACGCTGATCTCCCTGGGGATGGTAAGCAACACCGCTGAGCCTCCTCTGTATAGAAGGACGTTGGAAAGCCTCAGCCACAGGCTAGAGGGCTGCTTCTACTTCTTTTCTTCCAAACCATTCCACTTTAGGGACATTTTGATAAGAAAATGTCTTATCTCTTTCGAATTCAACACCCAAAAAGCATTTCTCCAGTAAAGAAATGGGCAAAAGACATGAACAGACACTTCTCCAAAGAAGACATCCAGACGGCCAACTGACACATGAAAAAATGCTCAACATTACTCATCATCAGGGAAATACAAATCAACAATGAGATACCACCTCACACCTGTCAGAAAGGCTAACGTGAATAACTCAGGCAACAACAGATGTTGGCAAGGAGGCAGAGAAAGAAGATCTCTTGCACGGCTGGTGGGAATGTAAACTGGTGCAGCCACTCTGGAAAATAGTATGGAGGTTCTTAAAAAAATTAAAGATAGAACTACCCTCTCACCCAGCAATTGCACTACTAGGTATTTATCCAAAGGATACAGGTGTGCCGTTTCAAAGGGGCACATGCACTTCAGTGTTTATAGCAGTATCGACAGTAGCCAAAGTATGGAAAGAGGCCATGTGTCCATCTAAAGATGAATGGATAAAGGAGACGTGGTATATATAGACACACACTGGCGGATTACTCGGCAATCAAAAAGAATGAAATCTTGCCATTTGCAACCACGTGGATGGAACCGGAGGGTATTGTGCTAAATGAAATTAACCAGAGAAAGACAAGTATCATATGACTTCACTCATATGAGGACTTTAAGATACAAAACAGACGAACATAAGGGAAGGGAAGCAAAAGTAATATAAAAACAAGGAGGGAGACAAAACATAAGAGACTCTTAAATATGGAGAAGAAACAGAGGGTTACTGGAGGGGTTGTGGGGGGCGGCGATGGGCTAAATGGGTAAAAGGCATTAAGGAATCTACTCCTGAAATCACTGTTGCACTATATGCTACCTAACTTGGATGCAAATTAAAAAATAAATAAATACGTAATTAAATAAAATGTCTTCTCTCGATAAAAATGCCTGCTTCCTTTTTAAGTTTAAAAGAGATTCTTGCAATTATATTATTGTTGACGATAATTATTGCTGCTGATGAACTGGTGGGTATTGGTAATAACAATGACCCTGCACAATACCCTGTGAGGCAGGTAGGAGTCACTTCTGTTATCTGGCGGGAGTGGGGGCGGGGGGAGCAGCCTCACAGAAGCTAAAGACCCTGCCTGAAGTTCCCATGGTCGCCCAAGGGCAGGTGCAGACTTGGGATGCCTCAACCCCAGCTCACCCTCATTTCTAATACTTTTTCAGATGATGCTGATTCTAGAAACCACCCCGAGGTATCCAGGACTGTAATGATAGTAGTGGGGGCTCAGAGTCAAAAGCCCACCCTGTGGGGTGTCCAGCAAAGGCTTCTCCCACCAAGAAATCGACAAGCCATCTACAGGCCGATGTGCTCAGCAGCTCCCTCCCAGCAATTCCTGTTCTTTCTAAAGACTGAGCACCAATCGGGAGGAAGGGAAATCGGGCCCCTCTCAGGTTTGCTTCTCTTCTTCTGGTTATCACATTTGGAAACTGTTTCCCTGTGCGTTTTCTAGAAACTAGACCCAAGGACGGACACTGGGTTTTCCAGCTCACTTCAACAAGTGGCCTACACTTCACATCTCCTGGACATCTTACAAGATGGGGACAGTTGTTGTTTTGAGTTTAATTAGTGGGCATTAAACCGTGTTATTCTCTGAAGTTGTTAACTCCAGGGTTCATCAGGTGCGGCAGGATTGCTGCTTTGTGGTTCAAAATGGCGGCTTTGGAGCAAGAGCGACCGGCAGGGCTGCACGACTATGACGGGCAAGTCTGTCCGCCCTTCGCTCATCTGCGCAGCGATGCACAGCCTCCGCCCCACAGGCTTGTTGCCAGACTCACTGAGACAGCACCGTCAAGGGCGTAGGCGCGTCCGGCCCAGAGTCCAAGATGGAGGAATGTAACCCTGCTCCTCACTTTCTTTCCAACTCAAACCTGAAGCCAGTAGGTGGGGCTGGCCTCACGTGGGGTTCCAGAGGCCGTCCCCATGAGGGGTCATCACGGCACAGGTGACAGGCCTGGGCCTGGCGACAAGAGTCCCCACAGAGGACAGCCCGGCACAGAGTTGGGGCCCAAACATCCGGGGACTGGCCTGGGTGGAGTTGGCCCCACAGTGGTGACGGTGACTGGGACGGCCCAGTGTGGGGGTGTCACAGTTCAGGTGGGGTGAGGAGGGCCCACTAGAGGGTGGAGAAATGCAGTGAGGGTTATGTCCGGGGGACTGATCAGATTAATAATGACATCAAGGAGACGGGGGGCGGGGGGGCACTGCGCTTCTCACTGTTGGAAAAGGAACTTGGAAATCTGGGAAGGGAGGGCATCAGGAAGACCCCACTCGGGGGGGGTGGGTTGTGTCAGAGAAAGGTTGGCATGAGCTATGTGTGCTTGTGTGTGGTGTGTGTGGTATCTGGTGTACATGTGGTGTGTGCAAGGTGTGTGTGTGTGTGTCTTTGATACCGAGAGACCCTGGGGACAGTGACATCCCAGTCAATCAGAAGTGTCTGATTCTAGGGCCAGGCAGTTCTGTGCCAGAGAATGAGAAAGTGCCCCAAGGATGACGGCAGTTAAAGAGCAGAATGATGTGAGTATGTCAGAAGGACACAAAGACCAATTTAAATGGGTTCTCCTCGGCCACATTGGGGACAGTTTCTATTCAGTGTTGTGCCGGAAGTTCTGGCCAGTGTCAGAAGGCAAGAAAAGATATGAAGGGCATCCAGATTTGAAAGGAAGACATTAAACTGCATTTATTCACAAACAACACCATCTTTGCGAAAAGTTGTATGGGTGCTACAGAAACAAAAGCTCTTGGAACTAACAAGGGTGTTGGGGCACCTGGACAGCTCAGCCGGTTAAAGCGACAAGCTCTCGGTTTTGGCTGAAGTCGTGATCTCACAGTTCGTGGTGAGTGAGAGCCCTGCATCGGTCTCTGCGCGGGCAGTGTGGAGCCTCCTTGGGATTCTCTCTCTCCCCCTTTCTTTCTGCCCCTCCCTAGCAGCGTGTTGAGCAATGTTGCTGGATATAAGATCAATATACAAAAATCAGTTGTGTTTCTATATACAATAGAGCAACAAACAATTGGAAGACATTTAAAATACCATCAAAAAATCCAAAACAGTTAGGGATAGATCTTATAAAAGATGGACCTGTACACACTGCTGAGAGAAGTATGAGTTCCTAGAAATATGGTGGTGATCTGTTGTGATTTTTTTCTTCATTTGAAATACTCACTTGCCTGTCTTAAACAAAAAGAGCACCTTCCCACACAATTTTGCGCTTTTTTCTTAAGTTTATTTATTTATTTTGAGAGACAGAGATAGTGAGCAGGGCAGGGGCAGAGAGAAAAGGGAGTGAGGATCCCAAGCAGGGTCCACACTGTCAATTCAAAGTCCAATGTGGGGCTTGAACTCACAAGGAATGAGATCATGACCTGAGCCGAAACCAAGAGTTGGACACTTAACTGACTGAGCCCCGTAGGCATCCCTACACCCAATCTTTCTTAAAGGGTAACTTCGCAGTGAAGGCTGGCACTTTTTCATCAAGGGATCCACACCAACGTCATTGGTCATGGGGCAAACTACAATCGTGTGTCATCTAATAGGACACAAGGAGAATCCATCTGTGAACCTTTCCATGGCATCGTAACCCATCATAAAAAGTTCTTCTAATCATACCTCAACTTTTCTTTTTTCTGTCTTTCTTTTTGTTTTTTAAGTAGCTCCACCCCCAGTGTGGAGCCCAACATGGGGCTTGAACTCATGACTCTGAGATCAAGACTTGAGCTGAGATCAAGAGTCAGACGCCTAACTGACTGAGCCACTCAGGCACCCCCATAATTTGATTTTTCTATAAGCCAGTGATTGTTCAAAAATTAAAAAAAAATAAAAAGAAGGGCACCTGGGTGACTCAGTCGGTTGGGCATCCAACTTCGGCTCTGGTCATGATCTCACAGTTCGTGGGTTTGAGCCCTACCTCAGGCTCTGTGCTGACAGCTCAGAGCCTGGAGCCTGCTTCAGATTCTGTGTCTCCCTCTCTCGCTGCCCCCTCCCCCTCTTGTACATGCTCTCTCTGTCTCTCTCTCAAAAATAAACATTAAAAAAATAAAAAGAAATAAAAAGAAAAGAAAATTATGAGACAGTAACTATTGTCATTATACTAAGGGGATGTCAGCATCCCCTTACATGAACCTAGGGTTGGCGAACACCAAAGGTCCAGAAACTCTTGGCGTTCAATAGCGGGTCCTGAGACCCAAGTTTGCTAAGAACTTTCTAACAGGAACCACAGTTTGTTTTTACAATGCCTCCTGAGTTCTTCACCCGGGCGACAACCACAGAAGCGATAAAACACTTTTATAAAATAGACCTCAGAGCCACTCACCGATCTGCTAGCCTGGGGTCCGGAAGCATCCTGGCCTCTTTGCTCAGATAAGCCCACTGCTTGCTGGGACGGCCGTGTGGAGATGTCCCCTGCTTCTGTGGGTTCTGAAGGACCGGGGGCTTCTCTGTCTTCAGGAATGGCTTCCCTCCCTGCATATTCGTGCGGGCGTGTGGGGTCCGCTTTGTCCCTCGCCATCTCCTCAAGACTTGTGTATAAATACGTCAGGTCGGTGGAGCTGACTTTCCCTTCAGGCGATGTGCCTTCCATATCGGATTCGAATTCTCCTTCAAATTCAAAATCCTCTTCCATTTCCACTTCTTCAACATTTTCGACTTCCCCATCAATTTCGGTTGCCCCTTCACCAGGGACTTCCCCAGGGGCGGCAATGTTCTCTTCAGAAAGTTCTGCAGCATCAACAGCCTCTTCGCTTTTCTGGTGACTGCTCTCCTCTGTCGGTGGCATCTGAAGATGTGTGGCATGGAAAAGAATCAGGACACAGGGTAGAAGGCCTGTGATGTTTGACTCTTAATTGTGTAATTACACGGAAGGGAAAATTGCATCTACACATGTCTGCGTGTCACTGAGCGATTATGCTCAATGCTTTATCTGTTCTCTCCAGTGTTCGTGAGTTTTGCGTCCTTTGTTATAGAAACTGAGTTCTGAAAACCTCAGGGTTATCTGAGAAGGAGGCGGGGGCGGAGGGCATTGTGACTAGCCACCAACACTCAACAATTGGGTGGAAGGAAAATGATTTTCTCTGCGATGGTATTGAGTCTGTTCTAGTGCAAGGTGTAGGGTCACTGTACAGTCTCCTGCAGAGCAGCTCTTAACTCTTTAATTCCCAGTAAATACAAGCCCAGCATAACCCACCCCACAGGGAACTTTACCTGATCATCTTCATGACTGTGGTCTTCGCCTTCAACACTCTGGTCCTCGCCTTCCTTTCGCTGGTCCTCGCCTTCAGCACTGTGGTCCTTGACTTCCTTACTCTGGTCCTCAACTTCCTTACTCTGGTCCTCCCCTTCGTTAATCTGATCCTCGCCTTCCTTTCGCTGGTCCTCGCCTTCAACACTGTGGTCCACGACTTCCTTACTCTGGTCCTCCTCTCCTTCAGAAGTTGATTCACCTTCTAGCTGAGACCTGGTCGCAGAAATACAGTCTAAGCATTTCAAATAACAGCATTCTTTTTCTTAGCATTTATCACCTCCCTGTGTCTGTATATATTCTTATTTACTTGTTCATTATCTGCCTCCCCTCTAGGCTGTTGGCCTAGACTTTGTTATGTTTGTCATGAACCCCGGAACTAGATCATGCCCGTCACATGGAGGGAGGGAGTGCCACAGAAGAGTCGCTCTACGAATGAATGAAAAATAATTATGGAAACATCAAAGGAAAAGTGTAAGTAGATTACAACAGAAAGTCACCCTGAATATACATATACGTGTGTCTAGGACAAAACTGGGGAAAAGAAATACAAAGCAAAAGAATGTTGCACAAAAGGGACAAATATTCTCAAGACACTTGGTTAGTTTCTCCATGATTTTGATAGTAAAAGAATGTCATGACTTACATTCTTTTTTAAAAAATATTTATTTTTTTGGGGGGGAGAGCTCAAAGAGAGAGGGGCAGAGAGAGGGGGACAGAGAATCTGAAGCAGGCTCTGCTCTCACAGCAGTGATGCAGGGCCCACACTCACCAAACCGTGAGATCATGACCTGAGCTGAAGTCAGATGCTCAACTCACTGAGCCACCCAGGTGCTGTATGATTTACATTCTTAAAATTATTTTTTCTTGGGGTGCCTGGGTGGCTTAGTCTGTTAAGCGTCCGACTTTCGCTTAGGTCATGATCTCGCGGTTCGTGGGTTCGGGCCCCGCGTCGGGCTCTGTGCTGACTGCCAGCTCAGAGCCTGGAGCCTGTTTCAGTCTGTGACTCCCTCTCTCTCTGACCCTCCCCTACTCATGCTGTCTCTCTCCCTCTCCTAGAAATAAATAAAAATATTTTTTTAAAAAATTATTTTTTCTGATTAAAAATATAAGCTTATTTTAAATTTTAAAAAATGTTTATTTTTGAGAGAGAGACACAGAGTGTGAGCAGGAAAGGGGCAGAGAGAGAGAGGAAGAGACACAGAATCTGAAGCAGGCTGCAGCTCTGAGCTGTCAGCACAGAGCCGGAGGCGGGGCTCGAACTCACTAACGGTGAGATCACAACCTGAGCCGAAGTCGGAGGCTTAACCGACTGAGCCCCCCAGGCGCCCCCAAACAAGCTTTTTTTTTTTTTTAATGTTAAACTAATACAGAAGCGTGACACAGACAATGAAAATCCTCTCTGACTTTCCCTCCCCTTCTCAAGGTAACCACTAGTAATGAGATTTAAAGGTACATTCTTTCAGATATTTTTGTACACATTTAACCACACTGCGCAGGCGCGCGCGCGCGCGCGCACACACACACACACACACACACACAGAAAGATCACACTCTACATACTGTTTTCCATTTAGTCTTTTCATTTACTGTAACTTGGAATTCTTTCCATATCAGTACATAGTGCTCACCAAGGGGCTTCCTGACCCGCGGGGACCCCGACCCTTCCCCTCCCGCCCGCAGGCCAGGCGAAGGGGGGGTCCGCCCTTCCAGGACGGAGGGGCGGGGCCCCGGCCCGAAGAGACCCCCACTCTCAGGCCTGGCAGCAGGCAGAGCCAGCATAGTGTTGCCATGGTTACTGCGCGGCGAGCAAGTCCCGGGGCTCAGGGAGCGGACAGCAGGAGCGAGGGGCGCTGACAAAGGGATGGAGACGCGGAGGGGGGCGGGGGGCAGGGGGTGGTCGGGCGGGGGGAGAGGCGGGAAAGACCAACAGAGCGGGGATGGGAGGGGCGTGAGGGGCGGGGAGCCCCCGAGGCTACGCCGAGGCGGAGGCGTGGGGGCGCTGCGACACCCGCGACGCCCGCCCCGCTTACCCGCCGGCCGCGCTACCCGGCTCCGCCATCTCCGGTTGCTAGGCGACGCGTCAACATCCGGCGGGCGGGGACCGGGCGCGGGGCTGGCGCGGGCGGCGCGGCGGCGCGGCCTTTGTGCCACAGACGCGCGCTGGAGGCGCACAGGACCGCAATACGTGCGCGGGCGCGCGCACACACACACACACACACACACACACACACACGCACACACAGTTTCTCCCTCTCTGAGTCCGAGCTTGTCCCGCCTGGCTCAGGTTCTGTAAAGCGACCGCCGTGTCCACGATAGTCCCTCCAGGCAACGCCGACGCCCCGGGGACCCGCGCGCGCCCAGCGCCCCAAAGGTGGCAGGCGGAGGTGGAGGCGCGCGGAGCCCCGGAGCAGGCTGCTCCTTGAGGAGGGACCGGGGCCCCAGCCTAGTGCCCGCCCATCCATCTCCAGACCTCGGGGGGTGGGGGGCCGGCTTCCCCTCCACTGAGGGGCCGCCGAGAGTCCTCGGAGGAGGTGGCACTTTGGTGGGTGATGACCCCTTCCTACCCCGAAATAGGAAAACCATAAACGGAGACGGCGGGCGCGCATGTGGGGCGTCCCAGGGATCTGCCTTCACTCCGGGTGGGGTCCTCGGGGCTGCTGTGGGGACAGGGTCCCCGGACCGGAATTGGAGAGGCCTGGGGCAGGGGACTTGGGTCTCGAGGCGAAAGGGGATGGGGTCCGGGCCGGGTCGGGCCAGGGGTCGGCGCGGCGGGGGGGGTGCGGTCCCGGAGCAGGATTGGGCCCGGGGCTGGGCTGGGATCCGGGTTGGGCCGGGGTGGAGGGGCAGGTGGGGTCCGGGGCGGGGTCTGAGTTGGGACGGGCTTGGGCCCAGGTCCGGTTTGAGGTCCTGGTTGGATCAGGGTCCGGGTTGGGCCCGAGGCCGGTTTGGGGTCCGGGTTAGAATCCGGGGTAGGGCCGGGGGCCGGGTTAGCGGCCGCTGCGGGCGGGATTGGGCCGGGGGGCGGGCCGGGGGCCGGGCCTCGCCGTGCGCCCCGCCCCGCCGCGCCTCACTAGCGGCGGCGGCGGCGGCGGCGGCGGCGGCTCCGGGAGCCGGTGCGACTCCGGCCCGCGCTGTGGGATCCGGGTGGGTATGGGGGCCCCGGAGGGGGCCTCGGGGGCGGAGCCCAAGGGGGGGGACCGGGCGGCGCCCCCTTGGCGGGGACAGGGTGGGGGCGCGCGCGGGGCGCTGGGCCTGCAGCGGCGGGGCCGGGAGGGGCCGGGGTCCGGCCGCGGCTCCAAGAGGAGCGGGGCGCGGGCAGGAGCCGGGCGGCGTGGATGCCCCCCAGGATCACGCAGGGGCCCCGTGGGGCGCCTCTCTCCCGCGGGTGCGGGCGCCCCGGGCCGGCAGTGGACCTCATTCGGGGAGACTCTGTCCCCGCCCGTCTAGAGCCGTGGACCGGGGAACTTGCGGTCTTTGTCTGGCTGGATCGTCGGAGCACGCGAAAGAGAACTTGTGGGGCCCCTCCCGTTTGCAGACACAGCCCCCCGAAGTGTGCTTTCCAGCCCAACAGCGCGCGCGCGCTCAGCATTGCTGGGCCTTAGGGTCGGGTGGTCCGCCTGGTAGGAACCGCGTGTCAGGAAACTCACTTCCTTTAGGCCCGGGCTCTTTCCCTCTCGTTCTTCACTTTAAAAAGAGAAAAAAAGAAAGAAAGAAAGAAAAAGAGTAGAAAAAAGGAGAAAGGAAAAAAAAAATAGGCAATTTAAGATTACTAAATATAACCGAAGGAACCCTGCCGGAAGCCGGTGAATCTTGAAATGCTGTTATTCCCACACTCGGAAGTTGGTGTCATATGTTGGCCACAATCTAGTTCAGATTCTATTCGGAGGCAGAAAAGACATAAAATGTTCTCTTCCCCCACCGTGAAGTTTGCTTTACTGCCCCACCAAGTTCACATGAGAGAGAGAGAGAAAGAGGAGAGAGAAGCTGAGAAGCAAGGCTGCTACCCTCTCCCGGCCCCTCCCCTGCACTGATGTGTGGATCCTTCTTTACCACCTGAAGGCCCAGTTCTTGTATGGGGAGAAGTGAGAAATGGTTCTCAAAAGTGGCCATGTGCTGGGGCACCTGGGGGGCTCAGTCGGTTAAGCGTCCAACTTCGGCTCAGGTCATCATCTCAGGGTTCGTGAGTTTGAGCACCAAGTCTGGCGTCGTGCTCTGTGCTGACAGCTCCGAGCCTGGAGGTGTCTCCCTCTCACTGCCCCTCCCCCCCTCCCGCTCTGTCTCTCTCCTTCAAAACATATTAAAAAGAGAGACAGAGAGAGAGACAGAGAGGCCATGTGCTCAGGCCTGTTATCAAAGGGTGCTTGCAGAAAGCCCACATTGGAGAAGTCTGTTCCCAATCCATCATTGACTGATTAGAGAACTTTTAAAAATGTGTGTGTTAGTTTTAGAAATTCCTCATTAGAGGGGCGCCTGGGTGGCTCTGTCGGTTAAGCGTCCGGCTTCGGCTCAGGTCACGATCTCACAGTTCGTGGGTTCGAGCCTCTGCGCCGGGCTCTGTGCTGACAGCTCAGAGCCTGGAGCTGCTTCAGATTCTGTGTCTCCCTCTCTCTCTGCCCCTCCCCTCTCGCTCTGTTTCTCTCTCTCAAGAATAAATAAACATTAAAAAAATTCCTCATCAGACATATTAACATTAATTAACATTAATTGATTGTGACTATTGAACAGTTTTAAGAACCCTGAAAACTTTTGCAGTGTAGGGATTGCCATGTAGCTGCAGCTGTGGCGTTCCGGAACAGCTGCCCGTTGTCGGTCCAGCAGGCGCGTCGTCCGATACACGCGGTCATTATGTTTTCTGCGGCACTTGTTGGTCTGCGGAATGTTGGAGGTGAGCAGAGGCTCAGAATATGGCTACAGAAAGTTCTTGAGATCTTCCAGCGATGGTGGTTGCCGTTGTACATAATTCGTGATTTTTCTGCATTCACGTAACCCTGCAAACAAACCCGTAAAGTCGGGACTGAGGCTGTCCCCATTTTACAGATGGGGACCCCGAGCCTTAGAGACGTAAACCCCCCAAGTTCATGTGCCTGGGAGCGGCGGAACGGGATGCCTGCGGCCCAGGGTTCTCCTGCCCCAGAAGCTAGTATGCACAGCACTGCCTCCCACCTTGTAACTGTCCCCTGCTGGTGAATGTGCACACTCTTCACGACCCCTCTTTCTGCAGACAACATGGTTCGCTCTGCCTAGTGATTCATAAAAATGCGGTGGAGTGAGGACTAATCCCATGTCACCACCAGCTGCTAATATCAGTTCACTTTCATCGGCTTGTGTGCGGGCATTTGAGAAGACGGCCGCGGGTCTGCGGAAGTGACCAGTCTGCCTGGGGCTCACTGCCCTGGTTTGGTGTAGCTCCCGCAGTGGTTAAAAATAGGGCCTCCGAAGTAGACTGCTGGGTTCACCATGACCCTGGTGCCTTTGTGCCTTTGTTTCTCCATGTGCACAGTGAGGATAATGCTCCTCAATGGCCGGTAGCAATGATCATCTGAAACACTTAGTGCCTGGGACTCCTGGGTGGCTCAGTCAGTAGCTTAAGCATCGGACTCTTGATATCAGCTTAGGTCCTGATCGTGAGGTCATGAGATTGAGCCCCGTGTCGGGCTCTGCACTGGCAATGCTGAGCCTGCTTACGAGTCTCTCTCTGCCCTTGTCCTCTCTGTCTTTCTCTCTCTCAAAATAAATAAACTTAAAAAACTAATAAAGCACCTTGTGTCTGGCACATGCCAAGTGCCTGTTACTATTCTTTTTAATCTTATAAATGACCATCGTTTGGATTTTTCACATTTAGCAAATTGGTAAAAACATTTTGATTTTGTCTTTTCATTCCTTGGGCGCGGGTCCATCAGGCAGGGAGCCAATCGGTGCAGAAGCGGAACCGTCATTTAGGTGCATTTACACTCTCGCCTTTGTAGCCCCGGGGGCCCTGGGTTCCTGCAGGCGGCTCCAGGGACCGGGTCTGGCAACACAGATCCCAGGTAGAGGTTTTACCTTGTCCACCTCCCCCTATGCACAGCCCAGGGACCCGGAATGTATCACAGGCCTGAATCCTGTCTTGTAAGATTAGCCGCGTAGCTTCATACCGTGTCTCAGCATCTGGAGGAACCGATGATGGCGGGGGTGGGGGAGGGCAGGGGTGGGTATCATATACATTGTATCGTAGGTCGTTGTATTGCATGCACAACACGCAAGAACGTTGACCAGCCCAGTGCACGGAGAGGAAAGCACAAGGCCGCCTTCTCTCTTCCCCCGCCAAGCCTCCGGGAAATGGTCCAGGAAATCTTTGTCCTTTCCCTTGAGCAGTGGTGGTGTTTTTGCCGTTGACCATCTGTGCATCCATTGGCACCAGATCTTACGTGTCTAATACACCTACTTGGATGAGCTGTCTGGGGATCCCTGATCGTAAGCGTGTCTTTCACTCTGTCTTCGGAACTAACATCGCCATCCTCAGAGACGCCCGAGGTCAGGCCACTTGTAGGCTAAGCACGATGCCCCCCGCGCTGGCCAGCTTCAGTCGGATGGAGAGGAATGAAAAGAACCCAAAGCCGGCGTCCAGGGGGCACGGCACGCCCTTCTCTTCCGGAGCCTTGGGCAGCAAGTCTGTCCAGGTGTTTAAAGCTGATGTGTGTGCCGAGCCCCTCCCACCCCCGGAGGGCCCACCTGACTGCGGGTACACCGAGCGTGGCAGTGTCTTTCCCGTGGTCATTCTGGCCCGGCCACCGCAGACGCCGTCAGAAGAGGGGTACACCCCGAGCCTGTGTCTGCGCTGGTTTGCACACCTTGGCTTATGTGCCGGTTTTCTACACTGAGTGACCCTGAATTCAATAGTCTGATAAGTTGGTCATTACGCGCTCTGGCTTTCTGAAATTGGGGCAAAGGGCATACTTAACAGGTGTCCTTTGACACTTTCGCTTTTCAGTTTCTGTAACCAAGAGGCTTTCCCCGAGCAAGATCAATTGTTGCTTTTCAGGGATGTTGTGAATACCTCCCCCCTGCCCCCAATACCTCCCCCTGCCCCCCAATACCTCCCTTGCCCCCCAATACTTCCCCCTGCCCCCCGATTCGATTTCTGTCTTGTGGTGCGTTAGCTTTTCCTGTGCCACGGACAGAGAGCCTGTGCGGACCCAGGTTTACGGGAGAGTAGAAGACAGGCGCGCTAACCCCCTGTCGGCCCCAGTATCGGCTTCCTGGCTGGATTTGCACCTTTCCTTAATTTCTGGGTTCAGTCCTTCCTTGTTCCTCAATCCCGGCTTGTCTTTAAGGTCGTTCATCTCCCAGGCCCTACTTCCTCGGCTTTTTGGGGGGGAAAGTCGTGTTTTGGTGTTTGTTGCCAGGGGGGCACAAACAGCAGATGGTCTCTCTCTCGAGAGGCAGAAGCCACGGGGTTTTCCAGGGACCAGGTGATGATCGAAGTGACAGCTGGAGAGCGAAGGCGGAAAGTCACAGCCAGGCTGGCTACCTCCCCCTCCCACCCCCCGTGTCTGTGACTGTCTTGTCCATTCACAGCCACTCCAAGTCCTTTCCTGTATGGCAGTGGGTCCAAGCCTCCAGCACTGGGTACACAGTGGGTTCCCACTCCAGCTTACACCTTAATCTTGGTCCCCTCATTTGAAATACAAGTTGATTGTCTTGTATGCAGAGGCCTTACCCACAGCCACCTATCCTGGAGTCACAGTCTTTTCCGTGGGAATCCTGAGCGAACACATTCCTCTCCACGACAAGCCCGTAACCTGAAGGGAAGTGGACAGAGAGGAAGGCTTGTGTCAGCCGCCAGGAGTCTTGTCCCGGGACCAGGTTTCCCAGCCTGTCTGCCTGCAGGACTGATGTCACCCTTTGAGCCGCAAAGCTGGGGCTTCCCTGAAAGACCGTGGCACAGGCGCCTGGTCCTGGGAAGCACAAGGCAGGTGGGGCCTCATTTGAGGGGTGTTAGCAGCAGATGCCGTGTGGGAGGAAGACGAGCCTTGTTTTCGTGTGTCTGGCTCGTGCTTAACTAGCATTGCCTTTTCCGGGCTCTGTGCTGATCTGGCTTTGAGGGGAAAGTGGATGAACCGGTTTCTGCCGGCCACGGGGCAGGTGACCGGGGCTTGGGGCAT